GCTCACCCACCTTGCTGATGATTAGCCAGGATTAGCCAAGTGATGGCCAATATTAGGGTACTTTGGAGTAGAGGTTTTGACCAGTTTTCGAGCCAGTTTTCGAGCAGTTTTTGATCTGGCTTTCCCTGAGGAGCCCCAAAACTGTCTTCAACCTTGAACAACAACCCACTGAAAACAGGTTTCGGCTAGGCCCAGAGACACTGTTGGGAAGCAGACTTCAAATAAGTCATGCTACTGTGAGCCGGTGTGCGACCGGTGAACACTCAGAAACAAAACAGGAATGAAATATCTTCGTGAGAGCATACAGAAGAGATCTCAGTAAGTACTAGGTAAGGTACAGCTGTAGGGCAAATAACACATACCTTTATGAGAGCGTACAAAAGAGATCTGAGGCTCTGACGAATGCGCGAGTCGAAATATCAACTAACACGAGAGATGTCATGCTGTAACCCCAAGACGGGGTTACACTCCTCCTCACCATGAAAAATTATCCAGAAGCATAAAAAGATAAGGAGGGAAAAAAACTGAAGATACAGATTAATGTGGGTGAGAGAGTAAGTAGGTGTCGAGTGCAGTGAGTTCATTGACTTCTCAGCCTGGCAGCCAGATGTCATGTTCAGGTCCATAACCTTTGAAGCACACTAGGTATTGGAAGCCATGACCATGGGGGTGGTGGTCGATGGTGGCATCAACCTCCCACTCTTTGACACCATCTTTGATGATGAGCAGTCCCGGTTGACTGTGTTGAGATGAAGGGAAGAGCAAGGCATCATTAGCTTTCCAAGGTTTAAGAAGTGAAGAGTGGAACATAGGGAAAATTTGCATGGAAGGGGGAAGGTCAAGGGCATATACAGAAGATTCGGGGTATACATGTAAAATAAAGTATGGACCATTGAAGCACACCATGAATTTAGCAACATAGTGGTCACCACATTGCATGTAATCTCTCCATCAGTGGAAGGTGGAGAGGAGGATGCAGCCACCTACATTGTAGGTGATCTCGTCACCTTGCGAACAGTTCACCAGTGCCACCTGGTTCACCTTTGTGAGAAAGAGATTATCTTGTGCCTCCAAAACATCAGTTTCGATGGACACAATGAGTCTGGAGGCTAGGTTCACTTCTGAGGAGTGATCGTCTGCCAACGATGCCTCAAGAAATGAGCAAGTGGAAGGGGGAGAATCCCGTCGACTCGTTCACAGTATTCATGATCGTGAAACATACACGCGGGAGTGCGCGTACCCAGTCACATTGGTTTCATGCAACATGGTAATGGAGGGCCTGGATGACGGTCTTATTGGAATGCTCGGAAGAACTGTCAGTCTGAGGATGGTATGCGGAGGACATTTTCAACTTGACACCAGTGAGCCGATGAAGCAATTTCCAGAACTGGCTGATGAATAGTTTGTTATGGTCGGTCATCAGCCAGTTCTGGAAATTGCTTCATCGGCTCACTGGTGTCAAGTTGAAAATGTCCTCCGCATACCATCCTCAGACTGACAGTTCTTCCGAGCATTCCAATAAGACCGTCATCCAGGCCCTCCATTACCATGTTGCATGAAACCAATGTGACTGGGTACGCGCACTCCCGCGTGTATGTTTCACGATCATGAATACTGTGAACGAGTCGACGGGATTCTCCCCCTTCCACTTGCTCATTTCTTGAGGCATCGTTGGCAGACGATCACTCCTCAGAAGTGAACCTAGCCTCCAGACTCATTGTGTCCATCGAAACTGATGTTTTGGAGGCACAAGATAATCTCTTTCTCACAAAGGTGAACCAGGTGGCACTGGTGAACTGTTCGCAAGGTGACGAGATCACCTACAATGTAGGTGGCTGCATCCTCCTCTCCACCTTCCACTGATGGAGAGATTACATGCAATGTGGTGACCACTATGTTGCTAAATTCATGGTGTGCTTCAATGGTCCATACTTTATTTTACATGTATACCCCGAATCTTCTGTATATGCCCTTGACCTTCCCCCTTCCATGCAAATTTTCCCTATGTTCCACTCTTCACTTCTTAAACCTTGGAAAGCTAATGATGCCTTGCTCTTCCCTTCATCTCAACACAGTCAACCGGGACTGCTCATCATCAAAGATGGTGTCAAAGAGTGGGAGGTTGATGCCACCATCGACCACCACCCCCATGGTCATGGCTTCCAATACCTAGTGTGCTTCAAAGGTTATGGACCTGAACATGACATCTGGCTGCCAGGCTGAGAAGTCAATGAACTCACTGCACTCGACACCTACTTACTCTCTCACCCACATTAATCTGTATCTTCAGTTTTTTTCCCTCCTTATCTTTTTATGCTTCTGGATAATTTTTCATGGTGAGGAGGAGTGTAACCCCGTCTTGGGGTTACAGCATGACATCTCTCGTGTTAGTTGATATTTCGACTCGCGCATTCGTCAGAGCCTCAGATCTCTTTTGTACGCTCTCATAAAGGTATGTGTTATTTGCCCTACAGCTGTACCTTACCTAGTACTTACTGAGATCTCTTCTGTATGCTCTCACGAAGATATTTCATTCCTGTTTTGTTTCTGAGTGTTCACCGGTCGCACACCGGCTCACAGTAGCATGACTTATTTGAAGTCTGCTTCCCAACAGTGTCTCTGGGCCTAGCCGAAACCTGTTTTCAGTGGGTTGTTGTTCAAGGTTGAAGACAGTTTTGGGGCTCCTCAGGGAAAGCCAGATCAAAAACTGCTCGAAAACTGGCTCGAAAACTGGTCAAAACCTCTACTCCAAAGTACCCTAATATTGGCCATCACTTGGCTAATCCTGGCTAATCATCAGCAAGGTGGGTGAGCTGAAAAATGAGAATTGAGAAGCCCTAATAAATTTATTTAATAGCCCACCCTGCCAGTGCAGTCACAACCCTGTAGTAACAACCGGACTTTGATACAAGACTGTCCACGTGGAACATGGATGGTTCTTGGTATAAGACTACACATTCCATCAGACATCTTGTGCCCCTTTCCTTTTTACTCTCCATGTGACACTGCAGCCCACACAGAAGGTGCCAGACATTGGTGGCTGGAGCTGCACCACCCAGGCATACCATGTTAGGAAGGTACATCAGGAAAACCCCACTTTTCCTTAAAAGGACACTTAAATAACTTAAATTGACTTATGGTCCTTATTTAAGGATATAAGGACAAAAAGGGCCTAAGGCATATTCCCTGAGTGTCTGAAATTCGACTTATTTGAACACTTATGGCCTTAAATAAGGGTTCTCAGACCCAAAAGTCTAAATAAGTCCATAAGAGAAAGTTGGGTTTTCCTGATGTATTTGGCCGAAACAAACAGTGCACGGCGTGCGCATCAGCGACTGCAGTTTCATATGCAAACCACTGTATTAATCTGATCACCACTGCTGCATTGACTCGGAAGTCATTCCTTTCTAATACTTAGAGGCTGAGATCATTACCGACCGGCCTCTGAGGACCACCTCATGGGAATATCATGCCAATGCAACCCGAAGCTTGCATTTTGCTCACTGAAAAATTCTGGATAATCAGGCTAAAACAGTGTAGCTTTGTGAGTGCTCAAGAATCTCAGTGAACACACAGATTAATGTGCATTATGTGTTGCACACATAGAGAGATTTGTGCGTGGAGGTGCAGGACATTAAAGTTCAACCTCCTCCGAGTCCACAAAATGCAAGGGAATGTCGCTACAGCCTGTCATCGGCATTGGGCAGTTCTCAGAGGGTAGGTGGACAATGATCCTAGACTAAGTCCAAATATACTGTCTCGGTTTGTGCAGATCTGACATGTCTCTAACCATGTTCCAAGTACTTATTCAGTTGTTGAGTGTGTTGAAAGCTCGGCTTTGCTCAAGTCTCAACAACTTGTATTGAAACCAGAGAACTGGCTACTAAAGTGTCTCGACTCTCGACGAACAACACTCACTGCATAAAAACATTGGTTTACTCATGGTTCTAGTAGACACTTGCCTTATGTGACAGCCCCCGACATGAACATAGAAGAGACACACAATTAGTTCAGTGCACTGTAGAACTGCTAATTGGAGTGTGTCAAGGTAACAATGATTGAGGCTCTGATAATTCTACGGAAGTGGCGGCAAGACTGCGAGGCCTGGTGGAGTGAAAGATATATGGTCTTGCACATATGTAGAAGGCAGATCCAATGTGAAGATTTTCCACAATAAATGTGCTTGTACCCAGTCATTACCTCTACCAAACTCCAGAAATGACATCCAGTGAAGAACACCTTTCCAAAGCCCAGGGATGCTGCGACCTCGAGTTCTGTACCCGCAACGAAGCAGGTTCAGGGTTCAGAATGGGAGCCTCGCATCAGGTGCGAATGCGGTGTAGTACTGGGTTAGGGTGTAGCACTGTTGAATCCGTCTTAGAAGGAGGACGCAGATGGCTGGTTTACAGAGTATTTCCAAAGACTTAAGCCTCATTGGCAGTAAGTAAGTCAGAGGTGCTGTGGTGTAAGCGAAAAATATACAGGCAGACTGCATGGCCGAAAGATCCAAGTAAACGAGAAGGATTCTATGGATTGCGTTTCTTGGCAGCCTGTGTTCATCTTGCTATCAGTGCTACCTATGAGTCTAGGAAGCGTGGGCACAGAGCGTTGAGGGCGCTTGTACCTGCAAAGCAAATTCGCAAGCGCCAGCGTCGATCGGAATCTAAGTAGATAGCCATATCAGATTTAATGTTCGAGCAGTGCTGCGCCCACAAGCAACCACACTGACTTCGATTTTATACCCATCGTTGTCGAAAGCCAATCGCGCTTGGGAGAACGCAATCAGTCCCATAATAATTTCAGTATGTAATAGTAACCTTTACAACCCTTGCTCGGGAAACTAAGTAAGTAGGGAGTCTCGAAAAGGTAGATTACCCGCAGGCAGATCATCAATGGAAATGCACGACACGTATCGGTACGTCTATACTACAGTAGAGTTCATACATAGCAATAAACCGAAAGTACTTGTACGAGGACCCAGGCCTAGCTCAGATTGCTGTTTACAATTCTGTCACCTCCTTTGCCAACGATGTCCTGACAGGATGCGGCGAGTCGAAAATGTGGTCGATCTCCTCCAAATTCCTGTGATGAATACACGAATTAGATCAACTGCGAATACACGAAAATCGGGCACACATACCGTCCCTTTGTCTCGACGAAGGTAAGGTAGATGACAACAATGCCAAGTGCATCCCAAGCCGCGTAGAAGATGTAGAACCTGGGAACCGTCCGTCTGTCAAGCCATAAATTGCAAGACAGACGACAGAGACACTCGCCTCCAACCAACTGCTCCGATGGCGACAGGAGGAAGGTAGGTGTTAAACAGACCGCAGGCATTGACGAACAGGTTCATCACAGCTAGACCCTTAGCACTAAATAACGGTTGGCAATTAGCGATCGACATCAAGCTTTAAGAGGATAAAAAAGATACCGGTTGTTGTATGCCAACACCTCCACGGGGTATAGGGATTGCATTGGAGTCCAAACGAAGGAGAATACTAAAGCGACCACATGAGCGGAGGTCGAACTGTATCAATTCCATCATACTCACCGACCAAGAAAATGTAGAGGAACGCGATACCAACGGGTCCCGCTTGCGAATGTTTTGGCGTCAATGCAGTGCAGACCTAACCCAGATCAGCCAATGCAAGACCACCGAATGATTGAAAGAACCGCACCGTAATAATGACGACCGAAATCGACATCCCAGTCGAGCTGAGCATCAGAGTGGGACGACGACCCCACCTCTCAAGGAATTGCAAGCCGCAGAGAGCCGATATCATCATGATTGGAGTCTAATAGAGAAGGGGTCCAGAAAACTATACACAAGAAATGAAAAGTGGTATACTTGAATTGCGTTCAGAAGAAGAACCATGTGCTCGTTGGTCACCCCGGCGGCTTCAACCTGTCGCCGGGTGTAAGCCCAGTCCTGCCCAATGAGTTAAAATGAGACCGGCTGACCATCAGCGGGAAGTAGTAGCTAGTTGGAGGGAGATCCCATTGCCCGAAGAACGCAATACAGATCACAAGGAAGAAACGGTGCCTATCGGACCTTGTCCGCAGAAGGCCTCGGATATCCCACCATCTGGACCGACGTGAGAACACTGACAATTTAAAATATGCATGCGAGTGAACATACCTCTTATCGGTTCCGTTTTCTACTTCGATGACTTCCTTCATTTCTCGCATTTGGAGATTGACGATCTCGCTATCGAGGTTACCTCCACCGTGGTACTTCGCAAGAATTTCGCGAGCCTTCTCGTCTTTGCCTTGACTGACATACCATCCTGTGAGTGGTATGGATGAGTGTGACTGGAATTTAGAGTGAATGCTATATGACATACTCGGGGTCTCAGGAATAAACCACCAAAACATTAAAACAAGGACAGATGGCAGGGCTTGAAGCGCCATCGGCACTCTCCACTGGTACTGTGGGGCACCGGCAACATAAGATAGGCCGAACTCGATCCATGTCGAGAGAATGGTGCCCGAGAAGAAGCACGCCTGATACCTATGAAATTAAAATTAGTCAACTCGGCAATGGAGTCGCAACATTATTCACGCTTACAATCCAGTCAAAATTCCCCGATAAGCTGGGTGTGCCAACTCGACGACATATGCAGGACCTATGAAAGAACCACATTATATTTTTCCCGGTAAACATAGCGAGGTCCACTTACCAGCAGTCTGGGCGATAACAGCACCCAGCCCAAGCACAACACGGCCACCGATGAGATAGTTACCGTTCTGGGCAGCGGTCTGGACGACACTACCAACAAGGCAGATAAACGAGCCGACTGCCATACCCCATCGACGACCCCACATATCTGAAACTTGTCCAGCACCGAGAGATCCAACCTGCAACGGAATACATTAATTTATCACAACGCTGCTGTGCGGGGGGAAATCACCATGTTACCAATAACGTATGAAGCAGCGAACAAGCCTTGCCTCGAACCACCGTGGAGGGAGAAATAATTTTGAAAACTCGTCATAGCGGACGCGCCCCCAAATGTGTTGGCATCGAAGCCGTTGGTGGTGGAGCAAAGGTATGCGACAGCAAGAACCATATAAAGCCTGATCATAGACCGTGACCACGGCTCTACGTGCGACAATTGTCGGTGAGTCGAGATCTGAGAACTCGAAGTGATGTGTGACTTACGCGGTTTTTCCTTGGCCAATACAGCCGCGAGCTCGGAGTGAAGAGGAACTACGACCTCGACCTTACACTCGACGGCCTGTATTGGGTCCTCGAGATGTTCCGTTTCGCCCATCTTGTCAGACTTCGCCATAGTTAGGCCGGGCATCTGAGTCAAGTCGTCGGAGTCGTGCAAACGCGTCGTAGTGTATAGATGTTGAAGACTGAGGAGCTTCTTTCCCTGACGGCCTTATATACGACCATGGGGAAGAAGCCTCGTTCTGTCTCGCTCGTCATGAAGAGTCGGAGGGCGGACCGCCGTCGAATGAGAGTTAGAGGGACCTCCGAGATTTCCCCCGCACTTCGATATCAATTTGATCATGCTCCCCCAAAGATCAGCGCCTTCTAAGACCGATAACAAGCCGACGTCTGTACTTGTACAGGTTTCGAACCACACACGCAGGAGGCCTAGGAACACGTTTGAACCGACGCAAACACTGGCAGAGATTCGTTCCACAACACCTACTAGGATAGGCAACTCGCAAACATTGTTGTCATCGCTGTAACTGTATCCAAAGGAGGGGTCAAGATCACGGGAACGTGCAAAACCAGCTCGGGCCTATGCGTTGTTCCGATTCTGCATCAGCTGACAGGACTGTTTGGGGCAAGAAGAGGGCGAGGCGGAATCGGCGATACCTGCTTGCAAGCCTGAGAGGGGGAAATTGGTGGACGGTGTCGATGCGGCTTCACCCTCCTTGGGGGGTCTTTTCACGGGTCAGCAGATGTAGCAGGACGGGTGCGCGGACCTTGCACACCATTCAGCAGCAGACTGGCAACGGAGGCTACTTTCAGCACATGATCGACGCAAGTGACTTCTATTGCCTACAGGGCAGAAGTTGACAAAAAGCCGACCGTACGACGCACGCTAGCAGGAAACTGCTGTGTCGGTCTTATGCTGGAACCGCTGGTGAACTCGGCTGCCATTCTAATTGGGGGGAGCTAGAAGTCGAGACTAGATGCAGTAGCAACATCGAGAGGCGCAAATGATATTGGAAAGTATAGCCCAGTAATACCCTTAGAAAGAGTTAAAGTAAAGCACACAGAAAAGGAAATTTATTGCTCTTTCCTTTGCTTTGTCCCCTTCTCCGGGATATTCCCCAAGAAACCCTTCTTATGACGGTACTTGAGACTTGCTTGAGACTGTGTTGTCAATCCTGGCTTGGCAAGGGCGGGAACTGGATTTTGAGCACTCGCGGGGTGATCTCGAAAGGCGCATTGATATCATCCGAGTCTGCGTTGAAGATGAGATGATAAGCATCGTCGGTGTGCTTGCTTGTTCTCCTTCGAAGTACCCGTGCTTGCTTGTGCAGATCTCCGCGTGCTCTACCGAACATGCTCGTACCTGCGGGGATGAGCTGCTCAGATCGCATATACCAACCAGATAGGCAGTAACAAGTCATCTTCGGTTCCACCTTAGCGGAACTAGCTTTGCCGTATTGCTCTAGACCGGTCAAACGTGTCAATTTCTCTTGCGTGGATGACATCAGAACTGATTACTTCAGAACACAGCAACCAGTCAGTATCATCAACCAGCCACGAGTTATACGACTCATACTACAGACGTTTAAAAAAATTCATGTGTCATATGCAATGTGGATGGACCAAGCGTCGCGACAACAGCAGGCAAGATGAAGCAAATCGAGCTGATAGACCAGAGTCGAAAGATGTATGCACAATAAATATACCACTTGAGGCTCTCGGCACAGAGCTCGAATCCCTACATCGAATCAGACCACCCGAAAGATCAAATGAAGCGAACAAATCCAACTGCTCGAAGACATGACGCGTCGTAATGCGAAGCTGACAGAAGGTGCGAACCCCACGGCATTCAATCCCACCATCTGAACCTTGCCACTGAGTGAGGTCATACGGCTTCTGACTCCGCCTCCGAGATGATGAACTCAGGGTTCCGCTTCGCATCTCCGCTAGGCATGGGCGCCCACAACGCGCCCAAGTCGAACCATCCACCAGCAGCGGGCGGCGACGCATCTTCTGCGCCATGCGCGTACACCGCGGCACCAAACGCGTCCATGTTATCCGTTGCAGTCAAGGTGTCGGTGTCCGTGCCAGGATGTCCATCAAATGCCATGTGCGGACGTCCAGTGGCGAGGCTATGCATAATAAGGTGACATCCCATGATGAACAGCAGGAGCAGCACAACGATGGCCACGCGCGCCCTAGTCTTCAGCGAAAAGTATGAACTGTGTTCAAACTCATCTTTTGTAGCGGATGAGGGAAGCTGAATCGCAGACGGAAGCTGGGAATGGGAAAAGAACGAAGGCAGAGTGGTGAGCTTGCCCCACAGACGCCGAAATGCGGTAGGTTTCTGTGGTGGGATTAGGAATGCGATGGAGAAGTCGCCATCGTGGGATGGGGACGAAGGGGTCACAATGATTGCCGGAAGAGGTGCCTTCTCATCCACGAGAGGCAGGGATAGGTCTGTCCGTGATATTAGCAACAAATTTGGCCTGGTGAGTACAAGCAACTACATGAAACGGAGAACAATGCTCACCAAGAGGTGCAGGAATTAATGTGTAGTCTAAATGTTGGGGTAACCGGTTGAGGCGAGGAGGACGGCCTGATACACGCGACGTATGTGAGACTTTATCCAGACCGTATTTCCATCTCGCGACACCTACCGGGACGACGCATACTGAATAACAGTGAAGGGGCTGCGAACTGTCTTTGGCTCTAGTGTAGGATAGTATACGGTGAAGCTTGAAAGGCGGAAGGCGGATGTGATCGAAGGTGAATGTCGGAGGTAAAAGAATGTGGTGTCGAAAGGAGAGTCGGTGCGCAAGGCGTTCTGGGAGAATATGAGCAGAGACCAGACGGATGGACGTCGCAGACGAAGGCGACGCTGCCGAAGACTCAAAAGTTGTCGATGCAAGAAGGGACAAGAGAGTCGAGCCATCAAGCCGGCAGCCCCGCACATAGCAACACAAGCGCCCGTTCCCATTCGGCAACTCTCCATCTTCGCAGATACTCCATGGCCCTCCTCGACGCTCCCGGTCTCACAAACGTTGCTGCCCCCATCAGGTCGACGTCCTTACCTGCCGGAGCGTATGTGCTCTCGATAATCTCTCTCCCTTCATCCTACGCCGTTTCCGCATCTGCGCCGAACAACGCTATTCATCTTTTCAACAAGTCGCATCTACACCACTTCCAGACTCTTCCAGGACACCAGGACGCCATAACAGATCTCAAGTCTGTGATCCATTTTGCTGGCGCAACTTCGCCAATTCTCATCTCATGCGGTAAAGACGGAGTGGTCAAGGCGTGGGATGACCGGACCCAATCCGCTGCTCTGCAAAGTGAACAGTGCTTTTTTGCTGCATACTGGCTCGGTAACTGAACTCAACTGGAGTCTACGTTCAATGTGTGAATAGTGTCCACGTCTTCGTCGGGAAGACATAGGCCTCTCCTCTCCTGCGACGTGTCTTCCGATGGATTCTTAGTTGCCGCCGGAACAGATTTCCAAGGGGAAGACGCTTCGATATTATACTGGTGTGTTCTGCCACACATTTTTTCACTCGTTGTGCCAATCAACGTCGCCAAAATTTCACCAACCACATAGGGATCCGCGCAATGCTGCTGCTCCCCTCCGCGTTCACTCATCAACTCACTCAGATGACATCACCGCCTTGCATTTCCTCCACACCAGCTCCTTCACTCCTCATTCCAGTCGTACATTATTGTCGGCATCATCAGACGGTCTCGTCTGTACGTCCAATGCTGACGAGGAAGACGAGGACGAGGCAGGGCTGCATGTGGGCAACTGGGGCTGCAGCGTAGCCCGAGTTGGCTGGGTGCACCGACAGTCCGGTTCGCCGGGAATATGGGCATCCAGCGATATGGAAACGTTCAGTATCTGGTCGAGCGAGGTCTGGCATTTTCATTTTCATATCCGCGCAGTTCTCCCTGATTTTCATGCATAGCTCGACCTTGTCCGAGACGTCGACATCCGCCAGCCGTCGATACACCGCCAAGATCTCACATGGGTCACGGACTACCTCATCGGATGTCACAACCACCACCACATCCCTGCCGATGAGGATAACGATTTGAGCATCTTTGTAGGCTCGAACGAGTGAGTGTTGAAGCTGGTCATGCCCCCTTCTGCCCCCTTCCTCCGCATCTCTGATGTTTTTTCGACAGGGGTGATATCGCTAGCATCTCTCGATCTTCATTTTCAGACCCCAATGCTCCCTGGTTGTTGACGAACACTTGGTCAACTGGGCACACGGGCGTGGTCCGATCTGTTTTATGGGACGAACGCGTACGTCAAGGCTCGCATTCGTTTACATTCACTGAATGACTGGTGCCATGTGGGAATTTGAACAGAATAATGTCCTTCTCACGGGTGGGGAAGACTCCAGGCTGAACGTTTGGTCTAGTCCTGCAGTACCACTTTCAGCCTCGCGCGGACAGCCTGCCAAATTGAAACGCAAAAGCGAGGACAATGCCATGGACGTTGATGCAGACGAAGATGTCGCTTTGCTTAAAAAGACGCGCTCCTAGATGCAGTCAGAATACCGCATTGACTGTTGACGGAGGTGCCTAGTAGAGGATGTACCAGTGTATTGCATCAGTAATCCAAAAGTCGTACAATTGCACCCTGATGCACCGGCAGAAATTCGTCCGAGAGATATCACATCCTAAATACGCCGAAGCCCTTGCTGTCACCGTCCCAAGTCGTGGGCACACCTCCTGCTGCGTTGGTGCCCCGTTTCCGGCTCGCAAGAGACAACGCGAGACCTACGGTGTCGCGGGTATCCGTGGGCTTGATGATTCCGTCATCCCATAGCCGTGCAGATGCATACAGAGCTGTCGACTGCTCCTCAATCTCGTCTTTCAGATTAGAGTGTTTTGTGGGGTCCCTGTCCGAAGTTTTCAGTTCAGAACGAGTATACTGCCTGTCTACGCACTTGGAAACCGTAGCCATGACCTGAGATAGCTGGCCAGGCCCCATAACTGAGACCTTGGCATTCTGAAAGTTGGTGAGCTACTTTATTCCCAACAAGCTGAGCAAGAAATTAAAACATACCGGCCACATCCATAAGAAACGTGGAGAATACTGGTATCGCATATCAGGTACCGTCGCAGAAAAACACGTACAAATCGCTTACAGCCCGACCACACATCCCTGTGACAATTTCATTGAATTAAGGGCGGGTGATAGAACAAAGGAACTTACCGTAATTGCCCGCTCCATAACTACCACCCACAATGACGGTCAACTTTGGGACGTCTGCGCATGCAACAGCCCGAACCATCTTCGCGCCGTCCTTCGCAATGCCACCGCGTTCCGCTTTCGAACCTACCATATATCCGGTCACATTTACCAGGAAAAGTAAGGGTATCTGACGCTGAGAGCACAATTGAATGAAGTGCGTCGCCTTTAGAGCTGACTGAGAGAACAAGATGCCGTTGTTGGCTACGATCCCCACGGGGTAGCCGTGGATGTGCGCGAATCCCTGTGAGGTAGGATATGAGTCGCGGGCTACTCACATTCTAAGAAACGGAGCGGGCTGCGCACGGTGGCTATCGTCTGTCCATATTCCTTCTTGAACTCTCGGAAGCGGCTTCCATCAACAACACGGGCGATGACGTCTCGCATGTCAAATGCCTGCCGCAAATCAGTACCAACAATCCCATGTAACTCTGAGGCCGGATACAGAGGGTCCTCCGGTACACTTGGAGGCTTCCATGGTGTTCAGTCGACCAACACATTATTCATGGTATTTCACTCACAGGCACTTCCTGCCCACCGGCTTTTCCTAGATCACCCACAATTCCCCGGGCAATGGCGATGGCATGTTCGTCATCTCGGGCTAAATGGTCCGTTACTCCACTTTCGGAAGAATGCATCTGACCGCCACCAAGTGTTTCTTCGTCCACCTCTTCCCCGGTCGCCGCCTTCACCAACGGCGGGCCGGCAAGGAAGATGCGGCCTTGTTCTCGAACAATAATGTTCTCGTCTGCCATTGCCGGGACGTAGGCACCACCTACATATACGAGATGACCAACGGAGAGAAGATTGGAGAGTTATATTGACCTGCGACAGAAATGCCATGCACGATCGCGATTTGCGGTATACTCAGAGCAGACATTTGTGCCATGTTATAGAAGATACGACCAAAATGCTCCTTGTCAGGGAAGACCTACAAAGTTTATCGATCAGTCGGTGAAATGCTGACCAGTGTCAATTTTGGGGGACCTACATTGGCTTGATGCGGCAATGCGGCCCCTCCAGACTCCACTGTGAAAGAAATATGGACTAGGGTGAGGAAGAAAGGTACGGCTATTTACATACCGACGTAGACACAAGGCAAGCCATGCTCTCGAGCAATCTCTTGCGCTCGCAGATGCTTCTTGACCTGAAAAAGTATAACACTAAGTCTCATGCGTGCTCTGCATAGTAAACAAGTCGTTGTAGACGCACGGTCAAAGGATAATATGAGCCTCCCTTTACGGTCGCGTCGTTGACAACAATAACACATTCTCGGCCAGATATTCGACCTATACCGGTAATAATACCTGCACATGGGACGTTGTCCGGGTAGACGTCATGGGCAGCGAGCTGGGAGAACTCAAGAAACGGAGTATGCGGGTCAAGGAGGGCAGCCAGCCTGCAGTCATACAGCACGAATGTCTGAATGGACGACTCTATACAGCAGACCGGAGCGAACCAACCTCTCCCGAGGCAACTTCTTCCCGCTCTTCCTCATACGCTCCACTGCCTTGGCCCCGCCGCCCTGCCTAACTGCGGCCATCTTCGCGTCAATGTCTGCTACCAAAGCGCTCATGGCCTGTGCTTTAGCAACGAACTCGGGTGCCGAGGGCGAGATGAGTGACGGTAGGACATAGGCTCTACGCGAACCGTGGATGAGACCTCGACGGAAAGCTTGAAAACTGGGAGATGCAAGTCGCATACTGTCCGGATACCAGAATTATCTGCAGCTGGCGTTCAGTGGCACTCATCGGCGAAGCCAAGGAGCAACGAAACGCGAACACCGGCAACAAGTGCTCGATCGGTGCGCTACCCCGCAATCACGTGCCGTTCCCCGCCCTGCCCGAAATGGACGAGTAACCACCCACCAAGGTTTCTCCTCTTCCTTCTCGCTTCTTCGTGTGCTGCCACTTTTATCATGAGCGCGCTCGCAGATGAACTTCTTGCCGACCTTGAGGGACTCTCTGAGGGAGAGGGAGAGGAAGAGGAAGAGGAGGTTGAGGCGAAGCCGGGATCCTCCACTGGCGTCAAACGCAAAGCGCGGGAGGACGAGGAGATGTCTGACGGTGACGGTGACGGTGAGGCGGAAAGTGAGGGTGAGGGTGACCAAGGAGATAAAACGGTCGGCTCCTTGGTTCTTGAGGGAGGTATCAAACCTTCGGAGGAGTTGGACGCGGAGGAAGTACAGCGTATGGATCTCGGAGGTGTGGAGGATGTGCGGAAAGTGGCCAAACTGGATGGGAGCAAGCGGATGAACGACACACTGAAGGTAAGCGCCTTTAGGGTATTGGGGATCTATATCTCATTTGTTGTGCTCAGGAAATCGAAAAATACCAAGCAAACCCCAGCACAGCAGAACAGATGTCTATGCCCGCTCATTCCAATCCCGAGTACACTCTCATCGTTCAGGCCAACAACTTATCCGTGGATGTAGACAACGAGATTTTAGTTGTGCATAAGGTATGCGATCTGTCGCGTGCGAAGTCCCTCGACCGTCTAATGGACTTTCAAGTTCATTCGTGATCACTACGCCCCCAAATTTCCCGAACTAGATCAATTGGTTGTCGATCCAGCCATGTACATTCGCTCTGTCCGGGCATTAGCCAATCACGAGGTATGCAATTTATTCCGTCAAGAGGACACTTTCATTGGATAACACCCCTTGCCAGGATCCAACGAAAGTTGATTTGGCAGGAATTTTACCCCCAGCAATTATCATGAGCGTTCTAGTTACTGCCACTACCACATCCGGTCAACCTCTCTCAGACGCGGAATGGAAGACAGTCCAGCACGCTTGTGACCTAGCTGATCGTTTGGAGGAAGCGCGGAAAAAGGTACGAATCCTGTTATCATTGCCGTAACGACCTACTAAACAACAGCACTCCAGATCTTCATGTACGTTAGCTCACGTATGAATGTCCTTGCTCCCAATCTATCCGCTATTGTTGGTACAACTACAGCTGCCAAGCTCCTTGGAGTCGCAGGAGGACTCAATGGTATAGCCAAGATGCCGGCATGTAACGTCTACGTAGGTTTCCGCATCTCTGTTCGAATCATCGTGATATCTGATAGTCAAAATAGCTACTGGGTGCGCAAAGAAAAATAGCGGCCGGCTTCTCATCCGTCACTCAGCGTCGCCACTCTGGCTTTGTCTTCCAGTCTGAACTTATCCAACAAACTCCACCTGAGTACCGACTTAAAGTTCAGCGAACCGTGGGCGCCAAATGCACCCTCGCAGCTAGAATGGATCTGGAGAGGAATCGGAGAGATGGTATATAACTCGATGACATTCTATTCCATTGGCTCACACACCATGACAGGGTCCTATGGCGAGGAGCTTCGAGAGAAGATAGAGAAGCACATTGACCGTCTCGCCGCTCCGCCACCGAGCAAAATCGTTAAGGCATTACCGATCCCAAACGACGGACCGAAGAAACGTCGTGGTGGGAAACGGTCAGTTGACTACTCCTGTGCTGCCATGCCGTACGCTCACTGTTGAGATAGTGCGAGGAAGGCCAAGGAAGCGTATGCGCAGACGGAGCTTCGAAAGCTTCAGAACCGCATGGCATTCGGTGAGGCGGAGGAAGAGATAGGTGCATTTGACCAAACGAAGGGACTCGGCATGATAGGTAGCGGGAAGGTCAGGGCTGGAGCGGGTGAGGCGAAGAGTCGTGGTATGTGCCTGCAATGGTCCGTCAGTCTGCTGAGCTGATCGTGGATACCTTCCAGCCAAAATGTCGAAGGCGAACAAGCTCCGCACGGCTGCACTGACGAGAGCTGCTCAAGCCGGTGGTACGCAGACGTCCGGCACAGCAACGTCACTGACTGTCACACCTGTGCAAGGTAAGCCGAAGCGACACGTTATCCATGAGGTCTACTCACATCTCCCTTTCCAAGGATTCGAACTGACCAATCGTGCTGCTGCTGCTCAGCGAGTGAAGGAGGCAAATGAGCGCTGGTTTGCGGGTGGTACTTTCTCGTTTGTTGGTCAGAAGGGTACATAGTGTTGCACTTACTTCCTAATAGAACACGACAGACGCAAGGCTTAGCATATGTGTCAACCGTAGCCATGCATACATCAATGGAAGAAACTAATGTTACAAAGGGAACTGCAGCGAATAACATGCGGAAAAGAGTGAACAACGTATAACAGCAGTATGGACTATCTAATTAGCTAAGGAGCGTTCAAAGCGAAGGGGGATGAGCAGTCGCAACTGTCTCCCCTGTAGCAGCGCTCTGCGAGACATCAATGAAGCCGGACTTTTTCGGACTGGACGACTTCTCCCGCTTCGTCCGGTAATCCCGAATGGCCGAACGAATGGCATCCTCAGCGAGCACTGAAGGAAGACGGTGCGGACACCTTCAGTCGAGCTGTGAAGGGGTGGCACGAAAACTTACTTGAACAGTGAAGCTTTACGGGCGGCAAGCAGAGCTCCTTCGCGATCTCGGTGTTCTTGATCTTCTCGGCATCCTCCAACGACAATCCCATCACCCTCTCCGTCATGTAAGAACTGGAAGCGATAGCACTGCCGCATCCGAATGTCTTGAACTTGACATCTGAGATGATCCCGTTGTCGTCGACCCGGATTTGGAGCTTCATGACATCGCCGCAACTAGCCACGACAAAAGTGAGCCATGTCGTCGCCCAACAAGGACGCTACTACTCACGCAGGGGCGCCCACGAGCCCTGTGCCAACATCTTTGTCGTTCTTGGGCAGTGAGCCAACCTGAACAGCAGTGTATGTTATCAGATAATGTTTTGGAATAATCTGGCGGTCTGGAACATGACATGACGCACATTTCTGGGCTGCTCGTAGTGCGAGATCACCTTTTCATGGTAACTGCGAGCAATAACGGGTCGTACCGCGACTCTGGTAGCGCGAGGGGACGCAGTGAGGACAGACTTGACGAGAGATGAGTGGAACATGGTGGAGTGGGAGCAAGAGTGCCTGACCTTTCAGACTCTCCGGACTCTTGTAAGCCAGGGCGGAGTGTGAATCAATTGTCACGTTACTCACGTAACCAAAGAGGAAGCTGATAGATGACGTAAGCCCAGGCCTTCCCTAATACGGGATAGGGCCACCTGAACGAAGCGCATCATCATCGCGTCGTGCTGGACGCGCCTGTGTATGTGGCCATCCCCGTTCCCTATTCTCATCGTTCTCCGCATTCAACTTGACGAACATCATGGAAAATTCCTCTAGCTCTGCACCTCCATCTCCACCACTCCGAGGATCCGACATGCCCATAGGACGTGGTTACTTTTCCGTGCCGTTCGAACGCTTCGTGCGCGACGACGTCTCTGACTGGGCGAGCGGGTTCACCCTACTAGGTACGTCTGTTCCGGAAGAGGTGAACTCGTCGACCTGAAACGCGTCCTCAGACACTCTGGAGACGTACTTTGATTCACGACTAGACCTACTTCAACGAAATTGGGTGAAACATAGTGATCGCCTGAAAATGAAAGCCGAGGGAACTATACAGGAGGTATTGAAGAAGGATGTCTTTAGGATTGTGCCCGGGTCTAGCGACCATCTCGATCGAGAAGTGCAGAGATTCAAATTGAAAGTGGGTACAGCCTTCGCAGCTGTTTCTGCACCATGGCTCACTTCTCCTTAGGTCTCCCGGCGACTCCTAGCCACAACAAGAGCGTGGCACTCCGCCAATGTTGTGCGAACGCGAGAAAAAGTTACATTTTTTCTCGGAGTGATGTCTTTATTTGTGACATCGTTGTTGTTCGGAATGGCTCCAGAGTGCGTCGCTGACTTCATTGGTGTGGTGGTTGGCTTCATGTTTTTGATAGGTGGATCCACATCGCGTACACCATCCAGGCTGCGTACTATCTTCCTATGCGCGTATACCTATACAAGAAGCGTCATTGGCATTACTTCCTCTTTGATCTCTGCTACTACACCAACCTCCTCAATTTTGTCTACATCTGGCTGCTTCCTGCCAACTCAGCTCTCTTCGTGGCCTGCTATTGTCTGTCACACGGATCTGTTGCGAGCGCTGTCATAACATGGAGGAATAGCTTGGTGTTCCATGACTTTGACAAAGTCACGTCCCTCTTCGTACACATCTACCCGCCACTCGTCTTCACGGTAATCAGGTAAATGATGTTGTTCACTGTGCGTTGTGTTATCACTCATCGCTACTCTTCATTTAGGCATTACTACGTTAATGCGGAGGAGCGCTTCCCAGCGCTTCTGGACCTGCCGCATCTCGATCCTATCCGATCCCTGCTTTTGAGCAGCATCATTTGTGTGTTCTTACTGCCCTGTAGTCCCGTGATCATTCATACTAACTGAATTATAGATCTTATTTGGCAACTGCTGTACTGGAAAGTGTGTCACTCAGCCGTTTGTGTATCCACATAGGCACTGAAGTTCATGTTGCAGTTTGTTTTCATCAATCGCCGTACAAAGATCCAATCAGGCCAGCGTGCGACATCCCTGACGTACCTTCTCAATGACAAACGTGGGGTGATTGGACGTACATTAGTCGCTGTCGCACCCGAACGTCGCGAAATATGGTTCATGATTGGCCAACTCTGTAAGAAGCTCCATGTCCATCCTCCTGAGCCATTACCTAACCTTTCACGCCCAAGTCTACACCATTTTGACCGAGCTCCCCGCTGTCTTCCTACTATACGACAGCTCATTCTGGAGTGGGACGTTCTTGATCTTTATTTTCGCCGTAAGCGTCTGGAACGGCGGCGGCTTCTACATTGAGGTCTTCGGCAGGAAGTACGTGCAGGACTTTCGTTGGCTATTCTGTCCCTGACTTATCGCATCAGGTTCGAACGTGAACTAGATGCACTACGCAAGGAACTGGCAGAAGTGACTGCGCGCTCAGAGCGATCAAGTCCGACTTTGGAGCCACAAAGCGATGACGACCTGGCCACCGTCTCCAGTTCGCCCGATATGTCCAAAGTGACGTCACCTGTTCTTTCCGCCACAGATCTCCCACTCGAGCCTCTTTCCCGGGTCTCTTCATGATGTGCTTTGTTTACTAGATATGACATGACGACCTTATACCGATGTTGCACAACTACGACCTCTTCAATGTGACGATCTCTATTTACGTGGATGGTGTATATGCTAGATCTAGACTAGTTTCTACTTGCTAGTATAATGATCCACTGTTATTGGCTACGATTACCTTATATTCATGATCACGCATCCGATTACAATCCTGAGGCCTGAGGCCTGAGCCCCAGTCAAAACCCCACCTTCTCAGGTCGGGCTAGAACGAAATAGAACGGTGTCTTCAACCTGCTTCGATATTACACGAGAAGAGGAAAATGAACGGTCCAGAACGAAATGAGTCGAACAAGATCGGGACGTGTTCAGTGCAAGATCGGATGTAGTCGAAGCCCATCGAACGGAACCGGGGGAGGATTTTTATATTTACTTGGCATTGCTACACTTTGATACACTTCAATATGCTTCAATCCACTTCGATTTGTACCGATACAATTTGATACAGTCCGATTTCTGTAGTTACTACCCCCAGCCACCTGCCGCCGCCGCCGCCGCCGCCGCCGCCGCCGCCGCCTCCCGCCCCCCGCCGCTGCCACCCACTGCCGCCGCTATCCACCGCCCATCCTATTGCCAATCCCACTGCCCATTGCCCCCCCCCCTCCCCCCCCCCCCCAATAGCTGGTACAACACCACGTCCAGGCATACATCCACTATCACCTGGTAGTGGCATGCAGTGGTCATGACAGTTAGCTCATGGGTGGAGATCTCGTAGGGGTTCATGTATGCGCAGTAGGGAAAATGCGGGAAGGCATTCATGGCTAGTGATGTGCCCGTTTATACAGGGCCACGCAGGCGCAACGCAAACAGGAACTTGCATCAGTGCGGCAGAGTGTTGGCGGAATCTCGGGCCTGCAATTGGCGTTGAATGCGTGCACCGGCGGCGGAAACTCAAACCTGGTTGGGAACTCGACGCGCGGTGTACCGGGAGGGACGAACGGCGCAGACGCGCACATGCACGACTCAGACTTGCATGTGGACTTGCAATGGCACCCTGCATTAGGCGGGAATGCGGACTCAGGTAGCAGGAACTCGAACCTGTGTGTGCATGGCACAGGGCGGGAACTCGGACTCACACGTGGGCGACTCGGACCTGTGTGACTCGAACCTGTGAGCACGCGATGGCCAGTGGTAGGAATGGGCGGAGACTCACCGCACACGGCATTGGGAGGGGACTCGAACCTGTCCACATGCGCGGGATGCGCGGGCAACTCACTCCCAGAGTGCTATTCTGCACCTTGCAACTTGTCAACAGTTTGTCCAGAAACTCGTCACCTACAGTGGATTGAATATTTGACATGATGGGCATAGTCAGAATTGTGCATCAGATTGAACCCTACACAGACTGGGGCTACAATCAGACCAGGACGATAAACTTACAACACTGTCATCCACTTGGCACTCGCAGAGGATGTGACATCGGGCATGCTGGATGCACCATTGGCCATTTGAAACCCGACATCGACTGCACAGGACCCGCTGAGGACCTGCTGTTATCGAAATCTGGCTTGACATGGCTCCTGCGGGTCGTTAGAGTCCGAAATAGGGGCTTAGCGAGAGCACCAAAATCTATAGGTTAGAAAGGTACTGGATTGGAAGTTTCGGCAGAATAGGAGTAAGCTTAAGTGATATGGCTGGTAAAAAAGATTACCAGGGTATCCACTGGAGGAGACAGTCGGGGCATGGAGTGGTGGATTGTAGGAAGGAGGAATGGCAACATTGAGCATGGCGAATCGTTGACAACGTCACATGACCATAGCTTTCGATGCTCTAAGGCAAGTCGGAATTTCGTTCATAGACCTCGCGCATTCGAACGTAGGTATTTCAAGGTGCTGATCTAAGAAAATTCTATGCACATCTACGAAATGTTGTCAAATTCTCAGAGCATTTTGTGAATGCTGATCGAAGGAAAATCGTGTGCAAGTGCTACTTTTCGGTCCACTTCGATTTGGTACGATAGTCCTCCTCGTGCGCCGTGCCTCTTCGATTTGTCCCGACCTGAGAAGGTGGGGTTTTGACTGGGCCTGAGCTCTTGCAAGAGAATGTTCGTTTTAGCGTGTCCGCGCGATATAGAATGCAGCAATTCAATAGCAAGGAGAAAAACATAATGCATGCGTCGCCCCGTTCGCCTGCATGATATCCAGGAACGATTTGAGCTATCTCCCATAGTACATTCTCCCATAGTACATCGCGACTAACATGGTCTAACGTGCCCAAAACGTAACGGGGCAAGCATTTTGTTCGTCTGGCAAAGTCGGACTTCGTGGGCAAGTGCACTGCGCTAGATGGTCGATGGGCCTGTACCATAATGGAGAGGTAACTGGACTCACCTTCCCAGTTGCTGGAGCACCATCACTGCACGGTTCGTGAGGATGTCCGATATTGCCCAACCTTTTTGAATGAGGCAATTTCACGTGAATGGTATTGTCTCCAAACGAACGTTTAGCAGAAAGCATCATGATGAACTGACACGTTGGTCGGAGGTAGGTATGTAGACACCATGGCTAACGGCCTAAGCCTAATATCGACCCTGCCGGCCTGACGCTGAAAATTCGAAACTCGAAGCGCCGAAGTCTGAAACTGAAACACGACGTCCGGAGGCATGCATTATCATGCCCTGGGCAACGTCGTACCCCCATAAAATAGGAGATGGTACCCACACCGTGCACCCTTTCCCTACCAGCGGCTTACGGACGAGTCATTTATGATGAATATGACGACAACGACCTGTCCTTGCTTCAACTCTGCGTGTTGCCGTGCTGATCAAGCCCTTCCTGAACAGTCGCAGCAGATTACACACTGTCTTGACTGGTTTATGAGGGAAACTTTGGAGGACTCACCAGAAGCGGCGAAGATCGCATGAGGTTGGAACGATCAGCATGGGACAGTGAGGCATGCATATGAAGCCCGCTTTTGCTGTTGAAACCTCGTCAAGGCGCCACCTGAATACCATATTCTCGGCATAATGACAACGTACTTGTACGATGTAATTCTTCCTTGGATTGTCCAATCCAAAACTCTCCCATTTGATGCCACTGCTCAACCACCCTGCGAAAGGACCAACGACTCCTTGTAGTACAGATTTCGCAGATTGATATTCGTACATTGATTGTTTGATATCAAAGTACGATTTCCTGTTGACAATTACATATTTTTAGATGACCGGGGTGAGTATGTTGTCAAAACGCGCACTGCTCCAGCTGATTACCTATCAGTGCTGCTATTCTCTCGCACAAATGAAACAATGAGACTTTTGACAGCTGTGGTCTAGTGTGGTCATAATCTATGACAATGTCGTGTTCATAGAGTGGGATGCGATAATACCTAAACTTCGGATTGTGTTGATGCTTCGGCGGTACTCCACGTTTTATGCCGTTGATGAGTACCTCTGCTGGATTCAAGGAGTCTCCAATCCAGCAAAGTGCTAGGTATGGAATATGCAGCGAAACCAAAACCCAGAATAGCAAGACACGATACACATACAATCGCTGCAGGAACTTGTAACACCCAAAGACGTCGATGAATGGATGAAAGGAAGCTGAGCGAACCGGATCGCCGGCTTATTGATGTTGAACCGTGGTGGGAGGGAGTCTGGTGCTGACCGGTTGGTGAGCGACTACAAGCTGTCCAGAGAATCACCCACGGTGGAGAACATCGAGTCTCTTCCAAAGCGCCCTTTCACAATCTTCCTTGACCATACTTTGCATGCCAGCGTCCACTTCACCAATCACCAGCGTAGCGATGTACAATGGGTAGAGGAAGTTGGAGGCAAGCGCGCCCTGAAAGCCGAGTACATTCCAACGTGCAATCTTATCGCTACAAGACATGCAAAGTGTCGAAGGAGAGTCGGCACGCCCCGGCTTAGTGCGTAGCACACCGTAAAGAGAGTAGTTGTTTCGACCTCGTGCAGGTGTGTTGGGCGGAGGCGGTGAGGAGACCGCTGAATCTTTCAATTCAGCCATCTCCTGGCCTTGAAACGACGCTAAGAAGCGAACGGAAGCGTCACCACCTTCACCTGCATCAGGGGTCTTGCATGAATCGTAGATCGAGTAACTCACATGGGACGGTTGAAATGTACATATGCACTTGAACGTCGCCGTTCATTTCATATTTTCCCTCTACATTACGTTTAATCCAAGGAGAATCAAAACCACCAGAATGTGTTCGCTGAACTTCCTCGAGAAACCAACGTACTGCGCCCCTTCGGGCCAGCACTTCAGCGTGGCTGTCGTGCAGTGCGTCGCCTTCGTCAGAGAATTTGGAAGTCGGAAGGCATTTCGAGCCAGTAGCAAGAGATATCACTTTTAGAAGCTCTCCCTTTGACAATACAAATGACGCCAATATCGTGTACTTCCCGATAGGCACCCTGAAGTTCAATGAAGAGTAGACCCCGAACGCTGCCGCAGCTACAGAATCGGAGGAAATCGAGCACCCGGACATGCGAGACACAGTGCGGCCTGAAGGATATGATGGGATGTGCGAGTTTCAGTATCTCAGCATCACTCTGAGATGGGAACCCAGCGAGAAGAAGTCGTGGGGTGTTGACTCGGACCGCAAGCAGATCCTGGACTGAAGGTGTCATTCCAGATATGGTATCTATGTAAGAACGTGTGAAGTTTGACTTAGCAGCGAGCTTGCGAGCATCTAAGTCAAACTAGTGCTTACTAAGCGAGAAGCTGAATGCGGGAGGACACCAGCGTCTACGTTGTCTTCCTCCTCCTCCGCATTCAGCTGTCTCGCCGAGCCGTTTTTTCATCCTGGTGTTATCAACACGCACGATCTCCACGATCTGTCAACCATGCCTCAAAGTGGACCTCCCGCAGGTGTGCCGGGCAAAGACATGAGCCTATTCGCGGGCGATGGTGAGAGATCAGTTGGGGGGAGTAGAGGCACGAGGCAGCCAGCCTCGGAAATAGCGGCCTCTTCGAGCGAGAAGCGGCGCCGCAATGCGGAAAGGGCTAGCCGGAGAGAGGACGGCGAGGACGACGTGAGCGACGACGAGTCCGTAGACTTCCCTGAAGGAGAAGAGAATGATCCAGAGGCGATCGAGACGCAGCTCGGCGGTGTACCGCAGCCTACGACACCCGAGAAGAGCATTGACAATCACACCTTACTGTCCCAGATCTTAGAAATGACACCGCAGAGCCAGAAAATTGCTCTCGCGATGTGGCAGCAAGGACATAAGTCCCAGAAGTCAGGGAAGCCCACCAACGCATGCATAGAGGGTCCCCCGCTCACAGTCCTCTCCGAAAAGAAGATCGGACTCTTTTCCGCGCGGATGGCGCAGCCGCACCCACAACTCGCGGTGCTGCTTGTGAACGGGCACCACTTACCTCTCTCTCTGTGCACCACGGCGACTATCCAAGACATCTATCACAACCCTGAGAAGCTGCACTTTAAGAAGATGTATGACCTCCAGGGAACGAAGAAGGAAATGGTCGATGTAGAGAGCTGGGCCAAGACCGAGCACAAGATGCAGCCGGAGGAGTGGCGGGACGCGTGGCGCCATTTCATGGGTATTCTAGAGCGTGTTTGCGACAAGCCCCTCCAGCGGCGTTTTGCTGAGCATTTCACATGGCTTTCCGAGCGGGAGGACTTCACGGAATCTTTCCCGACTGTCCTCGCATTCGACATCGACATTCGACGTGCTTACTTCATGTCCTCAGCACCATTCGAAGTGGGATCCACCGACTATAAGGAGCATTTTGTGCAGGTTCAAATGCGATCCCTTCGTGAACTCGCATCACAGGTGGCGGTGGCAGCAGCGGTGCCCAGCCGTGGGCGCTTCGACTACAGACGCTCCCCACCCGATGCTCCTCCTGAGGCTGCATCTGCCTCCGATAAGCCCTTTCGCGGGGGCAGGGCACCCACATCCGCCGGTGTGCTCTGCCTTATCTGCGGCGAGAGCGGACACCGGGCAAACGCCTGCGTGCGAACCACAATGCACAGCGGCAAACCCGTCTTCTCCACCTGGTCTGACAACCGACTCCTCGTCTATTCAACACGAGCAGAGCTGTGTCTCGGCTGGAATGTGCAAGGAAAGTCTCCCTGCAAGGGCCGTTTCTGCCCCGGAACAGGTGGACATCGCTGCTCCTTCTGCGGTTCCAGCGGTCATACCGCTACGAGTAAGCGGTGCCTCTGAGCGCGATCACATCATCACACCATACGACGCCGACGCCTTCGAGTCAATCCTTCGCCATCTCGGCCTTTTTGATCGCTATCCGTCACTTCCATACAAACTTCGTTACGGCTTCCCCATCGGCACGTTTGATACTCTTCATCGCACCTTTGCTCCGCCCAATCATTCATCTGGCATAGAGCATATGTCCTTCATCAAAGCATATGTCTCCGAGCAAGTATCTCTTGGACGCATGACTGGTCCATACATGAAGGACCAAGTCGAAACAATCTTGGGATCACACTTCGTCTCTTCACCTCTCGCTGTCGTCCCCAAAGCGGGCTCGAAGAAATTCCGTCTTGTCCAAAATTGCTCTTATAAAGATGAATTTGGTGTGTCCGTCAACAGCCAAATTGACTCCGACGATTTTCCCACAAAATGGGGTACCGCAGCTCAGGTGGCCGAAATTGTGAGTGCCGCTCAATTATCTCCTGCCGCGTGAACTCGGGCAGCTCTATTTGGGAGGGGTGCACGTCCGGTCTCCGGTGCCCCCACCGTCTGCGCTGCAGATCACCCTTCCGGTCGCGGAGGGTGCACAATTGCCATGCCCGTCCGGTCTCCGGGGCCATGCGGGCGCTGCCCTATTATTAACTCGTTGCGGGAGCTTGCCACTGTCTGCAAAGTTCTGACCGCTCCTGCCTTGGTCTCACAGATTGCTGATGCACCGCGCGGTGCTCAGGCTGCATGCCTTGACATTGACTCTGCCTTTCGCAACCTTCCCATCCACCCGCCTCACAAAGCCTTCCTCGTAATTCAGTGTGATGCGGGACAATTCTACATTGACCACGTCCTACCATTTGGTGTGTCGTCTGGCACAGGTGTGCAAGGTGAGCCAATGGATGCTATTGTGGACATCCTCGCAGCACATGGGATTGGCCCTTCTCGGAAGTGGGTGGATGACCTCATCAATTTTCGTTTTCCACTGTCGTGCACGGGCACCGATAGTGACCCCTTCAGATATGCATATGGTCTCACGGACATCTTTCGAATCACCACTCCACTCGGCGTCCCGTGGCATCAAACAAAGTTATCCGATTACTCCTACCATGCTGTTTACAGTGGTTTCCTCTGGGACATCGAGCGCAAGTATGTTTCCTTGCCTGAGGAGAAGCGAGCGAAGTATCTCTCGAAACTCGAAACCTTCCTTGTGGCATTAAGCAGAGGCCGCGTATCGCAGCACGATGCCATGTCTATTAATGGCACGCTCTCACATGTCACCTTCGTCTACCCTCACGGCCGGGCTTTCCTCACCAACCTCTGCACATTTGTCGCATCATTTAAGAACCGCTTCGCACCACGCTATGCCCCACACTCAGTTACCTCTGACATGCGTTGGTGGCATACCACCCTCTCAGTTCCTGATGTTGGTCGTTCGCTAACTTCACGAGGCCCGCTGCAAGACGTTGGTATCTGGGTGGATGCCTCCTCCAGCTGGGGGATTGGCATTATTGTCGAAGGCCAGTGGAGCGCCTGGCGCTGGCGCGGTGAGCCAGGTTCCTGGAAGAGCGATGGACGGGACATTGGCTGGGCCGAAATGATCGCGGTCGAGCTTGCAGTGCGAACTGTCGAGGTGCTGGGTCACCGTGATGCAAATGTCCTTATCCGGGGGGACAACCAGGGCGTACAGGGTGCATTTACACGCGGCCGTAGCCGAAATTTCCAAGTCAACGCCTCTATACGTCGTGCTGACATAATCTCCATGTCCCTCAATATTCTTTTCACTGTGCGCTATGTTAACACTAAAGACAATTTGGCGGACCGAGTCTCTCGCGGCGACCCGGATCCCTCAATGTCTCGTCGGCTCCCATCCTTTATGCTCCCCGAGGAGCTCACTTTCTTTCTGGTTGATGCCTAAAGTGTCAGCATCGAACACTGCGCCTGCACGTGCCGGCGCGTCGTCCAAGGCGAGGGAGCCTGCAGCCACCTCGGCTAAGGTGATCACTGTAGCTCCCTCGTCGCGAGCCTTGGCCCGACAAAAACCTAGACAGCCGCGTTCCAATAATCAGATATCCCTGTCATCCTTTCGTCCTCACGTTCTTGCTCGTGATCGTCTCGAGCTCTGGACGACACCTCACGCACTTCGGTTCCGAAAGATTCTTTCCACGCACACCTCTCTCGACTCTTCTGTACAGCTCTCGAATGTCATGCTCTCATCCCTTGATGTCAATACCCGCAAGAATTATGGCGCGGGACTGCTTCGTTTCACTCAATTTTGTGATTGCCTGGGCATATCCGAAGAACTACGCATGCCCGCCCCAGAGCCCCTGCTTGCCGCATTCATTGCAAAATGGAGTGGGCTCGTTGCTCGTACCACCGTCGACAATTGGATTGCTGGTCTCTCATTCTGGCATGCCCTACATGGTGCTGAGTGGCACGGTGCCAAGATGCTCCGCATCACCTGTTCGGCGATCTCGAAGGCGGCTCCCGCAGCGAAGCCGAAGCGCTCGCCAGTCACAATTGAGCACCTCTATGCCCTTCGTGCCCACCTTGACCTCTCAAACTCCTTTGACGCTGCCGTTTATGCTACTGCGTGTGTGGCGTTCTGGTGCTGTCGCCGGTAGGACATGCTGTCTAAATCCTTCGCATGGTACCTTAGCTGATATATAATACAGCCTCGGGGAACTTGTAATACCTTCCGTGGGTACCTTTGATCCCATCAAACATGCCATCAAGTCATCCACAGTCCGTTTTTGCATGGCCCCCGGCGGTGCTGCCTACGCCTCGTTCCACATCCCGTGGACCAAGACCACTAAGCAGCTTGGTGCTGACATCATCGCTACCGAACTCGGCGACCCCTCATCTGCCGTCGTCGCACTACGCCATCATCTACAGGCCAATGCTGGTGTGCCTCCTAGCGCACCGTTCTTTGCCTTCGAAACTGCCGATGCATCTGGCTGGGCCCCCATGACCCGTGACTGGTTCCTAGGTCGCTGCAATACTGTCTGGGAGAGCGCGGGTTTCGAGCAGCTGACCGGGCACTGCTTCCGCATTGGCGGCGCCACTGAGCTTCTACTTCGTGGCACACACCCGGACGTTGTTGCAACGCAGGGCGGTTGGAAGTCGCGAGCCTTTCTCGAGTATTGGCGCAAAATTGAGTCCATTCTTCCTCTTTTTATTTCCAAGTCTTTCGATCAATCTCGCCTGCAGCTCGCTAGCAATGCAATGGACTCCTTCCGCAAGAAATACCACCTGTAGCCATATCTTGTACCATAAGCTTGTACTGCTGTTTATCCTACTGCCCCTTATCAATGCACTATTAATATACCGAGTTTATTCCCGCTGCGGATCACTAGCCCTGGGTTGGGGAAGTCGGCGGCTTGCGCTGAGTCACGACTGCTGTGGGCTGCGCTCCTTGGGTGGTTAGCCGTGTTCTCAACGACTCTCCGCCGCTTCACGCTCGAGTTGGATTCCAGCTTCCTCTCAGCTCAAGCTCACATCACGTACAACGCCTGCCTCGCCGGTTAGATCGCCTGCGTCGAACATCCGCGCACACTGCGGCATCATCAGGCGCTGTCCCTTTGGCGGTTTCCCCGCACTCGTGAGCTCGAGCCTCTTCGCAAGACGCGGAATCCACCTCTCCCCAACCCAGGCTACTAGCACTAAGCAACGAACGCGTCAAGTGAGTTGCACAGATATATTTGTCTAAGAGCTCAGTACACGAGCACTTAGGAAGCCCCCTCACCCACGATTCTCCCTCAATCTCAGTGTCACGGCTTCTGCATTTACATCAAGTCTCACGATGATTTATATATCTAGAGGTGCGTGTACTCAGACGACGCATCAGTCAAGCATGATGTCGAATTGACGTGCTCTTCAAGTTCTCAGGGTGAATGTAAGCCGCCGCGGACGGCTATAGTTTACCATTTGCTCTTGAGCTTCTTCTTCCAAATTCAAAGCCAATCCCTTTGTGTCAACTCACCCTCTCCTCACCCGCTATCTAACGCTCTCGAGCCACTCCGTCTGTTGTACGTCAGGTACGTCACGAGATATTTGGACAACCCAGGTCATTCTGGTCACAAACGTTCCTCTCGCAGATCCAACTCATGCGACTTCTCGAGGGTCAGTCGTGTCCTCAAGAGCTTCTGCAGTGGACACGCTTGATCCGGAGAGTGCTGGCGAGGGCCCACATGCCCGACCACATGCAAAACATGCGCAGAGCCTCAGGCCGACGCTCCACTATTGACAATTTTGATCTTGCATCCATTCCTGGTGGCGTTTCTTTAATTTTTGGACTGTCACGTGCCTCGGGTAGAGTCTAGAAGTCGCGTTGTGTGAGCGTTCATTCACTTACTCGCCAGGAGATGATGTCAATCGCCTAGTATGTCACGTAGCACAGCTTAACGTGTTGGCCTCAATCACTGCACAGCCCGCGGCAAGAAGCTCACACTGAAAGGCGAATGTGAATAATCACTATCAACCGTATCTGTCGTCCATTCCTAATATCATACAGATAGTAATACTTCTTCAAGTCAAAGGGAATAAGGACAAGTTACAAAGATTTACAAGGCATGTTTGATCAACCCAGGGACCAAATTGTGCGGTAAAACAAGAGATCCCACAACATCCACAAGTCGCGTCAGGGCACAATACAAGTTCCAACTTAGTGTCTTCACATCGTGGACAACACAGGCTGCCAGACCCCGAAAGAGACTTCTTCCATGTGGTACAGGATGACTTGATCCCATGGGATAGGTATCATATTCGCCTACGAGAGAAGCAAACAGCAATCAGGATGTTTCATTCCCGGAGGGCATAGGATGACGGAGGCGGTTATTCACCTGTAGATAGTGCACGCAAGCACGAGCAATTCGTCTCGCAAGGGTCTGTAGTTCTACATAACCGTCGTAATCATCCACGGGGAGCTCGTATGTCATTGAACCGTAGCCAGTCCACTGGAATGGAATTATTCAGTAATGGCTTCGAAGAAACATTCGTAAAGTGATACGTACCCGCAATCTCAGGATAATCTTGCCTCGGTGGTCTGCGTTCAAATCATAGTGGGTCAAGGAATTGTTTCCCGACAACATAACGTTCGCCATGGCCTCCCCAAGCGTAACACCTGAATGCGCTGAGCCCTTGCGCTTGAATTTGATCAATGTCGAGCTGTTGCGATGGTACGAATCGAGCGGAATACGTCCGTGTCGGGACATCGACGAATGACGTCGACGGTGCATTGCAGGAGCATACGGCGTCCCGTACGCACCGTCATGGTATGAATCTCCATATTCCGTGTCGTCGTAAAGAAATTGTTTTCAACAACCTTATGCGAGCAAGAATATGTCGCACCTCCAACGGGATGGTATCGACTAGCGACGCGTTGCTGACCATAGATGGGATACGCCGGCTGGGGATAGTTCTGTCCGGTTGAGCGTGAGATGAAGCATAACTCGTTACTATGCTCTCTCGCCTACTTCTCCATATAATCCTGGAGTTGCTGCTCGGTCATATCCGTGTTGACCGTAGGGCCCAAAGGGTACGGACTGGCGACGAGGAAAGGCGAGCTGGGTCTCGTATGCAGGATAAGTCATAGCAGTGGCGAGAAGTGTCAGTGGAACAGCGGAAAAGAATCTGCGAGAGGGAATCTACATGGACCGCATTTTATAGAACAGGCGTGGGGATGGCGCGTGTCTCGGTCCTCGGATGACAGACGCCTCTGCCTCAAGGATGTCGCCCAGTAGCAACAATGCACACGAGAAGGATCAAGTATATCAGCAATGACGCTCCTCATCTTCCGCATCCCTGATGATCCTCCTAACTCATGACCACAACCAGGTCAGGCGGAGAGCAGCTGAACTTGATAATGTGGACTGCGACCCATGCGACTGGACAGAGCTGAGGCGAGACGCATAATAAAAAAATCAAAGAGAACAGGTGCGAAAATATTGCTACGGATGTGTCTATGTAGTCGGGAAAGCCCTTGATTTCGGAGTCGAACTGACACTGCGGTAAGTGTGCAGGTCTGCAGCAGCACTCGCTAATGTGGTACATACATCGCGCACTGAGAGGAGCTCGAGCCTTGCGCGTGGCTCAAACGTCACATAACGTCACAGGTGCATGCATGAAACGAAGTGATATGAGCACGGCAAGGAGCTGTGAGTGGCCACAGGCAGGCAGTCACGAACCTGAACTACTCGTCCACTTTAGGACGAGCGCGTAGAGGATCTGGGTTTCCGGATCTGAACTCAATTCAAGTGCAGCGACTTTCTTGGTCTGTGGCTATTAGATGATGTGACCTTTCCTGCCCACAAGTTGGGACGTACTTTTGGGGCAGTCTTGTTACGACAAGCCATAACAATGTCTGGAAGCGACTGGTCGGATGTGTTAGAGCCCTCATCTCCTGAAGATGGCAGCAACTTCCGACGCAGCCTTCAAATTGACATGAAGGGACTAGTTGGTGACGCTGTTGGAAACGTGAGTCTCTGACAGCTTTCTGTGGACTCATAGTCTCCGGTGCTAGTGGTATTCTTGGATTCAATCCTCTTTCAATGTCTTCGTCTAGGGTTGTAAAGACATGGAAGAAGCGGACTGAGACAATTTGTTTGTGATGTCGACAGTGACCTGTCTCTTCAGGTTTGAAGCTCTAATAAAGCATGTTATGACAGATGAGTATCAGTCCTGGAAGCAGAGATGTGGTGTTAGCTGCGTATGTACACCGTTCAAGTTTGTCGTTTGCATTCACGTTCCAATTGCTGTGGCAATAGGCGAAAAGGGCTCTTCATCATTGACTTGGAAGCACCACTCAATGTACCGCGGTTTGTTTATTCACCTCCCTCCCGGGCATCCGCAGCTCAATGTTTTGACTAGATTTCTCCCACAGGGTGGTACATGGGATGTTGCCGACGTCCAGTGGAACCCTCATTTGACTCGCAGCGAATACATAGTCTCTACTTCAAACGAGAAGCTGTGAGTTTTAATCCAGACATCTTGAGGTTGGTCCTGATGGGCTTCTGAAGGCTCATATGGAATCTGCTACTGGGCGGTAAAACTTCCATTGAGCACGTCTTGCGGTCTCACTACCGTGCAATCACCGATATCAATTGGCACACAACTGATCCTGACGTCGTAGTCAGCACAGGGATAGACTCTTGGCTTTGGGCCTGGGATCTCAGGACGCCTCAGAAACCTGTTATGGGTTAGTAGCCTGGCACGTACTGGTGCCGCAGTCGCTCACAATGGTGCTGTCTTAGGTCTTTGTGCTTTTGGATGTACGCAGTGTATTTTCTGCGTATATAAATGGTCCTGAACCGGTTGTGGTAGCTGGCGGAACGCAGGTTAAATGGAATCGCCAAGATGGGAACCTGCTTGCATCTTCCCACTTAAACGAAGTCTTCTTATGGGATCGGAGGGTAACTATACTCGCTCTTCAAGTTTATGCCTTTGTAGTGAAGATGCAATCCAGAAAGGGTCACTTCCAGTCTCCCGTATAAAAGCTCATAATGCCAAGATATACGGCATCGATTGGGCACACGGCAGACGCAACGAGATTGTAACTTGCTCTCTCGACAAGACAATCAAGATATGGGACACACAGACGTCTGAGCCCAAGATCACCATTCGCACTCGATATCCGGTCTGGCGAGCTCGTGACCTCCCTTTCGGCCGAGGTGTCCTCAGCTTGCCGCAGAGAGGGGAGACTGCACTTGAGCTGTTTGCTCACGAGGATTGTCACACGCCAATCGAGACTTTCGAAGGTCATACAGATGTGGTTAAGGAGTTTGTCTGGCGCAAGGGTGGACAAGGTTCATTTTTCATTTCTCTTCACTGTTAGACGCACAATGAATGTTCGTGTTTTTAGATGGATCAGAGTTTCAGTTAATTACTTGGTCAAAGGACAAAACCCTTCGTTTCTGGCCAATGGACATTGAGGTAATGCAGGTAGCGTTTCGGATTGTCGTACTATGAGCTATGCTCATAGGAGTCTTCGGCAGAGAGCGGGTACAACTCCTACACCTCAGTCGATCGCTGCTCTGTCACGTCGTGAAGAGTTGAAGGTATCCTTCAGCAATCCGCCTACAGGAACTGATTTCCCTCCTGCTTTGTCTGCGCCCGTTGGTCACCGGGCGATCCTGGCCGAAATACGTGCACCTTTTCCACCTCGGGCGGCCAGAACGAGCACCGCCATGTCGCACGCAAAAGCTACTGCGCGCTCCCCGGAAGAGGAGCTCAACTTACGATCCTCGATGCCGCGGTCAAGACCTGTCCTTATTGCGCATGGAAGGGGAGGGACCATGACTCGTGGTCATGTTGGGGGACGCTCTGCTCAGATTAACACCTTCGCATGGTTGTCGAGTGTCAAGGTTGGTGGGACGAGAGAAGGAAGTTCTGGCCCCGGCAGCAGTGGAGAAAATGGGACTGCCTCTCGGTTGGAGTCAAGATCGAGACCGCCATCTCTTCCAGGTAGGTCAAACTCACAACCTCTGTCCGGTACGCAGAGAAGCAGTGATGCAAGAGACAACCGCGAGGATGATCACCGGGAGGGAGAGCCCGGACAGTCACTGCAGGATGAGTGAGTGCGTCAATGCCCAGCTAAATATCTTGTTCGCTCAGGGCTGCTTAGGATCACATCCGTTATCAATAAGCTAACGACATCCAAGGTTAAGCTCGAAAAGGTATGTCATCACACGAGCTCTTCAAGGACATGACCAGACGTCGCGTAGGCCGATCTGACGAAGAAGAGGACGTGTACCTTTGGTTTGCACGGCCCATGGGGCGACTCCACATCTGTATTCATCCGGGTTTCGTTCACCTTCCCTCGAGACTATCCTCAAGCGGCTTACCCTCATGGCATTCCTATGGTTGACCTCGAGCGGAATCCTCTCATCTCTATGAACAGTCGCGCTTTCATTCTTCGTCGTCTTCGAGCCATCCGAGAGCGCCAGAGGCCTTGTCTTGAGAAATGCCTGCGATTTCTACTCGTTGGTGACGACAATGGAGATATTGGCAGACATATAGGATCAGATTCAGAGTCTTCGTCGGAAGACGAAGTACCCGCGGCATCGCGCAAATATCGAGACTTGACTTACTCGCTGCTACGGAGTGACAAGAACCTCGCTGAGCCGCGCACTTCACAGGGGGTCTTCGGCGTGAATGGTGAGTATCAGGTTCGATGCTCCATTCTTTATGCGTCGCTGTGTACTAATGTGCTACAGGCGAACTCGTGTGCTTCTTCCGAGCACCACCGCGCATTGTGCGGAATCCGATGCAAGAAATATCTGTCTCTCCTTCGATCGCTTCTCGTGGCCAAGAAAATTCTCCGCGCCTATTCCAGTCGCCTGCCTTGCTATCGGATGCTGTTCGTCATCTCCGCTTCGCGGCGCACGACCGTGAAACTGAAGACACGGAAGTGAAAAGGCCCGAAGACGTAAACAACATCCTCCGTATCATGAGTAACTTATTCACTTTTTCGCAACACAAGCCTATGAGGGTCTCAGCGTCTCATGAAGACATACCTACTAATTACTCATTACTCCCTACAAGGCGGAGTACAGTATTCATCAAGAAGACCCCTTCACTTGTCGGCATTGATACAGCTATCGCTCAGGAATACGAGCTTACCGCTGCAGACCCGGCAGATCTGTGCAAGAAGAATGCTGAAATCGCTCGTCTGCGAGGCCGCGTCGACCACGAACGGGTATTCAAGCTTATTGAACCCGTGATCGCTAATGCATCTACATGTCTTATGAACCTGGATGAACTGTCCGCTACGACGTGTAGTAGTCGCGGTTCTCTGGCCATCAGGCTTGTTGACAAATTGTGAGTTATCCGCCAATCTCGCTCGAGCACGATGACACTCATGACTTCCTCAAGGTACAAAGAGCTGGCAGCCACCAAAGACATACAAATGTTGGCAATGATGTCTGTGCTGCTGCTATGGACGTCTACCTTACGTAAGTCGCAGTGGTGGCCTGAGAATACCCAGCTTATTTGTAGTGCAATAGAGAGCCAATCAGACGTCATCGTGCATACTGATTCCTCGCGTCTATATGCGGGCGTTGTATATCCGCAGAAGCTTAGTTTACCGGATCCCTCTGGTCGCAATAGTTATCAGACCCGTCGGAACCAGTCTTTTTCGCCAATCTGGACTCGCCCCTCTCCGTCTCCAACCTTTCAACCGCTCGCTCCTCCACTCTCGTCGCCATCTTCTTCACGAGGCTCTTGGTCAAGTTTGTTTAATGCCAGTAGTATGCGGCAGTTAGTAGCTGGTACATAGAAGTTGTACTAATTGGTTTCAATGGGTGCTCTGACTGGGTGTTTAATAGGTTCTCGTACTGGAGGCGCAGTCCCTGTTCCTGTAGCGGGCAAGTTGCAACGCGGCTTCTCATCTCCTTCTCAGGGATACAGCAAGGAGTTCCTTCCCCCGACTTCGCCTACCACCAAGTCCTGGTCTGAGGCTACAAATATTTCGGACATGATGTCGGCGGTTGCTTTCTCATCTGCTGGACACCCACGTCGACCAACGTTCTCGCAAGTACTCTCAACGCAGCCAACGCCAGCGGATAAGAGGAAACTTGTTCTTAATCTCGTGAAGACACCGCAACATCTGTCAGCATTCACGTGTGTATCTGCTACCAATGCTGACCCGTCTTTTGATAAATCAGAGGATCCTTGCAGTCCCAGCTGCGTAATCAACTGCTATGTCATACCTTGGTATATGCCGAGATGCTGCTTGCTTGGGAACTTCCTGACAAGAGAAACGAGCTATTGAAGCTCATCGAAGGAGAATTGGTAACGACCGCGTTAAACCCTCTTATCGTCGAAAACACGCTGGTTCTCGATCAATTGGGTAAGTTCTAACTTTGATACGAACTTCATCATGCTAATAGTCTAGCTTCAGGACAAGCTCACAATTGTGAACAGGTGAATGAGATGAATAGCGCAGCCTCTGTTTGTGCAAGCCGTTCAAAACTGGCACGTTGTACCATTTGCCGTATACCAGTAAAAGGTATGTGATGTCTTGCAAATTTACGAAGTTTATGAGTGACTTTGGTGATGGTGGCGCAGGTCTATCATTTATTTGTCCCGTATGTCTTCATGTCACGCATGTCGCCTGCTGGGAAGCACGAAGAAGTGTCTCCTGCGCTACGGGTTGTGGGTGTCAGTGCACCACTCAAAGCAATAAATTGCTCGCAGATGTACTTTCGTTGTCACCATTATGGATAGCTTCGACTTCCATTAGGTAATATCGGTCGTAGCACCTGCCAATTGAATATCTCCTTAACGAATTGGTTTGCCTTGAAGTCTCTGCACTGTATCAGACCACAACGGGTGCTATAGCTATGCGCACATTCCAGGAATGTAACTTATCAGTGTCAGGACTGACATTAGCTTGCCAATTGCTGGCGATCGAGTCTCGGTAGACCCGGCACTAAGCGACAGCAACTTGTGGCAGCGCGACTCCAAGACACAAGGCGAGTAGCTGTATCCAATCGTTAGAGACGTAGGAGCGGGAGAGAATGGTTGGCAAAAAAATCGACCGTACTGTACACGCCCAACCCTCGATGGGATGGGCCGACTCTGAGCAATTCAGGGAGATTTCGGCTTATGAAAGCTCTGGCGGCCGGGCTGTACAAGATCTGGCGACCAGCTGATTGGTCATCGCCTGGACAGGACATCCCGCAGTCAGCTCCGCAGGATATGTCCAGCCAGCTTCCGGCCTTGCCCCGAGATCGGGCTGGAATCTACTCACCATCGGGCCATATTCTTTGTGTTTGGGCATCAATCGTAGTAGCCAGAAGCTCAGATGCGCCTTACAGCTATCCTCTCGTATTTTTCAATCGTCTTCAAGCCAAAATTTAAGTGCTCTACCCAAGGAGAGAATGGACTTCAGTGTTCTCGAGCCAATGCCCAAGCCGAACGCGCCGTTGCGGAATCTCAAATGTGCCGTGATGGCCCATTTTCCTGATGGCTCGTGCGCGCTTGCCTTTTCAACACCTTTCCTTCCACCACTGCCACGTTAACGTCAAGGCCTCCCCTCAAAAGCAGTTTCAAGGTGAGCTGGCCTAACACCACACTATGATCCATGGCCCGACGGTGAGTCCTTCACTCTAATACTTGATCGTTTCTCCACAGGACCCGAAGCAGGTGCAGGGTGCATGATGTTTTTTCTGATATCCTTCTCACATTGTGAGGTTTGTTACTTTCCTGGTGTTCCATTCATGTCCAGCACTCAGCCATTCACAATATATTTTGTAGGGCTGTTCCAATCATCACCAGTGAGTACACATCACATGCTTGCTCTGCTCTGCCAACTGATGCTCGTGTCAAGTGTTTTTGATGGAACTGCAGCACGGACGGTCTGGATTTGTGTCTGCTAATAGAGGATGACTATACAGACTTGTTTTGTAGAATTATTCTGTACCTACATACAGAGTGTCATGCAATATATTTCTGAAGTTCTGAACATCTATATTTTGAACCAATGTGTTACCCCAATTCGCAGCGGTAGAATGAGCTGCAGTGCCAATGATACATCTGAAACATGGGTTGCCGAGAAAGAAGACGAAATCTCGCGTAAATTTGAGCCCAGCAGGCCGTCTGGGGCTTGTGTGGGCAGTCCGCTTGGCCAGACCTTGTCCGCTCAGCTGCTGGCCAGATAGCTCTTGGCCAAGGGTCTGTCCATATACGATTTCACTCTCGGAATCACCTGGCTGGGTGACTCCCACGACCTCGGCGGGGCGCTCTGGCAATGTGACACAATTCAGCCGATTATCAGCCCTTCACAAAATGGGCATGTAGGCGGCTGTATGGTACCAATGTTGATGAGTGCACACCCGACACAAACACCTAAACCCAACTAAAACAAAACGAGAAGCAGGGTCGCTCTGTGTGTGAGGGAAGGGCGTCACAACTGTAAAATAAAGCAAGTGGGTCCCAGAACCTCGACCTAAGCCAAAGGGGGATGCAACCTGTAAAGAAACGAGGGCTCGCAACATAAACGCGAAGTCAGGCGACAATTTATGACAAAGTCACGAAAGTCGAAGGTAGGAAGCTAAAGTCGCGATGTGATCGCCAAACTCGTAGGCGAAGGTGAACTAAATCACAAAAGGGGAAGGGAACTATCTGTGGGGGTAGAACGCTATGGGGGAATGCAGTATTCGCCTTCTCGATGAAGTCACAGTCAGTCTAACGCAAAAGTCGGATTAAGACTAATGCAGATCGCTATCGCTATTTCGCTATGTCGCTATTGCAATGTCGCACTTTGCTATTGCAGTTGCAGTACGCAGTCTCAAAGTATAGCAGTGTCGCTATGTCGCAGTGTTGCAGTGTTGCAGTGTCACTATGTCACAGTGTTGCAGTGTTGCAGTGTTGCTATATCGCAGTGTTGCAGTGTCGCTATGTTGCAGTGTTGCAGTGTCACAGTGTCGCTATGTCGCAGTGGGGTATATCGCAGTTCGAAGTTGCTATCACAGTAAACGCAGTTTCTCGGTGATCTGAAGTGAAGGGGGAAGTCTCCTACTGGTCTTCGATGATAATCGATGTAGATACAGCAGGTATTTATAGAGGGGAAAATGGGGGAGGTGAAATGCGAAAGTCGCAAAATGTCAGAAGATGTATCCTGACATTAGAGAGAGTCGCAATGGTCTAGGACCAATGGAAAAATAGGTAAAGGGTGTGGAGAGGTGAATGTCATACGTTAGCGATGGAGAAGAACGGTAAAGTAGAGGAAAATTGAAAGAAAACATATGTTACTTGTCCTGAACCACATGGAACACTCTAACGGCATCTCCGGTCCAGCACAAAGGTAGGAGTTTTAAAGAGGAAGGTTGAACGATAAAGGGAATGAGATTTGCAAAGGAAGAGGTCGCGACCGTTGTGCAACACTGATAAGTCGGCGCAGCGAACCAGCGAGTCGGTGCAATGTCCAGAAAGGTGGCGCGATGTTGGGGAAGTACGGACTTAGACGGAAATCGACCAGGGCGCATCGAACTAGACCAAAGGACAACGGGTAAGTGGTATCCGACTGCGAGGAGATGCAAGAGTGGCGTATGAGTGACGAAAGAATGTCGAATCTCGGTGCGAAGTTGCGAGGAATCGAGCAAAGTTGAACGAAGTTGCGCGAAGTCAGAAAGTTCACAGAAGATCGTGAAAGGGTCGGATGCATCTTGAAGGCTAAGGGATAGAGTAGTGAGGTATGAGTGATCACTGGAAAATGCATTTTCAGAGGCCAGGAGGTCTGAGAGCATATCAACATCACAGGTCACAGGCCCTCCAAAAGTTGCTTGGCAGACTTAGATGTCATCACAACGGGTTGTTGTCATCGGGAAGTCAGTCCAAAAAATGCATTTCACGGGTCCTCTTGACTTTCCGTGGACTGTACAGCTGTAAGTACTTCAAATGAGACTTCTTCTGGCACCCAAATTCAAATATCTTCATTCTCGTCAGTTCCTCCCTGCAGCCTACCATCACACTCAGTGACAGTGTCCGCAATGCTGAGTAGTGCTAACGAGCTGGCGCTGAGTGATAGATCAGTGCCCAAGGTTTTATCGTCTGCCACAGTGGCATGAATCCATTCTGAACTGAAGTATTCCATCAGTTGTGGTGACGCACTGTTGCACACCAGTGTCACAGGTTACACACTCATTGTTGCGAAGTCATATCCAAAGCTAGGTGTCACACGGCCGATGATGTTGGTACCATACAACCGCCTACAGTACTCATGGCCAAGATTAAGCAAAGGCACCCTTGCACTGATCCTTCCATGTTGTGATGACTTTGAAAATGTCTTAAGCCGAGGTTAGACATTCGATGTTGCCAAATTGACCTTGTCGGTCTAATGCTCTACTGTGCACAACAGCGACACAAGTCCACTGAGCAACCAGAGAGCAGCAATAAAACATTTGACAATGTGTTGGAAGTTACACTGGCAGACGCATTCAAGCTCAGTCTTGAATCGAATAACATTAGTTTAATATCGCAGTGCACCATTTACCGCATGAATCAGAGCTTCTGCCTTCGGCGATCTCGGCTGACAGAGCACTTGAATGGACGAGGTTAGGACCCCGGCATATCCTCCAATATGTCCAATCTGAATGTGGGTAAAAGTGGACCTCAAAATCGGCTGACCTCCGATCCCAGTGCAGCTAAAAAGGGCCAAAATTTCGTACCTGTCCGATACTCGTGCGGACAAAATTAGTTGTCATTCCTGTTGTCTGATCCATAATGCGGATAAAAAGGGGGTCGGGACAGTGGTGGGATGGTGTCCACTGGCACTCGGAGGCGCCGGAGCGCCCACTTGATGTCCGATCAGCCATGCGGACAAAAACCCCTTCATTTCGACCCACCCAATCCTATGCAATTCAGGTCAAAAAGTGTGCAGGTAAAAGGGCCAAAATTTGGAGATTTTGGATCTAACATCTTGCAGGATATGCCATACAAGGTTGGCTGGTATGAGGCAAAGCCCAATCAGTAAGTCTCATTGCAAGTACCTGGTCCAGAAGGGGAACAAACATGATGGTTCCAGAGGCGTATTCGAGTGTGGGCTCCATTTCCACATCATTCTCCATGGGCTTCAAGATGTTGAACACAGCCAGCAACATAGTGCATGCGATGAAGATAGACACCTCAGCAAGATGATGACCTATCATGAGAGCTGAGTAAGAATGAAGTGCGTTAATAACATCCATGCATACCTGGACAAATTCTGAGGATCCCCCTCATCAGTCATAAGTGAGTCATACATTGTACATCACCTTACCGTCATGGTCTCCCATATCCGAATATGAAATCATGAGGGTCACATTCAGGTGCTTTGTCCACAGAAGGCATGAATCTATCAGGTTTGAACTCAAACGGGTCAGTATATTCTTGAGGATCATTAAGAAATTTCTTAAAGAGAAAGTACTAAACACTATGGCTTTGAATGTGGAAAGTCACTTACCAACCAAAGGTTCAGAATAACAAGGGAGTCCTTTGGAATGAAGTAGCCAGCATGAACACCATCCTCACTTGAGCAATGTGCCAATGGTGAAGAGTGAGTGCATCTCAGCAGCATTGAATTGACAATACTGAAAGACATACCTAGTGATACAGCGGGGTTCCAGTGCAAGAGCTCCATGTATAATGGGTTCACGTAGGGCAATTGCTCCGATCTGTAAGACAAGGAAGTCACTCATTTCTAATGACTCTGTTGAGCTCACAATGAGCCTTCTATAGCACATCATAGTCAGGAAGAATGTGTGGGTTAAGGATACAGTCTAGGACAAAGCATAAGTTAAGTATAGAGATCCACACCAAGAAAGCACACACGGTATCCATACCACCTGGAACTGAAGCATGAGGTGGGATGTTGACCATGATGATGATGAGAGTATCAATACAAACGTACCGCTGTAGAACGAAGAAGCCGCCTGCTTGAGTATCTCTTCTTTCGTGGGGCTAAGATCCTCGGTGAAATTAGCGGAGAGACCATGCAAAGCAGTTCCGGTGGCCTAAGGAATGCTCTCAGCTTGAAGATAGGAAGAAATTTAAAAATGTGCCCCACCAGCTGATTCTTCACAAAGTTGAATGGAATATCATTCATGTTGCGAAAATGCTGAGTCCACAGTTTAACATCCTTTCTCCACCCAGCTCTCAGAATCCATGCCGGAACATGTTGTACTGGTCCTGGCACTTAGGTTGATATTGAAACAAACAACTCAAAAGCTCACAGAGATGAAAGACATCAGAGAGAAACACTTCAGGAGCTGTGAGTGACAAGAACTGGGTCGGTGCCCTCCTTGACCTAATACCCATGCGACAACACCAAAAGAGTTGCTAAAATGCTCCTATGTCAGTAATCCTCGGTGAGTTCTGAGTTAGTTTGTTGTCATTGAAAGAGCTTACTGCTGAACATGTTCTGACACATCACCAGGCTCGCAGAGAACGCGCAGCAGGAAAAGATATGCCTTGGCTTCCAAAAGAGAGGCCAATTCCCCCACTTTACTGCAGTTGCCAACAACTGCGAGAATAGCCAGTGATGTTCGCGAAAGACTGCCCCATTGTGAAGAAGCGCAAAAGACTAATCCCAACCAACCATCTCTCCGCCGACTACCAGGACGGGTCTGTTACAATAGATTGAACTCTTCTTTCCAAAATTTCTATGGCAAGTTGGTGTGAATTATGAATTATGACCCATTGACCAAGAAGATTGACTGAAATGATATCATCTATAGGAATATTGAGATACTATGTCAATCACAGATGTAGACACTAACCCCACTTCTTCCCCCAATCCGTGAATGTCGTCCATTCATGTGAGTGTGGCATGTCAAAGATATTACCAATGACTGGCCATCCTTTGGGACCAGGCGGAAGCAGGCCTTTTTGAAGTTGCACAAAAATGCCGTTCAACAGATATACTGCCAACGCTAAGGCTACAGCATCTAATATTGTCAGTAAGCTGGTCATTCTCGGTGCGATTCGCACTGAAGGATGTAGACGGTAGACAGAGTGGACAACCACAGAAGGTAAATGGCCGGGTTTTATCCCACCGAGTGAGGAAAGAAGTTGACCAGCACTACTCGGAGAAATCCTGGCGTGAATCCTGGCGTGCACGTCTGACGGAACTTCCTATGTAAGAGGATGCTCAAGTGCCCACCGGCACTCAAGCTGCCCCGGATCGCGCTCAACCAATTGAATAAGGGTGCGTTTTCACGTACTTAAGTTAGAGACCTGTGAATAGTGACATGTTGACAGACAACGTGTTTCCTTTCCAGGAACCCGTTTGCACGTCCACGTGATCGTGTCACGTATCTTATCTCCCGGCAGCCGACCTGCAGCTCTTCGACTTCCGAGTCTTCCAGGCACTGCGCGGTCTTTTTGCATCGTATCCATTATGTCTGGCCGTCTACAACACAAGGTACGTGGCATTTCATCTATGGTTTTGTGAGGCGTTTCTCAGTTCCCCCAAGGTTGCTCTGATCACTGGTGCTGGATCGTGAGCACCTTCTCCTCCACAACTTACATATCAATATATATCCCTAATAATCTAGAGGAATCGGCCTGGAATCTTCAGTCCTGTTTGCACAGGAAGGTGCCAATGTCGCTCTCGTAGATATCAATCTCGAAGCGGTGAAGAAGACAAAGACGCTACTAGATGGCCGGTTCCCGAATGTCAAAGCCATCGCTATCAAGGCTGATGTCGGGAAAGAAAGTGAGGTAAAGAACATGGTCGATGAGACCGTCAAGGCTTTTGGCCGTCTCGATGTCATGGTTAGTAGTACCTTACCTAGCATGTCCGAGCCCCTTCTACATCGATTTTATGAACCTATGTAGTTCAACAATGCAGGTAAGTTTCTGACGACATCTATCTTAGACGTAAATGTATTCTGGGCACTTCCGTGTAGGGATCATGCATCCAGCAGATGACAACGCTCTCAACACCGAGGAGCGAATCTGGGACCTGACGATGCAAATCAATGTCAAGGGCGTTTGGTGGGGATGCAAATACGCTATCCTCGCGATGCGCCAGAACCCTGTCGACGCGGCTATGGGCTTGCATACTGGCGGAAGCATCATTAATACCGCGAGTTTCGTTGCAATCATGGGAGCAGCGACTCCACAATTGGCCTGTGCGTGTTTTCCTTGCAACCTGTGCTATTGAGTAGCTAATGAAATACACGCGGACACGGACAGACACTGCATCCAAGGTGGAGATCCATTGTATTCGGGTGTAATTCCTCTAACGTACTGCTCTAGGGTGCTGTCCTCGCCATGACACGTGAATTGGCTATGGTTCATGCTCGTGAAGGCATCCGAGTCAACTCCATCTGCCCGTAAGCGTTCCCTGTAATGCCTGCTTCTTACTGGTATTGATATTTATCCTTCCTCTCCAGTGGTCCATTGAAGACCCGTGAGTGTACATCCTGCCTGCACTGATGCTATGCACTCGTGCCTCATCGCCTCATCCCGAACCTTCTCAACTTACACCCATTCTCGTCTTTAGCTCTACTTATGGACTTCCTCAACACCCAGGAAAAGAAAGATCGTCGCTTGGTCCACCTTCCCATGGGCCGTTTTGGAGAAGCCGTCGAAGTCGCCAAGGGTGCTCTGTTCCGTACGTCGTGTTCGCGATGTATGCAACTGTATCATTCTGACTTACTCGCGATGATCAGTTGCCAGCGATGACAGCAGCTATATGACCGTGGGTTCAAAACACTTCGTGTTTGTGCAAGTCGGCTGATCTCGTTACAGGGTACTGACTTCAAAGTGGATGGTGGTCTTACTTCCTGCTATGTCACACCTACCGCAGAACAGGTCCTTCCTCCACCTTCCAGCCTGGTATAAATGTAAGGATAACACGATGGCCCGAGTCTGCGTCAATGCAGTCGCACTGTGTCGCGTTCAGATGGGCAACGAAAACAAAACGGAAAGAAGATCGGAACGACTGACGTGTAAATCTAGGCGAGTAGATAAGAATTATGTATCACTTCTTGCAAGTAAGTCCGGATGAGAGCGCGCGCAAACGTCTTCCAATCGCATGTAGATTACTTGGAAATCGCAGAAGAGACATCCCAAGCATTCGACTGTCTCGCATTGTGTGAATCTATATCCTGAGACCCCGGTTGACGTGTGGTGTAATGATTTGCAGTCTACGATCCTTAACGTATGTCATTATCTAGTGCGATGAGTATTGGTTGCGCATATTGTGAGTCGCACAGACAGACAACACGCAACCAATAGTCCCTTAGTACAGAGCGTGCTGCATAGATGATTTAACCACGAGCATCCCGAGCATCCGAATCCGTTCGGATACTTGGGGTAAGGTTCTACATTTAAGGATAAGATTGAGATGCAAAGTCAGCATCTTCCGGGGAAAGTTTTTAACATCGAGACTGCGCATCAGCATTTTAGCTAGGCGTCATCCACAGAGGGTAACAAGGCTTCGGCCTTCGATGACCTGGCCTTGATACAACACTCGTACGGAACTGGATGGCTGTATGTCCGGCGTACATTGTTTAGAATCATGACGGCAAACTACCAGCGGCGACGTACCAGATCATTCCAGAGGTAAACTCAATATTTGGTTCTAGCACTGCTCCGTCCAGCACGGGCTTGGATATGTTAAACACCGCAAGCGACATGGCGCAATGGATGAACACCGAGGCTTCCGCGAGATGGATTCCTTCAATGAAAATGAGCGGAACGTTCGAAGCGCATTACAAGAAGTCACATACCTGGACAAATCCTGCAGCGGCCGAACGTCAGTGAATATTCTTTCATTTCCCATCGTGTACTTGCTCGCCGTCGTCCAAAGCCAAATGTGAAATGGCGTGGATCGCGCTCTGCAGCTTTCCCGCGGGAAGTTGTGAATCGATCAGGATTGAACTTGAACGGGTCGGCGTAAATCTGGGGATCGTGAAGGAATTTCCTGAAGGACGTAGGGCGGGGAATTGGTATCAAGAAGAAACCTGATATCAGCGTACGCATCACATGTTGGCTATGACCAATGTACCCTTCGGAATGAGATAACCACTTTGAACATCATCCTGGCTGAGACAGTGGTAAGCTGGGTATATGAGGTAAGCCTCAATGCGTTTGGAATGCAAGGCGAGGCAAGACACACCTAGTGAAATGACAGGATTTCACCGGAAGATCTCCAAGCATACTGCATTGAGGTAGGGCAGCTGGGACCTGTCGGCGATCTCTGGGAGTCTGTCGCTCCCAATCACACTGTCTATTTCCATCTGGGCCCTCTGCTGCACTCTTGGCTAACACATCATAATCAAGAAGAAGTTGCTTATAGCGAGCGGCTGCAGTCTGCAATATATCTGGGTTTCAACAAGCTTGCACGAGGGTGTCGAACTGGACGTACAGAGTCTGTGCCGCCTATAACGTGCGAAATGAAAAACAATCCACACCAAGTCTGCACGATACTCACCAACGAAGAATGAGGTAGCGATAAACTTGGCAACCTCTTCTTGCTCGGATGTAAGGTTCTCTTCCTGCAGTCTCAAGGAAAGTAAACTGGGGAGAGCGGGACCTGCTGCCTAATAGTAAAGTATCTGCGAAGGTTGTCGTAGAGCCCTCACTGTAAAAGCAGGAAAGCTTACAACTTGTCCTTGCACGAACCGGTAAGGCAAGTCTTGCATGTCCCGTCGATGTTTAGCCCAGATCTTGACGTTCCTCCTCCATTCTGCTCCTGGCATCCACTCGGTGATATAGCGCACTTTTGGACAACAGTCAATCGCGAGAACTGAGACGGACAGGCGAACGCTTACACCAAGGGATAGCATCAGCCAAAAACGGCCCGCCACCAGTCAGATACGAGAACTCCGCGAGTGCACTTTCAGCAAATTGCAAAAAGTAGTCGACGTCCTCTTCTGCTGTACATCCATGAGAAAGCCGGAGGATGCTGGCACCAACGCTTCTGTGAACCCAAAACCGGGGCGCCCATTCAAATTGCTAACTACGAAAGCCAACGGCGGGCTCCTCACGCTTACCTGAGAATATGCTGGAGAAGATCATCAGGTCGGGAAAGCACGTGTGACAAGAATTTGCAAGTCTGAGCCTCCAACTAACTGTGCTATCTTACTTCGACTTCCAATGAACAGTGAGAACAGTAAACGATGTTCGCGCCATTCGGGGCCCGTCTGGAGGAGCGCTTGCACGCGATCCCATCCGGCCATGTCACCACCTACGGTCAGGGTAGGACGGTCAGAATATATAGCACGCTTCTTTTCCAGCATCTCGAGGGTGAGTTCGTGCGAATTCACGATGACAACCTCTCTCCCTAGTAGATCGAGATAGATAATGTCTCCTGGACAACGTTCAATGTGTGAGCTTTCGAAATGCTATCTGACATTCATGCTATGCACCGTATTTATCGGCCCATTGGACAAATGCTTTCCATGGGTATGAATTTGGGAAGTCCAATACGTTTCCGATTAAGGGCCATCCCTTGGGACCAGGAGGAAGAGAACTTCTTCGTTGCGAGAATACGCGTCATAGAAGGAAAGCCACCAACAGCAACGCGGCAGCGTCCAACATAAACGTTGGTAGACCAGTCATGCGGAGGGAACGGTGGAGAACGCACTTCAAAGCGCCCGCGGAAGTATCACCATTTTACATACGCAACTAGTGCAAATCAAGTAAGTACTCTACCACTCGCTGCATATAGCGGTCGGAGCAGGGGTAGGCTGCGTACCTTTGATGGGATGCGGAGGCGGTGCAAAACTCAAACGCTGCGACGGTTGTGAAACCGTGGAGTGATCAAAATGCACTCAGCACGCTGGAAGCCTGAGGCCTGAGGCCTGAGCCCGCCGTGTCAAGCCAGGTTATTGCAATTGTGAAACATTGTTCGGTTGGGTTAACCCTGTTCCGACTGAAGCTCGTTTGGGTAGTAAGCGCACAAAAGCTCAAGACGGGTATATGAAAAAGTCATGAGCTGGGGCGACAAAGTACACACAGAAACGGAGCTACAGACGACCGGAACCAGAACGCAAGCATTGGACGTGAAAGGTCTTCAGCATCTTCAGGATATCGCGACACAGGTCGTAGCTGTTCGCAGTGGAGATGTTCACAACTCTTTTCCCCTTTTCTTCGCAGCCTCAGCCTTCTTGACCCTCAAGATTTCCTGACCAACACCGTTGTGGATGTTCTTGCGCAATTCCGGTTTGTAGCCTAAGCTGAATAGTATCTCGAGGTGCACGAAGAACGGTGCAAGAACAAGGGCTGCCGAAATAAGGGTAATTCCAATATCAAAGGGTGGATCTACTGATATCTGGTGAGCAACTTACCCCCGACGATGTTATCCAGCAATGCGGGTGCGCGACCCTCCGGTCCGTAATGCCCAATGAACTGCGCAATCCAGGCACCTACGTTCATGCAAACAGCCATTGGAACACCGTTAGACCTGAGTGCAAACGACGTAGCCGCGAGAAGCGACAGAGTCATTTGCGGGATGTAAATCAGCTGATTAGTAGAGTGAGTGCCCAAATTCCGAGAGGAGCGGTATATAGTACGCACGGCGGCTGTTGGCTCGAGGATGAAGTAGTAAACGATGTATAGAATGGCATGAATGGTCGCCCAGTTGAGGTCAAAAGCCAAATACTCGTTGATGTTGACGTGAATAGGAGGAAAGAAGGCGGGCACGGGGCAAGTGACCATGAGCACTTGGAAAGACCTGAAACGCCCAACGTGAACTCAGCATACGTCATAGGAAAACCAACTGACCAGAGGAGCAGGGGAACGCAACATTTATGGATGAGAACATTGGTGGGATTGTTATGGTAGGCGCCGTAGAAGGTCAGCTAGTGATTGAGTTCACGTTGTCGAATGCGCCGCTAGTCAAATTATGTTGTTCAACCGAGAAAGCCACGCACTTGTTCCTTCACGCTGAAAATGGAGACTGTCATGGCTGCGGAGGGTGCTGGAGAAAAGATGTGAGGCAAATCATATCCGGTGAGGCGGGTACTTATAGGCCCTGTGTGAGCGCCTGTGATTTCAGCGGATCAAACTTGAAACGTCTGCCAGTGAGGGAGGTAGATGATGCACCGAACTTGGACTCCCGGCCACGTGCTCACATACACGTATCATCGACTCGCGCTCCAGAAGGAGGCTGCTAGTGCTACGGTGCTCTCCAGTCATTGACTTATCCTCCACAGCTATCTGTGTACTCCAGCTGATATTTCGATCACTATGGTACGGTCTACCCTGATCGTACGAGCCTCAGACGCTCTTCCCCTCGCTGCCAGCGTGGACGACGAGCCGGTGAGTTTAGCACTGACACGGTATTTAACCGCGTCTAGACTGTCATATACCGCGACAGACAGAACAAGCTCTTCAAGAGCACAAGCAACAGGCAAAGCTCATCTTCCGACGGATCACTCCCAACTCCGAACCTCTCTGCTCGATCGAGAGCGGACAATATACACTTCAGTATGTGGCGGACACACGCTTTTGCGTCCATCCAACCCAACTATCCCTAGCTACCTCATCTCAGACAATGTTGTCTTCCTCGTCATCGCAGACAAGTCGTATCCACGGAAATTGGCTTTCTCATACTTGGATGAACTGTCGAAGGAGTTCTCGACGTCGTATGGCGCCAAGGTAGACACCGTCAGAAAACCATATGCGTTTGTGGGCTTTGGTGCGTCCGCATATACAACCATGCATGTATGTCTCACCTGGACATAACATAACTAGATACTTTCATGGGGAAGACGGCGAGGATATACCAAGACACGCGGACAGCAGGCGCGGCAGGCAATTCGAATATTGAGAAACTGAATGACGAACTACAAGATGTTACACGCATCATGACCAAAAACATGGAGGAACTCCTTTGGAGGGGGGACTCATTAGACAGTGCGTTCACCGCGTCACCTCATGCTTCCTTACTCCTGACTGTTTCGGGATTCATAGGGATGTCGCACCTGTCGACCTCACTACGGTCGGAATCAGAGAAATACCGTAAATCTGCGAGGAACATCAATGTTCAGGCTATGTTGCGACAATACGCACCAATAGGCGCGGTAGTCTTCATAGTGATTATTCTGCTATGGTGGAGATTCTCATGAGCGGAGGACATGCGTGTTAGGTCGTCTCTCACTATGGATACAGTACGGTTCTCAATGGACGCTCTCAGCTATTGCATCTATATCGCAGACCGCTCTTGTTGGTGCTCTACGTTGTACGTGGCAGCTGTGGCGCCTGTCAGCTAGCACGATCACGGGCGCGCGCTAAACTCCACATGCTGGATCTTGCCGTACTACACGATGCAGTCGTACACGAGTTCACAGGCGATAGATATAGATAACCACAGGCCCTGCCTGCAGATAGCCAATCTACATCCCACTCTACGCATCGATCTTGTCTGCGAACGAGACAAACGGCTGGAAGAGTCTGAATATCCATCGGCGTCGTACCAAGTGGTGAGCTCCCCATGGCCTATGTCAGTGTACCCTTCCCAGGCGGCGCATCCCCAATGATGCCCGTCCAATCGTTCCCTCCGGTCGTTGGCTCCCCAAGCCCGACCGTCTCACAAAGTCAGATCCAGCCTGGTGCGATCACATACACAACGACCACCGGCCCCGATGGACAGGTCACCTACCACCCATTCAGGTGAGTCTGCTCTCTGGGATGCTCGATTGTTCTACTTGTCCGTTTCGCCGATCTGGTGTGATCATAACTGCTGACGAATTGTGGCCGTTGCTTCATTTTAGGGCTATTGCTGCAAGGTTTGTGATCTCACACTGAACCCTTCAGGACTGCACGCTCGCGAGCTATTGTCTCATCCTGTGTTGATCTTGCAGCTATCAAACATCTCAGGGTGTTGTCAGTGGTATCCAATGGGTACCAGCCGAGGCTACGCAAGTACTCCCGGTCGGTGCTACGCCAGCTACCTCGGTAAGTGCTGGTTGATTCAGCGGTTCAATCCGCTGAAGCACAGACTGCGGAACGAAACCAGGACATCATGGCGTCTTTCAACCGTCAAGCTGACAAAGAATGGTAAGCGCTTACCATCAAAGCAATCGCGTAGCCTCACATTATAACCAGGCAACGCGAAGAGGAGCGGCGTCGCAGGAAGGAGGCCGAGCGCCGCGACAGAGAGCATCATAGGACCTACTCGCGTGACGACGACAAAGACCTCCGTCGGGCCCGCGACAAAGATCGCGAGCGCGAGCGCCAGAGGGAGCGCAGGCTCAGCAACACGTACGGCAGTGGGTATTCCCCATATGAGCCCGATCGCAAACACAGCGCCACTGCAGATCTCGAGCGCCGTTTCCAGGACCTCGACGTCGACCGCCGCGAACGCGAATACGAGAGGGAACGCAGACCCAGCACAGGTTTCGGCGGCGGCACGCGGTCTCGTCGGAACTCTACCTACGGCGATCGTCCTGCTGGATATCAGCCTGCTCCGGGTGGACCGTACCCCACACCTGCGGGCGCATATCCACCATCCTCAACTGCATATGCATCGCCGCAGAGCACTTACAGCAACCCATACACTTCCCCGCAAGCTCCGTACCAGAAGCCCAGTCCGTATGCGACGCCCTCCCCTCGTCCTGGTGAGGTTATACCTCCACGCCCCGTCTCGCCGTATCAGGTTGGTGGGATCCAGCGCCCAGTCTCACCTTATCAACAGGGTGGTCTTGGGCGCCCTGTGTCCCCTTACCAGAATCCCGGAGGCGTACAGCGTCCTGTCTCTCCTTACCATAATCCTCGCCCTGTGTCACCCTATCAGATGGGCGCCATACAACGTGCTGCATCCCCGAGGCCTCTTCCAGGCGCATACCCTACTACCGGTGAAGGCCAGGGCATCAGACCGTCTATTTCTCGGGTTCCCAGTCCTTCACCTTACCCGCCTCCTCCTGCAATGTACGCCAACAGTGCTGCTGCTCAGTATGGTGCACAGTACGGGCAAGGTGCTCCTCAGTACACGGCCAATGTTGGATATGCTCAGGGTTATCCGGCAGGCATAGCTGCCGACCAGCAACAAGCAATACTTGCTGCGCCCGAAGGCTTTTCGCGCCCTCCCAATCTGGCACAGCCATATACCCACTTCGAGATCATGAAAATCCAGGACATGGACGACTTCTTGGAAGTCATTCCCCGCATGCCACTTGTTCTCGTACCCCACGATGTTTACCATGAAGACTGGATTCGTCTCATGAATGTTTGTGCCGTTAGTCATACCATGTCCCAGCCTGTGTTGATATGATATGTAGGACCTCTCGTTGGCCTGGTCCGGGCGACTGCCGGTACCAGAGTACGCACGCGACGGGCGCCCGCCGAAGCGGACCAACCTCACTACAGACCTCATCGATCTCTGGAATGTCTCGTTCTTTTTGGCCCGTGGTGTTGAACTCGTACTGTATAAGGGTCGCGAGCGGCGTTCGGGCCGCAGCATAGGCACCGTCGACTTGCATCTTCCTGGCTTTGACACGTACGAGTCGGTGTCGTCGGACGATTCGGAAGATTCCGACGACTCCGACGACTCTCAGGACGACAGGTACGGATATGGTGCATATGCGGGCGTATACGGGCGCCAAGTGGAGGGGCAGATGGCTGAGGTCCGTGAGGCGAGACGCGTACGCCGCGAGAAGAAAGCAGAGCACAGGAAGCGCAAGATCGAGAAGAAGCGGAGACAGAAGATGAAAGAGATGGAGAGGAAGTATTCCCTCTATCTAACTTGCACGTCCCCGCGAGAAGGTGGCCTGGTTCCACAGATGTGAGCTCTCGCACCACAAGCGGGAGTTCGTCGCATGAAGGAAGGAACATCTCGAATGCTATATATATTGATTCAAGACATGTACACAGCGGTTTGTTTGGTCCGCAGGGTAGTACTCTCGTGTTTTGTATACCTCACTATGTACAAGCTTAAGCATGAATGGATAGAAAACTTGGCCTGGAGCACAAGAACAGTCCGTATGTTGAGGTCGTACATATTATCTACTGGCACATAGTCTACGCTATCAGGTACGCAGCAAAGTCCACGAAATGCCATGTATATATACCAGTAAGTATAAATTAATACCGTCCCCCTCGTCCTCGTCCTCTCCCTCTGGCGTTGTACGAACTGCCCTGCGGATTACCATATGAGCTGGGGTTGTATCCACCACGGTTCTGGGGAGGTCCATTGTATCCGCCATAGCTCCCATATCCACTACCACCACCGTATCCATTCGGGGCAACATATCCACTTCCTCCATACCCTCCGTACCCACCCCTGGACCCTGTACCATAGCCCCCTGGGCCATTCGTATACCCACCATCATGCGGAGTGTCATAGCCACGACCCCTTGGTGCACCGCGACCACGGCTTCCTGCTGACGCGCCGTAGTACTGCTGGCCGCCTCGAGCTCCTTGACCTCGATAAGATTGTTGCTGGTGCGGCGCATAAGATGTTTGCTGGTAGGACTGGTTGTACGACCCTCCATGTTGATAATCATTGTCTCGACTTTCGAAGTGGCGACCATTGTTGTGGGAACCAGAATTATAGGAAGGGGGTCCACCATACGGCGGCCCTCGACCATTCCGCGACGATCCGTGGTCACCTCGTCCACGGCCGCGACCTCCACGCCTTGCAGTCTCTCGATCAGCTTCTGTAAGGACAGGGTGCGACCTCTTAACACCGGGCAGTAGAATAGAGCGATGGGGAGTCAGTTGCTTGGGAAAGAAGTAGAAAGCAGAGAGTGATCGGTCGTTCTTGATGTCAGGAAGGCCCTGATTAGGGAGAGGGCAGTAATAGTTTGCTCCAGGTGTGCAATCGGGATTCGGAAGCAGGCTTCCACATAATCCTTTGCTCGCCTTGACGTTTATGGGTACGGGCTGCAGCATTGTGATATTAGTAGCGTTGTGAACAAGAGCACACGGCGGCGACCCACCTCCTTGCTCTTACGCTTGCCGTACAAAGCCTCCAAAGACGGATATAAAGAATGCTCTTCATACACATATATGACATTATTCCCCAATGTGTTGCGCCGCCTCTCCGCGTCAGTCATATCGGGATAACGAGGGCTCATGGCTTCAAGCAGACGCTTCTCATCAATAAATGGGAGGAGTGCTACGCCTTGCCACGCCATCCTCTTGCCATTCATGTCGATTTGAAATGTAGCCGGATAGAAGTCGATGATTGGTGATGTCCGGTTCAACATGAGTTCGTGGAAGACACTTGGAATGTGTTGACGACTAGCGACAAATGTAAACAGAATTCCACACAAAACCGCAGGGTCAGGGTCATAAAACATACCTAGAAGCTGGGAAGACGCTCATCAGTTGCTCAAATGGCTTGAAAGGTTGGCCAGGATTGAACTTGATGTCCATCGTCTTGACATCTACAAAATCGGCAGCGAAAGGCGCAAAATGATATGGGTAGTACCACTGCCATGAAGGAACCTGCGAAGAAAGCGTCAGAAAGCTATCAATGATATATCCAGCATAATATTGTGTTACCCCTTGGTAGTAATAGTGTAGCACCCAAGCGATGCCTTCAACATAATGCTTCGTAACCCTGAAGGATAAACAATTATAGAGGAGTAGTGCAATATGCCGAAGAACTTACTCCTTTCTGAACGCAACATCACTATACTCCACGCCGAACTTCTGTCGGTAATATCGTTCCTTATATCCAGGCTCCCATAACCTGAGTTGGTTTATGCGTGTGTGAATGAGAGTTTATAAAACTAAGATAGACCGAAACACACTTGACCAAATCTTCCTGCTCGACGGTTCCGTCAGCATTCACCTTGTATGCTAAAGCGTCCGACGCGTCCGGAGGTGCATCATCGTCGGAACCGAGATCTTCCTCCTCTTCATCGTTTTCAACCTCTTCAATACTTCGTTTGCCAAGCACAGAACTGTTTGCGTTATCGTTAAGAGTAGTGTCATCTTCCATAGGTGTGACATCAGCATCAGGCTCTCCTTCGGCATCAGCATCAACTGCTACCACTTCTTTCGAGGTCATTGATGCACTGCTCTCGGCAACGATGGGGGAATGTCTGACCACAGATGATGTCTGCGAAGTCTCAGCAGGTGGGGGAACAGATGGTGTAGAAGGCGTAGATGCTGAGCCGCCTGATTTTAACGGCGATGACGGCTTCAACGGCGTTAGACCAGCCAGTTCGGCCTTGAGCATCTCAGCAGCACTCATATTCGCCATGCGAATGAAGCGCCGATTCGCGACAACATCATGGTTAGAACCCGCCAACGCTTGAGCAGCAGTGGGCGCAAGCTGTACAGCTTGGACAGACTTAGGCCCGCCGAGGCCGATGCTATCTGCTTTGACGGCAAAATCAGTGGTGACGGGTCGAGGAGGTAGCGGATGATGAGTAAGTGGCATCAACGTTTTAGACGGAGCAGTAGGAGGCACGGTCAGATTAAGGGACGATGAGGGCCCGACAGAAGAGCCATTAGTTGTTACGTTCTTGTCCAATTTACGACGCTTCGCACTCTGGTCTTGACGTTCTTCCGCTGTGAAGTAATGTTAATGTGACGAGTACAGATGCTGATTTCATAAACATACCTTCACGCCTTCGCCGGAAAATCTCGTCCTCACGCCTTGCAAGACCCTCAAGAATAATCTGGGCTCTCGACAACTCGACATGACCATGATTGGTCATATAGCCACCCATCCTTGGTAATTCATCTCGCCAAATCTTCAGCAGTATATCTATGGCTCCCTCTCTGATCTCAAGTGATGGCAAGTGAGGCAAGAAATCGTTCCCGACGAAGAAGATGAGCAGCACCCAGTCATCAATCGCTTGCTCAAGATTGAACGGGAAAGGCGCCTGTGACACTTTAAGCTCGGCTTCAAGATACTCGCGCAAGATAGAAACATCGAGGAAAAGGAAAGGTTTCTTCTCCGGAGGAGTCTTTTTGATAGATGCCTTCTCTCCAGTACATTGTGCAGCATAGTGTCCTTCTTGACCGCATATTCGGCACGCTGTGCGACTACCTTCTTGGAAGAAAACATCCTCCCGCAAAACTCTGAAATGAGGTTCATGAGTAGCTAGTGAGAGCATGATCAGATCCGCGTCCTGAAACATACGTCAGATAAAATTCGAACTTGTTCTGGCGTAAACCTCACCAATCCATATATCACATGGCGAGTATTGGGATCGTGCCCAGGATTTGACCGTTGACGTCTGATCCACTCAATAATTTTATGTTCTCCTTCGCCGGGAACGCTTGCGTCGGATATGATTACTTCCATCTAAAAAGAATATAAGCCAGCGTGGTCGTCTGAGTCATGTAAAACGCACTTGTTTCCAACCGGGGTCTGTGCTCATCTTGTATGCTACCCAGTAACGCAAAGATGTTGCAAGAAGATCCATAAAGGGTGTACCAGGAGTGATGGCATTCGAATCCCACGGTCTCTTATTCTTTTCTTCATCACTAAGAGTCTTCCCCATAGCTTTATTGAATGGAGATGGTGTCAGCTTGTGGGCTTCGTCAAGAAACAGGAGGGAATGTACCTTCCCACATGGCGACGGCTTCCTTCCGAGCCTCCTCTTTTTCTTTTGCTTCCTGCGCAGAACGGAATCGTCTGGACCGTTGCTGGTTCATCTTAGCGCGAGGAGCAACACCATCTTTTAGATCTCTTCAGCTATGTCCTCAAAGATCTGACGCTCCATGCTTACCTATAGCCATGAACAACAACCGACGAGGCCGAATCATGTTGACGACGCGCTCGGTGTACTTGAAAATTTCCACCATCATTTCCTCTTCAGTTTCCGGAGCAGGCTAAAATATAGAACAAGTAAATCGCCGTTGGCACTTGAGTAGTGTTACTCTCACCTTGCCCTCCGGGTGCGTACAGGGATGGACCTGCGATATGATCATGAGCGGTCAACGCAACTCTAGCATCGAGGTAACACTCACAATACCATTCATGTCCAGATACAAGTTGTCAAACTCCATGCCGTTCGGATTAGGGTGCGAAATGTCCACGGGGATCGCAATTTCATTGCCTTCGGCATCCGGTACTTTCACCTCTTCCTCCTCGACTACAGGCAATACTGAAGAGAGGTTAAGCAAAAGGCTGCATAGCAATCAAATGGCCGCTCACCAATTTTAGGGTACTTTTTGCTAAGCCAGCGAAACAGTGCCGGGACACCCTGCAACACAAGTGAGTGGTCTGAGACACGGCTGATAGGCTGCAACTCACCATGTGTGCAGTACGATGGGGTTGTTAAATGAGGTAGAGTGTAGAGTGGAACGACGTGAGAGACACGGGTGGTATAAGTGTAAACCGCGGCGCTGGTCGCTTTGTGGCCGACGCGCTCGATGGCTGCTCGAGAGTGCTGACGTAATGGATCTTGGTCACGCGGAGGATACCCATATACGGAAATTGAAGTTATCCCTCTAGGGATCCTTCGACCTGCCGTGACTCGACTCGGCAAAGTACAGTCCTTCAGCATAACACTCTTCCCGTTTACTCTCGTTTCAATTGTTTAACAAACCACGGTATGGCACCAGCACCACTGCTAGATGTGCAGGTCCAGCCTCCGAACGGAGAGTCCTCCACTCCCCAGTCGAAGTCCCAGAAAGCCACGACCAAGGCTGAACGGCGCGCATTGCAGGAAAAGCAAAGAGCTGCCAAAGCGGTTAAGGCTGCAGCGGTACCTAATGGCGTAAACGGGAAGCAAGGAAACAAAACTCCTCTACCTTCATCCTCCAACTCACCTGCTCCGAAGAAGGCAGTGAAGACGGAGACTCCACTCAAGCCTGCATTCGCCGCGATGAACAAGGGCGCGAAGGATGCAAAACTCGGGACTGTTTCTTCTGTAGATGCAGTCGTTGATAGGGCCCGTGGCTTGCGTATATTTTCACATTTTGGGCTGCCGAAACCTGTGAGCGTGGGCAAGGGGGATATCCATCCCACAATTGTACGACTCGCCTTACTATTCTCAAATTTCAAAATAGTGGGTGCAAACGCTCGCTGTATTGCTACCCTCACTGCATTTAAAACGGTGCGCGCAACAAGTTAAGCTTTGTAGACATTACTGACTTAACACTAGGTAATCCAAGACTATGTCACACCGCCCAACAACACCCTTTCTCGCCATCTCATGACACATTTGTCTCCTCAAATCAGCCATCTTGTAGCTGCCAGACCCATGTCCGTGACGATGGGCAATGCAATTCGTCAGCTCAAGTTGGAGATCAGCGGGTCGGACATAGACCTCCCGGAACAAGATGTTCGTGTGTCATCCGATAGTAATTCGTTTAGAATGCTAACCTGTAGTACGTATACCTCAGGCGAAAGACGCCCTTTGCCAGAAAATTGACAATTACATCCGTGATCGAATTATTATTGCAGATCAAGTAATCCAAGAAACTGCGGGCAACAAAATCAAAGATGGAGATATCATCCTGACGTACGCAAGGTTAGACTTGTGGGAGATTCACACAGTCTGCACGACTCACAGAACGCTCAGATCCTCAGTCGTTGAGAAGGTTCTGCTGGGAGCACATTCCGAGGGTCGCAACTTTTCTGTGATTGTTGTCGACTCAAGACCAATGTTGGAAGGTCAGTGTGACCAGAAATTACATGCTAGTCAGTATCTAACATGGGCTCAGGCAAGCGACTATTGTCCGTCTTGTCTTCTGCAGGCGTACACTGCTCGTATCTTCTGCTTCCCGCTCTCGGTTCTGTCATCACTGAGGTCTCCACCGTGCTCGTTGGGGCACATTCGATACATTCGAATGGTGCCTTGTTCTCTCGAGCTGGGACTGCTCTCATAGCCATGATGGCCAAACAGCACTCAGTCCCCGTCGTGGTGTGTTGCGAGACATACAAGTTTTCGGAGGGTATCCAGTTGGATAGTTTCACTAAAAATGAATTAGGTAGGCCCAAACTGTCATCGGCGTATGGTGGAACGAAGGCTGAATTATCCATGCTGCAGCTCCGCTCGGAGATCTGTTCTCTTCGTTTCCTCTGACGAAGCCTCGGGATGCGTTGGCTCTCCAGAATCAGCCTAATCTTGAGATCCTGAACCCGCTTTATGATCTCACTCCCCCAACTTGCATTACCGCTGTCGTCACGGAAGTCGGTGTTATTCCCCCGAATTCTATGAGCTCCATTCCTCTTGCTCTCGGCAGACTTCTTTGATTCTTTCTTGTCGTATGTATTTGCTACTCTATTGTTGCATTCGCTTTCGTTGGTCGGTATTCTCTCGCATGCTATCATATAGTCCAGTAATTGAAATTGTCGTGGCACTCTAGTCTGTATGCTAACATTGTAGCAGAGCTAAGCAGAACTTCACCGAGATTGCATCTGTATTTCCGTTGTAGTAACCATCGTCTTTGACTCTTTGTTCAATCTCCTGCAGAGAAGTGGAAATCAAAAGTCATAGTTGAAATTAGCAGTCCATTTGTATGTGTATTGAAGTTCTGGGGCGGAAGACTATCCACACGTTACGACCGTGATACGACTGGCTATCAGCTCTATGTTATCGCGACTGTGTCTTGGAATCCCCTTCCACCATCTGCTTCTCTATCCACTCAAAAGCGTAATCAGTAGCGTGCTCCACGGGTTTGTCGAAAAGGTAAGGAAGGATGGGTACGATAGCAAGACCGGTAGCAGTCGGCCCCCATGCCTTAACGCGCGGACTTCGGGTATTCACGAACATTTTCTTGGCCTGCTTGACGGCGGTATGGATTGTAAAAGCGGGAAGAGCCCTTGAATAAAGGTGATCAGCTGAATGTCATATTGACAGTTCAGAAACCTACATCGAGGCTATGGACTGAAACACTGCGCGTTTAACGGCGACCATCCCAATTCGAGTTGGCTCGGAGAAGTGCGCAGCTTCTAACGGAGATGGACCCTTTCGGTGAGCTTTGTATGATTCGTAGCTCACATCACTGAAGGTACAGCATTAAATTTAGACCCAAAAGTTTGAATATGAGAAACACAGACCCCGCAAGATATAACCAAGAGATGCCGTATGCAGCACTAACAACAACTGGAGGAACGACTGGACGGAAAGCCTCTCCAACATCACTAGTCTGTTGTCAATCTATCGCTGAACAGTAGATAGCCGGATGATGGTGCATACATAGGCAATGTAACGATGTCCAGCACGCACGGCTGTTCTCAACCGTGCAGCATATGCCATGTAACGGAGTTCGGTATCGGTTGTATCGACATCGCGGTCCGCAAGCGCATCAATCTTCGAAGTGGACGACATGAGAATGAGTGGAAGGACGTGCGGAGAGGCGAAAATTAGGAAGCAGAAATATTTGACTGGGACTTGTTCGCGAGCATGACGAGGTTGAGCGGCTTGTGGCCCGCTGCCAAAATTGGGCGGGTGTGCCGGAATGTGCCGGTAGCCGGGAGTCCAAAGAGTGACTCCGCACGCGTCCACCGTCCTCGACGTCTTCGGACACACCGTGACCCAGTTCGACATGACCACCAACCTCACAGACTATCTTCAGGACTCTCTCGTCGGCGAGCCCGCCCCTCAGAAGATTTCCGCCTACTACAGTCTGGTGTTTCCCACTTTCACCTATTATCTCCAGACGCTCAACGTTACCATCGGTCGTCGATGCATCCCCTGTTCTTCCGCATCTTCTTCAGACAATCCTCAGGTAGACGTCGACCTTGGTCCTCTGAAGAGTGTATCACGCCTCCATGCCAAGATTGAATACGAAGAGGAGGAGGAACGCTTTGTACTTGTCGTTATTGGCAGGAATGGTGCATGGGTTGATGGGGTCTGGTCTGGGAGCGGGAGCAAGGTTCCCCTGGGCGAGAGGTATGTGAAGTGTTCGTACTTTGCCAACACTGAACGCATCATTAATCTCGGCGTGAAGATCACAAATACAGATTGCATCGCGGACATTCCATTTCGTGCTCCCACCTCCTCCCGCTCCCGAGGATTCCCCATCTCCAAGCTCTCAGTCCTCAGTTGAGAACCGTCCGCGCTCTCCGTCTGTGGATATAGTCGACGTCACCTCGATTTCGCCTCCTTCATCGCTTCCGTCCTGTTCGCCTCCACCTGCTGTCGTCCTGCCTGCCCCTCCGAAGATACCACCACGAGCTGGGACTCAGCTACCCAACTCAAACACTATTAGGCACAAATCCAATACGAAGAAACGCAAGAAGTCGGATCCTCAAAATTCTCTCCCCCTTCCGCCAGAAGTGATCCCTCCGAAACCGCAGCTCACATATGCCCAATTATGCTACCGCGCCATCAAGGCGCTTGGAGGGAAGGGTTCGCTTCAGGATATATGTCATTGGATCAAGGAGACGTATGAGTGGTATAAATATTGCGGGAAGGACTGGGAGGTGAGTCTCGGTAAATTTATCATAGGGCTCGACCGGCTCATTGCTTGATCTCAAGAGCTCCGTTCGGCACAACTTGTCGTCGAATCCAGGTTTCAAGAAACTGTTAAGATCGAAGGATGAGAAAGGCAAGGGTGCTTTATGGGTGATTGACGAAGCTTTTGAACACACGTTCGAGGAGCTGGACGCCAAGAGGCAAGCTGCGGCTGCCTTGGCTGCTTCTGGCGGCGTCGATGGAAAGGCGATTGGCAAGAGAGGCAGGGTCGTGATTCCACTGGAACCTCCGTTCAAGAGAAGCGTCAAGGGAGATTTGAAAGGAATGCCCCTTCCGCCACCATTGACTTCGACTCCCCTCACCTTGAAGACGAACTCTCACTCTCCAGCTAATACAGCGCCTCCATCCACTTCAGACACACCCCCGATTACACTCGCTTCCTCCGATTCCACGGTGAAGCTTGAGACCCCCGCACTCCACATTCCTGCATCGCGGGGGTTATCATCCTCGTCCACTGCGTCCATCGTTACTCCCTCTCCAGGCCTGAATAACGCGACTGCGGTAACTCCCGAAGAGTCTGCGTCCACACGGCCATCTGCGACACCCTTCCCTGCGATACCTGCCTCTGTCCGTATCCCTATAATAATTGGCCCAGTCCCACCCTCTTCGCCTCCTCAAAGCTCCGACCCCGCCTCGTCCACTCCGAAGCCAATTGTTCTTCATGACAATACTCTCATCCTCAATCCCGAAATTTTTTCGCATCTCACTCCGGAGCACCTGAAAGATTTAGAGGGGCTTGGTGCGCAGAAAGCTCTTGAGATCCTGCAGAGTTACATCGTCAGGTATTACAAGGAGAAACTGAAAGCGGAAGGTGGGAGGGGTCGAGGCAGAGGAAGACCGAGGAGAGGAAGAGGAGCTGCGGGAGGTAGGGGTTCTACGTCAGCGGGCGCACACCCTCGAACAGATGCTCCTACTGCAGGCCCCTTCGCCCCAGCACCCCTCCTACCTCCAGCTGTGGAACCACTACCGATGACGGCAATGGCACATGAGACGCCCGCACATCCCAATAGCGATGTTGCATTCATTCGTACGACACCGACATCGGACGTACTTTGGCAGGCCGTTGATGCAGCACCATCTCCCATCGTTGTGATAGACGACGATCCTGCGGAAGAAGAAGGTCCGGCCATGAAGAGGAGACGCCTGGAGAATGGGATGAGCGTGTCCACATCCGCCACATAGCAGGAGTACGTATACCCGGCATGTTTTCTTTCGCGTACACGGTGTCGCGTTCTTCAGCTGCCTTGTCATGACGTTCGAGAGGATTTATCATAGAGGTTCCTTGTATTCTTATTCTTGGGCAGGCAGGTCTTCTCCGTAATGGCGCCTCTTTCTTGCCGCTCATGCCCAGGTGGTCCGGGATGTTCTGCGCGATACCTTACATACTACATACTCTAGTTTGCAATGTTATTCTGTCAAAGAACGCACTCATGCTCATAGAGCATATGTCATATTGCGGGCATAACAGAAGAGCATAATGCATAGTTGTAGGCGTCAAATTCGGGCGTCCCACAGCCTTCAGCGTCTCGCCATAGCAGCCGCCTTATAAACCTCTTCCACTGCCACGTCCCACGCCAGCCCACTTGCCTTTGCAGCATTTTCGCCAGTACCATTCAATTCCTTCCGCTCTCTCTACTAGCTTCAATTCTTTCTCGTTCCAAGTGGCGTATGGCTTGCATTTCGCAAGGTGTTGGATCGCTTTACCAATACCCGAGTTCTAGAGAGTCGACAGCTCATCAGTCGTACCACAAGATCTAGGTGTGTTCTTACCTTTACAGTGTCGCGGGAGAGGTTGTGCTTGGCCTCGTCAACATCATTCAGGATTTGGCTGATCTTCGAAGGGTCAAGGGGGGGATGAACACCATTGGTCTTGGCCGCTATTTTCACCTGACGGACGAAGACAATGATTTTCTCCGCCCATCCCGCTGCGTGCCGTGCGCCTGGTCCACCTTGAATGGGCTTTGCTTTGGAGGGTGTACCACCCTTTCTCGGCCATTTCGTTGAGGTCTTGTCCAAAGGCACAGGTTCCGCCACATTCATACTTCGATTCGCTGCACCTAAGATTTCCTTGGCCATGCCGTCTCTGGCTCCGACATTCTCTACTGCATGGGTTTTAGTGGCAATCACCACCTGCTTTGCAGTGTGAACTGTCCCCACACCTGCTGTTTGCTCAGGTTTCTCCCCAAACAATTCATGCCATAATTCCTGCCTGCCAGCTTGTACATCATGCCCCTCTTCATTGTTATCCTGGCCCTCCTGACTGTCAACTTCTGGCTGTCCACAAATTGGCATGGGTGCTGCCTGAATTCTATCTTCATGAACATTTGTTGAATGGGATGATGAGGGCTGAACAATATTTGCATGTGCAACAGCTGATGCTTCAGTGCTGGTGGGGATGGTGTGAATGGGATAGTGACTGGCATTGATGATGGTGTATGGCGTGGAAGAAGAAATGCTGTGACTAGGATGCAAGTGTCGCAAATTGGAACTGAGAACAATATTCCGATGTGATGCTTTCATAGAGGAAAGATGAAGGGATGGAGGGTCATATTTGAAAGCAGAAACTGCAGCTTGGTGAACATGAACATGGATATGGATGTTGAGGCTGGAAAGTATATCTACACCTTTGGTTGAGAAAGTATGCATATTTGAATGTGAGCTACTAGCAGTGAAATGTGCATTTGTGGGACACATACCATGATTGGTCTGTGTAGTATTGGTTGTGGTGTTGAATTCAACAGGTTTGCTGAGAGCAAATACTGATTCTTGTCTTAGACGAGAATCAGAACCACTTTCTGAAATTGTAATGCTGATCTGACATAGATCAGACATCTCTTCATCTGCTAATCTAGCAATCAATTCACTGAAGAAATGAATGATACTATGAGTGATGACACTTGAAGTACATGTGTAAACAAACTTACAGGCAGATAATGTTCTCAATTGACAAAATCTGAACACTGATAGGATTTGATGATGGTAAGAGAAAAGGAGGACACTCACGTGACAGTGGGTATATATCTTTGTGCTGACTAAGCATGTGACTTAACGTCACTGGCATGATAAGCAAGATTACATCATTCAATGTCAGCAGAACAGAAATGTGTCAGCCTGATAAGTTTCACCTTCTATTTATAGTTGCCTACATTTACACAGCTAAGTTGCAAAATGTGTTGTATAATTGTCTAATTTCAGTCACAAACAAAAAGCAACCTTTAGAACGTCCTGAGACACAGTGACTTAAATGGGGATCTAAATGATTGGACATCGCCGAGATAGGCACCCATGGAGATGTTGAACGGGCACGACAGAGTTTGTGCTGCACAGGCATCCTGGACACATTCTGGAGTGGCGATTTTTATGTACATGTACAGCAGTGCTATAGCATACAAATGAGAATTTTTTTCAATTTTTTTGAGGACACAGGAGGCCCGGGATTTGAGTGGATGTGTTGCTCCCAGTCAAATTACCTAAAGATACTCATCTAGGCGAGTACATAGCAATTCTCGGGCGAAATCGGCATGTCCCATGAAGAATATCGCAACTTATTTTTCATGGGACATGCAGTTTTTGGCTGGCGGCCCAGTGGGCTGCATGTCCCATGTCGATTTCGATTCTGAGGCTTCATGGGACACACAGCCCGATATGGAAGGTCTCTGGAAACATATCAGATCTATTCGCCTAGCGACGCGAGGGAGTGCCCAATGAACATGGGCACGGCTCGTGCTGCCCATCGGCTAGATGGTGCGCACACTCCGGCCATCAATTCTGTTGCTCCGCCCCTGCTGCTCACCGCAGGGTGTGCTCGACGGCCCCCCGCCCGCCAACAGCGAGCGTGCACCAGGGCGCGTGTCCCAGGACATGCATTACATACGCGATAAGCCCCGATCGGGCTGGGCTTGCATGTCCCATGGCTACAACGCCTGTCTCATGGCTAGGAAGCTGAATGTAGGACAATGACAACAAATGTAAGCCACACAAGCATGCCCACTATAACACTTCTGCATCTTGTTAACTCAAGTATGTCACATTATCAATGCAAATTCTCTTTTCTCCCTCATCCTCACTCATCCTTGCTGTCTTGCTCCTAAAAACTGTAGTATTCATGCCCATGATGATGCCACTCACCAACAATACTCATGATTTCATCATGTGGCTGTGACACAACCCACAGACAACTTGAAAGACATAACAACTATGATCACTGGACATGACATGAGCCAATACATGGCCAGCCTTAGGCAAATTCGTGCTTCGCACCTTAAATGCAATCAACGATCCAGACATGCGAAACATTGTCATAAGAGAAAGACGTGGTCATTACGGCATGGAGACGGACCGTTGGCACATGTCCAAATGATAAGTGTTGTTGCGGGAAGATATCGTGTCATAGCCAGGTCATATCGCTCGACTCGTGGTACTCGCTGGCACTGCAGCTTATCTGCGCCTCCGAAAGCAGAATCGCATAAGATGTCACCGCAAAGGAGATCTTCTGACAGCCAAAAAGGGAGCGTCGGCACATCGATATCACCGCTGACGCAGGCCACGCGGCCAGACTGCTGCGACGGAAAAGATAGGCACTGGCTGAGCGCTGATCCTGAGGCGAGAACGGACGCTGTCGCATGCTTTAAAGTTTCGCACAAGACCATCGTGTACGTGTAGACTGCGCCGCGGGCACGGGAATGCGGGGAGGACCAGGCGGAGATGCCAGGCGGAGGAATGGAAAGACAACGAGACGGCGCAGGTCGACCTCAGGTGATGTCCAACAGGCGAATGCGCAGAGTGACCAGTAAGATGCACGGCGACGACCATGTTCCCGGACATGACGAGACAGAGCCGGTGTGACGAGAGAGACGAGCGTGCATGCGCTCATTCGCTGGAGAGCAATGTTACCACGAAAGCGAAGCACGATTGTCTTTGTGGGGATAGTTTGGGCCGGAAGAGTCCGCGAGAGTGCTTCGCGAAGAGCAAACGTGCGTGGGGGCTGACGCAGTCGAGCAATAATGGCGCTGAGCGTGGCAGGAGACGAGCAGGGACCCTGGTGACCACGGGAGCCGCGAAGAGACAGCGAGGACGGCGGAGTGGCAGAGGCTGGCGGAGGGAGAGGAAAGGAAACGGCTGACTCAGCGGTCTGGCTGTGTGCGTCGACCCACGTGCCTCAGGAAGAGAGCGTCACTGGGAGGTCGTGAATTTGACGGACGCCCTCTGCAGCTCTCCTCGTTTCAGCAGAGTTCGCAGCGAAACCTGGCCACCGTGCTGCTGCGTCTGCAGATCTCCGAACAACGGAAAACGTTCCTGTTACAACGTACGACAACAGCCGCTGACTGCCCTTCAGGTATATCTACTCGCCCCCGTTTCAGCTCGCCCTTTTCCTCTTCCTATTTCTCTCTCACCGTTAAACTGCCACAGCCGACTCACCGTCTAGTATCGGAGCTGTTTTATGAACCCAATCCAGGGTGACAAGTCTCGCCCTGAGCAACTCGATCACCACCTTCCCCCGTCTCCTCCGAGCTCTACCAATCCCACTGCACCGCCCTCTCCCACTCTTGACCCCTTCCCGCCGCACAAGGATCGTTCCGTCCATAGCTTCATCGGTCCACGTCGCACGTCTTCCATCAAGCTTCACGCCCATCCCAAATGGCCCAACGATTCCCACCCCGACTCCAGTAACTCCGGCGGGGGGCCAACGCGAGGACGCGGCTCACCTGAGCGTCCTCCGCGTAGGCATGCGGTCCGAAGAGCATCAGAGCGAGCTCTGACAATGTCCTCGTCTCATGTCTCGAGGACATCTATGTCTGATCTCTTCATACCTTCCCATTCTGCCCGGAAACCCCTGTCTCGCCGATCCTCTTCACCGTCCTCCTCGTCCTCTTCTATCCCAAGCAGAGCTGTTCCTTCGTCGTCCACTGCAGGTATCGGTCGCAAGGTCGCAGCTTCCCTAGATCTTTTCAAGGAAACCGCGGTCACTCCTAGCGAGGATGAACACCCCTACGATCATCCTCGTCCTGTGTCCGCTTCTTCGAAACGAAGGGTTGGCCCTTCGCATCCTATCAAGGATGTAGCGGAAGCTCAGTTTGAGTTCGTCAAGCGTTCGGATTGGCCGGACCGCGAGGCAGCTGCTATCAGAAGAGACAAAAGTATGACAGGCCTGGAGCGAGTGAGGACGCGGGACAGTATTATCTCTGTGTCGAGTGCAAGGGAACAGGGCGTGCGTCGGCGCAAGGCTCGGACATTTTCTGCTCGAGACACTGTTTTGACCGACCTGGTGCAATGGCGAAAGTCGGTGATGGCAGAGCATGACAGCAGCCGAGGACGGCCACAAGAGCGTAGTGTCTGGGCTGATGACTCTGCGCCGGATGCCACGTTTGGTTCCCCGGGTACTGACTCTTCTGCGTCCTCTGCTTCCTCTGCTGCCACCTATCACGGCGAGCGTACACCGTCACCCGTTTCACTTGTTCTTCCTGCCACTTTCCCCCCTTCTCCATCGCCATCTCGCTCACCGCGCAACAGGGTACCTCATGATACGACATTAGTTCCGTTGACTGCTTACCCGGACCGTCAGTTTCCTCCCTCAGATCGCGCTACTGTCCGAACCCGGTCGCGGTCGCCCACTCCCATCTACGATCATCACCCCTCTCCGCGGTATCCAACTCCTGCGTCCGAACTCACTACTTGGTCAACCGATGATGAGTCTGCCTGGGAAACGGCTTCGGTTACGACGACTTCCACCACATCCGTTTCGTCCCCCTTTCCCCTTTCCCCTTCACGCACGAGTCCTCTGCCGCAACCTATCGTCCGAAACGCGAGCGATGAGGACGAAGAACAGCAGCAAAGAGCATTGTTGTCACCGTTCGACGATATCGAGGTCGGCTCACAGGGAGTCTCGAGTGTGGAACATGGCGATCTGCCGTTAGGTTTCAATTTATCGCGAGAAAGCCTACCGCACATTCCCTTGCGGCCATTTAGGAATCAAGTTGGTGGCCATAGCGCGATATACAAGTTCACCAAACGCGCGGTATGCAAGGTAAGAATTTAAACCACGTGCTAGTACCACAACTTATGTCTGTTTCTTTTATTTTAGCCACTTGTCTCTCGTGAAAACCTGTTTTATGAGGCAGTCGAGCGAGAAGCTCCTCCTTTACTTGACTTCATTCCGCGCTATCTGGGCGTGATGCTCGTCAGTTATCGACGCGTTCCGCGGACCTCAGTCGGATCGCCCGGGGCGTCGATCCAGCCTGGCAAGGATGTTGATGTTGCCCGTCCGCCCATTCACAAGGCAGCCTCCGACACCACGAAACTTGCGACCATGGTTTCCCCCACTAATACCAGGTACAGCGTCCCCGTACCTCACGATGAGGGAGGAGACACAGATACCGGAGAAGCCGAGTTACCTGAGGTCGCGCTTGATTACAACCGCCATATTATCCCGCAGTGGTTGTTACACGGCAGACGGAGTCGCGCTCTGTCCCATTCAGATGCATCCGCAGGTGTCGCCGCTCGTCCAGTCAACCGGCGTCTGAGACGGACGCACTTGAACGGCGCCACGGCTTCTAGTCCTGACCTTGGAATGTCTGCAAACCGTTTATCGTACCTGAATGGTGGGTTCAAGCCTATGCCAAGTTCGTTGGCGCGCGGCTGTTTGATTTCGGCTGATCGGCCTGATACTGCCACTCCCACAAACTCGCCTCCCATTCCTGCCACGAAATGGCAGGCCCTCAGTGTTCCTGAAGCAGCACCTCTACCGCTGTCTGCTGGGTCCTCGTTTAACAGCGGCTGGTTTGGTGGGACTGGATCCACCGTCGTTAATACCAAATTCAAGGATCACGTCTTCAGCACGCTTTTGCGTCGGTTTTCGCGGCAGTGTCCTTCCAGCAGAGGCCGAACTGCAGCGCGTGTGGAGGACGAGGGTGACTTCGCTGACGGCGAGGGCGAGGAGGGCGAGGAGGGGTCTTTGAGCGACGACATGTTGAAGGTTAGACGCAAGAAGAAGCTGAGTCGTGTGGAGCGGTTGCGGGAGGAAGAGGCAGGCGTGACGGGCATGTCTCTTCGGCGTGTGCAGAGCGACCACCAGCTTGTGGCGCACGACAGACGAAGTACTGCGCGGGAACCGAGCGGCAATCAGCAGGAGCTATTCGAGTTCGAGCCGGAAAAGCCTCCAGATGCCGGTGCACTGTCATCGTTCAGGGACGGAGGCCGTGGTACCTTCGCTGCGCGTGCGCAGCAAGACCGTGCATGGCTGCAATTGTACCCACCTGTTCCTCGCAGCGTGTCCGATCCGCACAGCGGTACTGTTCGTAGGTCGTCTTCGGAGCCCCGCGATCCTTCGGTGACGCGCCAGAATCACTTCATTCTCATGGAGGATTTGACCGGACGCCTGAAACGGTCTTGTGTCCTTGACCTGAAGATGGGCACGCGGCAGTATGGAATGGATGCCACGCCTGCGAAAAAGAAGAGTCAGCGCAAGAAGTGTGACAGGACGACCAGTAGGACCCTGGGAGTCAGGGTTTGTGGTATGCAGGTGAGTGAACTGTAATTTAAGGATGTTTGGACATGTGCCTGCCATCATCTTTTGTATGCTGTGCTCTCTCATGTCTATCGTAAACCTGTTTTTGTACCGTGGCGCTCGAATGGATAGCTGATGCTGCTCTGAAGGTATGGAACCACGTTACCCAATCCTACGTGACCCAAGACAAGTACAAGGGTCGCGAGGTCCGTCCGGAAGACTTCGCGAGTGTCGTGGCTTCGTTCCTGCACGACGGTGAGCGTCTACTGGTCTACCAGATCCCTTTCATCTTGCGGAAGCTGTATGCCCTCGCACGCATCGTTTATCGCCTGAAGGGTTACCGTTTCTACGGCTGCAGTCTTCTCATGATCTACGATGGCGACCGCGAGGTACAAGAAACCTTACGTGCCTCAATATCGGACCACCCATCTTCGCGAAGCAAGCGGGGAGAATCGCTTGAGCGCCGGTTGGACAACCACGTCCACACCCGCGGCGCACCAGTTGCAAAGCAGGAGCATCCGCCGCTGCGTCGCTCGCATAGCGAGGATTTACTTGTCGGGCCCGTCGCAGACCGAAGCAGCCGCCGGCGCAAGCGCGGTGAGGTGCAGATCCGTATTGTTGACTTCGTGCACACCACTACCGGCAGAGATTGGCTGCCGTATCCTCCGGCAGGGCCTGCCGTGGACACGGAGGGAGTCACCAGCGGGAAGGGGTACCAGGCGGACGTTGATCCTGAGACCGGACTCATTTATGCTAGGTTCCCGCCGCATTACCCAGACCAGCCTGACCGCGGATTCTTGTTTGGCCTTATGAAGTTGGCGGAGACCCTGAAGACCATCTGGAACGGGGAACGTATACGCCGCATCAAGGCCTCTCGAGACCATTCCTCGACTGCCGACGATCAGCTTCCACCTCTTTCATCTGACGGCAAGGAGATCTTCGAGGAGATTTTCTGCACGCCGGAGGGCGAGGAGGACATGGGTATGATATCGACATAGTGAGCTTTTTAAAGCGGTATTCTCGTTGCACGCATAGTCATCGTCCATTTCCTTGACCTTTATCTTCATGTGGGATGTCTTTTTTCATCATACTTGTTCCGCTCGTTTCCGCATGCACAGTTTATTCTACTCGCACTACTCATCGCTCATTTTGCTCGGTCCTCGACCTCGTCTTCTGCAATTCACAAACTCTAGATGTCCTCATCTATCCTCCATGCATTGTATCATAAACGAAGTACTATAGCGGTAGCAGTGCATAATTCTCATACTTTCTAGCTGTTTGGTGTACTTGAGGCGAGACAGTGCGACTGCGACTGAGACGCAAACGTCAAGCAAGACGTCCATCCACGTCAGGAGCTGCTGGGTGCGCGCTGCAACTGGACCAGAACGCGTTCAATAGTGGGCCCATCTCTGAAACAGTTGGCTCTGCACGGACAAGAGAAGCCACAAGATGCCAGCGTAGTCACCCCATCGAGTGCGCAGGAGAATCATCGAAGAAGGGATGCGCTGGATTAGAGGCCCTGCAACAGCATGCTCACATAAGGTTACGAGCGTGCCTTAGCTAATTTGCTGTACTATCATTCTGGATGTACTTCTCCCGGATGTCCTTCCACTGCTTCTGCATTACCGAACGCCGGGTCAGAGATGCAATGCGCCAGTGCACGTGCGGAAGCACACATACCCCCTTGTTCCAGTTATCCCAAAACGACGTGATGGCGACGTCGAAGCCAACGCCGAAGGCGAAGGCACCGGCGAAGATGGACGTGACATACACGCCTAGAGAGCAAGCAGACGGATTTTTCAGTCCTCGGGAAATAGCGGACTGCGAGTCGCACTCACTGTTGCGCTTCACGAGGGAGTTGTAGAAGACGTTTGCCAGCTGTCGAACGTGGATAAATATGCGGCAATGTCAGGCGAATTGGACGAATAACTGACGGAGGCCATGGCTACCGATGATGGTGGTGGAGGTGGCAGAAGCTGAGAGCAGTCGGGCCGTAGGCGCATCGTGTCGGTTCGGAGATGGAAGATCGTGCCCTCTACGTGTGCACTCTTGCACCTAACCTCATCCCATGTCTACGTCTGCACTAAAACAGCTCGTTCCTAGGCTGCGTCTCGCACCACGGCCGTGCAGAGCAGCATTTATGTCTACTGGGCAGGCTCCAGACGCGCCGCCTGTACCACCAGCGCCGGGCCCGTCTGCGGGAAGCTCAGCGATGCCCGAATTATTTGCGAACCTCGCAACACCCCCGTCATCCCAGCAGGCCCAAATCCCACAGCCGCGAGCAGACATCTCACACCCCCCTGCAGCGCCAATGACTGCTTACAATCAACCTGTAAACCCGATCAGGCATTCGCGGGCAGAATTCATCACGGAAGACCTCACGAAAGAAAAGCCCAAGTATGGGGTATATGTGCAGTCGACACCGAACAACACCATCGTCACCCTCACGCGGCCGAACGGGAATCCTATCCTGACGCTTTCCGGTGGGAAAGTGGGGTATAAAGGCGCGAACAAGGCTACATTCGAGGCGTCGTCGAAGTGTGCTATGGGGGTCTTCGAGGCGCTCGCAAAGGAGCAGGAGAAGGAGGACTTGCGGTGGGAGCTGTTTGTGAGCGGCTTTGGGTCTGGGCGGGACGCGTTCCACAAGGCGTTGATGGCTGCCGACCCAACAATCAAGGCGGCGCTGAGGCGCATCACAGACAGGACACCCATTAAAATTGGAGGAACGCGGGCACAGAAGATGAAACGTCGGTAGTGCATACACGGTGAGCAATCCATTTCTACAGGTTTACTTGCACACTCAATTATTCTAGAGACAACCCGGGCATTCCCCTGCACCTCATCATCATCTATGGAGGATGTTAGTAGACCCGGCACCTCCGGTGGGTTGCCGACGAGCGAGGAGAGACAGAGATGCTTGGTGCTGCACTTATTCTCGCAATAATTGATTCCCTTGTCGGAGTGGTTGACTCTCCGTGATCCCGGATTGCGCGTGTGCATGTGTGTATGTAGTATACTGGACTCAGAACGCCTCAGTAAGGAAGAGTCGGTGAAATGAAGATCTTGGCCCGAGCTGCGCTCAGGTGTCTTCCTTATGTCATCATTCCTGGCTTACCGTGACACCAACGCGTACGTGCGGCATGGCGGTGGTCCTATGTAAATTGTCAACGCTCTCCCATCCTTGTTCTCTTCCACCACCATCTCTCCCTCTCACATCACGCCCGCCCGCTCCAGAATTTCCCTGCGCTCCGCGCACATCTTATCTGTCCCGTTCATGAACGCCTCTGCATCTACCCTGTCATTGCCGCCGCCGCGAGATATTCCGTCCACGTTTGTGGCGAGTCTCAAGAGTTGGTACGCGCCCTTCGTTCTATCATCTGACAGAGCTTAGCTCATGTGGTCACCATAGGTGGGCTGCGGGTGAGAAGGAGGGCGCAGCCAGTGAGGAGCGTCTTCTCCGGTATGTGTCTCTATCATGTCCGGCGCGCAGTCGCATGCTCACGTACTCTAGGAAATTATCTTTCTTTCGCCCGACGGGGGTGTCTGCACCCCCAACACCGAGCGACGATGTCCCCGTCGTAGCTCGCAGTATGCGGATTGAGCTGTCTGATCCGAAGCATTATCTCAATACCCTGGCCATGACCTCCACATCACCCGCGAATACAGCATACCCCCCAGCTGTCCTTTTACATGGCTACGGGGCTGGGCTTGGTTTCTTCTTCCAGAATTTCACTGCACTTGGGAATTGGGCCGGTAGGCGTGGAAGCTCGGTGTACGCGCTTGACTGGCTGGGTATGGGTCGTTCGGCACGTGTGCCGTTCTCTGTCAAGGCCAAGCGGGATGACGTCCAAGGGAGGGTCGCTGAGGCAGAATCATTCTTCGTCGACTCGCTAGAACAGTGGAGGCAGAAGATGGGCCTCGAGAGCATGACGCTCATCGGACACTCGCTTGGAGGCTACCTCAGCGTCGCCTATGCGCTGAAGTACCCCGCTCGCGTGGGCAAGATCATCTTGCTGTCCCCTGCAGGCGTACCGAGAGATCCAAACTCTACTGTGTACTCGCGCGAGCTGACGGACAGCCAAGACACGGGCGCCTCTGATTCGGACCACGCGGAAGACATGACAAAGTCGCGCTTGAAGGACCTCAAGTCCAGCCAGAAGCTGGAGCAACGCAAAGAGAGTCGGTCGCGGCGGCTGTTCACATATCTATGGGAAGAGGGCTGGAGTCCGTTTCAAGTTGTTAGATCGACCCTCTTCTGGGGACCGATGCTGGTGGGCAAATATTCCAGCCGACGGTTCATCGGTCTGAGTGAGGAAGATACGAGGGCAATGCATGATTACATTGTCAACATCACTCTGGCGAAGGGATCTGGGGAATATTGTATATGTACGTCAGCATTTAATTTCTAACGGCAACATGTCTCATATCTGCTCTTGTAGCACACTTGCTGGCTCCGGGAGCTCATGCTAGATTGCCTCTCGTAGATCGCATCGCGGCTCTAAAGATTCCCATCACATTTGTTTGTCAGCATCTTTCTATAAACTGCACTCGTTATGTATAGTCTAACCATAGACTACAGACGGTGAACATGACTGGATGGACCCTGAGGGCGGCACAGAAGCTGTAGAGAATCTTCGCCAAGCAGGAAACGGACAAGGGAAGATGTACATTGTGCCTCACGCTGGACATCACGGTGAGTGAAAGTCATAACTAAATAGTCGCGACGGTTTTGAGTGGCTGATTCGCTTTTAGTATACCTGGATAATCCCAAGGCTGTAAACGATTTGCTCGTAAAGGAATTAGATCGTCATAGGGTGGATTGGTGAGTGGTATAGCCGGAGCTGTGCTAAATGGCTTGCTTCGCTTTCGGACTGGTGTATATGGGATATCGGTTGCATTCATAATACTAGTGATGACCTGACATCTTCCGGGACAGGGATCGTATGTAGAACTTCGCACACACATTATGTACATTCTGTGCAGCTAATTGCAATATGTATTTCGCTCTTAGGCCACGGAGAAAACTCTCATTTCCGTCTGTGGCTTGTAAGCGCCCGGAATCGGCGTCTTTCCTTACGATCATGACTTCGGATTTCCTTGTTGACTTGAGCACCTTGGACATGAGGTAACCGTCAGGCGTCGAGGTCTCGGAGATCCACGTTTCATTTCACTGTACCCTCCCCATACTGGTGCTGCTGATACAATCTAGCTCTCTGACGATCACAACCGTCATTTGCCTGCAATACATGTCCATTTGAGCTTGATATACCGTCACTGGTGCAGCAACTGTCGGACAAAATATCACGCCGGGTCGTCTCGCTGAAGCAAGTCTACGCCCATTGCAATGGCAAAAAAGAAGGGGCCTCCTTACAAGGATGACCCGCAATGCAAGTACATTGTGATCGACGACCCATGGCCAGGAAATTTGACGGGCAAGGAGAGGAATAACTATTATTACAACTGGATTGGGGCATGGGTCTTCTTCATGCTAGGCAAGAAGGCCGGCGAGCCCATCTGTATTTACTCGGTCAACACGGTACGTGAGGCGCTTTCCAGCCTATGTTCCTTGCAAGCGGCTAGACTGAACATTGAATATTGATCTCCGGCCTGTTTCGCGGCCAGCGACGCGAAGTGATCGTGAAGCTTTCGGAGGGAATTGATGTCACCTCCTTCCTTGGTGCGCATCACTGGAGTGTCTTCCTGCGAATGCATCGCCCGACGGATGCAGAGCGTGTGTCGTGCGTGTTCCCCTACAACTACCGCATGAAAGGACACCCCGAGAACCGTAGGTCCCGATTCTTGCGCGACTATCCCGACCCTGCATTGTAGCTCCAGTTGCGGTCACGCTCCATAGCTGACTCTGTCTCTAGATAACTGGACAGAGAACTTTCCTATCGGGGGAGAGCCTCCACCGCATCTTAAATTCCCCGTGAAGTTTCCCTACCCCCCGCCTACCTGGGCGTCCCCGGATCATAAGAACGCGAAAGACATATCGCTCCCGTTGCCTGCATCGCGTCCCCAGCCGCCCCCTGTGAGTCACGCGCTTGATCAATCTGGATCAGGAGTGCTTTTGTAACGACAGCAAATTTGACTGCATTTACTGTGCAGAACGCATTCGATCCCTACCAACCTCCTGCGCATTATGACCCGGCATTAGCCGCAGACCCGTCAGATGCGCCTGAAGAGCCTGAAGAAGAGTCTGAAGAAGAGCCTGAAGAGGTAGTTATCAAGGCCGAGCCAGAACGTTCGTGGCAGACATAGCTCTCGCCGTCCTTCTGTGTTGTCCTCACTGTGGTTACTGAGCAGCAGAGTTATACGTCCGTACCAAAAATGATCCATACGAAGAAGGTTAGTTTTCCTATGATTATGAGTCCTTGTGTCCGACCGGCTCTTACCATTTGTTCTCATATGTAGAGGATGCTGCGCTGCAATTCCTCAAAGCGGAGCCTGTGGATGACCACGTCCCCATGGAGCAGGAGATCACAGACACACAGATCAAGCAAGAGGTCGCTGAAGCAAATGTCAAGCAAGAGCCTCCTGAAGCTCCGATCAAGAGAGAGGAGCAGCCAGAAGGTGCATGTTCGATTACGACCTCCGGAATACATTGACCTTACAGTGAATCTCAAGAGAACACCCCATCTGAAGCTTTCATGGCTGCATTTGCAAGGTTGCAACAACGGGGTGAACGAAAATTCATTTCTGCTGTGCTTCTATCAGTCTAATCCCGTGTGTTGGACTCCAGCTCTCGAGAATTCGGCAAGTCAAGCTCCCACTCGTCCCCCAGATACGAGTAAGCGCTTCAAACATTGTCTCTTCATGACATCCCTGCTCAATCACTTGCAGGCGCGAGCCCCCATATATCAGTCATTGAACCCTACATCCCAACCCAATCCGGTACCTCTGGTTCGGGTGTCTTAATATTCTTCGGATTCCCATCCTCATCCTTACTGCGGCGATTAACAGCTCCGAGGGTGAAACCGGAGCCTCAAGAGGGTGTGATACCTCCTTTCAGCCATACTCATGCTCCTCGATACAACCCCGGTCCTGTAGTTCTATCCACTTCGGGTTCTGGTCCATCTGCGTTAGGTCGGGACCTACCTTTGCGTTGCTCACGGAGCGCAGACTCTCATTTTTATTCATCGGCCAGGTATGCGGGTCAAGCCTGAGCCGGAAGATCGTCCGTTACCTTCGGGAATGCCAGCTCGTGAGTGTCGCATTTCTCTGCGTTGTAAGCTAGTCTTGGTCAACCTCTACACTTGAACCAGGATATGGAGATGCAAGACAAAGAGCGCTTGGTAGGGTGCTGTCGCCTTGTCACTGCACTCCAACTCACTGTAGCGCTTTTTGAATTAGAGTCGACCAATACAAACAGGACTTCTGATCCCAGACTATTAAATCCAGAGTGTGAGGCATCCTGCTCATTTTGGTTCCCTTATTTCCTCACTGCTAGACCTGACATAGTATCGTCAAAGAGGGTCAAATCAGAGGATGAGGAACGTACGTCCGCTACCTTTCCAAAAGTTCTCAACGTTGAGATCGATCTCCAGCAGAATCTACGAAGCGTATAAAGACGGAAGAATATGACCGTTGAATTTCAGCACACAGTGAATGACGATGTTTTTGGAAAGGTCATTTGCAATCATGATATCACCTCATCATTCCCTTAAATGCCGTGACGCCTTTTATCGCTGGGAACTCGTCCAAGGTGACTTTGAATATCTGACTATTTATTCCTTTGCCTTTCCTTTACATCCAGCGACGACCGGATTTGCGGCTGCACGTTTCTCTCGTTCTGACCAACTACGGGCGGTAGACCGACAGTAACGTGCAGTGGCTGTCTCTTTATGGAGGTAGTTGTGCATACCCCATTCTGGACCTAATCTTATTCCGTGGATTCCGACGTGGCCTGGTACGCCTCTAAGTCTCAGAAAAATTTCTGTTGGCTTCGACTCCTAGATCACCGTGGTGTGCGAGCAGTTGCGGTCACTACATAACACCTATGAAATAAGACGCCTTGCGATACCTCATCTGCAGCCGTTTATGCCGAAATTCTAATATCGAGGAAAGGCATCCTATTTCTCCGATGATCTCATCCCTACACGCTGACCATACGGCATATCCAGGTATCGTCCTCAAGCCAAGCCTACCTTAAGGCGACGCGTCATCTCAACTGGAGTCGCGACGGAGCGCATGAGGATCACGATCAAAGATTAATCGGGGCGCAACATGATCTTCGCCGAAGCGCAAGACCGTTGGTGGTCGGTAAAGAGCTTCACTCAATGGGAGGCGCCTTCACTCCTTGCGCTGCTTTACTTGCCACTGTCTGGATGGTTATGTGTGTGCGGATGCTAATGTCTCTGTGAGGATCCCAAATCGGTCAGCCTTGTGAACTCATATCCACTGCTTAGGGCTAGTATCATCTCGATCGGGAGCGTTTACCTGATCAAAAGCCTACCCACTTGAGATTACACATCCTTAACCTCCTGCAAGGATAAACACGGTCGTCGCGAGCCCCTTAACCCGCACCTTGTGCCTATCTGCATTCGTTGCTTCACCTGCCCGCCTGAACATTATGAAAGTTCTCATTCTTGGGTATGCATGGCCCACGATCACTCACCACCTTCTCTGATGGAGGACTCATTCTCTTCCTGCCTTTCTCAGCGCTTCCGGATTCATCGGTTTCCCTGTTGCACAGGCGTTCGTACGCGCAGGGCACATCGTCTACGGTATTACCCGTTCAGAGACCAAGGCAAGGCAGCTCGCAGCTGAAGAGAGTACGTAAACGCGATTTCAGACTTCCACTCTACCTACCTGATGATCACCCCTATCTCTTACAGTTATCCCTATCGTCGGAGACGGCAACGATCGCTCCACCTGGCTGCCTCTCGTCGCAACTCTCGATGTGCTCGTCGATGCGACTGGCGGAACGGACGTGTGGACCATCGGCCCGGAAAACCTGAACGCCACGGTCGACGCCGTCAAGCAATACCGACCTGCCTCCGCGCCGAAGCTGGGTTATATCTACACTTCCGGTATTTGGGTCCATGGCAATAATCGCAAGGACATCCTCACGGACACGACTCCCATCACCACGCCCGTGGAGATCGTCAAGTGGCGGCCGGAGCTGGAGCAGAAGGTGGTGACAAACCCGTTTGTAAACGGAGTAGTCATCCGCCCCGCGCTCCTTTATGGCCATTCAGGGTCGCTGTTTGCTTCGCTGTTCCAATCAGCGTTTGAGGGCTATGTAAAGTGGTTCGGCCCTGCCGGAGGCCGTTTGTCCCTCATCCACCGAGACGACCTTGCGAACATCTTCGTGCTTGCGGCGGAGAAGTCGTCCATAATCCGGGGACAGATTTTAGACGCAGCCAACGACTTTACGGAGAGCACGGATGATATTCTGCAGAAGCTCGTCGAAGTCTCTGGAGCGAGCGGATACACCTATATTGAGCCCACCAATTGTCAGCACTCACCTTCGGCGGACATTTGTGCGATGTTGACTTTGCTCACATATAGTATTCGAAACCGCCACCGTCACCTCCGCCATCATTCGACCCTACCTTGGTCGCGCCCTGCTTGGTTGGCAGCCGCGCAAGGCCGGCGTCGTGGATCACTTGGAAATCTACTACAATGCGTGGAAAGCTAGCGCACGTCTCTGATCCGACCGATTATGTTCCTGGGCTGTTCGTTCTCAAAATGTGCCAGAGAGCCTGTACCGTGATATGTTGTGTTACTGAGTTTGTGGATCATGTAAGGGCTGCACCGTGTTGTCCGTGGAAAATCAAGAGCGATAGTCCTGTGGATCTGGTACTACACAGAAGTTACGGTGGACTCAGCTATGATATTGATCTCGTTCAGATTCTCTTCAGCACTTCCTCCGTCACCTCCTGAGTCTTGCTCTTCCCGCCTAGATCGGGCGTGAGCACACGTCCGTCCCGGATGACCTCGTCAACTGCTTTGTCGATCCGCGACGCGCCGGTAGTGTACCCGAGGTATTTCAGCATCAACGCTGCAGAGCGGATGGCTGCGAGCGGATTCGCGATACCCTTCCCAGCGATGTCGGGTGCAGAGCCGTGTACTCTGAATATGCGACAGGCTTAAGGAAGAGGGAGAACATTCGTAATAGATTGTGCAGACTCACGGTTCGCCCATCACGAAGGAATCACCGGCGTTAATGGAAGGTACCAGGCCTAGTGAACCGACGAGTGCCGCAGCAGCGTCTCTGTCGCTTTAGGTCAGCAGGAAGACGTTTGGTTATAACAGTGGCACGTACGATAGAATGTCGCCATACAAGTTGGGCGCGACCATGACATCGTAAATCCTGGGGAAATTAGCGGCTGTCAACGAGTGTGTGGGATGGTATTGGGATGAAATTTACTGGGGCTCTCGGAATAACCTTGCATTGCTACCATTTAGATGACAGAGACGCGAGGAGGGGATAATCCACGCACCGGTACACTGCGCTGTCGACGATCTGCTCCTCCACCTTCACACTGTCGTACCTTCCGTCCTCCGCAAGTCGAGGAACGCTGCGCACGCTCTCCCTGAAGAGACCATCCGTAACAGACAGGACGTTCGCCTTGTGAATGATGGTCACTTGCTTTCGCAGCCTTCAGAAACCATTTTTAAATCAGAAAGGAAGGGATTACCTTGCGCGGCCTCTGGAGTGCAATCTCAAAGGCCATTTTGCCTATCCGGCGAGAGGCGCGCTCGGTGATGAGGCGGATAGCACGAGCCTCTCTACCGTTCTCAGTGGGAATGATTGTCTCTTCTTTGACATACTACGAAAGTTTTGCTCCATTACTTGAAGTAAATAAATGTAATGATCAGGACCCACCAGACACTCCGTATTTTCGCGTACGACAACTAAGTCGACGCTCGGCCTTTCCTCGGGAGTCGGAGCCACCTACGTAGGCAATGAAGATGAAGATAGTGAATAGGTAGAGTAGCTGACGTACAGCAAGTACCGGCCTGATGTTAGCGTACAGGTCCAACTTCTTGCGGAGCGCGACAATCGGCGAAGAGTACCCGCTAACCTTCCTAGACGGCGAGCTGATAAAAAAATAAAACCATAGATTCACGCAGGAAGTTCAAAGAGCACATACCTGACTGCACCGAAGAGTGCACAGTCACACTCCCGCAGAGCTCTAGTTATGACATCAGTCCCCCACCAGACTACTACAGGGTTCGGAGCTCACTCAACAGTCTCCTCAGGCAGAGCCGTCCCTGACCTGGCAAAGAGCTCAAACCCCGCCAGCAAGTCTACAAACTGAAGCTTGGGGACGTCCGAGCCGAGAGCCTCAATGGCACTGCGCGCTGCAGGTATGACCTCATGCCCGATGCCGTCTGCGGGGATCAGACCTATCTTCAAAGTATGGCGAGCAGCGGTAGCCATCGACCGGAATGGGGCACGAAAGGCCATCTTGCAACAGTCTAAGTGAACTCCAGCACGTTAGAGCGAAGTAAAGTCACCTCTCGAGCCTGTGAGAGCCACTACTGTAGCCAATCAGAGCGTGCTCACGCGAAATTCTCCGGTCACGCGATCTCGACGCGTCTTGAAAATCCGAACTGCAGCCGATCCACAGCCGAACCAGCGTATGTTGCGAATCTGCATCTGAAAAATTCTGGTTATGTAAGTAAAGAAAATATCAAACGACTGTAAACTGAGGACCAAGATGATCACTAGCCCTAATTCTTCTCTTGGTAAAATCATGTAGATCCTGTAAAGGCTGTCCGAAAAAGCAGCGAGTTGTGACGCAATTTGTGTCTTATGGATCGTTTTAAAAGGTCAAACAAGGGAGAAAAATTGATCATTCCCGCAGAGTAGTAAGCAAATGTAGACATGGTGGACAGATCGCAGCGTCTATACCGAGTGGAGGGCCGGTGGAGGGACGCGGTCACAGGAACGACGCGTCGCGACGCGTAGTGATCACGTGCAATTGCGTTTATTAACCCGGCGTGGCGCGCCACATCACCTCTTCATCTAGCGACCTTTGTGATGCATTCTCCATCCAGTTCTCATCCGCGACCTGCGCTTGTCAACAGAACAAATGTCTCCGGCCACGATAACTCTCAAGGTGTGGCTTTCGGCTTGGCCACTCCACAAGCCAGTGGCCGCAAGCGGCCACACGGACACTTGGACGAACCTGAAAAGAAACGCCTGAAACTTGATGTCAAAATCAAAGAAGTATTTGACGATAGCGACAGCGATAGTGATGTTGAGATGGAAGATATTGTGTCGGTCAGGTCCAGAGAACGCAAAAGTACAGTTTTCAGTCTACGAACCGGAGCTATGTCCGCCCCTTCCTTTACGGTTACGCGACACTCGCCATGTGAGTCCAGATGATTGCTGTTTCTACTACAATCATTGAAAGATATATCATAATCTCTTAAAGTGCCGACACGATCCATCCTTCAGTCATTCGTGTCATCTCACAAAGCTGATATGTTCAAATGTCACTCTACATCATCAAGCTCATATATGACCATTCCATATTCATGTGCATATTCTTATGGTAAGTTTGTGTGTGTTGCACATGCACCTGATGACCAAGTGACTTCGTAGGTGCTAAATGGGGCGGAACGCCCCTGCTGGCCGTAGCCACGGAGCAGGGCAGTGTACATATCCTCGACACCTCCAAAAGACAGGAGTGGGACATAGGTATTTCTCCGTGTTTCTATTTCAACTCCAGCTCATTGTCGTTCCAGACATATCGCAACGCGCTACCTTCCACCCGCACGCAAACGGCATCTTCGACGTCAAGTGGTCTCCCTCAGATACGCTCATCGCAACCGCGTCCGGCGATCACTCTACACGTATAACATCACTAGCGTCCTCCGTCTTGTCAGAACATAAAACTCTGCACGTTCTGCGGGGCTCTTCTGGTACGGTGAAATGCATTGCGTGGGACCCGCTAAAGGATGGGACGGTCCTGTGCACCGGAGGAAGAGATGGTAGTATATGCGTGTGGGACCTACGAGTCAGCGAAGGACGAGGACGCGACGAAGTCGAGACAGGCTCAATCGCACCGGTCATCGTCATCCCGAACGCCCACGGCGCCCCCTCCAAGCCGAAGGGCAGAAAGGGTAAGCTCGCCCCTGCTGCGCCCCTCCGGAGCATCACAAGCTTGGTGTATCCCGAAGGAAACCCGTACTGCGTGGTCAGCAGCGGTTCTTTCGACGGGTACGTCTAGTTACATACATATCCCTGCCGCTGAAATATGCTCACCGAAATTCTAGCATTCTGCGGCAGTGGGACTTCCGTCTTCCCAGCGAGTCGACTACAACCAAGAAAACCAAGAAAGTACCCAAGGGTCCTCCCAAACCGGTCTGCACGTCCTCGACCGATCCAACGACGTATCGGGGCACCCGCCGTATGCGCGGCATCACCAGCATCACAGTCGGTCACGGCCTATCAGCGGGGCTGCTCTTCGGACTCGGCACGGACTCACGCGTGCACACATACCAATTGCCCTCGTTGGAACCCCTCTCGGGCTATGCGCCAGAAGGGGACGACAGCTGGGCGTACACACACGTGAACATGCAGACGAACTCGTTCTACATACGCGGGGCGATGTCGCCCTGCGGACGGTGGCTCGCCAGTGGGGGCACGGCCAACGGGCGCGCATTCCTCTTCGAAGTTGGTACCACCGCATCTGCGGGCCGCGCGATGTTGGGCGGCTACGCGCATACCAGGGTGCCCATTGCGGTGGAGTTGCATGGACATATGGGCGAAGTCGGCGCGCTGGATTGGGCCCAGGATATGCTGGCCACGTGTGCGGATGATGCGACTGTGCGTGTGTGGAGACCGGACGTGGATGTTCGCCAGAGGTGTGCTGAGGATGGCGAGGCGATGAGGTGGCAATGGAGCTGGGCAGGGATGGATTGAGGCGACTTGATACCGGAACGTGTAAAATCATCAGGTAATATGAGTACTTTCAAGGATTGCCAACATCTGGCAGCGGGAGTATGGCATACCCTTCGCAGGGAAGCTATGACCTGCAGCGGGTGATGGCATGAGCGGGAATCGTCTGTTGCATCTGGCGTCCAGTGCGAAGATTGCCATAGTTTCCCCGAGGTCAATCTACACCGTTTCCAGCTTTACACTGAAAACATTGATCAATGGCGGTGCGTGCTTCTCATTAAACCAGTGCGGGCATTCGACAGCACGCCAATATCACGAGTGAGTCGAGCTGGCTCAATGACACGCTGGAACTGTGAGGCGCAAGGCTGGACTTCATATCCTGGTCGCATTTCAGCATGGTCTGATGACTTGAAGAACTGGCCGCGGAGTAGGGCATGTTACGCCGTCTTTCTGAGTGAGCCCGATCTTGGGTCGCCGTCGACTCGCCGACGCTGCAGCGGGTGCGAGTGTATGTCCGCTTTGCTTGATCCGCGTGTGCAAATGACTCTGCAGTGCAGAATCTTGGAAAGCCCGTAGTGTCATGCACAACGAAGGGGCATACTAGGATCAGCTCTAACGGGAGGTGCCGCATCAAGCTTGAGGCGCTGCTAGTAGTACCCGCGATGGTGGCGGTGACAATCTGTACCTTCACGAATTTAAATCACGAAGCAATGTTACATAGGCCAAAAACCTTGGGGCAACATCGTGCCAGTGCTTGCCTTAAAGCTTAACCATTCACAGGGTCGCAATATCCTTCATAATGCACGAGAAACATGTAGCTGGCACACGTGCTACAATTAACAAGACCCGGTGCTCTAAGCTCGCTGCTCCGGAGAGCCTGAGAAAGGCGAAAGAACAGCATGTCGGTGCATTGGAAGTCCAAGTAAGTCCGAGGCAATGGTACATTAAACGTCAAATTATCATACGAAAGTCCTCACTGCTCTCCCCGCTCAGCTCAAAGGCAAAATCTGGACGCGTACTCCATAACAGCTTTCGTAATCGTAGCCATCAGTGTTGTTGGGCGATGCCCGGTAGACAATGTTGTTCTGAACGTAGGGTGGCTCGCCCAGGAGGCACAGCGAGAAGCCATCCGTGGAGCCATTGACAGCAAGCGCTGCGTACTGGTAACCTCCCGCCGGATCGGGATCGGCCTGCGAAGTTTAACAAAATTAGCATACTGGACTTTCGGCTCACAGTCATAACACTCACCACACCGCAGTAGATCTCAGCGGGAGGCGGTGGGTTAACAGTGAAGACCCAGAGGAGCTCTTCGCCAGAGAAGATATTCGCATCAACGCCGTTGGAAGCAGCACCATCCGCGGAGTAGGGGATCAAAGCTCCATCGATGAGCGAAAACGTAGTCCAGTCAGCATACGAATACGTGGCCCACGTCTATTAAATCAGTTTTATTCATTGTGACCGCACTCCAGCAGACGCGCAGACTCTCACCGAAAGAACCCCAAAGGATTCACCATCTACCGCTCCAGCCTGGCCAATCACTAGGGGGGCCCCAGTGTCGTTGGCATTAGGAAGGGTCCAGTTCCACGCTGCAAGAGTGAAGTTGTATTCAGTGGGGAACGAAGCTATGCCTAAACCAGCACATGGATCACTCTGGCGAGTGGTCAACATAGGCAAAGCATAAGATACGGCGGTGAGTGCCAGAGAGGAAAGCGCGAGGGCAAACATTGTGAAATCAACAAATGTGAAGCGTGTTGTGGTGAACGAAGGGAACAATATTCAAAACCTCGATGGGGTCCAACCAGGAGACCGCTCCAATTTATATGTAAAAGACCTCTCGGAACTTGAAGGGGAAGAACGGCTAACCCACTATAGTGTTGATATATGAATGACATCGGAGCGGACTTTGCACTTGTTCGAAACATGGTACAGCGCCTTCCGTCTCAGCATCACATCAAGCGTTCCCTCAGACGGCGAATACTCACCTCTCCCTGGAATCTAACAGCTGATCATCTGTCCGTGGACAAAGCGAGGCACGTAATCCCGCATGCTTGAGGCACCTCAACCTCGATGTGGCAGATCCCTCCATCGCGAATCCGGTTCTTTGAGGCCGGCCGGGAGAATTATTGAATGCACAGCACGTGATCTGAAGACGCGTTCCATCAATGCGTTGGCGGTGTTTTGTTTTCTACGAAGCTGTGCTGGCACCTAGCCTGTCAATCGCTGAATGAAATGTTTGTAGATGCTTAGCACGCACATCCACTGAGGTACAAGTTGGTTGCTCCCTGAACATCGTGCTAAGTTGAAGTTGGCCCATCAGCACAGTCGGTATCAACGTAAAGCTGTACGAGGCTGGCGGGGAGAGGGTGAGCACATGCTCAGGCTGCTGGGCCCCATCAAAGCGTTTCACTCACATTCCTACCAGCATCATTGGGAGTGATTGAGGTTGTATCATGAGCCCTAAAAGACTTGGCATGAAAACAAAGTCCTCACACCAAGGGCCAGCTGACATAGCTCCAATCGTATCGACGACTGAAAGGATCTTCTCCCTCCTGCCCGCAGTAAACGACAACAAGTTCAAGATGACAAGCGTGGACACTCACCTCGCCACATGAGCTGTGGACATCAATTGCGCAGAAATCCGGAAATCTACCAGGTTAGAGCAGACAATATTGTGGGATGCTTTATTTTAGCTTCTTGACTGGATTGAACTTGAAAACGGAGATCAGGCCTGGAAGTGGAAGCTGAACAAATGATAAAATTATGCCGTACTAAATAAGTATGCAATAGATGGTCCAAACGATAACAAGAAAATGCAATATGCGATAGCTACATATGAATGGCCCAAGGAGAGGTAGCGAGCAGCCTATTGTTTCTGAATGGCGCTTACCAACCTGGAATATTTGATTCAGTATCACTGAGCACGAAACTCGACGGAGTAGACACAAACCAGTCCAAGCCATCCTCCAGGCCATCGCCCTTCAATGCACAACTCCCCCTCACACTCCATGGCCGCTCCTTTTCCCCACCAGCGAGCCCGAGCTGCTCACTGATTTCCTCAGGTTTCAGAGCACCTTCGACGTCCTGCTTATTGCAGAAAACAAGCAGTGGTACGCCATTGAGCTCGTCCTCGGAGAGCATTGTGAGCAGTTCCGAGCGCGCAGTGGGTAGACGGGTAACGTCGGAAGAATCAATGACGTAGACGATTGCAGAGGTGTTTGGGAAGTAACACCGCCAATATGGCCTGACAGAAGGTCGCGATCATGAAGGTGATACACGGAAGGCAGGCATAATGACACACCGAATACTTGATTGACCACCTAGATCCCAGACTTGGAATTTGACGTTTTTGTACTACACGGCGACATGTTAGCGTGTACACTATCTTAAGACAAGGTCAAGAGACTGACCTGTACAGTCTCAACATTGAACCCAATCGCTATATGCTCCCCGAATCAGTGCCTCGGACCGTAGACGGCACGGAAGACATACTTGGTATTGTTGACACGACTTCGCCAATCTTGTGCGGTGGGAAGAATGGACATAGTAAGATTGGCCGTATAACAGTGCGAGATGTGGCAGAACAGTACCTGTAACCTGTACAATATAGTCGTCTAGCAAACATACCCTCCTTTTCAACGACGCATTCCGCGCAACTTGATCCAGCCTGCGTACCTTGCCCGCCGAGTCTAGACCGAGCATTAATATCCGGACATCTTGTTCTTTTCCCCAGTGAACGAGAGAGGATATTGAGGACCAAAGACTGGACATTGACAGACCCATAACAGGCGAGTGGGGGGAGGTGAGCGGTGGTGGAAAGCGTTGCAAGCAGTGCCTGAGACTGGACTCGCCAGTCAGCCAGATTATTGGGCGCTTGTACTTACGAGTATATGTCGCTTACATATACCGGTCCCAAAATTAGATCCGTGTCATTCCCAGAAAGGCAGCTGTAGCAGTCGCCTTGCTTCCATCCATTCAGCGTTGCCGGGAACATTTCTGCGCTCTCATGTCCGTCGATACCGGTGATGACTCTCACGAAAAATCTACACGAAAGTCACGGAATGCTAGGGAGATGCTCTCTGTCGACGTGAAGGACGACACCACTCACACGAGGATGTCAAAGCCACAACCGAGGGAAGCCGTACCTTCTGAACTCGACGTTGTTCAGCTCTCTGAGGGGGTGAAGTTGAAGGAAAAGAAGACGAAAAGGAGAAAAGCTGAGGAAGTAGTTGATCCATCTCAAGCTGAAGACGTGACCATACTTGAACCTGACGCTGTTCAGCTCTCCGAGAGCGTGAAGCCGAAGGAGAAGAAGAGGAAAAAGAGAAAAGTCGCGGAAGGAGTTGATCGCTCTCAAGCGGAAGATGCCACTACGGATTTTTCTGCTGCTGACACCGGCGAGAGCAAACCTGAGAAGAAGCTCAAAGACAAAAGAAGACACGAGAACGAAAAGACGCGGGAACCAGAGGTCGCGGAAGGGGATGGGGACGGAGAGAACAGAACGAAGCTAAAGAAGAAGAGGAAGGGAAATGAAGACCGGCACGCTGTCGTTGAACCTAACGCTGGACCAGGACCTTCGGTGGACGGGGTAGAGACGTCTGAGAAAAACTTAGTGGTTGATAAGGTTAAAGGATATCAGGTGCATGGAGAGGACTCGAGTGGAGAAAGCGAGGTTTTGTCCAGGGAGTCGCGTAAAAAGGAACGTGCGCGGGAGGAGGAAAGGCTTATGGACGCAAAGGATGCAGAGAGAACAAAGAAGAAAGAGGAGAAGAAGAAGCGGAAAGAGGTCGCAGAAGACGAAACGACCACCACTGTTGCTCATAAACCCAAACAGAAGAAACACAAGTCCCACTCGAACCGATTAGGGTTCGCGAATCCGAGCCAGGACGAATCTCTAGCGGACCAGTCGCGCAAAGGTACGCATGTAATCGCTTTATTTTCTCCGCGGAGTCTCTCAAGCTGTACGATTTTTCAGCACTTGGCTATGCCTTCGTCTATATTACAGAGCCTGAGAAGTGGAAATTCAACAAAGCTCGACAGAATTGGCTCATTCGCAACGTCTGGTCGTCGGACGCCGTAAGTGCTCAATTCATTCCAATAATTGCTATCATTACAATTCATGAACCTAATCTCTCTCACCTTCTCACAGATCCCAGAGGTATACATGCCGCTACTCACACGATATCTGGCTGGCGTTCAGGGAGGTGTCCGGGAAGTGAGCGCTATGTTCCGCTAGCCCGTTGTCTACGTCCTGATCCTCAATACTGATCTACTCTGGTTCGCTTTTCAGATATTGCTCAAAACATGTCGAGACCTCCTCGCTTCGCCATCGCAAATGGTTCCGTCTACTGATGCTGCAGAACCATCGACAAATGAACCTGCTGTGGTTGCAGATGCTAGCGCGACGAAGCAATTGCGTGCCGCAGCATTGGTAGCTGTTCTCGAGCTCGTGGACGAGGCGTCGTCGGTAGATCATCAATGAAATCTGACATCTCGGTCTCGTTCTCAGATCCCACTTCTGCGTGACTGCGATCAACACGGAGCTCGACGCATATCCTCGAACAAAGCACTCTTGTTTTGCTCTCGCACTACAACACGACTTTACATCTTGCTATCGAGAAGCTATCGAGAAACGGTACCGATACTTCACAACACGCACGGAGTTGAAACACTCAGATATCCGTTCACGCAAGGCGGCAGGTGCGGCCGTCACTGCTCAAGCAGCGACTGCAACAGGAATGGGTGCATGCAACGACTCCACCGGAAGTGTCAAACCAGGAACGGCCAAATTCTCCATCACGGACGCCCTGTTTACTCCAGGCTCCACGTAGGGACCGAGGAGGTCGTTGAATTTCTCACGAGTGACCCTAACAGCCCGAGTATCCACAACACCCTTGTCACCGGCCCGCAGAACGCGAGGCGCAGTACCGTCCAACAGACCGAGGTGCGTCTCCTCCCAGATCGGGTGCACCGGCTGCGCGTTGGGCATGCCCACGTTCGCGCGACCGCCCTCAGCGCGCCAGTCCGACGTGCGCTTGCAGCCAAGCTCCGTAAACGTCTGGTCGACCGCCTTCACGACGTGGATAATCTGGTCGAGGTTGTGTCCGGGGGTGACCGTGAAGCGTAGGCGTTCATCGCCACGAGCAACCGTAGGATAGTTGATCGACTGCACGTAGATGTTGTGTCTCGAAAGGAGTGTGTCCGAAGCGAGCTTGGCAAGAGCGGGATCGCCGACGAGAACGGGGAGGATGTGCGAGGGACCAGGAACAACAGGGATGTCGATAGCCTCGAAGCGGGCCTTCATCTCGCGCACGTTAATCTGCTGAAGCTGACGGTCACCGAGATACTCCTTTTGGTACGAGATGCTGGCGCGTGCACCGGCCACGTTCACCGGCGGAAGTGAGGTCGTAAAGATGAAGCCAGCAGCATACGACCGAATCATGTCGACGAAATCGGTGGAACCTGCGATGTAACCGCCAATAGCGCCGTAAGCCTTGCCAAGGGTGCCTGCAAGGCAAGTAATGATACAATTAAACCGTATCCTCACGACATGAATTTTAAACTTACCAGTGATGATGTCAACGCGATCCATCACCGTGCCTTTGATAGGCTCAGAACTCTGTGCGGCGCGCTTGTGGAGGTTCCAATCGAGATGCTCGGCGACGCCAGCACCGCGGGGCCCGTACAGACCGACAGCATGGACCTCGTCGAGGAAGGTCAATGCGCCGTACTGCTCGGCTAAATCGCAGATCTGGGCGATAGGACCAATGGTCCCGCACATGGAGTAGACACTCTCGAACGCGATGATCTTCGGGGTCTCCTTGGGGTACTGAGCCAATTTGCTCTCGAGATCCTCCATGTCATTGTGCTTGAAAATGACGCGCTTTGCACTAGAGTGCCTCATCCCCTGGATCATAGACGCATGGTTCATGCTGTCCGAGAAATAGACGCATCCCGGTAACTTAGACCCCAAGGTCGCGAGCGTCGCGTCGTTCGCCACGTAGCATGACGAAAAGACGAGGGCTGCGGGCTTGCGATGCAAGTTGGCGAGCTCTTGCTCGAGCGCAAGATGCATCCCGGTGTTTCCAGCGATGTTACGAGTCCCACCGGCGCCATGACCATAGGTATTCAAGGTACGACTGAGCGGCACGTGAGCCAAAATTGAAGAACTCGTGTACATTAAATCACATACTGCATGGTCTCGAGCACGACCGGATTATTGCCCATTCCAAGGTAGTCGTTGGCGCACCAAACTTCGACTTCGTCCTTAGGATCCCCGGTGTGAGCGATCGGGAACTTGGTCGCGAGCCGGTTGATGTTATTGAAGTAACGGTAGGACGCGTCCTTGTGTTTCTTCTCCAACTCGTCCATGTAGAATTTCTCGTAGTTGTAGCGGTCGGTCGGAGCAGACTTTTTGTCTTTCCCCTCCTGGGCTGCGTGGAAGGGGCAGCCAGCGGTAGCAGCCTTGGACGTGGAGGAACCCTGGGCAGCTTTCGCGGCGCTTTTCTCCTTGAGTTTGGTCAGGTCCTCTGCCATGCGGGCGGCAGCGATTGCCTTGGACGCGTGGGGACACTTCTGGATGTTGTCACCGGTAGGGACGGGGAACACACCCTGGTGGTGGTGAATTTCGTCGACCTCAGTCTTGCCTGCAACGCTGGCGTAACCTGCAACCATCTGGGAGGAACGCAACTGGAGGGCAGGGCCCATGATGGGGCATTTCGCAGCCTTCTCAGTGAGTTTGGAGAGAGAAGGGTAGCGAGGGGAGGCCGAGGTGCAGAGGGTGCGGAGAGTCGAGGTTTTGGTGCGTCCAAGGTAGGGGCACGAGGCCTTGAATTTGGCGAGGGAGGAGAGCTTGTCCATGGCTGGTCTGGCTGGCGCGGAGGAGGAGGAGGATAGGGTCGCTGCTCACGCTGGCGAAAGTATTTGCCTCTTATGGGAGTGAGTGTCACCAGGTGACAGGGTAATGACCTGCTTCTTATTGGCTCCGGAGAGATTAGGCACATTCTTCCCGTGCCGTGGGACCATCTTATCAGATCCCCGACATTTCCCGCGCTCCTCCAATGACACGTGCACCAAATATTGCAATGACAGCCTAAGTCCGCAGTGGGTTTCTACCGTCGACGTCGCGAAGAACTCGCAGGATATGTACACGCTACCTAAGCATTTTCACTCGTTCTGCAACACGTGCAGACAGCTCTCCACCACCTCCATCGCCAGGTCAACCTCGGCCTTTGCAATATTCAGACTCGGAACAAGCCGTACAGCGTCTCTGCCCGCCGTCAGTAACAGCACCCCCCGCTGTCGTGCCATACCGACCAATTTTGCTGGATCGCTCGGGTCCTTGAAGCCCAGCCCAAAAATTAGCCCCCGCCCACGCACCTCTGGCAGGAGGATGTCGGGGAACCACTTTGGTAGAAGGCTCAGCCGTCCACGCAAATACGAGCTTGTCTCCGCGATATTCGCCACGAATTCGGGCTCTGACATGCGCGACAGAACGTGATATCCCAGTGCGCATGCAAGTGGTGACCCGCCGAATGTCGTACCGTGTGCGCCTGTCATACGAATGTCAATCTTCAGTACTAAGAAGAAGCGTCCCGCGGAGGCTTCACCTATAGTCATGGGTTCTGCCACAGAATCTCGCATCAGAACTGCGCCGATAGGATACCCATTCGCAAGCGGCTTCGCCATTGTTACCACGTCAGGATGCGCACCCACGGGCATCGACGAATGAGCCCAAAGAGTTCCCGTCCTGTAAAGCCCACACTACAATCGCGAGAAATAGAAGTCAAAGAAGTCAGTACAATGTCATCTAACTTTCGAAACGGTCAGCGAGCTGTGACTTCGTTGACTTGCCTGAATTTCATCATAAATCAGCACCGCGCCCGCCTCGTCGCACTTCTTCCTGAGCAAGCGCAGCCACTCCACATCTGCAGGGTGGATGCCGCCTTCGCCCTGTACCGGCTCGACAATCACCGCACACGTCTTGTCGCTGATCAACTCCTCCAGGTCGTCTGCCACGTTCAGCCGGCCCACCTTCACCCCGGGAATTAGAGGAGCGAACGGGTCCTGGTATTTCGCGTTAGGCGTGACGCTCAGCGCGCCCATGGACCGCCCGTGGAACGCGCTCCGGAAGCACACGAATTCGTACTTGTCGCACGCGGGGTCGTCCCATGACTTGCCCGTGGTGGCCGCCCAGCGCAGCTTGCCTACCTTCCGCGCGCACTTCAGCGCGCCCTCGTTCGCCTCTGTCCCCGAGTTCGCGAAAAATACTTTGGCGCCGCTGCTCGAGCCGCTGGATGGGTGTGCCGAGCCCCGCTCCCAGCCGAGCCCGCCTTCGCGTTGTGTGAGGGTCACGAGGAGCTCGGCGAGCTTGCCCGCCCACTGGTGGTGGTAGACGTTGCTGGTGTGCATCAGTTTCGCGGCCTCCGCTGCCATGACCTGTACAAATCAAAATCAGGCGCAAAATGCCTGATGTGAGCACAAGCTGGTAGTATCAAGTCCAAGCATGTCCAGCCGGCAGATGTTTCGAGTATGAACGCGGACTTCGGGGCATCCAGCGTGAACGGTTGAGTAAGGCTCACCTTCGCGAGTTCCTCGTCGGCATGTCCCAAAGCGTTAACCGCGATGCCCGCACTGAAATCAAGGTACTTGCGGTCCTGTGTATCCCAGACATACGCCCCCTTGCCGCGCGCGAGAACAAAAGGCGGGCGGGCGTATACCGGCAAGATGTACGCTTCCGACCTAGCCAGAAGGGCTTTCACGCTCGGGGGAACACTAGATGCATCCTCCGAGTGGGAGACGGCAGTGAATCGGGTGCTTGGCGCGGGGGGCAGCGCGGGGGCAGCGCGAGACGTGTGCTGTGATCGGGCACACGACGAACTGAGCTGATATGAGGCGACGGCCCAGGCGAACGACGCTGCGCACCTCTGAGAGAGATGATGAGAAGCGGATGCTCGCGATCCTGCGATTGCGGCAGGCAACTTGCCCCGCAGAGCGTGCAATACGATGCATGCCTGACCTGCACCCGCCAAAGTTCTGGATAAAACCAGAACCGCATTGGATTAGCTTCTGTGAAGACTGTCGCCGGTGTTTGCACTCACGTCCAAGGCTGCACCTCGAGGTAGAGTAAGGAAGGAGTCAAGCCTGGCAAGGTCACGGTGTGAAGATAGAACTCGAAGGACATGACTCCATCATAGCCCTCGCACGTGGCCGAAAAAGTCATATTCACCAAATGCTACCACGATACGATACCGTACAAATACAGCAGCGAGACATACAAACACGAACACACGTGAGGAGAGAGAAATTTTGAGATGTCAAACACGCTTGACATTCAGCTCCGGCTTCTGCTCCTGCTACGGTCAGATCCCGAACTGACAGACATTGACGAACCCGTTGACGCCGACCGCCCGCGTCGACGCGGAGGCGAACGGTCGTCCTGTGGCATGGGTGATGGGGAACGTGAATAACTCTTGACACTCCGTCCTCGCTTGGGCGAGTCTTCGCGCGGCACTGGAGAGCGAGAAGAAGACCTCGACGGTGAGCGACGACGATCCCGGCGCAAATGCGGAGGAGGAGACCTCGAGCGATCCCGCTCGTCGTCCAAATCCGTACTCAAAGGGGGATGAGGAGGGAGAGACCCAAACACAGGCGCACCCCTCTCGCCACGTGATGGGGGCTCGACTGAACCTGAGCGACGATAGCGTACGGGAGGCGACGGAGAGCGTGACTCGAAACGACGTCGATTGCGTGGGGGCGGCGGTGGAGACGGCGATCTTGAAGCAGGGCGGCGCGAGGGTACTGGAGGAGGTGAGCGAGAGAGAGAGGTGAGGTGACGGCTGCGTGGAGGTGAAGACGGTGATCTCGAAGGGGGGCGTCGGTAGTCTCTGTCCCGAGGCGGGCTGCGACGTAAAACAGGACTCCTGCTGCGCCTGTCTCTGTGGTCGCGGTAATTGCGATCCCTATCCCTGTCTCTGTCTCTTGAGGGTGGTAACGGAGGCGGTGGCATGCGCTCTCTCCTCTTCATCTCCTCCTCCCGCTCTTTTCTCCTTCTGTCCTCTTCCCTCCTCCGCAGACGGTCCCTCTCCTTTCTCTCGGCCTCCCACTTCTCCTTCTGCACCTGCATCCTCTCTCGTTCCTCCTCCCGTTGCCTGTCTCTTTCCTCTCGCTCTGCCAAACGCCGCATCTTCTTCTCTTCTTGTTTCTCCCTGTCGAACGCCTCACCCTCCATGTAGTCGCTCCGCGTGCCCAACGCCCGTGCCATCTTGCTCAACTCGGCCTTCTTTGCTGCGGCAATGCCATGGGTGTCTGACGGCTTCAGCCCTTTCGCGTCGATGCTCGTCGCATTCAGATCCGCCAGCAGTTTTGTGCGGAGCTGGTTGACTTGCTCCTCGATTTTATCTTCCTCAACGCTGCAACCACCACGTCATCTACGCTGCTCGCCAACGATGAAATTACAGACGTACCCTTTCTCCTCCAACTCCAGCTGCAATTCGAGACATTTGACTTCGACCTTGCGCTTCCGCTCATGCTCCAGAATTTCTGCATCTGGTTCCCTATGTTTCGGAGGCGCTACATCCCAAGCACTTGCTCTCTCTGCAGCCGAGTCGTGAACGCGCAAGACCGATAGGTTGCGTACGACATATCCGTTTGTACCACTGGAAACACTCGTCAGTTCAACTGAAGTATAACAATAAGCCCGCATAAGCGACTTGCCTTCCACGCGGAGTTGTGAGACCTATTCCATTATACATGTCGTGAGTATTGCTTGGTTAGATGGTGAGCGTCGTCGACGTCGCGGTGTTGGTCGCACAACGGGCAAACCGGCGAGCGCATTTCTGATTAGTAACGGTGGCGCCAAGATCAGCCAATCAGATTAGGGCGTCTACAGATCCATCGTACAACTTCTGAAATCTAAGTACACTACGTCGCTACATGCACATTGCACATATCTGGAGCTCGTATAAATGAGCGGATAAAGATACTTGCGACCTCGTATCTGTCCTTGCTGCCCTTCACAAGATGGCCGCATTATAGTCTAGAGAGGTTGGTGGTATCGAATGAAGGGTCTGCTTTGAATTTCTCGTAGCCTGGTCTCGCCAGTGACTTCAGAGCCACCCGCTTATCTGTCTCTATGTCCTCTATGAGGGCTTCTGCGAACATAACATGCATATTAGCGATCCAAGTCAACGCGGGAAAGCACACACCTCGGGAAATATAATCTAGCTGAGGACGAATGTACCCAAGCACGACAGCCTTCATTTCATGGCCGTAAAAGTCAGACTGGAAATCGTGCATGAGGTGTATCTCCTGAGGACACGATGAACCGATGAGCTGCAGTTTCGGGAACATAAACCTACCGCAGTCAGCATCTTGTTCTTATAAAATGGGTTCCGGCCGAGACTCATGACCATAGGCAATACTTTCGCATCCTCTTCAGGAAGGACGATCTTCCCGTCCTTCTCTCTAGAGACTTGTGCATATCCAAAATAGACTCCTGTTTGCGTTACGGAGCTCATGGGCAAGATAGACTCATCGGGGAAATTTGCTGGGGAATTACGAGTAATCAGACGATTGGCGATACCGTAAACATCACACAACGAACCAGTCGGACAGCCCAGGTCCTTGCCTCCCCTCCCAAAACCGCGTTGAACCGCACCCGAGAGTATGATCGGGAATGGATGCTCAGGAGTGTCTGGCCCAGCGATATCCGGTCGTGCCACCCGGGAAGTGTCCGTCCGGACAGGTGCAGAAGGCCTCTCGTCCAACTGGGCGACTTCCGCCGCTGTCTCTGCCATTGGTGGCTGGCTGTAGCACTGTTGGGAGACTGAGAGAAAGAGTCAGAGGGGTATAGTGGGGTGTGGGATGGAAAAGACGGTACATAGATGACAGAAGATGTCGGTAGGCATTCGCAGGATCCGGCTAGGACGCCGATCGAATGTGACTTGGCCGAAACTTCCACCATGTCCGCGTCGTACTATCCCTCGCAGGCATACGGCTCGTACCAGGCTTCTTACCCAGCGTACCCACCGCAGAATGCATATCCATCCGCACAGTATGTGCAGTCTCCAACAGCGGCCTACTCCACCTACCCTACGAAAGCGACCACACCACCACTGCCCGAGTCTCATACCGCTCCCGAAATATCAGCTGTCACTCCTGAGCTAGCTTCCCATGCCCTCCAGAGACTCTTGTCATGCGAACTGCGTGATGCTGGGTTTGACGCCGCGCAGCCTACCGCGCTGCAGAGACTTGAGCTTGAAGTGGTTGCCTGTCCGTCCCTTAAGTCCTGATTCCGCTACCATCTGACTTCCACACAGTGGTCGAACAACTGTACCAACGTGCCCACGAGTATGCGAATCTCGCGAATAGAGCGGCGCCAATTGCCACGGACCTCCTGTTGGCGTCGCACGAGTACGGCATGCAAACTAGCGAACTGCACCATTTAGGAAGCGGCAGAAAACAAGGTACGAAAACTGCGCTCGTACGCCCGCTTCTGACGCTGCTACCCATGTACAGGAACTTCAGAGATACTGTTGTTGCCACCACCATCTCGCTCGCCTTCACCAGAGTTGTTGTCCTCTGACGACGAAGGTACACCTACGGTTATACCGGCCACACTACGTTCTCTTCCACATTACATCCCTGCCTTACCTCCCAAGCACACATATCTGAGGACACCCGTAAGCACTTCATGGGTCTCTAATTGACGTAGTCTAAAACTCAAGGGATATGACAGATCTCTCCGCCAAAGAAGGCGGCTTTGCCTTCTCTTGAGAAAAAGCTGAAGAACGCGGGACTTGTCCAAGAATCACTGAAGAATTTACTGCTGGCTACAGAAGATAGCACGGGGCAAGAAGACGCGGAGTTGCTCGGTGCGACTGTGAATTGGGAGACCAACGCCCATCCTCGCAAGAGGTGGAGACTGTCGTAGTGCTCTGCCCTTTTGTCCCCCCATCGAACATCGCTTTCGTTGTTGTAATTATTAGACATTGCCTACGGGTCTCATCTTGTAACATAGTCGGACACTGTCCGTAACACGACATGATGTCATCTCCCTGGCGTCGATGGAATTGAGGACAACTCCGAGCCGCTCGCCACTTCACATGGAACAACGGACGCCTCTACTTGTTCTGACGTTTCAACAGGCGACGTACCCGTAGTCGCCGTTAGACATATTTGCGGCTCGGATATTACTGGCTTAGGCGAAGCCAAAGCGCGGCGGGCTGCTGCTCTGGCAGGCTGTCTTCTTGTGGGCTCCGTATTTGTCAATTGGCCACCCTTTCTGCCACGGCGTCCGGTCGATGGGCGAGAAGAACCTTCAAGCAGATCATCAGGCAGTCCAGAGGTTGCAGATACATCCACAGAAGCACCGACTTCTTGTGCGTCCAGCGGTGCTGCCTCCAGGGTGTCGACAGTACACCCTTTCTTGCGAGAGTGTTTGTGAACCTTACGTGTGGCTATTTTCCCTTTGGCCTTCGTATCGGGACCCGCACGAAACTCTGGCTGCGCAGAAGGTCCTGCTTGGGCTTCTTGTTCGTCCTCTACTTCTCCAGCAGCTTCCTGCGGGACCCCATCAGAATTAGCAATACCCTATAAATCCGTATTAGTCTCAATTCGCGGACACCGTGTGTATTTAGGTACCTCGACAGTTTGCGCTGACGTCGTTTTTGTTTTCCTCCGCTTTGGAGGAGGGCGTTCAGCCGCACTTGCATCCGCACCCGCAGGCGCCTTCCTCTTTGCAGCTCTCGCCGGTGGAGGTTTCAGTTGAATAACATCATCGTGGGCCTTTTCTTTGCCTTTGCCTTTCCTGTGTGCAGTGGCCGCCGCCTGGTCCGGACGAATACCTCCCGTTGAGGTGCCACCCTCTGTAGCATCGCAAACAGCGCTACTCAGCACTTGTGAGCTGTTAGCAGTATCAGTAGTTGTCTTTCGACGAGCTTTAGGCTTTGGCCTTGGTTTCAGCGCAGCAGGTGCAACCGCATCGCCAGTTTCATCAGCAGGCACGGCGGACGTGGAAGCGCAAGGTGGCCTGGGCTTTGGTTGTGGTCGTGCAAGTTGCACAGGTTCAGTAGGCTGCGTAGGTTGTACCTGGGGAGGCGCAAAGTCCAATGGAACAAAGCTTGATCGACTGGACGAGCTGGGTCCTGCGGCAGCCGGGGAGGCTGTGCTTGTTTTCGCCTGTCGCTTCATGAGGACCGTGTACCGACTTCGACACTGTAGAGAGGTGACAAGGTCAGAACGTCGTAATAAGTATGCAATAAATTCGCACCATGTTATCTGTTCGACCATTGCCCACCAGCTTGCTGATTTCTTTCCACTTAGCTTCTCCGACTGTCTCATACGCTTGCAGAAGCGCCTGGTCTTGGGCCTCTGTCCACTTCCCCCTGGTGACTGTCGGGTTGAGATACTCTTGATAACGATCACGACATTGCTCGTTGTTACGACCAGCAATACAGGTGGCGACATCCACCCAAGAATGGTCAAAGACAGCCACAGCGCGGCGAAGTTGGGCATCTTCCTCTTCCGTCCATGCACCTCGTTTGATGTTCGGGTCAACAGTTCGGACATAGCGGTTCTGGCACTGGGACGCGGTAGCGTCCTCAGACACCATCCGCGCGACTGACCACAGGCAGGTCAATAAGTTGACTGGGTGCGGGTGTGTGGGCAGAATTGCAATGTAACTGACCTAGACTCCAGCTGTCAGTGCCATATATTTTCACCGCTTCTAATAGCCGTTCATCCGCTTCAGTACTCCAGGTGTGTGTCTTCCTGATGATGGCGTGACGCATACAATCGACAGGAGTACGCCTCGTCTGAACAACGATTGAAAGCATCAGCACCAAGAACACAGGGGTGACGAGCAAACTCACTCCGAGTTTTGCAGCGACATCTACCCAGTCCACTTGTCCTTCAGTGGCATCAGCAACTAGCTCCTTCACTCGAGTAATTTCAGTTTGCGTCCACTGCACATGGTTTAATAGGGGATGACGTTCCCCCAACCAGCGTATCTCGCATTCTTTAGCAGATCGTTGCACGGTAGCACCAGATGATGAGACCTAAACCATCATGTTATCCGACATTACTTCGTGATCACACAATCCGGGCAGTACCTTCTTCGCGACGCGTTCCCAATTGATGCCTACCTTGTTCTGCTCAAAGTGTCCAGCAGGATAATCGTCCAACTGAATAAAAGGCTGCTGGCCACTGTACGAAAAACTGAGCTTGGAAGCGCTACTTTGCCCATTGCACGTACCGCTGTTGAGCTTCATACGCGTGGATGCGATAGTTCTCAGAACGTACAGCATCGGCAAGAGCTTCTAGTTCTGGCCCCTTCACTGAGTCCAAAATCAGTATCAAGCCATGTACAACCTGATGACTTGCCCTCACTGGGATGAAGTACGGTGGAGTCGACGTAGTTTTGTCGCCTGGTAGCATCTCGATGATAAGGTGAGTCCTACAGCAAAAGACGTAAGCATCGGTACGCAGTAATAGAGTACACCATACCTCAGCCAGGAGGTCAGACAGGAGAACCATGCCAGTGGCTTTCACTGAATTAGGAATCACCACATCTCCTCCAGCATTCACTTCAAGTTCGTCTTCATGTTCCGACAGTTCTGCAACAGCCTGCAATTAAAGTCAGATCCAAGAAGTATGAACACTTGGTGAACCAACCAATAGTTTGTCGATCGTCTGTAGCTCTGCCTCCACTCTCTCGGTGTAAACTTTAAGAGCATACTGATGTTCCTTGTTCACCTGTACAGCTCTCTGAGCTAGTCCCTTGATGTCCGGTGGATTGGTCGCCATATTGGCGCATGACCGAAAACACGGAGCGAAATGCTGAAGTCCAGGATATCCGGAAGAACGATGCGAAGTCTTGGCAAGGATGAAACTGAATTGGACCACGTGCACGCGTAATCTTCTGCTTCGACTCGTCCACCTCGGTGACCTCGCACACGACGATGGCGAACGCTTCAGCGAAGCGAGTAGGTGCGTCGGCGACAACTCTCAGAAAGCTTGTGTTGATTCTGTCATAATGTTAGCGCAGCAGAATGCGGGAACTATCAAAAATTTGAGGCTCGGCATGCTGGTGGTCGGTGCACTTTCCTTCGTGCTCCGCCTCCTCTTGAGAAGAGGGTCTCTATCCCCGGCACGTCTCTCATTCTGGATATACGTCGGCTCTATGGCTCCCTCTGTTTTCCTATTCTCCTATCTGGAGCGAATTGGCTCACCGAGGCGTGATCCTACTACTGGGACGCTGCTTTCTGCTGGCGAAGACTTAGGTCGTCCTGGCATTATTGAATGGTGTTTCGACGTTATCTACGTTACCTGTGAGTAGCATTCACTTCATTTCCAAGGATTATTGTTCATGCACGCTTTGCAGGGGCATGCCAAGTAGGCAGTGGTGCATTCGGGCAATGGATCTGGTGGTTCTATCTCATCGTGAGTCATTCCATCGTCTCCTTGTGTTTGATCCTAATGTACTACGTAGATACCGATCTATGCAGTGTTCAAGTTATGGACTTCTGTTATCTCGCCTCTGATACTTGGACGCTCAGGGGAACCATCTTCAACAGACGTCGATGATGCAGCCGCACAGGAGGCTTCCAGCAAAAGACAAGAAAAGCTTCGTAAAAGAAGTGAACGTGGAGACCCACGAGTGCGCGTGGCGAAGAGATAGATTTTTCTGCGTGTGTAATAATACATTCGTTCCCTTCGGGGGCGCAAGTTATACGACTTGCATCACTGACTTCTGATATCCGAAAAGCGAAGATGACTGCAAGGCGTCGGAAGTACCTGCACAGCGGAAAACGGTTTGCGCTGCTAACGATGAATTCGCCTGAGAGTAAAGAGACCAGTTGGATACGCTTGAATTGTGGGTATCAGTGATTTTGCCACACGAGGTAAACTGAATTACTGAGATGGAGGCTCAGCATCTCGCATGTAGATGGATACATACACCACCAGGCGACGCGGGTACCGGGCGGATACTGGGTCCGAAAACATTTGGCCGGTAGTTAGCATGTAACCGCCGGTTACATATCAAGCATATAGTTCGTAACTAAACTCAGCTAACCATCCAGTATATGGTTTGGATACCTGGTGTTTACCTACCGTTAGTTAATTTGTAGTCATCCACTAGTTACTTTCTATGTAGCTGGCGGTTACCGGCTGGCGCCATGGTACAGTTACCGGGTGGGTAACTGGAATTGGGTAACTGGTGGGTACCCAGTGTCAGTTATCCGCTGGGTACCCGTTGGGTAACTGTGCGGTACCGGCAAGCATCCATGCTGTACAACATTGCCTATCAGACTACAATATTTTCAGTGTTGATGGTGCAAATCTGTCAAGGTTTCCTTAAGCATGTTCATAATATCTCTCTCAGCCCATGCCGCTGTTGCTGTTGCCGTCGTAGTACGCGTGCGTACGGTCGGCGGGGGCGGCGATTCGGCGCGCAAATATTGCTGTCGCTGTCGCTGTCGGCATCATGTTTGAGTCTCCCTCTCTATGCATGCTTCTCAAAAGGTCCATTGGGATGTTTGGGTTCCAATGAGGCCAATATTTACTGGCAGGCTAAGTAAATATAAGACGTAAGAACGAAAGCAGAACTTTGAATCCGACGGGCGGCGAGAGCTCCCGTCATTTGTTGTGTTTTGTTTGGCTTGTTGAACATCAACATGGGCGTTTGGACTTAGCAATTTCTCACTGGTACTGCACGCGCGTTCTCGGTCGACCTCTCTTTCCTTGCGACGTTTGATCTTGAAGGTATGATATTCCCATATTTCTGGAAGTGACATCATCTATCCCAGCTGAGCCGCGTTGACGTGCAGAGTGCGAACGCGAGTGGGGAGCAATGGGCAGGGCGGCTTGCGTGAGGCTTAGCGTGACTCGGCTTGCAAATTTGCTACTGGTGAGCTCCTGAAGTACCTTTACAGTGGAATTTCTCACAGGATGGAACCATAGCTTGCAGCACCTTGCTGGCCTCTGTGAAGTTCGAACCCCCTGCTGCGCTCCTCCCGCCATCCGGGGCCGCCAACGTGCTATCGCTCTCACTTGCCTTCCAGCCCATCCTACTGCCTTTTAGTTTTCTAACCGTGTATTTATGTGCTGTGTATTCCTGTACAGTACTGTAATGTAGTAATATTGTGCAATTATATGGCAGTGTAACCTGCCTCTTGTGATCCCCTGCTGGGACCACAGGTTGCATGCTAGACAGTCTTAGGACACATGCGAGTTGCTCAGCGGATACCGACACGGTATCCAGCTCCAGTTACCCGCTGGGTAACCAGAGCTAGCTACCGGTCCGGTACCCAGCGGGTACGTTATGTATATCCCCAGTTTACTTGCGAGATAGCCATCATTGGTTAAACTACAGTTAACTATATTATTTACACGGTGGGTACTGTGTCAAAACCCTCTGGTGGGTAACCGACGGTTATCCACCAGGTAACTCCGGTCCTGGTCATCCGTCCGGTACCCGGCTCATCTGGTAGTGTAATACACACCAGGGTAATTTGGCCTCTACAATCCGGCAGCGAACCATCTGGCAGTCACAGATCATAGAACTCGACTCGTCGGCGTCGTCCGACTCGGGTTGCCAGGACCTCCGTAACTCGCTTAGAGCTTCGATCCATTTTCGGGGGTCAGGACACGGTCATTTTCGGGGGTTTCGCCCTCAAGGTCCCGGCCTGCCGGCTGGTTTCGGGGGAAAGTAGGATCGAACATTTCTGCCCCAGCGGTCGAGAAGTATTCTCTTGCATTTTCACGCGAATTCCGATTTTCGCCCGAAAATCCTTCCAAGTTGAGGGTCCCCAGGAAAATTTCTCAGGAACCATTTTCCGGGGTTTCACACCGGACATCGGGCCAAAGGGGACAATTTCGGCGTATACGGTCGAGAGACGATCAGGCGGTTCGATGATTCTCCATACCGAAGTATGTTCCACACCGCTGAACCCACATGTCTCAAACAACCCTTGAAAAGCCTGTGTTCTCGACATTCTGGTACGTATGTCCTCGATGTTCTGCACGTAAGTTGCACCGGCTATTCGACCATTTTCGGGGGTCCGAGATCGAAGGTCCGGCCTGTGGAGGGCCCATTTTCGGGGATTCAGGCATCGGAGCTCATTGGGGATTGCGGGGGTCCTTGCCACTTATAAGTAACCACGTGATCATATTTGAGACTCCGACTTAAAGTTATCAGAGACGCGGCGTCGAGAGAGCTCTCTTGTGCAGGTTCTCTACATCGTTTGGCATTGCTCATCATGCCGGTATGTATCGCGCTCCTTAGTGCTCGGATTGTTCAGCACCAATTATTGTTGACCTTCAGAAACACTACTGCGACTATTGTGATGTGTTCTTGACTCACGATTCTGCTTCTGGTAAGTGACAGTGCTATGGGACTCGGTTTTGTAACCGACAACGCGGTCTATTAGTCCGGAAAGCTCATAATAGCGGGCGGAATCATCTTGCCAACGTCAGAGATTATTATGCTTGTGAGTGTTCTTGTATAGCTGCATTGAGCTCTGCACTGACAGCGATGTTGTTGATAGCATTGGGCCATGACAAAGCACAGAACATAATTGACCAAATCACGGCTGCGTATGAAACTAGCGGTGGTCCTCCTCCTGGAGGATTTGGATTCGGTCCTCAACATCTTGGCCCTCCGGCACCAGGCTATGGTGGTCCACCCATGGGTTTCGGCGGCCCAGGATTTGGTGGTCCACCCCCTGGCTTCGGCGGACGTAGGCATCTCTATTCCAGTATGACTGGATGTATAATTTAACGATCTCTTTAGCACGGCCACCCATGCCTCCTGGAATGATGGGACCGCCAGGTGCGCTACCACCCTTTCCTCCCACCGCTCCCATGGCCCCAGGTATGGGCCCGCCCCCTCCAGGAATGGCCGGACCAGGCGGTTTCCCTCCAGGTTGGTGCCTTGATGCTCATGTAGCAAAGCTTCTGATGAATATGTATTCTAGGTATGCCTCCGTTCGCTCCTTCTATGGCTGCCCCCCCGGGCGGGAACCGGCCCTCCTTCCCTCCTGGTCCTCCAGGTGGTAACTTTTCTCCTCCCGGCCAGGGTCCCCCTGGTGGTAATATGAATGGTCTCCCTAACAGCTTCCTTCCGCCACAAGGTTCTGATCAGTCCCAGCCCGGTGGGTCAGGTGGTATGCATCCTGACAGGGCGAGAATGATGGGAGGAAGATGAACATCGTGCACCTACAAAACAATATGATACGGTATGCGCCACGGCGATGCTCTTGCTTTTTTTGTCCCTATGTCTATTATTTCATTCATTCATTCATGTGGTCGAGGCATCGTATACACCTGTTTGTCACTCCGTCCATACGTACACATGTATTTCTGTGTATAAAGTAGTGTACAAAAGTTAGGTCAAGTCGTGAGTTCTATCGACTGGTTTATGTCCCTTCTACGTCTGTCTTGCGCTTGGCCTTCTTGATCTTGTGGATCTCCTCCCGCTTCCCGAAGTCAGAGTCATGCAACTCCTGCGATTACGGAAGAAATGGGTAACTGCGTCGTCTGACAGGCCGCATGACACTCACCATATTCGCCAAGCGCTTCGCTGTGGAGACCACATTGAGTTTCTCAAGGACTTTCTTTTCGGGCAAGGTCATCTCAGTTAACTTTGTTTCTATAGGGACGCCTGATAAGTCTGACGAATACTACTGCATGGCGTTCACTCACTGATACGCTCTTCCACCTTCAAGACCCGCTCCTCGTCCCTCTCCGTGACGAAACTGATGGCAATACCTCCCTTTCCCGCGCGAGCCGTCCGTCCCACTCTATGGGTGTACTCTTCCGGTTCATCAGGCATGTCCCAATTGATGACAATCGCTACATCCTCAATATCCAGTCCACGAGCCCCGACATCGGTAGAAACCAATACAGGCACCACCGACGCACGGAAGAGCGACAGGGAAGACAGTCTCTCCCTCTGTGTGAGGCGTGAATGCAACGCAGTGCTGCGCACGTTCAAAGACTTGAGAAGGTACGTGAGGTAGGCAGCTGTGCGCGGATGTCTGCAAAAGATGATCGTGGGTGGTGGTTGCTCGATATCGTCTTCCTCTCCGACGGTGGGTTTTTTCTTCGCAGATTTCTTGGTCTTCGAAGAAGCCTTTTGACCGCGATTTACTAGTTCGGGAGGCGCACGACGGAGGTGAAGTGTTGATTCTGGTGGATTGCACAAAAGATGGAACAGATATGCTTCCCGTACTTGTGACGGTACCAAAACGTAGTGCTGCTTCAGCGTCTCGACTGTTTCGACACTGCATACGTGATGTAAGCATCAATATGCATCTATCATCCATCTTGATACATACGTCTCTGCAATTCTGTGGATAAAAGGCTTTTGCTTGCCTGGTCTCGGTGACGTTTCTGCGAGAGTCTCGACAGCTGGGGTCAATGTAGCGGTAAACAGACAAGTCTGTCGCTCTTTCGGAAGTATTTCGAAGAGATAGGACAATTCCGGAGTAAATGTGGGAGTCAGCAAGCGATCCGCTTCATCGAGCACCTGAATTGCATGAATACGAAGTGGCTGCAGCACCATCAGGTAGCACTCACCAGAAACTTGATTCTTGCAAGATTCCACTCTCCAGAAGTGCTCTTCAGATGGTCAACGATGCGGCCAGGCGTGGCGACCACTACGTGCGGACGCTTGTCAAGCTCGAGAGCCTGAGACATCATGTCCATGCCTCCAACTACGACAGCAGTCCTCAGATTGAACGAGGCACCAAGGACAGCAAATTGTTCAGATATCTGGAACGCGAGTTCACTATATATGTCATATCAGTATCGTAGCCTGATCCCAATGGAGGGATGGAACGAACCGCGTAGGGGTAAGGACTAGAGCAAATATGCCGTACGGGTCCACAGACAATTTGTGAATAATTGGCAAAGCAAATGCGATCGTCTTTCCTGAGCCTGTCTGCGCATTGCCAATGCAATCTCTGCCTTAGACGTCATTCGAGTCACTTTTCATCCAGGAGTGGATACATTACACTCGCCTTGCAATAGTGGTGGTATACAAGCGGTTTGGATTTCGGTAGGAAGACGTATAGATATCTTGGACAACGCGTCGACAAGAGCAGAGGAAACACCAAGCGATGCGAACGTAGATGGTCGGAAAACTGCTGCTTTAGGTGCATCTGGGGGGACCACACGTGCAGTTCTAGGAACGAAGTTTATTCTCGATGAAGGCGTGTCATCCCCAATAGTCTCCGTTCGTGAGGAAAGTATACTGTCGTCCGAATCTACGGGCTCGTGGTCACTATCAGATGTCGAAGCCACGCTTTGCTCATCCTCAGAGTTGCTTGTGGCAGCTGTGTCCTGGGGCGGGAGGTCTGTACGTCCTCTCTTTCTGTTCGGCTCCTCCTGCATACGCAGGAGATCATCGGTTGTGAGGTTTCGTCGCTTTGCGCCAGCCATAGTCAGAGGACGAAAGTTACGAAAGTGACGGGTTGCGCACGAAACTTCATCCGCCCCGTTTACGGTCCGTCGACAGTCCTTCGTTCCCACGCTACGGTCCCAAAGCACGTGACCGATCGCGCCCCCGAGCACGCGTCGGAGGGCGCGAGCGTAGTCTGCTGTCAAATCAGGGTAGTACACGATTTCGGAGTTACATAAGCAACTTGATCTCCGAAGAGTAGATCTGGTGTAACGCGATGCGTCGGCCTCCGCAAGATAACACCCTCTGCGTCGTGTGAAATTTCCAATAATTATACATTCCACTATCCTCATAATGTCAGAATGACTTCTACATTCATTGGGCCATGCTCATTTCAATTCAGTTCACCTGAGGGACTCACACTCTGCCGGCAACTACTTGCGAGATCTCTACCTTATGATCCACACGACTATCAACTGGAAGGTGTCTGCAAGGCATTAGACGGCACCAACATTCTCGCTGTGACACCAACGGGCTCTGGGAAGACAGGTTTCCTCAACATGGTCATGCTCATTGCTCAGACTATTGCAGATGAACCCATGCTGTGTCCTACATCAGGAAAACCCAACTTTTACTTAAAGGTGTCCTTATGTGACTTAAATGCACTTATTATCGCGAGTACACAGTGAGGGAGGAGGCGTCTGTTACGCGGCAGCGAAACACGAGCATCTAGTCGAGTCGTCACGAGACAAGGTCTTAGTCTAAGACACAAGTCCGTTCAAGTGACACTTCTGGCGATGTCTTCGCACTGAAGGTCGATCAGAGTTCGTTCTTATGACTCGTAGTAGCTGTCTGCTACTGACGGTCGATCTCAGTCAAAGGCAAGTGAAAAGCTGGTTTAATGGTAACCAGGTCGAGATGGGGATCCAGCTCGACAAGGTCGTCTACTTATACAAAAGGTATCCGCAGTACTACGCAGTAATGCAGGATCGTTCATTGGCTAGATAAGGTGAAACGATGTCTAAGCAAGGTAACAGCGAGGAAGTAATATGTATGGGAAAGCTGAGTAAGGTCGTGAGAGATAATCAGTACTAATGGGGATAACGAGTCGTGTATCAGAACGAGGTAAAGATGAGGCATACATGCACGTCTTGCATGTGCGATAAGAAGAAGGTTCGGAGTTGGATCCGGTGTAACCCTAGACTAGGGGTTCTGGACATCTGAATAAAGAATTGGAGGTTGCGCTCCGATGAGTCACGTGTTGGATCACGTGGTCTGGTAACGTAAAGGGAACAAAGAAAAGAAAAAGAAAAGATGCGCCACAAGTGAGGAGCGTTGTAACATCAGCTCCCGTCTAACGTTTCTTGTCCCACAAGAAATATTGCGATCTTCATCGTCGTCGGGGGCAGTCGCGGACATAATGATCTCCTCCACATCTGTAGCATGTCCGCCGGCTGGTTCGTGATCCTCGTTCAGGGATACGTCCATCCCTGTAGGGATGACTGCGACGCGAAGAAGTGGATGCGGTCGAGAAAGATGGTTGGGATAACGGAGATCGTCCACTGGGTATGTGCGAACGAGGAGGGCGAGGTCGAACGGGAATTGGTTCTGGCGACGAGCGAGGAGTGGATGCGGGTATTCCATTAGTGGTGTATCCGAGGATGTGTCCGATGTCTTCGTCCCCATGCTCCCTCCAAATCTCCTGTGCTGTACGAGTGACCGTACTGTGCATTAATGACCAGACTTGGTCGACTCTGGTTCGGGCTCTACTCGTCCTTTCCTCTGCTGCGATGAGCTCTTGTCTGGCCGTCTGCATCCACTCGACCATTTCTAATGCTCGTTGCATGGAAACCACCGCTTGTCGATCTTGCGGGCGATTTCGTAAGGCGACGAGGATATCTGTGAAGTCAACAGGAACACGGATAGCCGAGACCAGACGTGTGGCAAATTCTTGTTCGTCCAATGCGTGACTGAGTTCGATAGAAGGTGAGGGCGATGAGGCGCGGATAAAGGGTGTCTGTGCTCGAGAGGGTACTCCATTGACAAGTGTAGGCGATGCGGGTATGCTCATAATTGTGGAGGCGACTTCAGTGAGTATATTGTGAACAAGGTCGTCTATAGCGGAAGTGGGCATTGATGATATATCGTCTTCTCCTCTTTTTATACCTTTCGGTCGTTAAGGGGATCGCGGTTATCTGTGATGTGAAATAGAATGTCGTGGATCCGGGTAATAATCAAATAGATGAAAATCCATTGGACGATAAAGAGTATTCCCACAGAGATAAGAGCTGCCTGATCAGTTCCAGGCATCGTTCTGATCAACCCAGCCGTTAGCGTGCGGGCTGTCTCGCGTGAAGAGTGTGTGTTCAACGAGTCGTCTGATAAGGATTCGGTGGATGATCCAAAGAAAAGTGAGGGTTGTGCAGTGGAGGACGATTAGGAAGATGATGAGGAAAACCGTCGTGGTAGTCATTCCGGGTTTCTTCTCCTCTACTGGATTCTCCTGGTCCTTTTATATGCATCGAGGATTCGCTTGGCATTCTGTAAATTGTGGGCAGGTTCCCACGAGTTTTCTGCTGAAGAATATCCCTTCCACTTGACTAAGTACCTCAGATGACCTCGGTACGTCTTGTGATTCAGGATGGCTTCGACTTCGTACTCTTCTTCGTTATCAACGACCTCAGGTGGTGGGTTCATGTAATTCGGACCATGTATGTCGTTTTCGCGATAAGGAGATAGAAGGGCGGCGTGGAATACGGAATGAACTCGCCAGGTCTTCGGGAGTTTGAGACGATAGTTGGCTGATCTGATGACTTCGACAATTTCGAATGGCCCCTCACGCTTTGGTGCTATCTTGCGCGAGGCGTAATTGACCTTCAGGTTCCTCGAGTCTAGCCAGACCTTCTGTCCTAGTGTAAACTTCGGCGATCCTTGTCTGACTCGGTCCGCCATCTGTTGTCGGGCTAACTCGTGCATGGCTAGTGCTTCTAGCCTTATCTTCTGCAACATGTCAAGCCTGGATTCAACCGATGGAATGTTCGTGGTCGGAAATACGGAAGGGAGTCCACGTGGTTCGTATCCCATCATGATGCGGAATGGGCTCATCTTCCGTGCCGAGTGTTCCCTTGTGTTATGACAAAACTCGAGGTCTGACAGGCGGTCGGCCCATGTTTCAGGGTTGTTTCCGCAATAGAGTCGAAGATAGATTTCCAGCTCCTGGTTGACTCGCTCTGTTTCTCCGTTCGTCTGAGGGTGATAAGCTGTGCTCATTGATGATCTGATCTGGAGTAGTCGATTTAACTCTTGGAAGACCTTGGATGCGTATTGAGGTCCTCTATCCGAGATGATTCGGTCGGGTAATCCAAATCGCGAGTATACTTTGTCATGAAAAATCTTGGCCGTTCCTTCGGCTGTGATCGTTTTGAGGCAGGGCGTAAGAATCACCCCCTTCGTAAGGTCATGGTCTACTACGACCATAATTGAATCAAAACCGTTGGAAACGGGGAGGTCGGTAATAAAATCGGTGGTGCAACAGGAAAATGGTAATGCGTGTGGGTCGGCGGGAATTGGTTCCAAAGGAATACGAGTTGGATGAGTATTCGGTTTCATTTGTTGACAGGCGGCACAGCCTTCAACATAATTGTAGACAAATGTATACATGCCGGGCCACCAGAATTCACGACGTAACAGTTCAAGAGTATTGAACTTTCCAGGGTGACCCATGGCAGGGGAGTCGTGATGTAGTCGAACGAGGTCACGACGAAGAGTTTCGGATGGTGGAACGTAAATCTTTCCCTTGTAGAGGATGACACCATTGCGAACTTCCCAGTCGGAAAGCGATGATTTCATGGGGAATGGCCCTTTGTGCGCAATCGCTTCGAGGGCTTTGTGAACAATGAGGTCTTTTGCTGCGTGATTCCTGATTTCGTCAAATAGTGTCGGGGAAATGGATCGCACGAATAGTGCGTTGGGTAAAAGAATGCGATCTTCGTTGTCACTTTCACTGTCATCGAGTCCATTACGACGAGAGAGCGCATCAGATTGGATCATCTGAGTGCCAGGGACATGGATGAGGTGAAGATCAAATTGTGATAATTTGAGACTCCATCGTGCTTGTCGGCGGTTTAACTTCTGAGCTGTACGGAAGTACGTGAGGTTCTTGTGATCACTGCGAACTTCGACGGGATGGGGAGAGCCTTCAAGATAATGGCGCCATTCAGTGAGGGCTCGAATGATTCCGAGGAGTTCGCGGTCGTAGATTTCGTAGTTCCGTTCAGCTGGATTGAGTGTCTGTGAAATGTAGGCACAAGGATGGAGGTCTCCATTGATATCGGCTTGGCGTAAAACTGCACCCGTAGCAAACTTGGAAGCGTCGGATTCAACAATAAAGGGTTTTGCCTTGTCAGGCAGTAACAGTACTGGGGCGGTACTGAATCATTGCTTTAATGTGTCGAAAGCTGTCTGACATTCTGTTGTCCATTCAAAAGGTGGAGATCCAGCGGCAGTGCGCATAAGATTCGTCAATGGTTTGGCAATATCCGAGAAGTTGGCAATAAACTTCCGATAGAAGTTTCCAAACCCTAGGAAAGAGCGAACACCTTTTACCGTGCTTGGTTCAGGCCATTCTGCAATTCCTTTAAGTTTGATAGGATCCATGCCAATGTAGTTTTCTCGAATGATCATGCCTAGGAATTCGACTTCTTTAACGTCAAAGAAACACTTTTCCGGTTTAAGGAATAGGTCGTTGTCTTTAAGTCGTTGGAGTACGCGTCGGGTTCGAACGTGATGTTCTTCCAAATCGTTTGAGAAGATGAGGATATCATCCATGCAAATGACTATCCATCCCTCATCGATCATGTCCTTGAAGAGTGCGTTCATCATCATTTGGAAAGTCGCTGGGGAGTTGCAGAGTCCAAAGAACATGACCATAGGTTCGAAAAGTCCGCGATTTGTCTTAAATGCACCCTTCCATTGGTCACCATCTTTGATTCTGACATTGTTATATCCGGAGCGTAAATCCATTTTCGTAAAGATCGATGCGCCTTTGAATTGATCCATAAGGTCAGAAATGAGCGGAAGAGGATAGGTGTTCTTCACCGTCCCTTCATTCAGGTATCGGTAATCCTGACAGGGACGTAGTGCTCCGTCTTTCTTTCCTACGAAGAAAAATGGTGAAGCCATGAGAGATTTCGACGGTCGGATGTATCCTTTTCGCAGATTTTCTTCCAGGAAGTCATCCATCGCTCCTTGTTCTTTGAGCGATAACGGATAGACTTTACAGTCACGTGGAATAAAATCGGGTTTCAAGTCAATGGCGTGGTCCCAAGGCCTGGTTTCTGGAAAGCGTTTAGCTGCTTTCTTTTCAAAAACGGACTTCAAATCGTGGAGGTAGTTGGGGACCAACTTCTCGACGGTTTTGGGTTTGTCTACAGCTGATGCTTCCTTATGTGCCTGTTGTGCCAATTCTTGTGATTTACCAGATGGTTTGTAAAAGACCGTATTCTGTGCGTTACAGAATAATGGGGATCGGGTACTGTGCGTCATTCTTCCAATGGCGGGGCCTCTTCGTATGGTGAAGACTGCAGTTTCAGTCTCTTCATTCGTCAAAGGTGACTCCTTCCTGATGGGTTCAAATATCCCAATAACTGGCTCTCCTGCGATATAGGATATAACTAGATCGTCGTCATCGAGCTGATTCATAGGGGGTTCTGATAGTGGGTCATCTGGTTCGGTATCATTCCGCACTGCGGGTAACTCGCCACGCTCAGTGTTATCGGCCATGATTTCTCTGATAGATTCCGAATGCCCAAACGAGGTAGGGGAAGTTTCGGTGGTGATTAACTCTGGGAGTCCATCTTTCTTGAAAATCGAAACTTCTTCATCTGGTGCATCTTCGACGGTGGGTTTCGGTGGCCATTTGGCGTCTTTACCAAACCAAAAGTCACCGGTTTCCCAGTTGATCATCGAATTGAGGCGTTTAAGCCACGGCATGCCGAGAAGTACGTTTTCTTTGCCAATGCCGGTCAAGAGGAAGCGAGTAAGCGTCTTCCTTCCTCCGATTTTCATCATCTTCCAGGTACAATGAGTAATGGTACCCATTTGATTTGGTGTGCCATCTGCATTCATGACTGTAATCGGTTTCGGTAATTCCCATCTGATGAAATCGTTTTCTTCCGCAAAACGAATGTTCATAAACGTTTCGGCTGCACCGGAATCGATCAAGGCTTCTGTTGTAACGTCTTCCTTCTCTCCCAACGAAATATTCACAGTGATTGAATTTCCGCTAGTGTTACAAATAACGAGGGGAGATACGGTAAGATGCGACGGTCCATGCATTACTAGTGGCCGTCGTCTCAAAAACCCAATTGGGTTCGTTCTTCATCAGTCATGTCGTTGAAGACGTTTCGCACATAGGCGATCTGTTCCTCTCTGGTTTCTTCCTTCGACGTCTCCTTCTCCTGTGCGAGGTCTTCTCGCATCTTCTTGATCCATGTGATCGTGTCTGTGTCTAACCCGGGCTGTATCGTTCTAGCACGGGTGAAACTTTCAGACTGGGGGTGGAATTGTCTGTCGTTGGCTATATGGCCCTTCTTTCCGCATAGGAAACATAATCCTTCTTTCATTCTCTTTTGTCGCTCGTCCGGGGATAAGCGCGAGATATTGACACGATCAACATCCATCGCGTTTGGATCCTTTGCAGAAGCCGAGTAGTAGGGACGATGGACAGATCGGCCCTTTCCTCGCGTCGTCGTAGTGGCCCCTCGCTTGAAGATCTGAGCAGATCTCCATTGGTTATCAAACCGCGAGGCGTATTCGTACCACTTGTCAAGTGTCTTGGGCATGCTTTCCATCCCATATATCCTTTGTCGGAGTGGGTCGTTAAGTCCCCACTTGAAATACTCGATATTTCCGGCATCTTCTAGTTTCGCCTTGGATTCAAGTGATCGGAATTCGGCAATGTAGTCATCCGCAGTACGAGTTCCTTGCTTGATGTTACGCAGCAAGGTACGAGCGGTTTCTTTAATATTTTCATCGCCAAATGCTTTGTTCACACTCGCAATGAAGTCTCTCCAACTCCCATAAGAAAGGAAGTCGTCATTGGTGAGTTCCGTTTCTATGAAGCTCTGTGCCCATGATCCTGCTGTTCCTCCTTGCATGTGCGATAGCACGAATGCGATCTTCTGATTGTCCTCCTGGTAGACATGGCTATTTCCGGCCATGTAGTTCTTGCATTGGTTTATAAATTCCCTAAGCTTCGAACGGTCTGAACCGTTGAAGATCTCGGGTTTTCTAAAACCAAGTTCCTTCTGGCTAACATGGTGACGTCCTTCATCCATGGTAACTGTAGCCATCGGTGGTATGTAATCGGGTACGATTGGTACAAGAGTCGGTTGGGGTACAGGATTCTGGGCAGGGGGGTTCCAAGGGGCGTCTGGTCTTTCTCCTGGATAGGAGGTCGTTATACTGCTGTCTGCGATGTGCTGGAGCACTATTCCACCAAGATTATGGGGAAGCGTCCTTTCAAATTCCTCTGGGGAATAGTCGAAGTTGTGATTGTCTGGCCTGGTGAATACAGGCCTTCCTCCTATGAAATGTGCGTTTCGTTCTGTGCTCCACTCCACTTGGGATGGGAGGTGCTCGCGGTACTGCTCTGGAAGAGCAGTCGGGTTGATGTAGTTAAAATCCAGTGTGGATAAATTCTTCTGTGTGGCCTATGTCTACACGTAGACTGCACACCGTCCTTAACTAAGTGGGTTCGTTCGTCGTCGGCTAACAAGCCCGTAGAGTGTCTTCTGTCTTCAAACTGATACACCTATTTGCTGATTGCTCGAGTGATTACCTCAGCCTCCTCGGCCTATTGGTCTCTCGGACAGACCCCTCTCCGAAGATGAGTGATCAGTCTATCCCTTCAGCTACCTCGATTACAGAGTAATCTCAAACGGTGCTTTAGCAATCGAATCGGGTGTATCGTTCAGTCTTCAAGGTTCGGTCCGGTCGGTAGTTCGTTGTTAGACTCTAGGAAGTCACAGAGAGTAATAAGATCTCGACCTAATGTTACGCGGCAGCGAAACACGAGCGTCTAGTCGAGTCGTCACGAGACAAGGTCTTAGTCTAAGACACAAGTCCGTTCAAGTGACACTTCTGGCGATGTCTTCGCACTGAAGGTCGATCAGAGTTCGTTCTTATGACTCGTAGTAGCTGTCTGCTACTGACGGTCGATCTCAGTCAAAGGCAAGTGAAAAGCTGGTTTAATGGTAACCAGGTCGAGATGGGGATCCAGCTCGACAAGGTCGTCTACTTATACAAAAGGTATCCGCAGTACTACGCAGTAATGCAGGATCGTTCATTGGCTAGATAAGGTGAAATGATGTCTAAGCAAGGTAACAGCGAGGAAGTAATATGTATGGGAAAGCTGAGTAAGGTCGTGAGAGATAATCAGTACTAATGGGGATAACGAGTCGTGTATCAGAACGAGGTAAAGATGAGGCATACATGCACGTCTTGCATGTGCGATAAGAAGAAGGTTCGGAGTTGGATCCGGTGTAACCCTAGACTAGGGGTTCTGGACATCTGAATAAAGAATCGGAGGTTGCGCTCCGATGAGTCACGTGTTGGATCATGTGGTCTGGTAACGTAAAGGGAACAAAGAAAAGAAAAAGAAAAGATGCGCCACAAGTGAGGAGCGTTGTAACAGCGTCCAGGGGATGTCTGATGGATCTAGAGCGAGACCAAGTGCAGCTCAGTCTCGTGCGATAGCAAACGAGTGACTGTATTAATACTAACCTAGAGCGGGACCAAGCACAGCTACTACAGGTCAGTAAGGAGATAAAAGGTAGGTAAAGAGAGTATTCACCTCAGTCTCGTGCGACAGCAAAGAAGTGACTGAGGTGCATCGTCCGAACGTCCGCCAGCACTACTTATGTGATTATGTAAGTAACATGGTGGTGTAAATACCGTACTACTCTGCTCATGTCGCAATGTATGTACTTCAACATGCCCACTCAGGGTGACAGGAAATAAAGTATATAAATGAAAATACTTAAGCCAAGCCCATCCCCACTGAAAACTTCTCATACTTCTCACGAGGAAGCCTCTTCATCAAGACATCAGCAACCTGATTTCTGGTAGGAACGTACTCAGGTTCGATCTCGCTGGAGTCATAAGTTCTTGTCGCCCTTCGCTGTGGTGCCCTTCACCTGGCTCACCTTGAACTTCTGACACTCCTCCTTCGTGTGACCAGTGTATCCACAGAAAGCGCACTTGCTGTTACAACGCTCCTCAGTTATGGCACATCTTTTCTTTTTCCTTTCTTCGTTCCCTTTACTTTACCAGACCACGTGATCCAACATGTGACTCATCAGAGCGCAACCTTCGATTCTCTACCCAGATGTCCAGAACCCCTAGTCTAGGGTTACACCAGATCCAACTCCGGACCTTCTTCTTATCACACATGCAAGACGTGCATGTACGCCTCATCTTTACCTCATTCTGATACACGACTCGTTATCCCCATTAGTAGATTATCTCTCACGATCTTACTCAGCTTTCCCATACATATTACTTCCTCGCCATTACCTTGCCCAGACATCGTTTCACCTTATCTAGCCAATGAACGATCCCGTATTACTGCGTAGTACTGCGGATACCTTTTGTATAAGTAGACGACCTCATCGAGCTGGATCCCCATCTCGACCTGGTTACCATTAAACCAGCTTTTCACTTGCCTCTGACTGAGATCGACCATTAGTAGCAGACAGCTACTGCGAGTCATAAGAATGAACTCTGATCGACCTTCAGTGCGAGGACATCATCAGAAGTGTCTCTTGAACGGACTTGTGTCTTAGACTAAGACCTTGTCTTGTGACGACTTGACTTGACGCTCGTGTTTCACTTCCGCGTAACATTAGGTCGAGATCTTATTACTCTCTGTGACTTCCCAAAGTCTAACAATGAACTACTGACCGGACCGAACCTTGAAGACTGAACGATACATCCAGATTCAATTGCTAAAGCACCGTTTGAGATTACTTTGTAATCGAGGCAGCTGAAGGGATAGACTGATCACTTATCTTTGGAGAGGGGTCTGTCCGAGAGACCAAGAGGCCGAGGAGGCTGAGGTAATCACTCGAGCAATTAGCAAATAGGTGTATCAGTTCGAAGACAGAAGACACTCTATGGGCTTGTTAGCCGACGACGAATGAACCCACTTAGTTGAGGACATTGTGCAGTCTATGTGTAGACATAGGTCACACAGAAGAATTTATCCACACTGGATTTGAACTTTATCAACCCAACTGCCCTTCCCAAGCAGTACATCGACCTCCTCCCATCTCAGGCAGAGTGGGACGCACAAAGGAACGTACACGTTTTAAACGGACGACCTTTATTCATCAGACCAGATCAACACATCGATCACCCAGGTGGTGACTACGAAGCAACTCTACCCCATAATGTTGGAGAGCTTGTACTACTACATATCGCAGACAGTGGTATACCGATCTCTTATCAAGGAGAAAGACCAGACGCCCCTTGGAACCCCCCTGTCCAGAATCCCATACCCCAACCGACTCTTGCACCAATCGCACCCGTTGACGTTCCACCAGTGGCTACAATTACCATGGATGAAAGTCGTCACCATGGCAGTCAGAAGGAACTTGGTTTCAGAAAACCCAAGATCTTCAACAGTTCAGACCGTTCGAAGCTTAGGGAATTCATAAACCAATGCAAGAACTATATGGCTGGGAATAGCCATATCTACCAAGAGAACAATCAGAAGATTGCATTTGTGCTGTTGCACATGCAAGGAGGAACAGCAGAATCATGGGTGCAGAGTTTCATAGAAACAAAACTCATCAATGACAACTTCCTTTCTTATGGAAGTTGGAAGGAGTTCATCACGGATGTGAACAAAGCATTCGGCGATGAGAATATTGAAGAAACTGCTTGTACCTTGTTGCGTAACATCAAGCAAGGAATGCGTACTGCAGATGACTACATTGCCAAATTCCAATCGCTTGCACCCAAGGCGAAATTAGAAGATGCCAGAAGTATCGAATATTTCAAGTGGGGACTTAATGACCCACTCCGACAAAGGAGATATGGGATGGAAAGCATGCCCAAGACACTTGACAAGTGGTACGAATACACCTCGCGGTTTGACAACCAATGGAGATCTGCTTAGATCTTCAAGCAAGGAGCCACTACAATGACACGAGGGAAGAGCCGATTTACCCATCGTCCCTACTACTTGACTTCTGCAAAGGATCCAAACGCGATGGATGTTGATCGTGTCAATATCTCGCGCTTATCCCCGGACGAGCGACAAAAGAGAATGAAAGAAGGATTATGTTTCCTATGCGGAAAGAAGGGCCATATAGCCAACGACAGACAATTCCACTCCCAGTCTGGAAGTTTCACCCGTGCCAGAACGATACAGCCCGGGTTGGACACCGATGCGATTACATGGATCAAGAAGATGCGAGAAGACCTCGCACAGAAGAAGGAGATGCCGAAGGAAGAAACCAGAGAGGAACAGATCGCCTATGTGCAAAACGTCTTCAACGACATGACTGATGAAGAACGAACCCAGTTGGGTTTTTGAAATGATGGCCACTAGTAACGCATGGACCATCACATCTTACTGTATCTCCCCTCATTATCTGTAACACTAGTGGAAATTCAATCACTGTGAATATTTCATTGGGAGAGAAGGAAGATGTTGCACTGACAGAAGCCTTGATCGATTCTGGTGCAGCCAAAACGTTCATGCATATTCGCTTTGCGGAAGAAAATGATTTCATCAAATGGGAATTACCGAAACTGATTAAAGTCATAAATGCGGACAGCACACCAAATCAAATGGGTACCATTACCCACTGTACCTGGAAGATGATGAAGATTGGAGGAAGGAACACACTTAATTGCTTCCTCTTGACCGGCATTGGCAAAGAGAATATACTTCTCGGCATGCCGTGGCTTAAACGTCTCAATCCGATGATCAATTGGGAAACTGGTGACTTTTGGTTTGGCAAAGATGCCAAATGGCCACCGAAACCCACCGTCAAAGATGTACCAGATGAAGAAGTTTCAATTTTCAAGGAAGATGACCTCTTAGAGTTAATCACCACCGAAACTTCTCTGACCTCATTTGGACATTCAGAATCTATCAGAGAAATCATGGCTGATAACATTGAGCGTGGCGAGTTACCCGCAGTGCAGAATGATACCGAACCAGATGACCCACCATTAGAACCCTCTATGGATCAGCTTGATGATGACGATCTAGTTATCTCCTATATCGCAGGAGAACCAGTTATTGGGATATTTGAACCCATCAGGAAGGAATCGCCTTTGATAAATGAAGAGACTGGAACCGCAGTCTTCACTATACGAAGAGGCCCCACCATTGGAAGAATGACACACAGTACTTGATCCCCATTATTCTGTAATGCACAGAATACGATCTTTTATAAACCATCCGGTAAATCACAGGAATTGGCACAACAGGCACACAAGGAAGTGTCAGCTGCAGACAAACCCAAGACCATTGAGGAGTTGGTACCCGACTACCTCCACAATTTGAAGTCAGTCTTTGAAAAGAAAGCAGCTGAACGCTTTCCAGAAACCAGGCCTTGGGACCACGCCATTGACTTGAAACCCGATTTTATTCCACGTGACTGTAAAGTCTATCCGTTATCGCTCAAAGAACAAGGAGCGATGGATGACTTCCTGGAAGAAAATCTGCGAAAAGGATACATCCGACCGTCGAAATCTCCCATGGCTTCACCATTTTTCTTCGTAGGAAAGAAAGACGGAGCACTACGTCCCTGTCAGGATTACCGATACCTGAATGAAGGGACGGTGAAGAACACCTATCCTCTTCCGCTCATTTCTGACCTTATGGATCAATTCAAAGGCGCATCGATCTTTACGAAAATGGATTTACGCTCCGGATATAACAATGTCAGAGTCAAAGATGGTGACCAGTGGAAGGGTGCGTTTAAGACAAACCGTGGACTTTTCGAACCCATGGTCATGTTCTTTGGACTCTGCAACTCCCCGGCGACTTTCCAAATGATGATGAACGCACTCTTTGAGGACATCATCGATGAAGGATGGATAGTCATTTATATGGATGATATCCTCATCTTCTCGAACGATTTGGAAGAACATCACATTCGAACCCGACACGTACTCCAGCGACTCAAAGACAACGACCTATCCCTTAAACCGGAAAAGTGTTTCTTTGACGTTAAGGAAGTCGAATTCCTAGGCATGATCATTCGAGAGAACTACATCGGCATGGACCCCATCAAACTTAAAGGAATTGCAGAATGGCCTGAACCAAGCACGGTAAAAGGTGTTCGCTCTTTCTTAGGGTTTGGAAACTTCTACCGGAAATTGCCAACTTCTCGGATATTGCCAAACCATTGATGAACCTTACGCGTACTGCCGCTGGGTCTCCACCTTTTGAATGGACAACCGAATGCCAGACGGCTTTCGACACATTAAAGTGACAATTCAGTATTGCCCCAGTGTTGTTGCTGCCCGACAAAGCAAAACCCTTTATTGTTGAATTCAATGCTTCAAAGTTTGCTACGGGTGCAGTTTTACACCAAGCCAATATCAATGGAGACCTCCATCCCTGTGCCTACATTTCGCAGATGCTCAATCCAGCTGAACGAAACTACGAAATCTACGACCGCGAACTCCTCGGAATCATTCGAGCCCTTACCGAATGGCGCCATTATCTAGAAGGCTCTCCCCATCCCGTCGAAGTTCGCAGTGATCACAAGAACCTCACGTACTTCCGTACAGCCCAGAAATTAAACCACCAACAAGCACGATGGAGTCTCAAACTATCACAATTCGATCTTCACCTCATCCACGTCCCTGGCACTCAGATGATCCAATCTGATGTGCTATCTCGTCGTAACGGACTCGATGACAGTGAAAGTGATAATGAAGATCGCATCCTTCTACCTGATGCACTGTTCATGCGATCCATTTCCCCGACACTATTCGACGAAATCAGGAATCATGCAGCAAAAGACCTCATTGTTTATGAAGTCCTCGAAGCAATTGCGCACAAAGGGCCATTCCCCATGAAATCATCGCTCTCCGACTGGGAAGTTCGCAATGGTGTCATCCTCTACAAGAGAAAGATTTATGTCCCACCATCGAATCGAGTGAAGTCGAACAAAGTCGCACAAAGTCAGATGGTTCACAGAAGGTCACGAATGGGTCGGGTACATCTTGAAGGCTAAGGTATAGAGTAGTGAGGCCTGAGTGATCGCTGAAAAATGTGTTTTCAGAGGCCAGGAGGTCTGGGAGCATATCAGCATTCACAAGTGAAATCCTGTACTATAGTTAAGAGGGTGCATTTGAAAGCAGACCTATATTAGTCCGTCCCTCCAACCTCTCATAGGACTGATTTTGTAGTCTGGCTTTGGGAGACTAGCACGAGCGGGTGGTGTTACTCAACGGTGGGTGCACGGGCGGGTGTGACGCACAAGAATTTAGTGATGGGCGGGTAGATTATTGCTCTCAGCTAATTGTGTGATGGAAATAATGGCACGACAACAGCTCTGAAGTGCCCGTGATGGAAAATTCGCCTTGAGACCGCTGAGACTGTCGATGAGACTGTAAATGTGGCATTGTGCATCAATTTCATGGCCGTCCTCAGCCAAATTTTGGTGTGGAGGCTGCCATGCTGAAGATGGCTTCCTGCTGCCCCATTTACAGTCCCTCATGGGAAATCTACAGTCCCCTCAGCTAATTTTCAGGCCCTCATGGCCTAAGTTTCCTCCCTCTGGGCCTCTCGAGCTCCTCACGGGGCACTTTCTCCCTCTGTCTTCTCACCCATGGGTCTGAACAGTGCATCTGCATGAAATTTTTTTTTCGGGATGCTTCCTTCTGTCCTGGTGCAATGGTATTCAAACTTGCGCTCTTCGTGCCCTTCTTGAGCACGCCTCCATTTCGGGCAAATGATCACGTGGCATCATTCTGTCACGCTTAAGACCGTAAATAGTCGGGTTGCGCACAAAAAGTTGGTCATCCGAGACCTCTTGCAAGGTCGTACTATGGCTCACAAGATTGTCAGCATGCCCCCCAAGTTGGCGCCTTGCTCAATTAGTCCTTTCCCCTGCCTCTACCACTTAGTTATCTTTCATATGTATGATTTTATAGTACTACATCATTCTTGAGGTTGAACGAGCTCAAACGGATCGGCATTGGAGGAGTCCCTTCTTGACCTGCAATGTAACGCAGACTCACGCTGGCAGGTCACTGGCCGAAGTCTGCCGCGAGCGTCGGCAGCGGGGTTTCAAGTGGTGGCGTCCACCACGACACGGTCACGACCTTCGCGATTAGGCTGCCGAGCGGAGTAACAAAACGGCACGCGTTACTGTCTGTGACATATGCGTTACTTTTGCGTTACTGCCGACTTGGAGGGCATGCCTGTGAGCGCTTGAGCCATAGTACCAACGACACAAAGACCGTAACTTCGGCAGATCTTGCAGGGCGGCTACTTACGATATGATTAAGATTAGACGGGCGTACCTAGCGGGTAGGGTTCAGTAATTGTCCTAAGTCTATCCGCACAACCTCTCCTGCCGCCTTCTTCACCCGGTTCATGACTGCAAGCCCTTCCCTCTCCTCCTTTAGTTCTTCTATGAGTATGATATCCACTCCGGCATTGTCTAGTGTAAGCAGCCCGTCAAAGAGGCGCTGCGCGGAGACTGCGGGATCGTGCAGCGGCCCTAAGGGAAATGGGTGCCACTCGATCCCATCGAAAGCCGTGATTCCAGTGAACAACGGAGAATCTGATGGTGCCAACAGCCCCGCCTTCAAAACATGCTGCCCATCAGGTGTTCTAGACTTGAGGGTGTCCAGGAAAGAGGCAAATCTAAGTGGTTTTTCTCCGGAGGGCGGAGAGGACGATGTGCGCAACAGGATGACGGGAACGGTCGGAGAATAATGTCGATATTTCATTCCTGGCGTTGTCGGCGCCTGCTCCACCTCTGCATCTTGAAAGTCTCGACGATGGACGAGGACCTTTGGTACGGATGCATGATCGGCCATTTCTTGCCGGACGACGCGCTCCAAGTCCTCCACTGTTACTCCTCCCGGCCGTAAGACACGGATATTTCCATCGTCCCTTAGAGCATCTACCACAGTGCTTTCCAGACCGACCTCGCACGGACCGCCATCTAAGATCAAGCTGACCTTTCGTCCTAGATCTCGCAGCACATGCTCAGCACGAGTGGGACTGGGCTTTCCTGAAGAGTTCGCGCTGGGTGCTGCTATGGGAGCACCGGTGATCGAGATGAGTGCCCTCGCTACCGGATGGGAGGGCATTCGAACGGCGACCGTTGGCTGGTTAGCGGTAATGACCGGTGGTATGACTGAAGGATTGGATGGGAAAAGGAGTGTAAGTGGACCAGGCCAGAAATGTTTGATGAGAATATTGCATATCCTCGGGACAACATAATTCTGGGGCAGAAGACTGTGGAGCATGGCGAGAGAAGACACATGGACGATCAATGGGTTGTCCGGCGGTCTGCCCTTCGTCGAGAAAATGCGAGATGCAGCGATCGGGTTGAGAGCCAATGCACCCAAGCCATACACGGTCTCTGTGGGGAACGCCACTGTCTGCAAGTCATGCAAATTTTGAGACGCGCGCTGCAAAGCCTGCAAAGTTTCCTGACAGGTGATGTCTGGGACGTCAGAGGCTGAGAAGGAGATGGAGGATGGGTCGCATCGGAGAACCTGGGTCGCGAAAGCCATGGTACTACCTGGACAAGGATGCCTAGCGAACAATAAGGTCGTAGAGAAAAACGTACGTCTCAGCAAGGATAATAACAACGTCTTCATGCACTGCCCTGGCTGCAACAGCGGGGACCATTAACGATGTTATTTAACAGGGAGGATGGCAATTGCTATCTTATCTCATCTCGTTGACGCTCAAATTTTCGGCCCGCATTACCATCATTGTTTTCTGGAACCTGGCACCCCCACGGGGAATTCGATGGCCATGGGTATAGCATTTTGTCTGATAGCCAATGATCATGAAGCTTTGAAGAGCCATATACATTGTCTAGGTTCTGCGAAAAACAGCGGCGCCGCTTCGGTATGATTAATGGGGATATGAAGGTCCAACCTACTTATCTTGCGTGTTCTCCAATAAGGTATGGTAACTACTGGTTCGCATGACTGCTAGTGTAACAGATGCAGATGCAGGGTGCAAAACCGGAACCACCAAAAGCTCACAGCAACGTATACATATGCGAGACAGTGCGACGTAAAAAGCTACAACAAGAAGCGAATGAGGACAAAATGATACATGCGGAGCTTCTACTGGACTGGCGCATCGATTTCCTTCGTGTATTGTTTCGGCGCAGGTAGGATAAGTTATGCCGGAACGAATGTGCTTCACGACAAGCTGGAAAGGAATGAGAGTTGAAATCAAATGGTTCTCTGTGATGCAGCAATGACTGCGTTAACAAGATAACTGTGCAACAGCAATGGTGAGACTAACCTTGACGACAGACCACTGGACAATTAATTGTTTCACCCTGTCGTTCAGGGCCTTCTGGCACACTTCACAGGAGAGATGCTCCGACAGCGGACACAACGCAGACTCTATTGAACTCGTAGACAAGTCTACATACAAGAATAAGTCCATGAGACTAAAATTCACAGGTCGATGAGTAAACCTGGACGCACCTGGCCTTGCATCCCACGCCAAATAGGCGGAGGCCAATGCCCACGCGCGAGTCAACTTTTTCTGTTCGACAAAATCGCAGGTGGTCGTCGGGGCATGCGGGTGGGGAGGGGAGAGAAGAAGACGTCTTAAAGCATCCATGCGACCAAGATGGAGGAAGAACAAGCGCTTGAGGTAGATGGAACCCATGCGCATAGCTAGTTCATCCGACAGTGTCGGAAGTGGGAAGGATAGTAGGTGCGATGAGATTGGTACAGCGAGTTCGTACAGGTCATACGCAGCCGCAAGTGCATATACCTCAATGGGAGCGACGGGCGCTTGCGAGAGGACGACGGAGTACAACGGGGTCGAGGGACCAATGTGTCTCTTGACGGAGATGCCATACTTGTGCAACGCGTCGACGGAAGCAATGAGTGTATCCACCGACGGTGAGTAGTGACTGCAGGGCATGTTGTAAATCGTGTGAAGCACGATATTGACCACATTCGCGGAATCCGGCAGCGGGATGATCGGGCCTATGTCCTGGTTTCCTTTCTGCGGATTGGCTGGTAGAAGAGAATTGAACCCATTCTCGGACGAGCCTAACACTTGATGGCTGTGCACATAGAAGAAGACAGCATCGCAGGAAAGGAAAATTATATCAGGGGGGAGGATATTGAGATTGGCACCGGGGTAGAAAGCAGTGGAGACCGAAACGATGGTGTTGCCCTCCAATTCATCTGTCCCTTCTTCTGGGGAACCTTGGTTCGAAACCTAATCGAACGGGAGGAACCGTGGATTACACATGAGCCGGATGAGTGGGAGGGAAGAAAGGGACTTACGGGTGGCGATGGGATCTGAGGAGGTGTGACAAAAGTGGACCGCTCTGAGACGGGTTTCTCGGGAAGGACGGTAGCGATGTCGAGGGGTTCAGAGACGAACTGAAGGACGGATTCCCAGTCTGAATTCTCCATCGGAAGTAGGTGAAGGTCGCTAACTCAATGGTTAAGGGACAGTGGACAGCGGATGCAATGAGGTGCTGTATGCTCGACTTAAGTGAGGGCGCTCGACGCCGATGTGCGCAACCGGAGAGCTATCGTGGATACCAGGACAGGACCAGGAGGTAGGCTCAATGAAGAGAGGCGTAGGAGAACCGTCTGCGAAATTCATTAATTATGCGTCAATGACTGCGGCGTCATGCATCACGGCGCAAAAGCAGAGGAACATCAAGGGATGCGTCAAGAATTGTCGAGAAGGACAGCATCCTGCGGTCCATACGCACCGACCAACTCTGCTGTGAGAAGAAAGAGTATCTCAAATCGCTACACTTCTCATCGAGTGGAGCCCCATATAGTAGCCAAGACATGGCGGTGTGGAGCAGACACAACCGATTCTGACGAGGCTCTCAGGACCTGGGCCACATACTCCATCTCAGGTCAGGCTACCAGGAGAACTCAACGTGCCTAGAAACAGGAACCGTCGGCTGCGAACATTCTCGCACCACTCAGAACGGACGAGGTCCAATGTCGCTCGGATAATTCAAACATTAACATACCGCAACAGTTAGACGTTCGTGCTGTATGGACGTTTTAGAGGATGGTTCAGAAAACGAAAGTCGCAGACATCGGTGCTTGTGGCCGACGGATTACCGGGGTGTGGGGGGGGCGGATTCGTGGAGGATGAAGAGCGTTGTAGTCTCCCGAGGGCAGATGGTAGACACTCTGCTTCAACCTCGTACCTCGGATATCCGTGTCTGACGTCTGCTTTCTATTACGGGCTCTTACTAGGAGGTCTTGATTGCCGACCCGGCACATCACGTGCTGGCACAACGCGTCTGTAAATCGCGCTGAACGCGTCGCGTTTCGAGCGCAAGAAGCACCCGTTGTCCTGTGCTGCATGTGTATACAATACTTTCCAATGGGTATATTAATTGAGATTGATTTTGGAGACTTTGCTGTCTTATCTGCTTTGCACTGGTCCAAGAGGGCATTACACGTTTGAATCTCGTAGGAATCCCTCTATTCTCTGTGCCCCGCGCCCAAGCAAAATTCACCATTCCATCACCCATCCATTGTAGCACCTCATCTCACCTGCGATGTGCCCAAACCAGGGTGGAGAGGATCTTCAGGAAGACTTTCGTGAATTTCGGCGGACTTACAGCGCCACCTGCATCACGTGGTATCACAAAGGTTTAAGATTCCGCATTAGAAAGAACTACCAAACTTTAGGCTCCGCCTAAATTGTCCGACCTCTCGACAAGGAGGCGCGTTAGAAAGCAGACTAGAGCGTTGCACCAACTGGACCGATCAGTTACTACTACGTATGCAATAATTACTGTTTATAATTATCCCACCATCACCGAACAAAACTCTATTTGGCAAGCGCTATATTGACAGGACACGATGCAGCAGACACGGCACTCTTTACCCTCACTCATGATCTGCTTCTTCACGCACCAACTTTCCGATTTGAGTCGAGCTTATACTCGAGGCTGAAATACCAATCGCCAACATTCACTCGGTATGCGAGTCTGAGCTCAACCCGACGTCTCCTTGTTCCTCGGATACAATACGTATAAGAACCGGCGGCAATATACAGACATCGAGCGATCTCTCGCCAGAATATCCCACGCTCACCAGCTATGACGGTCGTGAATATGAATCTGTGGGCGAGGTGTACCACCAGCTGCGGGCGGGTCTAGCGAAATCATCGAGATTTGTCCTCGGCCAGGATAGCTTCGTTGAGTTCATCCAGTGGAGCAAGCTCCTTCTTATCGACCAGGTCAAACTGTGTCACGTACATCAGTGCAGTCGTACGGAACCGGTGTGACTGTTTACCTCGTGCACAAACAGGAAGAAGTGCCTATAACTCGTGTTCAAGTGCGCTAGCCGGGCATCAGCTTGCGCAGCACATCTAGATAGTTCAATCGCTTACCCTCGATTCCGAGAGCGCAGATGTGGTCAAAATGGTTGCTGTAAAGGTGCGCATATACCCGGAAAAGTCTGCGGAAAATTGTCCGGATGGTGTCCCGGAAATTCTTCGGGAATGGTACACCTGACAGTAAGCACGATTGAACACGGTCGGTCAGTTTCCATGCACGAAAAACCCTACCAATCTTGTTGGGGAATATCTCTTCGTTGTCAAGTAATCCCTGTGCCCAATTCATCAGCGCATCTACGTATTCTGGCGCAGGAAGCTTGGTTGGTCGTTTATATTTCACTCCGTCTTCCCATAGGTACTCATAGCTGTAATCAGAAAACGCATCAGCGACACGTACTGCCGCAACTGCTTAGGATTGAAACTCACCGTGGTCCAGCGGACATGATAGGACACTGTGCAAATGCGTATATCTCGCTATGAGAGTCTAGTGAAAAACATTTAAGACCACTTGCCTCCTGTGGCGTACAGAACTCGGTGATGGTTCCGTAGAGCATATTGAGGTGATTGAAAAAATCAACAGCTAGAAGATGTTGGGTTCCCACCCAGAACAGCGGCGGTCAATTGCTATCCGTGAACTGGATCATGATACGCACCATGCACCGCAAGCCATTCGTTCAGATCTTCCCCGTCTGGTAGCTGAACCGCCAAGCGCAGGTTCCCCGATCCCTGGATGCGCCGTCAACCTCGAACAAGACATAGATCCTTCAAGGGGGAGGCGAGTACCAGAGTGGCTTCTGCATACTTGCGAAGCTGGTATTGTTTTGTGCCCTCCGGGACATCCTTGCGCGGCTTAAAGGTGCGTGTCTTGCCGCTGCGGGCTGATCAGCGGATGTTTCTGGATTATTTAATAGCAAGAAATGCGCACAGGCCAAAGAATGCAGACATTTTTGTGATACTGCAGGGGTATAGAGTAGAGGTTCTGGCGATAAAACACAAGCTAGAACCAAATGGCAACTGGATGGTCTAACGGAGTCTACGACTCGGACTCGGAGCGGCGATAGTACGAAGCGCGTCACTTCATGTCACGTGCCTGCCTGAGATCGTGATCTGGACTCGCGAATGCGATACTCTGTCGTTCGTTCATCGTTTCATGATTTCATCCGTTTATTCATATCTCCTAGGTTGCAAACCAGAAATTCAGAAGAGATTAAAACCTAGCAGTGCATGCATTCTACACATTAAGGTCACATAGGACTGAACAAAAGATGTCGCTCAAGGGAACATGATCGAGTCACGGTCGCGCAAAGCAGGAGATGTGTGTGACGTAATGCGTTGCGGCCTGCAGATACGAGGTGCAAAGTTAAACTTTGGTGAACTGTTAGCCACTGCGTCTCTCTCAGGTCTGAATCATAACAGGAGCGTTGCGGCAAGATTTCTATCGATATCTTCGACGACTCTTCGTGCACCGTAACACTGTAACAGTCATCAGAACTAGCCCGCGATGGGGCTGATGGGCTACAAATCCTGGCTCGTGCTCCAGCAACACCTGGCTGATCCGTCAGCGATGGCGCAACCTCAGAGACTTCGATCGATGTTGCGAGAAAGTTTTGGCACCTCTCTCTATCCTGCCTGACAAAGCACAGGAGGTATGAATAAAAAGGTGCCCCAAGTTGAGCTCAGCGCTCAGGAGTCGCTCCATTGTCAACTCCAATCACCAACATGCCCCGCATTCTGTTCGTGTACACTTCAACTGACAAAACCTTAACGGGCGCGCAGACGGTATCACCACTCGTGTTCAGCTGAGCTATGCAATCTAATATACTCATCTATAGGGATGGTATCTCCCCGAGGCGGCGCACCCCTATTACGGTATGTTCCTCACCAGCATACCGTAGTGGTCGTTCTAACGCTAATCTTACCATAGTGCTTGCACCTCACCACACCATTGACTTCGCCTCACCCAATGGCCCCAACCCTCCCGTTGATGAGAGCAGCGTGCAGGTGAATTGTTATATGAGATTGCAATTGTGCAGGAGATTCACTGATTCACACGCTGCCAGTCGTTCAAAGATGACGAGAGCGTCAAGTTCTTGAGTGGCGATGAGACTGTCCGGGAGAAGTTTGCCACTGCGAAGAAGCTTTCGCAGGTTAATGTGAACGAATATGATGCGGTGTTCTACGTCGGCGGGCACGGCCCCGTTCTCGATCTTGCAACTGACCCTGTGAATATCAAGCTGGCATCGGACGTACGTATGAAATCACTCGCGATGTCGTATTCCGAGGTGACGTATCGCTTCCGTGCACAGTTCTACCGCTCTGGCAAAGTTACTTCCGCTGTTTGCCATGGACCTGCGTGAGTGCCTCGTGCAGCGCTCTCTGCATTGCGCCTTGTCCTAATCTCATTGGAACATAGTGCCCTCGTTGGTGTGACTACAGCAGACGGCAAGTCCATTTTTGCCGGAAAGACTGCCACCGGCTTCTCCGACGTGGAGGAGGAGCAGATTGGTAAAGTTAAGGTCAGTCCTCTAGTTCCTTCGCATTTGATGCAAGATATTAACGGACATTCATTGTAGGATATTCCCTTCCTTCTCGAAGATCGTATCGTAGCTCTCGGTGGGAAGTATGAGAAAGCTGCACCTTGGGGCGTAAGTTCCAGAGATTCTGTCCACTGGTGAAATTGTGTCTGACCAGGTCGTTACAGGCCAAGGTCGTTGTTGACGGAAAGCTCATCACCGGGCAGAACCCTGCTTCAGCCAAGGGCGTTGGTGAAGCCATTCTAAAGGCCTTGGCTTAGGCGAGCCACCCGGTGTTTGTTGACTGCATCTCAAACAAAGCATGTATTATCTTTAAGAGCTCAGTTGTCTCTACATAGCTCGCTCATTTCCTGTGTTAAGCATGGTCATGTCCGCGTAACGATGTATGGCAAGTGGATAAACTTTACAACGGATTCAAAGACATCGTGTCACGGATGACACGCATACGAAGCGGCGAAGGCGGGAAGCAGCAGTTTGACGTGTACAGAGCACGTCGCAACCCCTCGTAACAACATCAGTCCACATGTATTGAACATATGCTGATAGAAGCTGAGCGAAAGCAACATTCGACGTACACAATACAAACTCAAATATACGCAACGGTCATGGCCCATCCCTTCTTCAACGTGAAGCCATCTAAGGCGTCTTTTGCTACGGCAGCGAAGTCCGGTGAATCGAATAGCACCTGGGCCACCTTGGCTTTCTGTCCAGCAGCGTTCGGTGTTGGTGCCTGAACCACCTGAGTGGTTTGGAAGCCTTGGTACCTGCTTCACGTGAAAAACTCGCCTTAATTCAGTGGGAGGAATACACGTACTGTTGGAACAGTACCGAAAGCACGTCATCGGTGACCTCTTGAGGCAGGTTCGTACATAGCAGTCGTGCGGATCGATGTTGGACACTTGCAGGCATGGGACCTAACAGCAGAGAAACTGCACTCAGGAATGATGTTCGGATAATTGTACGGATGAGGCGTACCGTCAAGGTTGGCCGCCGCACTCTCTTTCGCACCTTCCTCGTCTTCTTCAATCTCCATTTCCTCTCCATCCTCCTCGTCACTGTTCTTCTCCCTCTTCGCTTCTCGTCCGTCCTCATCCGTCCTGTCCTCTCTCCGCCGCTTCTCAGCCCCATTCGTCAACTTCCCTGCAGCGGCACTCGCGTTGGGAAGTTTGGAGGGAGGAACAAAGCTTGGATCCTCCCGCTGCATAGTGGCATACGACTTGGTCTTCGCATACTGGATATGCTGTAGCACGTGCCCATATTCACTGGTCGATATCAAAGACTTCCAAAGAGGGGTTCTTGAGATGGATGGCGCACCATCGGTTTATCATAAAAGACGATACCTTCGCAGGCTCGCATGGCTGCGGTGGCACCCGCCAGGTCTGCGAAAACGAGGAATGCTTGCCCTCGCATTTTCTGACCCTTCAGAGCGACAATGTCGATGACCCGGCCATAAGTCGTAAAGAGCGCAAGAAGTTGGATGCGTAGCTCTTCCTTGTTCACCTTGTCGTTCAAATTTTTGAGGTACAGCGTCGCATTGGGTTGTGTAGATGACATGGTTGAACGGAGCGCAGATGGCGGTGAGACTGGGACACCAGACCCTCTGGACACGCGCGAATATTCTCACGTCTATGATTTTCTACTCGCCAAAAATGGTAAGTATGTAATTCGATATAGGTACTTTACATAATTCTGCAAAACCAAAGCCATGGCCGAATGTTGCCGGCCGGCCGGGCCATTCGTGCATCGTTTGGCACTTCCGAGAGCTTTGAGAGCTCCGTATGTTGGCTTATATTAATTATTGTGAGCTTTTTGCACAGAAAACGGTGCTTTGCTTGCGAATTCTTGAGTGGTCGGTCATCCCCCTTCCCATTTACAGTAAGGCTTTATTTGCTTCGGCCAAATAACGCGATTTTTTTCCCGCGAGTTTCCCGCAATCATGCAAGGTTGCAGCACGTTTGGAACAAGTCGTGTCGGAACTGAGAGGTTTCCTCTTTCAACGTCTGCTGCAACAGCGGTGATCGTCTTAGGCTAGCCAGGTTGTGTGCTCCGTAAGTTGGTCGTCGTCCACTCCGTGCGGTTGTTACTGAAGGGTTCGCGTTACACGTAGTCAACATTTCTGTGCGAATATCCTCCAACCGTGACGACCGCGTTCTCTGGACGCTTCATGATATTTTGACGTGCCCCACGCGTACACGAGTGCAATGAATACCCTTCGGGCCCCAGAGTGGTTACCATCGTTTCTCATCCCCTTCTTTACGCTCTCGTATCCGACCGCTCCTCCGGCAGCGCCGGACTCTTTCCCCAATGCTTCCTACTATGGTGTCGGTATTCTGGACGGCTGCTTCATCATCACATGCATCGCCGCCATGGCCATGCTACGCGACTTGACGCGACTTTACATCTCAGAGCCGTTTGCGCGGTGGAAGCTGACGCGCGACCTCAACCGTAGCAAGAGGGAGAACATACACGTTGATGGAAATGGCAAACCGAACGGAAAAACAAACGGGGTGGCGAACGGTAATGGTGCAGCGCATAAGAATGGTTCCGCCGTCTCGAAAAAAGAAGCAAAGAAAATATACAGAAGTGTCGTACGATTCGCTGAACAGGGCTGGTCCGCCATATCCTACACTGCCCTGTTCTCTCTTGGCTTGGTAAGTTCATCTGGCTGTGGTGCAGTGCCTGTCCTCGCATTGTTAACGCCTGGTTGGAACAGTATGTTCATCGCAATGTCCCCACCAAGGTCTTGCACCCAAGGAATGTCTGGCTAAATTATCCTAATATACCCATTGCTGCTCCAACCAAGTTTTATTATCTCCTGGAGAGTGCATTCTACGTCCACCAAGTACTGATTCTCAATGCTGAGGCCCGCCGGAAAGATCACTGGCAGATGATGACGCATCATGTCATCACTGTACTCCTCATGATTGGGAGCTATGTCTACAACCTCACGAGAGTAGGGTGTCTCATTATGCTCCTGATGGATTGGTGTGACGTATTCCTTGCGGTGAGTGCATAGCCTGCGGTCTTAGCTGTCTATGTTGACGCGGGCGAATAGTTGGCGAAGATGTTCCGCTACCTGGCGCTATCTACACTTTGCGACGCGACGTTCACGTTCTTCCTGCTGTCGTGGCTTGTCACCCGACATGTGCTGTTCATCCTCGCTATCAAATGCGCATTCGACGCCCGTCCTTTTGTCCACAGTGTGCTAGAAAAACAGAACTCATCTCGGTTGATCTACGATACTTTCCTTGCTATGCTGTCCATGCTGCAGGTATGTATCTAATCAACTTCCTGTTGGCGATTATGATGAATTGCGTCTTCTAGGGAATCCAACTCATGTGGTTCTGGATGATCTGTCGAGTGGCGTGGCGAGTTGTCAGCGGTCAAGGCGCTGAGGATACGCGCAGTGACGACGAAGAGTGCGTGCTCCTTATTACTTGTATGCTGTGTGTTCATGACGTGCATGCAGAGATGGCGAAAACCACAAGACGGAACATAAGAAGGATTAGTAACTTTTCGCTGATCCGCACCGTGCTTCATCATCTTCTGTAGCCTGTGTATCTGCGTAAAATAGCAGCACTATTACGCCCCATTTTTGGTTTTCTTCGCTTGCCTGTAATGTCTAGATGTGATACAAGTATTACGACAATCGTGAGCACCCAACTGCGAGCTTTGCCGCCGGGCGGAGGCTGAGGTTTCCTTATCGGGAGTATCGAGTATAACTGGACGGTCACTTCACCCAGAATCACTCCTGCGGCCGTCACTCATATACTTATTCAACCTATCTCTTCCCGATACCTTACTTTCGTAGAGTCTCGCTACCATGATGGCCGGCTTCATGAGCTATTTCGGCGGGCGGCGAGATGCCAAACAGTCATCCAGAGACGCCATAGTCACACTGCGGCAGCAGCTGCAGATGATAGACAAGAAAGAGGAGTACCTGCAGAAGAAGATCGATGAGGAGCTGAAGAAGGCACGGGCGAATGCTGTGGCGAACAAGGCAGGTGAGGGTGCTCTGCGTTCGGATTACTTTCCCAGACTGAGAAGGCGGCTTTATCGCTGCAATTTCGCTCGCAGCTGCGACTGCTGCCCTAAGACGGAAGAAGGCGACAGAGCAGGAGCTTGAGCGATTGCAAGGTACACGGTTCCAGCTCGAGATGCAGGTGAATACGTTGGAGTCGGCGAGCTTCAATGCGGAGACGATGTCAGCCATGAAGAAGGCGGCGGGTGCGCTGAAGGATATTCACGGCAAACTGTAAGACTCCCCTTGATCCTCGGATAGTGACCGTTTAACATGTTGGAGCAGGTCAATCGACAAGGTGGATACGACGATGTCCGACATACAGGAGCAGACGCAGTTGGCGAACGAGGTTTCCGAAGCTATCTCCACAAGCACTTACACCGGAGTGGATATTGATGAGGTTCGTCTCGGTCTCTCCTGGGAGATCTCATTGACAACATGTTTTACAGGATGAGTTGAAGAACGAGTTGGCGGAATTGGAGCAGGATGAGCTGAACGAGCGACTCATGGGGGCGGACCATGTGCCACTACATCAGCCCAGCAGAGTGGAGGAAGGCACGTATATTCAAATGAAAATCTCTATTCATCTTCGTACTTACCATGATTTCGCAGGTCGGCAGCCAGTGGCCGTGGAGGACGACGAGGACGCGCAGCTCAGAGAGTTGCAAGCAGCTCTGGCGATGTGATCATACACCCGGACTGGTATCTCCTTGTATCCCATCTTCTCTCCCTTCGTCTGTGCATGCTGCTTGACTAATGTTCGCTATTACATTACATCTCTGGGCTTTTCTAGCTGTGCCACCGTTGTTTTATTATGTAGTGCTACCCGTCCGATCAACACACTGTACACTTCACACGCATGATATGTCTTATGGACCGCTGGATGCGTTCTACAGGGGCCGTGGCGGCGATGCTCAGTCATTCTTCAGGCGATATATCATGTATTTCAGCAGGACCAGAGTAAGCTAGCTGAGCTGGATGTGATCCTGACTTCGTCGTATACGGCATGCACGAGGAACAACGGCCGGCGGTCGAGGAATTAATACATTGCTGTGCATGAGAAACTCGAAGATGGCAATAGGTACTCAAGGAGGCACCTCTTTCCCTTCCCAATCCCAAACTTTCCCTCTATCTTCGGGACGCAGCCCCTTCACCACATCAACTAATCTCTGCGCAGCGAACTCGGGTTCAAACAGGTCCTCGGCTCGTACATTGCTCCAGAACTGGCGACTGAAATCTGTCTTCACCGTGCCTGGATGGACACCGACGCATAGCGCAGGAATCTTCCTCGCCTGTAAGTGCAGGTCGAAGGTGCGGACGACCTGGTTCAGTGCAGCTTTTGAGGAGCGATAGGAGTACCAGCCACCGAGACGGTTGTCGGAGATGGATCCGACGCGTGCAGAGACATGCACCCATTTCGAGAGCGTCGGTGCAGACTGTGCATGAGGGTGTGTCGTCTGGGTACCAGGAGAAGGGAGAAATCGCGAGAAATGCTTGATGAGCAGGAGGTGGGATATGACATTGATCTCGAAGGTCTGCTGGATATTTTCCAAGACGAGGTCCCCCGGTTGTCGCTCTGGGTGAAGGATCCCACCGCTGAAGAAGGCTGCGTGGATGAATGGGTTGCTGTCTTTGGGGAGGGCATCCGCGAGTGCGCGAGAGGCACAGACGATGCTGTCCTCGGACGTGAGATCCAGGGGGAGCACCTTCAGCCTAGTTTGGTCAACGCCTGCCAGAGAATCCATGATACGCATGTGGACGGCGTCGGGCGTATTGGTGCGATGAGTCGCGAAGACAGGCAGAGTGGTGGTTTGTAGTAGATGACGAGTGATCGCCAGAGAAAGACCTCTAGTAGAGGGGGCAACTAGAATGAAAGGGTACAGCCTCGGAGGCATACTGTTAGAGAAAGCGCTGGACCTACTGAGGTTCGACTCGAAGAGACAACGAGACCACGAGAGTTCTGTCACGGTCAGGTGACCAGTGCAATAGGACGCGCCGACGCTTCCCTATATTACCAGGACTCGGCAAGAATACTTAAGCCAGCTTACAATAGCGAACTCGCACCAATTGCAATGCGCCGCAGCTGCGTCAAATGTCAATTTATCCAGGCCCTTCCCCGATCCCTGGTGTTGGAAAGCATCTATACGGTAATTCACAATGGCCATATCTATGTCTCCACTCTCGCTGTCGCTGTGGCCAGAGCCCGCCATCAACATAGAATTTGCCTGTAGGATAAACGTGTGTGCCCCCAACCTAGCGTGGCAGTACACTTATATATCTTCCTTGTCTAGAGGCTGATCCATGATGCATGAGCCTTATACACCGATCACATCTCGAAGAGCAATATAGGCCTCTCCTTCAGGCTACGGAACTTCCCTCGACTCCCAGACGCCAGAATCGGTCCCAAATGGGATCCGCTTGCCAGTGCATCTTCCTTCCCGCCCTTCGCTTCGCTTCTGCTGTTGTGGCTGCCGCAGCAAGCTTCCCGTCGCCCCCTTCACCCCTTTGTGCACGTGGCACGCGATTTCCGTTCTGCAGCGCGCTCCGCTGCGAGCCCTCGTTTTCGACCATTCATATCCAATCGATCTATTTATTCAGAATGTTTTTGCAGTGATATGTCAGTTGACTGTTGCATCTTACCCCATCGTCATATCCTCAAACTTTACCTGCCATCTCAGCTTCCACCATGAATCAGCTGCTGTTGTTTCTCCCATGCCCCCTCCGTCTCTGAACCTTGCTGCCTTGTATATAAGGAGTGCTCGAGCTCTCGTTCTCTTAGCTCTCGTTCCCTGCCTTTGAATATTCAACTCGGAATCCGTGCATTCAACAACATGGCGCAAGGGCTGATCTCTGATCATCGAGTCAGTGTAATACTTGAAAGCTTTGAGTACTCACTGACCTTTTTACTCACCACCAGGTTGTCTATGGGACTCTACAATCAGAGCAACCGTCAGACCGCGTCCTAGAGGTCGAAGGAGGTAATGATGATATCAATGCTGGATTCGGAGGCAAGCGAGTAGCGTTATTAAGACACACTCCTGCGTCATTCAATTTCCCGATGGCTTGAACCGTGCATATTACAGATTTGTCTGGCTGGTCCCTGTGTATACGGCGGACCCCAGCAACGCAGCTTCCGCCTTTGATGTTGTCATTCAGTCCAGCGAGGACCCGAATAGGAATGACCTCGCGGCCGGGGCGGGTGGTGATTTTCGCTATCTTTTACCGATCACTACTGGAGCCCGACAGATCGCGAGTGTTGCCCTGCTGCGGAGCAAGGAAAGCGTTGACAGTATTCCTCCTGGGTATGACGGGAAGACTACGGATATCAACAAAGGTCGTGGCGGCGACTTTCTTTACCTTCTTTGGCAGTGGATCTAGTTTTCATCATCTTGCTAATGTTCTTGTACCTACTATGGCTTTCGACTTTCTGAACTCCGTTGCTGATGTATTCATGTGCCCTCGTGTACTAGTAGTCTCCGATCTAGGTTGTACCATCGTGTTCTGTTGTGTGAGGATTGTGCGCTTCTTGACTTCTAACTACATTCGTGCGTTCACAAAAACATCTATACGGCATTCCTTACAGTAAAATTTGACTGGGAGAGGAACGAGGCAGATCGGAGGATATCGAAAGGCCGATCAGTCCTGCATGGCAAAACGAGGAGAATACTATATATATATAAGATTCGTCAACTTTCAACTCGAAGACTGGGATTTTGTCACGGTCAGGTGACTGAGACGCGACGATCATTTCGCCCATTCGGTACCAAGATTTGTGGATTTAGTGCTATTCACTAGACATCTCCGATGAAATCTCCCTCATCTTCGTCCCATCCCAGAGTTTCTGGGGCGATTCCGAAGTGTCGCAGCATCGTGCCCAAGGTATGCTCCGCAGCTGCCTCATCCTCATCCTCTCCCCCAGCACCTTTCTCCCGGTCACCATCAATCATCTCCGAATCCGCGGTTGTCCCCGTCTTGTCTCCGTCCCACCCCCATCCAGCCTCAAACGCACAGGACCTCCCCTTCTTACCGGTATCATATCCCCAACTTCCGTTTAAGCCCCCCTTACCCTTTGGCGCACCATGGTACTCGTCCTCAAACCACGAGTTCTTCCCCTTCACTGCGGTCATGTTCTCAGTGGGGTCCACGTCTTTCACCGTATCCCACACGGCCCACGCGACCTCTCTGCCTACGTTCCTCCATTTCCTGACCAGTGCTTCCAAGTTGTCGTCCTCCTGCGCACTCCCGTTCTTGAATTTGATCGCCTGCTTCAGCGTCTGTACCTTCGCTTGGAGAACCTGAATGGTGGGTGTGGCTTTGACGCTCGAGAACGATACAGTAGAGGTAGATGGATATGTGGGTGCAGCTGTCGATGTAGAGAAGGGTGACCTGAACTGTTTCGCAGCATTTTCCGTGTAATCCCGGCTCTTCGTCGAAGACGCTGCAGCTGCAGCTTGGGACATCTGGGCACGTTCCAGTTGGGAAGAGGAGGTATCAACCGTGATTGTCTCTGCTCCAGGATCGCGTGAGGTCATCCCGCGTGCGCAAACGGCATGCAATCCCTGAAGAGTGGTAGCTTTGTCGACCAACGGAGAGCGGAATGGTGCCGCGAGCTTCTTGCGCTGCTTCTGCTGAGATGCAAATGTGAGCCGCTTCGGATTGGGAGGCCTCGGTGGAGACAGATGCACATCTGGTTTCTGGGTGGAGTGATGGGTTAAATTGACAATCGCAACGACAGATGACGCTTACCATGCGTTTTACGTCCACCTCTCTTTCCTCCAGAGCTGCATCCATGGCCATGTCATGGTCGTCTTGATATTCCATTGACGTCTCTTCGACTGCAGACCGGGCACGTTTGCCCAAGCAAGATTCATCCGCAATCTCGCCCGTGGAGTCTCCGTTCGGCTTCTCGTCCGACTCGGACCACGACGTTGGAGGAGGGGAGGATGGCGGTGTGTTGCCGACATCTCTCGAGGGAGATGATGAAAAAATATGGCACGGGCTGGACGACCGAAAGGGCGAAGAAGGCGGCAGTGGTGGAGAAGATTGTGGAGAACTGTGGAGAACCTCTTGAAGCGCTATGTCCTCCAATCTATGGTTCGGCTCGTACTGGCTGCGCTGAGATGACGGCAAATCCGAGTTTTCATCTACCTGCATTCGGATCTGTGAGTCACCACCGGAAGGACGACCTTCGTGTGCGGTGGGAAGAAAGGCAACAATTTCGATAGAGGAACGTGTAGAAGACGAATGAGAAGCAGCGGGACTTGACGCTGGTAATTCGAGCATATCAACATCTTCCTGGGAGAATCTATCATCAGACACAAAAATACGGCCAGCAAGAGCATCGCGGGAGTCTGTATACGCGCGGTCTTCCGAAGACGGCTGGTGCAGAGCAACAGAACGGGGGTCACCTTGAAGGTATATTCTAGAAGCTGCAAGCGGCTCCAAGACATGAGGCGGAGATACTGCCACAAGAGAAGAGTTCACCGGCGAGAGAGCAGGTGAATCCAGTGGTAACCCTGGTTCAACCATTTTCGTGCCACCAACAGGTATTTCTTCACGAGTGGCATGAGCGGGGTTCAGGGCCTCGGAAGCTCCTGTAATTAGAGCTGATGTAGGTTCCGAAGGGGTGAGGTCAGAATTCATTTCCACATCAGGAATTGACTGGAATGCATGATCTGTCGAAGCAGTAACGGTAGTGGAACGAGTAGAGTTAGCGGAGTCCACCAAGGTAGCATCAGGAACCGTAGCTTGGACCAATGGAGCATCTGAAATTGGCACAAGAGTGTTTTCGGACAGCAAATTGGAGGGAGAAGGAGCAGGGCAATCGAGATCTTCGTCAGACGACGGGGTTGGATTTTCACTGGGAAGAGCTGACGAGGGATCGATTGTGTGAGTCAACGATGATTCGGAGCTTGAGCGGCCAATGTGAGGTATGGAGACCACAGATAATGATTCAAGTTCGTCAGGTTGGTCAAAGCCACGAAGAATCGGAGCACATTGGAGATTGGCAGCAGCAGAGACATCTTGTTCTGAAGACTCAGAAGGTACTAGCGTACATTCTTTTGAATCGATGAGCACAGTAGCAGGGAAAGTGGCGGAGGAATCAGCGGGTGCAAATAAAACTGTAGCAAGAGTATTTTCAGGCAGAGGGGGGAGAGAAAGAGAGTTGCAATTGAGATCGTTGTCAGACGTGGTGGAAGTTTCGTTGCGCACAGGTGACGAGAAAAGAGTTGTCTGATTTGATGACAATTCGGAGTTTGCCTGTAATTCATCTGTGAAAGGTGGGAAGTACACGGATAGCGATCGACGTTCTTCAGATTGGTCAGAGCCAGCAGAATCCCCTCGTTCTGGAGATACAAAGGGGGCAGGCTTGGATTCGTTTGAGTCGACGAACACAGCTGGGGAACTAGCAGCGAAACCAGTAGTGGAATCAGCATGACCGACTAGGTCAAAATGGAGAGAACTGTCAGATATAGTTGACTCCACAGGTTGTGCAAATCGGTCAGCAGGTGCAACTACAGTATCAGCGGTATCGGGTGCGCCGGAAAACGTTTCAATGACAGTATCAGATGCAATGGTAGCAAAAACAGGCATAACGGAACATTGTTGAGAAGCTAGCAGAGCGTTCGATTCTTCGGCCACAAGTAGCATGGTTGAAGCGGGAGTAGCAAAATCAGCGGATGAGTTGTTTGACAAATTGGCTTGGACACTGAGCGGCAACGGTAGCAGAGCATGATCCGGCATCCGCGGCATGTTCTTGACGATGGACGAGTCAGATACCTACGGTTGGATAGCATATATGAGTCCGAAGGCGCCTGCATGGTTACTAGCATTGTGCTCACCGTCGCAACCTTAGGGTTCTCAGCATGCGCAAGGAATCTGTTCTTATCAGTCTGCATACGCAAAGTCAGATTCATGCGAGAATGGTCGTAATTGGGCCGGAAATGATGTTTATTTAGTAGGAATAGGTAAATGAGACTGCATATATGCAGCCGTTTGGGACAGTGGTGTACGAGGAGAATCACGTACATCGTCGTTGGAGTGTATGCCGTCGTATAACTTTGCCGCAGCAGTATGAACCTAAAGGGGATAGTTAGATTATAAGCATCGGTGACAGACGTCTATAAAAATAACCAAATGCTGGTCAGTGCAAGACAACCTGAAGATCTCCTGTGTCGGCATAGGATACATGCGTTAGTATTTCAAGTCAGTGCAATTGAACTATTCGATATCACCTTATTTGATGTGTGGGGAGCAGGAGTCTCTGGTGCACAGGTGCAATCACCTGAAAGATAATTATGCAAGGTGAGATCCGCACAGTAACCGCACATTATTTACCTTCATCACTGGTTTCTGGGCAAAAATCTGAGTCTCCTGTAGTACCCTATAAGCATAAATCACACATGAATTGGTTTTGAATGCGCTTTGGGCGAAATTTGCACCTCGCCCGACCGAGCAGAGGTCGATACCGCTTCATTGCAGGTGCAAGAGGTGGAAGGATAGATCTAGATCATCGTAAAAATGGGTTACTTCAGATACGTAGAGCAAGACTTACCGCCAGCAGATAAGTCATAGTCAGTACTGTACGACGAGGAACGAAGTCAAGTCGCTTCAAGCGCCCGCGAACTTGTGGACGCGTTGTGACGCGTTGTCTGTTCGTATTTGATACACACGTGATAATATCATTCTGCTTGATTGCCTGAGTCCTGACGCCCTCGAAAGTCTCGCTTTGCGCTTCCACCCACTAGACATGGACTCTTCGTCGTCTGGCATTCAAGAACCGTTCGATCTCATCAGGCTGTCACTAAGCGAACGTGTGTTCGTTAAATTGAGAGGTGACCGTGAACTCACTGGTGTCCTACATGTGCGCGCCATACCCTCACGAGCGATATCACTCGCACTGAGCATCATACAGGCTTACGATGGGCACATGAATCTTATCTTGAGCGACGTCGAAGAAACCATAATGATTGTTGACCAAGTTGAAGGTGCAACGGATGGGCAGGCTACGGTGAATGTAGGTGCCACTTTGGTGAGTATTGATCACATATTCACTAGCGTCGCCATACAGATCGCGAAGAGAAAGATGGAGATGCTGTTTGTACGAGGGGATGGTGTAATCCTAGTGAGTATCTGAATAACAACCTTGGAGCGTGAAGTGCTAAGTATGTTGAAGGTATCACCACCCTCACGGACATGACGAGAGGTCAGCTGCTGGTTGGCCGTTTGCATTGTGCGTTGCTATTCGCTTTGTATCACTCAGTGCCAACTGTGCGTGCCTCCACATCGACAATCTCTCGCCACGTAACGGCAGTTTCGAGTCAGCGATTTGCCACAAAGCGATGTGTCACAAGCTCAAATTAGTGAGTGATCAGAGATAGTTTATATACACCGTTTCGAACCAAAACTCTCCATCCGAAGGTTCTTCAATTCTCGGGTGGTGTGCCATGTCAGTATGCAACTCGTATCGTGGGGTATCTAAAAGGCCGTGGTTCCTTTCTTTGAGTCAGGAGTGAAGGCCAGTCACTCTGCGTCAATTTGTTCGATCTGCGCAATCGAGCTCTCTAAAACATCGTCTGGCTCGGGAGCCACCCCACCTCTGGGCCATGTACCATCCTGTATCCAGCCTGCCTTCAGAATCTTAATCTTGGAGGTCAGACAGCGAGGATAGGCGTGGATCGTTATCATCATGGGTTGAAAAGCACATGAATAGAGTACGAACCACCATGCTGAGTGGAAGACGTTTCTTTAGTCGTACACCGCTTACAAGGCTTTCCCACACTTTAGCCAGCCCAGCATCCCAAACTTGTTTGCTCTCTTCTGCGCCCCCCTCATTGAGTAAGTTCTCAAGTTTCCGTCGCGAAGGAGATGTTTCCACGACTTGAGCTGGATAGGGACCTGGCGCCCACCATAGCGCTCTGCGAGCGCAGAAATATGCAGGTCCAGGGAGCGGAAGGTCTGCTGTCTTCAGCAGAGCTTCAAAGGAAGAGACGTCACAGCTGGATGTTGTAATTGGTAGCCTAGCTTTGACGGTGTAGCTGTTTGGGAGGCTGGCTTCGGAGGGCTCGAGAGTGGGACCTATTGGTGAGGGAATATCGGTCATCTGTCGTGGAACATGCGTAGGTGGCGAAGGGGAAGTAAGAGTGAATGTTCCAGAGAGTAGTGGGTTTATAGCAGTATCCTGCACGTCTGTGTCCTTAGGCGTCCTCTCATCCATCGTTCGATGACTAAGCCTGGACACGACCCGAAAGAGGCTACTCTGACTTCCGGAACGTCCGTCGTCCAGGCGCTCAGGTTAACGTTGTCGCCAGCCCTTCAACAACAACCGTCTACACGTGTGATTCTCGCTGCCAACGCCTCTTTGCGACGAGCAGCACCCACTCTCTCGTCGAATACAATGTACAGGAGCCAATCCCCAACGCAGTCGAGTACCTCTGTGTCCGATAACGAAGAGGACGACTATAATAAATCTGCATTCTTCCCATCCCCCGACGCTCTTGCCATCTCTCCTGCTCAGTGGTCTTCCCGACTACACCTCTTGCCACATGCCGCCGACACTCCTCCTCGCTGTCAGGCGTCTCGGTTACCCCCCGAAATCCTCATACACATTCTCAAACATCTCCATTCATCGGGAGACTTGTATCATGCGCTGCTAGTCTCGCGTGCTTGGTGCGAATGCTCCGTCGAGCTCCTCTGGTATAGACCCTCGTTTTCCAAGCTGGGAACCTTGGTCAAGATGCTGCGAGTGCTGAGTGGGGTCGATCAGACCTTCCTGTATGCCCAATTCATCCGTCGACTAAACTTCCTATCTCTCGCACCCGACATCAGCGATTCACTCCTTTCACGCCTTGCACCATGTGTGCGGCTCGAGCGCCTCACACTCATTAACTGTAACAACATATCCGATGATGGGTTAATGCGTGTGCTGCCATGTTGTCCAAACCTCGTCGCTCTTGACCTTACGGGCGTTTCCGAAGTCTCCGACAGATCCATAATCGCGCTCGCTTCGTCTACAAAGAAGCTACAGGGTATAAACCTTGGTTATTGCAAGAAGCTGACGGACAATGCTATTCTCTCCCTTGCAGCCGGATGTCCCCTCCTTCGCCGGGTGAAGCTCAGCAATGTGGAGCTGATTACTGATGAGCCCGTGTCTGCGCTTGCCAAGTCATGTCCTCTGCTGCTTGAAATTGATCTCAATGATTGCAGCAACATCACAGATATTTCCGTCCGTGATATCTGGACGTACACCACGCAAATGCGCGAGATGCGGCTATCACATTGCGTCGAGCTCACCGATGCGGCATTTCCAACCCCTTCAAGGCCGGAGATTATCACTGGGGCAAACCCGTTCCCGTCGTCTATGGGGTTGTCATCCGACAAACTCCCTGCCTTGCGCCTTTCTCGTCCTTTTGAGCATCTGCGTATGCTCGACCTGACGGCCTGCTCATTACTGACTGATGATGCGATCGAGGGCATCATCTCAGTGGCACCTAAAATACGCAATCTGGTCCTGGCGAAATGCACACTGCTCACGGACGTCGCCGTCGAGAATATTTGCAAACTAGGAAAGCATCTGCACTATCTGCATCTTGGACATGCAGGCAGCATTACCGACCGCTCGATCAAGAGCTTAGCACGCTCGTGTTCGCGCTTGCGGTATATCGATCTTGCCAGTCAGTTGCCCCCTAGTCTTCCTGAAACTATGCTCATCACCCTTCGTTGAGTACAGATTGCTTACAACTCACAGATATGTCGGTGTTTGAGTTATCAAGCCTGCAGAAATTGCGCCGGATTGGTCTCGTGCGTGTCAATAATTTGACCGACCAGGCCATATACGCTCTCGCGGATAGACACGCGACCCTTGAGCGTATCCACTTGTCGTACTGCGATCAGATCACCGTCATGGCGGTTCACTTCCTACTTCAGAAGCTTCCAAAGCTCATTCATCTCAGTCTGACTGGGATACCCGCTTTCCGCAGGCCTGAGCTGCAGAAATTTTGTCGACTTCCTCCCCAGGCACGTCGCTATATATGGACATATATGCTTCCGTCTTGTTGACATGCAGTTGTTTATAGGACTTTAATTCAACACAAAGGGCTGCGTTCTGCGTCTATTCTGGGAAGGGCGTTACAGAACTCCGAGAATATCTTATGGTCCTATTCCAATCTATGACGGATGCCGATAATGCCACTGCCACAGAATATGACGATGAATTTGACGAGGAGTATCGGGCGCGATATCCCGACGACGTTGAAACCGCAGATGATGGTGAAGGTGCAGATGACGGCGAGGACGAGGACGAGGACGAGGAGGGCTCTGCGGATTCTACTCCGCATCCTAACCCCATTCTGTCTCACGGTCCAAGTGGTGTCGTCGATAACTCCGACTCACGCACACCTTCTCGACCCTCTCCCTCAGGAGCAGTCGTTAGAGAACTAGCCATGTCAAGAGATCGTGGAAATCAACCGGTACCACGGCAAGGCGTTCTCAGCGCTCCCACGTGGCTGAGTGGTCCGTCTTCATCGACCCGGGTCGCGAGTGTCCCTAGACGTTCTATTGGTTTTGGCCAACAACCAATCGTCGAGACATCAACGTCGCCTGCACCGAGCGATGTGGCTTCTAATCGCAGCACAGGCACAAACCAGTCGCATGGAACCGCGTTCTTCCGCACATACGCAGAAGCACCTACTTCGGCAAGACATGGTGTGGTGACACCTGATCTGGTCTTTGCAGAGATTGGGCATGGACGTGGTACTGGACCTGGCCCCAGCACAGTCTTTGTGCAGGGCAATGGCCGACGTGGGGCCGAGACCGTCATGGCAGGAACATCTTATGGTGTTCTTTCCACGAACTCAGCAGGATATGTCATATCGCCCACCGGCTCTTCCACATTTACAGCAGCGCTCTCGGAAGTGTCTGCAACCCCGCATGGCTTCCGTGCTCCCGTCAACGATAACGAGGGTCAAAGCGACCACAACCATGATACAAGAACCGTCTTGGTAAACTCCTCAAACTCGTATCAGCATGGTATTACTCCTGTCGGCTGGTCACCCAGTCATCATCAAGCCGCTTCACGGTCGATGTCCTCATCACCGACGACTCGAGAATTACATGAGTCCGTCCAATCTGCCTTCGAGAGTCAGCCCGTACTTGTGGAGAGCCGTGACACTGATTCGAGAGGACGGAGTGTCAAACGAAGTCTGAGAAATACGCTCACCGCTGCCGAGCAATATGCGAGCTCGTTCTTTTTTGGTGGGCGGGGTTCTGGCGGCAGCTCTCACGAAGGTGCGGCGGGACTTGCAAATGGTAGAGACGGTGATCCGCACGGTCATTAGGCTCACAATTCATCTCACTTTGTATCCTCCGTGTGCATCACACATTGTTCTATAGTATGCGGAAGCGCCATTTCATGCATCCGCAACTTGTCATCTTCTCTGTAGCGTAGTACGCATCTTTTACGGATTACCATGACGTTGCCACACTTCTTTTATCTGCCAGTCCGACGTTGTAGTTATGTACTCCAGAAAGTGTTGTCTTTGTGAATCATATGTACGTAGGCCTATCTGCTGCACTAGATAGCATACAGTTGCACACTTTGCAAACGGGGCCAAGAACCGGGGGGGCATCACTTACATAAGCTGTATGGGCGCTAGAATATCTACTTGCACTATACTTGCACCTTCTTCAAGGCGTCCCTCCAGGTTTATAACTTCATCATGAATGTTCGACCGGCACGGGTAGGCAGTTGTTCATTCTTAATAGTTTCAAGCAGGTTTGCGATTTCTGCTAGATAGACGACCTTATGGGCATGCAGGCGTGCAACCTGCAGAACCTGCCGGAGAACTACACGCTGAGGTACTGTGCGTATGCTATCCCATCGGAAGACGTATATGGAACTTATGTCTCTATCTCGAAGATTTGTATCATGCATTGACATGGCCACAACTTTCCTACGTGGCTGAGGATAATAAAGGCCGGATAGTGGGATATATTCTGGCAAAAATGTGAGTGGCTTTTATACGGGCACGTACGCAGGCTAAACTTTGACTTTTCCCTCTTCAGGGAAGAGGAAGTAGGTCCTGACGATGACCCTCACGGCCACGTCACATCAATATCTGTCCTAAGGTCGTATCGTCGGCTCGGTTTGGCGAAAAGACTGATGGTACAATCTCGTGAGTATCTCTCACTCTCCGTTGCGCCGCAGAACGTGCCGTTGAATTCGCATGCAGAAGAAGCAATGGCGACAGTGTACAAAGCAGCTTACGTATCACTGCACGTCCGCAAGTCAAACCGAGCGGCGTTGAGTCTGTACCGAGATACTCTCGGGTTTACCGTGAAGGGGGTAGAGAAGAAGTATTGTGAGTATCATCTCTCGGTTACACACGCATGCCAGTATGAAGATGTAATGAATTCGTTGATCAGACGCCGACGGCGAAGATGCCTACGCAATGCAGTTATCTCTCAAGCATCTCGCGCGATGACGACCCCGGATTCCACGGCGTAATATTCATATATAGAAAGTAGATGTACATATTGCCCAGGGTTTAGCCAGAGCAACAGACGCGGAGGTCTATCCCGGTGTCTGTATGATACTGTCATTGGCCTCCGACTGACGACCCTCTTGAGGATCGAGTAGGATCGTCACTGCTGGACAGCCTGCAGGTGGTGTCGCCCCCACAACCTCTGCATGCGTATTCGTGAGCGCGCCTCTACTGTGCTCAACAGCTCCTCTGATCAATTGTGCCACGGAGAGTCCGAGTTCGTAATAGCCATCGTTAGTCTTACTGTCGAACATGCCCGTGTGCGCCTGTATTTCGTCCCAAGCAATGGTGTTCGGAGCTTGCAAGAAATATTTTGCCAGTGGAGACATTGGGCGTGGCAAGATGATAAACGTTCGAGATTCGGAGTACGAGGGGGGGCTCGCTGGAAGGAAGGTATAGAACCTAGCGAAGTTTCAATGTACATGACAGCAGAAGTTTATGAGCAACCTACGTTCGGAACACCACGCCCACATGCTCTTCTATCTCCAAGAGCATCTTCAGTCGATTCTGCAAAGTAGATTCCTGCCACAACGCGCCCACAAACTGCATGTGATCTGTTGCCCATTTGAACCCAGTCCCAATATCTTTGCGCTTGTAGTACGCTGTACCAGCTGCAGCACCCGCTATCACAGCTCCACCTACAGCATAGGCTGCAGGTGCCCATTTCTGCCAAACAGATGTCGTTGCCTGGATGGGAGGAGGTTCGATGGCTGCCTTGGGCATATTCGCGGCAGCAGAAGCAGCCGGTGAAGTTCTAGCACCGAACATGTCGAGATTGGAGAAGGCTTCGCGTGCATTACGAATGTAAGTCGCTGCTTGAGTAGCGCTATTCTTGAAAACTGAAGGATGGAGACCAAGATACTGGTTTCGAGATAGCTTCAGTAGAGCATTCTTTATTTGACTCGTGAACGTACTGGTGTATCAAAAGTTAGGCAGCTGATAATATTAGGCCATAGCGGAGCCTTGGCATCTGGACGAGTGCGGACAAACTCAATAAGAGCGTCGGCTGCGAGAAGTCCTCCCATGCTAAGGGATGGTTTCGAATGGTGTTCTCATCAAGTAGACAGCCTTGACTAACCTGTGACCACAAAGAACGACCTTTGCCTTCCCTGCACCGCCCCCTAGGCCGTTGGCAACCTCGCGTTGAACAGTCAGGTTGGTCAGCCAATCAGCAAAGTGAACGACTGCCGCATCCTTTGAATAGAATAAGTCTGCATCGGACGACAAGAGCAGACTGAAGCCTTACAAGTTCACCCTTCGTCTATCATATCTCAATGAAGTTCCACGGTATGCAACTGTGTGGAAACTCACTTCGTACGCAGGGAATATGACACTCTCAACGACAATATCTCTTATAGCCTCTGAGAGTATGTGCTGCAGCCTCTGCGGGAACTCGACAAAAGAGGTATCTGCCCCTTTAAATCTGCACATGAACATGAGTGTGCAACACAGGGCTTCATCGACAGAGACAACCAACCCGTGTATGAATACAACAAGCAGCAACTCAGAAGGCAAAGGCTCGGTGGTTGGTGCAGCCGTAGTTGTGTTAGAGGTGGACTTGTCCATTGGAAATAAAATTTACATGGGACAGGAGGCATGCAGATATATCGACGCAGAGTTACACCGCGACTCAGTACTCAGTACTCATCTGCGGAATCGGGCTGATTCGGTCATTACTGAAGTCAAAGCGCGATCGCCTGATGACGTTATGCAGGCATCACGTGTGCGTATCCTTTCCGGAGAAAGCAAAGAGTCTTTGCTTTCTCCAGACAGCCAGTATTTTGCTACAACAGAAGATCCTCACATGTCTGGAAACACTCCTCATGCTTTTAAAGGATCGTTAGTCTTGTCTTATCTCGGTCTACCCGAGCAGTACGAACCATCTCCCAACGCCGATCCCATTCAGTTCCTCCTCAAGCATCTTCTCGAGTTACCCCCTCACCTGTCGATGTTATTCTCTTCCGTTACCACTCCGAAACAGAGAACGGTAGTCTCAGCTATTCGTAACAGACGGCTAAGATACACGGAGACTGACCCTGTGGAACTCCGCTTCGCCTCCTCCAAAGTGACTTGGCCCACTCTCTGGGGCAACGAACGTCCGGGACAGCACGAGGCCGCAGATGAACGCGATTGGGTTGAGAGGGAATTCCTAGGCAGCCTTAAGCCGCATGTTGGAAAGCTCGGGATGTTGCTTGGTGGTTACGAGGAGGAGCGCGCGCTTGAACGAATCAGGACGTTGAGAAGGGAACAGGCGGAGTTGCTTGATTCCCTGCCAGAAGAGGACGAGAGTGAAGACGAGGACAATGAAGAGCAGCCTGCTAACCTCACACCTGAGGCTTCTGCTGAAGATGCAGAGTCTCTCTTCTTGCGTTCAGTCAAAGAACGTTTCATCTATGGGTTGCTCGAGGTACGCATGACTTTGTGCCATTGTTCCATATGGCACAGGAATGATGTTATCTACCGTGTCAGTCAATTGACTACGATAAGGTTGACTGGGACGAGCGGTGGGATACCGCTCGTGACAGGGATGCGGAAGAACGGTGGTTTGATGATGAAGAGGAAGGCATCGAGGTGACACCTAGTTTCCCCGAGGAATAATAGGTCGTGTATCTCTACTTCCCGCATAGGCTTTCTTGTCTGAATCGTGGAGGAAGAGATTATCAGATCGAGATATAGTCAGTAGCACCATATATAAGCAGTGTCGAAACTGACCGCGGGTATCTCAGCTTGACTCCTCACCTTTATTTTTACCATGTCTTCAGTCCCGTATTTCAAACTGAACACAGGCGCGTTGATGCCCGCGGTCGGTGAGTTTCAGAGTTCGATGCCTGGTTACATGTTTGACGGTTCTGTCACCAGGGCTGGGCGGCTGGAGCGGCGTTACGAAGGAGCAGCGCGCGGAGGCGACGGCTTGGATGCTTACCGCCTTAGAAGTGAGATGAATATTGATGCAAGCCTTGCGCACGTTGTGACCCAGTTGCTCTTGGTCAGTCTGGCTATAAGTTGATCGATACTGCATGGGGATACGGTATGTCGAATACTCGCAGAAAGCAGGAGTGCTCGATTCAAAGTTCACATTTACAGGCACTGAGCAGTACGTTCGGGAAGCTATTAAGCAGTCGGGTATACCTCGAGAGAACATTTGGATTACCACCAAGTTGCCGTAAGCTCATATAGCTGTTCAGCTGATTTTGTCTTCACCTTGGGTTCTAGATGGAACCATCCGGGTTTGCGGGCCGTAGAAGAGTCCCTGCGAGACAGTCTGAACAAATTGGGTACTGAATATGTCGATTTGGTGAATACACCTGAGTGGGCCCCACCTTGCGTCTAGCACTTATGTTCTCTGCAGTACCTGTTGCACTGGCCCCAGGTGATTGACTGGCCTGGTGAGTAGTTTCATGATTCGTTTCATGTGACGAATGTGCCAACACTCACTGTAGACGAGGACCCGGAGTATGATGGCCCCTTCGCTATCCGTGATTCTCCTACTTTCAATGAAACGTGGGCCGGAATGGAGAAAGTGTATGCAGCCGGAAAGGCTAAGGCCATTGGTGTCAGCAACTTCTCAGTGAAGAAGTGTGTTGAATCTGGATTAGCTCTAACCTTGTCTGACAAGATTCTGCAGTCTTGAGAAATTGCTCACCACAGCCAAAGTGGTTCCCGCTGTCAATCAGGTCGAGTGAGCATCTCGATTGATCATCCATGATTACACATCACTGACTGGGTACTCAGACTGCACCCCTATCTCGCACAGTCGGAGTTGAAAGCCTACTGTGACGTAAAGGGCATTGTGTTGACGGCATACACACCCACGGGTATAAGCCAATCTCAGTGTTGAGGTTGCGATGTGTCTCTGAATTGCTTTGACGATAGGTTACGCCACTGTGCGTTCCGACCCACTGATCGTGGAGCTTGCAGAGAACTACAAGGTCACTCCCGGGCAAGTTGTTCTCGCATGGCATGTAGCGCGTGGAGTCTCTGTCGTACCCAAGAGTTCCAACGCCAAAAGGCAAAGGGATAACATCAACGTAAGTAATTTACATCTTTCGGGCGTATCAGAGTGTCCTAAGTGACCATAGCTGTCGACATTGGACCCGGAGGATATCAAGCGGATCAATGGTCTTGATCGAAACGAACGTCTCTGCAACAAGCCTGACGAGAAGGGCCTTGTGTCCGGCTGGACCATGGAGCAGATGGGATGGTAAAACGGTCGTTCCGGATGCAAGAAGTAATGAGCCAAGTCCTCCTTGTATGAGTATTCCTTCCACGGTGTTGGCATTTACATGATATGTTCCACGACACTCCTTTGTGCGCAAGAACAGTCACGGATGCGGATGCAGTCCGCCAGTGCACGAAGACAATTTCTTCGACTGATACATACTCGATCTTTCTCGCTGAGCCCACCGTGGGGTCAGTATTATTACACGATGACTCACTTGATCTTTCCTCTGTCATATTCAATTCTGCGCTCAAAAACTCTTGCTGGCCAGGACGAAACAGGATTTTCGACTACCTCGCCAGCGTGGGCTTGGATGCATACGATGAGCTTGAGCGTCCCAAACTTTACTATTGTACGGAAGCCATAAATTCACCACGTCCGTGAACTCTGGAAGGTATTTCGGTATTTGTTTCTGGCTTCATCGGTTCTGCTGAACTGCCTTCAAACCTTATCATCATCCGATGGCCAATCAGCTGCTGTATCATTCGGTGTTCTAGGGCACGGCGAAGCGCCACAGGTAAGTATTCCCGCCGTTCTAAAACGACGACGTACACGTTGCAGGCTTCCCCTGTGCCCCGGGGAGGTACTCTTACTCACGCTTCAGGCCGATATGGTACAAGTCTGTCCTTCGTTTTACTCACGATCCCACAGATACCTCTGCCATCGTGAGTAGTATCCTCTCCATTGTTGATTCGCAGCGCTGCGGCTCAACACACCGTAGATGAACGTCACGTTGTCTCGACTTGATTCTCTGTACCTCGCCAAGGTGGCCGATCAGGCGGAAAGGTATCACGGTCAGTCTGGACATCTCGCGACTACTTGACCCGCTTAACAAGAGCGTGCCAGATGTGATAGCCCAGCTCAAGACCGTTATTTCAGCCAACGATGCTCAACTTACCGTTGACGAGCGCAATCTGCTGTCCATCGCCTACAAGAACATCACGTCCTCTCACCGCGGCAGTTGGCGCACTATCGATACATTACAGAAGCACGCCCGCGGTGGCCTTGCGAAGCATGTTGCACTCATGCTAGTAGAAAAAGAGCGAATCGAGCAGGACTTGGCCGACATTTGCAGGGATGCTGTGGACTTGCTGGAGCAGATTCTGATACCCGCTGCAAACTCTGGAGAAGAGAAAGTCTTCTATTGCAAGATGCAAGTGTCTCTCCCTCTGTACACGACGTCAGACTTAAGAGGCATCGCAACAGGAAAGGCGACTACTATCGGTATCTCGCGGAGATATCACACCAAGAACTGCACGAGCAATACTCGGCCAGTTCGCTTGAGGCGTACAAATCTGCATATGGGCATGCGCTGGGCACACTAGAGCCCGTGCATCCCACACGTCTCGGCCTGGCGCTGAATTTTGCTGTCTACTACCACGACATCGTCGAGAGTCCTGAAAGGGCGTGTTTCATCGCCAAGCATGCCTTTGATGAGGCGATCGCTGTAGCATCGGACCCGTCGTACTCTGGGCCAAGTCTAGAGGATACTCTGGTGATTCTTCAGCTTCTGAGGGATGACTTGTTACTCTGGTCAGGGGAGATTAGTACAGAGTAGGTACCCGTCGGGTTGTCATTTCACATCATTACTATTCTGTGTACACCGAGTATCGTGGCCGCCTGGCGAAATGGCATCGCGTCTGACTACGACTTGGTAATCAGGAGATTGCAGGTTCGACCCCTGCGGCGGTCATCCGATGCTCTCACAGGAGTTTCTTTTGAGCCTCATTCAAAGTTTATAGATTGGCTCTTTTTGCAATTTATTCCCTCATGTGGGAACTAGAATCTCTCATGATGTAATACGAGGTTATCATCAACTCAATGGATGTACATGAAGTACACTCTCCTACATTGAGCGCACGCGAACTCACACCAATGAACATCTGCTACTACCCTCCTAAGCTGGAGCATTGGCGTTTGCTCCGACGGAAAGGTTTCCGAAGCCATCTACTACCTCCTCCGGAATGCCCTCCACAAGCTTCGTAATCTGTGGTACAAAGCGCTCGATCAGTACCATGCCTGATAGCTACATGGATTGGACGCACCTTCCCAATGGCTACTGTCTTGCCTACAGGAAACGATCAATAACAGCGATAGGAACATCGACGAGAGGGCTGACCTTCGTCTCGCAGCGTGAATCGCCCCAACTGCGGGTAATCTGAGAACTTCTCTACGCATACGGGTGCCGTCGTCTCTATCAGGGCTACAATTTTCTGTCCTGGAGGAATTGGGCCAATTAATCTGATCCGAGATCCGATAGATGAAATCGTCGACTCACCTCGCTTGGCAAACTGCGGTGGCTTTCTTGATTTTCGGCCGGTGGCTTTGTCGAAGTAGTGGAGAAGCGCCTGGGACAAGTTTGAGCATGATCAGAGAGAACATAGATAGCGCGCACAGAAAGTGTGACTTCCTCAGCCAATGTGTGGATGTGCATCACACCAGAGTAGCCAGCGCAGATGATGTTCCTATGGTCGAGGATTGCAAGCTGCGCCTCGAACTTGCGTACGGCATGCACAGGCTTGTTCGGGCTCGTAAGCACGAATCCAGGACTGATGTCCTCGTCATCCACGCCGCGCAGCCGGATGCGCACGTTGTCGCCGCACATCGCGGAAGCGACTTCTTCCTCCATCTCGTTGTAGATCGCGGCCACCTCTACCACGTCCTTGTTCGGCATCAGGACGAGCGACTCGCCCTTGCGGAGGTGCCCGGACTCGACCTTGCCGACGACGATGGTGCCCATGTCTTTGTACTTCTCGGAGACGGGCATCATTAGGGGCGCATTGACTTTGCGGTCGACCATGGGCATGTGGTCGAGATATTCGAGCAGTGAATCACCACTGCGATTCGTGGAGTCATGAGTACCCTCCCATTTTCGACGATCATAGACTTGGTCACTCACCTGTACCACGAGCATGCAGACTTGGACACGCGATCTTTTAAGTTGGCGCCAGTGTAAGCGGACACAGGGATGAAGCTGACGTCGGTCTTGAGGTTGAACCCGGCGGACTTGATGAAGGGTGACAACTTCTCCTTGATCTCGTCGAAGCGCGACTTCTGCCACAGCACTGTGGATTCGTCCATTTTGTTGACCACGACGACGAGCTTCGTCACGCCAGCCGTCTTGACCAACATGATGTGCTCCCGCGTCTGGCCACCCCTCTCGAAGCCCGTCTCGAACTCGCCCTTGCGCGCGGATATGACAAGGACGGCGACGTCGGCCTGAGCGGCGCCCGAGATCATGGAGGGCACGAAGGTCTTGTGTCCGGGCGCGTCAAGGATGGTATAGCGCCTGGATCCCGTTTCAAAGTATGCACGGCCGACTTCGACAGTTTTTCCCTTTTCGCGCTCCTGGGGGGTTGAGTCGAGTGCCCAACTCAGGTACCACGAGTCGCGGCCTGCTTCCTTGGCTTCCCTCTCGTACTTCTCCATCGTCCGCTTGTCGACCGATCCGGAGAGATAGAGGATATTGCCGCCCATAGTGCTTTTGCCTGCATCGACATGACCGATGAAGACAATGTTAAGATGCTCCTTGACTGATGGACAGTACACGGTATATGAGAAATAACTAGAAATGTCGAGGATCAGTGTACACACCAGTTCCGAATAGATCTCGAAGTGTGTTTTCATCGGCGACCGACTGCACTTCGTGTGCGATGGCTGCGGTATCTGTCTTTGCTTTCTCAAGGGTGAGGGTTTTGGTGGATACGTTGGATGATGCTGTTGACGGAGCCGGAGATGCTGAATGCGAATGCAAAGACTTGACAGATGCAGGAGCAGGAGTAGCAGGAGTAGCAGGCTTGGATTGAGGTTGCACGGGCGACGGGGCAGCGACGGGGGGAGCAGGAGATGCAGCAGGTGGTGTAGGCTTCGATCCTCCGATGTTTAGGGTGATGGAAGGAGCGGGAGCGGGGGCCTCTGTCTGGGGTGGACGCTCGATAGGCTGTGGAGGGGGCGGGGACGGCTGAGCAGGCTGGGGAACGCGGAAGGCCTGTCCTGGCACGAAGCTGAAAGCGTTGGCATTGAGTTTACTCATTGCTACAGGTATTATAAAGACAGAAAATTCGGGAAGATCGAAAACAAAAGGACAGCGAGTAACGTTACAGATGTACAGAGACGAGAGCTTCAGAGCCTCTCCCAGTCCCACTTTTCACTTCCCTTTCGGGCATCTCCAGTGACCGTCTGTGGCCCGGTCCGAGTACAAGTGAGTCGCCCTGGAATCGCTCTCGCTTCCTCTCTTCCAGCAAGTCATGTAAAATCGCACAGTGTATGTACAGATTTGATGGTGCAGGTGCCAAATGTGCGCGATCATGTATTGCATGCGAAAAACGGTCGAAGTTCACGCAGAAACATTGAAAAAGTTCCTTGATTACATCCCATAAGAGAATCATTCTGCAAGGAATGCACATTGAGCTGAGTTATACGGTGACACGAGAACGTTGTCGAGCAACACCACAAAGTTAGGATGTTGACTGCCGACAGTAGTGCCAATGCGTGCTGCGCCGTGGGTGTGGGTTGCCACATGGCTAAACAGGCAGGACCGATGTGATCATTGCAGCTCGACCCAATACCCCGCCATACCCCATTCTCGAATGGCAGAACAGGAGACATATCTCGCCGTTCTCAAGGCCTCTTATGACTATGATCCACAGCCAGATGCAGAAGAAGAGCTAACCGTCAAGGAGAACCAGCTCCTCCTTCTCCTCGAGCGCACAGACGACGAGTAAGTCATTCAATGTCCATCTGTTCTTAACGTCCTCGCTGCATCGCGATACATAGCTGGTGGAAAGTCAAGATCAAGCCGGAATCCCAGGAGGAGGATGGACCTTCTGGTCTTGTTCCGGCAGCGTATGTTGAGCCAGTGAGTTCCCCAAGCCTCTATCTTACTGCTCCCATTATCATATTACCCACAGGCAGAGCATATCTCAGTTGTGAAGGCACTGTACGACTACGAGGCGACACAATCAACTGAACTCAATGTGAAGGAAGATGAGATCCTTCTTGTATTCGACAAAGACGACGACTGGTTGCTGGTGCAGAGTCAGGCGAACGAGGGCAAGGTCGGGTACGTTCCTGGGAACTACGTCGAGGAGGTGTGTACTCGGCATTTTGACATCTTAAATTTCATCCACAACCGTTCACTCAGACTACGGGCGAGGAGCAACCTACAACGGCAGTAATTCCCTCAATACCTCACATCGTCGTCCCTCCGTCTGTGTGTACACCAGTATGAATTTCCCGTGATGCTGTCTCATACAGTGCCTCTCTTCCAGCCACCGCGTCCCGTCAGCGTCTACATCGATCCTGCTGATCGCGTAGCGGCTGCGCCAAAGGCACAAGCTGACGATATCCAGACCTGGTCAGTCTCTGAGGTCGATAAGAAGGGCAAGAAGAAGAAGGGGACTCTCGGCGTCGGAAACGGTGCAGTGTTCTTTGCTAGCGAGTCGGACAAGGTGCGCGTCCCGAAACATTCACTGCTTTTCCCATTCACCAACCCAGCCGATAGACACCAGTGCAGAAATGGCAGACCTCGGCAATACAGTCAGTCAAGCTCGAGAAGTCGAAGCATGTGCACATCGAGATCGGCGGGGATGAGTCCGTCAACCTGCACTTCCACGCCGGCTCGAAGGACGTCGGGGAAGCCATCATCGCCAAGCTCGAGTCCTCGCGATTACTCTCTGCACCTCCGCGGCCCAGCGTGTCGGCGGAAGAGGAGCCAGAGCCAGAGCGTCTACGCAGCGCCGCGCAGAAGGCCGTCCATTTCGATGCTGCGGCTCCGGAGATCATCCCTCCGCGCGAGCCTTCCGAGGACGGGGAGGAAGAGGACGCCCTGCACGAAAATGCCGCTGAGTTGAGTGCAGAGAACAGCGACATGGCGGTGGCACTATACGACTTCACTGCGGATGGCGTGGACGAGCTGTCCGTACAGGAAGGGGAGAGCCTCATAGTCATCGAGAGGGACAGCGACGAGTGGTGGAAGTGCCGTAATGCTTCCGGCGCAGAAGGCGTTGTGCCTGCCAGTTATGTCGAAGTACGCACAAACCATATAGCTCATCTTGTTGCTGTTCTCACTCGTGTGTGGTTTACCAGACGGTAGCGGGTTCGCGTGCGGTAGCACTGGCCCGTGCAGAACCCGAAGAAGACGCTGTAGCCATCGCAAGAGCCGCCAGGGAAGAGGAGGAACGCGCTGAGGCCCGACGTCGTAATGAGGACGCCCGTGAGAAGGCCGAACGAGAGCGGGCAGAGAGGGAGAGCAGGAAGCTGGAGGCAGAGCGACGCGCCAAGGCTGCCGCAGCAGCAGCAGAAGCCGACAGGAAACGGAGAGAACGGGAGCGGGAGACACAGAAGGAGAAGGAGGGGGAGAGGGAGCGCGCTGCCGCGGAAGAGGAGGCTCGGCAGAGGAAGCAGAGGGAGTCAACCTCGGGCATTCCTCCGTCTCCTCGCAAGAAGTCCAATGGAGATTCGAGTTCCGGGCGCACATCATCAGATAGACGTAAGTTCCTTCACGCACCAGATCGTATGACCCAGAACTGATGTATTGTATGCAGGTGGCCCCCCTCCTGAGAACACTCGCGTATGGCACGACAGGACTGGCCAGTTCCGCGTCGAAGCGGCGTTCCTTGGTTTCGCGAACGGCAAGCTGAGATTGCACAAGGTCAATGGTGTTGTCATCGAGGTGCCGTCGGAGAAGATGTCCTCCGAAGACTTGCGCTATATCGAGAAGCTCAATAGCAAGAAGTCTTCCCCTCCGCGCAGGTCTGCGGATGACGACGACGAACCATTGGAGCAACGTAGGAGGTCCTTGGTGCCAGATGCGGCGCGCTCAAGCACCTTCAAGACCGCAACGTCTGCTCCTAAGAAAGGGCCTACAGTCGATTGGTTCGAGTTCTTCCTCAACGCGGGTTGCGATGTCGATGACTGCACTCGATACGCGACTTCGTTTGAGCGGGACAAGATCGACGAGGCAATCCTACCCGACATCACCGAGTCGACCATGCGGTCTCTTGGGCTGCGCGAAGGCGACATCATCCGTGTCAAGAAGGCCATTGAACAGATGCAGCCGAAGAATAGCAGCTCCAACGACGCTCTTCAGGAACAATTGCGCCGCGATGAGGAGCTCGCTAGACAGCTACAGGTTGAAGATAACGGCTCCTCTAACGGTCGGTCGAGAAGCCAGCCTCCAAATCTCTTCGCGGCACCGAACGGAGCACTGAAGACGAGTTCAATGCGGCGGGGACGCCCACAGCCCAGCAAGAGTCTGCCACCTTCAAGCGTTGACTTGAAATCGATCACAACGGCGTCTGGTCAGATTCTGCGCAGTGACTCCCCGATAGTTACCACTCCAGAAACAACTACGACTTCTGCTTTACTTCCTGTGCAGCCTCCTCCACGGTCGAGCTCAGCCATGCCTTCTGTCAGCGGATTCGACGACGATGCCTGGACGAACAGGCCTAGCTCTACGAAGCCCTTGGCTCCTACTCCACCTGTTGTTGCTCCCCGGGCACCATCTGCTCCTCCGGCATCAGCACCGGCACTTCCAACATCTGTTACTCCTGCTTTCCGTATGCAGGTGGCCCCCACACCACCTGTACAGCCTGCGGTGCTTCCAGTGTCGGCTCCTGCTACCTCGGCGCAGCCACAACTGACAGGATCGTTGGCAAAGACAACTGAGAACGACGTCTTCGACCAATTAGCTCGCCTGAGCCAGATACGGAATCAGACCCCAGCTATCGCGTCGTCTGTCTCGGGTCCGGCTCTCACATCGACTGCGTCTCTGGCTCCTCCTATAAGTTATCAGTCTGGCCTCGGGATGGGTTCCTCTCCCATCCCCACTGGCCAGCATCTCCAGGCGCAACGGACGGGGTTGTTGTCACTGCCTCAGCCACCACCTGCCAACGCGCCACGCGGACCATTTGCTCCTGTGCCCGCTAATCAGAGCTTGTTGCAGCCCCTGATCCCTACCACTACTGGGTTCAACAGTTTCGTGCCTACTCGGCCACAGAGCGCACAGTCGCCATTCCAGACATCTCCACAACCCATGTCTTTTCTTTCTGCACAACCAACAGGATTCGCCAACGCGGGGCAGCCATTGATGTCACAGATAACTGGGTTCCCAAATCCGAGTCCCATGTCCCAACCAACTGCGATGCCGAGCGGAAACTTTGGCTCAATGGCAGGAGGCTTCTCGCAGAACCCATCGTTCCAGACCAACAGTGGCTTCGGTCAGATGCAGAGCAGTACGTAGTGTGCCTTGACTGATTGCCATCTTTCTTACCTTCCCTTAGACCCTACAGGCTTCAACCCTGGTTTTGGCCAGTTGCCGTTCAGTAATGGCGTTAGCTCTCCTCCACCAGCCCCTCCAGCATCATCTGTGGCGAGCACGTCTCCTGCGAACGTCTTCGCACAAATGAAGAGCGGGACTTTTGCCACTAATGAAACCTCTGTTCCACAAAGCGCAGGTACGTGGGGGCAACTTTGTCCCTTCAGTTACCGTCAACTGAATTCACTGTCAGATAAATATGACGCTTTACGTCCGAATCGTGAGTGACTATCATCACTTCATCTACAAGCACAGAAGTTCTTACCTATTATTTCAATAGCGCTCCTTACCGCTCAGCCCACAGGATGGGGTTATTCCGGGATGAACGGATACCAGAATGCATACGGCTACCAGGGTTGATGCAATTGAATGTATACTATCTGTGATCTTCGACATTCAACACTCATTTTATGATCTCACTGCTAGGATTGACCCGCTAATATATACCTTTAAAAGACCAAAAGCGACAATTATACAAAATGCAACAATAATTAGATGATACAGAACTGATTATGGTCTTTCTATGATGCCTTGTACATACCCGACCCGCAGGAAGTACTCTCGGAGGCTTTGTCGAATCTCGAGTGACACATCTCGAGACAGAAGTTCGGACGCTAAAGGATATATCGCAGGCATGTACCTCGCGAACTGCAAGACCCGATCAGAAAGATGATTCTTGAGAAGACTTGACGCCACTTACTGCCTTGTCGTCGAAACGCACAAAGCCTTGGAGAATCTCAGCAACAACAGGAGTCCAAGCTGTGATATTTTTGATCTGGGTGTCGACGCGCAATTTGCAGAAGTCTTGCAGAACGCCCAACCCCAGTCTGCGAAACAGTCATTAACATGTAACAACGACATGATCAGAGACCTACGGCAGAAGCCGTTCAGCAACTTGTGGCCGAGCTGCTTGATGTTCGGGTCGAGGGTCGTAGTACATGCGCAGAAGTATATGTACCAGGGTGGAAGCACTACTCGATTCTTGTTTCAAAAGATTTGGTAGATGCTTCATGAACCCTAGGCAAAATGTGAGTCTGCCCATCACTCGAAGACAAAGTAATTCACAAAACACCTACCAACTTTCCACAGGCCCGTGCGAAGTTCCTTGTCCTCGTTGAACATTCGTGCAAACTGGTAGCTGTGATCAAGCACACCCATCAAGCGCAGTAGATGCTCTGGAGGTATAGTGTTATAGACATCGTCATTGCGAAGGAGATCGTTGGTAGTTTCAATCAGCAGTAGTTGCAGCACACATTTCACGATGATCTGTCTGAAGATACGACGGCGTTCATTAAGGGACACCTTCGCGTCGGCCTTGTGCTGGTCTCCATTTGGCGAGAGTGGCGCAGGCACCATAGCCTGGCCATTAGATTCTGCGATAAGTGAGGATGGTTTTATGTATAAGGATCATTGAAAGCTTCGTACCTGTAGTATCCTGGAGATCTGGAGCACTGCTGTCGATCTCAACACGTAGACTCTCATCAAAGAGTTGATGAGGGGTTGTTGTCCGGAACAGTTTCACGAAGGTCGTAGCAACTCGCTCCCATCTCGCAGGGCTCAACTTCTTCACATTATTCTCCAGTAGCTGTTGCAAGCACGACGTGCCGATGCGAGCAAGAGTATCGTTCTCTGCAAGGAACGTAAGCTATACACTCATGCCAGTGACGAGTTTCTCACCTTGACAAATACAGACGCAAAGCAGATCCAACAGCCCGTCCAAGAACCGTTCTAGGGTTTCGAAATAGAATGTATACAAGTCGATTAAGTTCCGCAGAGCTTGTATCATAGTAGTTGAAAGCCAGACGCTCATGTCTTCTTGCGTGCTGAAGCGCGACAAGTCTTGGCTAGATTTCAGGACGACAAAAATGGGGAACAGCAGCTCCTGGCAGACAGTATCCCAGAAGTCTACAGGGAAGGTAGAGCCGTATGTCTTGAGTGTGGTGAAAAGTGAATCCAGAGCCCTGAGATACAACGACATTAGCACTATCAAAATGAAGGTAAAGTAGGCGTAATTCACAGGCGTCGAACTTCAAGGTCCTCCCCGTTCATGATCACGTCATAGAAACCGAAGAGAACGGGGAACCAGAACTTGATCATGGGATCATCAGTACCACGACTCTTTTGAACCGCGCTGGCAGCGAAACCACAATCAGGGCATGCGAGCATGACTGGGATGGTGCCACGAAGCATAGCAATGGCCAACAGACTGATTTTCTGATACTTGTTCACTTTGCAGAAGTCCGTAATGCAAACAGTCAGGTCAGCGAAAGATCCATGCCGTACAATTGCGCTGAAGTGCTCCTTATTCAGTCGAGTGACAATCTCGAATGCGGAGCTCACGATGCGCTCTAGAGACATGCTAAGTTTTCACATACGCGAAATGAATGGGCAAGCCAGACTCTTACCTGTCGAGGCTTTTGTTGCAGCTGAAAATACACCGAACATAGTTCGCCATCCTGAGCGCATGTTGTCGACACGTGCTTGTATCATTTGCTGCAGGCATTGTAGAACCTTTCGACCAGTCAAAATGAAGCATTGCAATTCGGAAATATATTATACGCACCATATCTCGCACGTCGGGATTTGAGTTGTGGAGCATGGTGTACTCAAATGGCCGCAGGAAATCCTTCTGGAACTTGAAATGAGGTAACTCTTCCTTCTCCAAGAAACGCATCGCAAGTTGTCGGAGTGCATCCAGAGCGAAAAAGACGACGTGAGGGTTTTTATGACAGCACACCTAATAGACAGTGTAAGGCCTCCGTGACTCCATCCCATGTTGTGATACCTTACCTGATTGAAATGCTCTCCAAGGATGTCCCACATGTTTGACCATTCCAGACGAATTCGATTCATGTTATAGTAAGAGATCTCCACCAACTTCTGGAGACTGAAAAGACGAGGATGTTGGGAAAGTCCGGATGATTGGATCTCTTCCCAGGAGACATCACAAAGAGCTCGAACAAAGTCGACGATAGCAGTCTGTAAAATTGAGATTACAGGCACACTCTGGTAGAGGAAACACTTACTCCAGACAGATAGTGGCTGAGAGAGAAAACCATGTCTGCTGCGACTGTGATGTGCGTGGAACGACTTTCATTGACCAACTCTTCCGTGGGCGGTTTGCGGACACGGCTACATGGTGATGCAGATATGTCAGAGGATGCAGTAAAATCATACCACGATCAAACCCACCCTTTTCGGCCTGCATCTGGCAGTTCCACACCGCTACTGATTAGCTGCATATGTTCAAGTTGACTTACACACGTCAAGACTTCCCGCCATGAACCCTTCAGGTGATTGCCTTCGGTAACAGCAACATCTAGAAGTGCTTTAATGGCCTCCATGTTCTTTGTCTTCATTTCGCCCAAATTGTTCAGAAAAGTGAACTTGGCGAGAGTAGTGACGAAAGCGTTCCGTTCTAATTCCAGATCGAAGAAGCAGACTATTCGGATTGAGCTTTTGAATCCATCCAGGCAGAGCTCGACAATCTCGAGATCATCGGTGTCTTGCAGTGGCCCCGATATACCTGCCAAGAAAGGGATCCAAGCAACTTCGAACATCGGTCGTACGTGAACGAAGTGTGATGCACTGAAGAACAGTTCACTGGACTTTGAACCTTTGCGCTGGGAACGCATCAACGTCCTGAACAATGCCTGAAGATTTTATGAGTGTGCGCCCTGCATTGTTTGACATTTGAGTGTGCTGACTTGGACTGACCTCCGTCTTATTCGTCATGTTGTTTGATTGCATCATGTACGCCTCTTTCTGCAGGTCTCTACCGACATTGGCAAGCGCATTCGCCAAACCTGGAGCAGGAGTAGTCAGATTTGGAATGACGTCGACTTCGTCTTTCATGCGGATTTCGTTTGAAACGATGTCCTCGAATATAGACGTTAGAATGTCCTCCGGGAGATCAGCGCCATCATTGATCCCGCGGTTGTTTTTGATGAAGTCAGCTCTGGTCATGCGAATCTTCACTTGCGGATTGTGCGCATCGGTGTTCAACATGATGGTTGAATACGCAAGCACATACGCGGTATCTAAACGGGCCATGAGTATCAATTATGTAACTGTTCGGGTCTCCCGTACCAGCGTTAGCAAATGGCGTCTGAGGGTTGCCTGCGATGTATCGCTCCGCGAACTTGAGCATATACCGATCGATCTTCTGTGACTCTCCGGGTAGACGGAAGGCTTGTAGGAACGTCCTCAACGAGTCGACGAAGGGAAGTTCTCCGAAGTCCATCAGGTCAACAAACGCGTGCATGATGGCAATATGTTCTTCGTCGCTGAAATGCAGGTATGAGAAAAATAACAAGTGGAACAGTGAGTAAATTGGCATACCCTTCTCCTAAGTATTCGCCGATCATTGCTTTACTGAGTCCATCAGTCTCCAGGAGAAACCTGGCAATATCCGTTGGTGAGTTGCTCGGAATGAACCCTGTCTCGATGAAGAATTGCACGCCCTTGAAGCGCTTGATGAATACAACGCTGGCAGTCGAAAGAAGAGGTTACACACCCGCCTTGGTTTAAAGTTAAACTTCTTAATGCCCTCTAGCAGAGTGGTCTTCTTCTGTTTGGCACTCTCGAACTTGCTCGGGTCATCTGCAACGTCAGCCGTTGGAGTTGGTGATGGAGATAGCTGTTGTCTGGTGGTATCTGCACTCAGAGGGCCCGAAAGTTTCTCCGTCGACGATTCGGCATTGATGCTGTCACGGTTGAAGTCTTCACTCATCTGAGAGCGAGCGGGGTCTGCTGCGCTGTCTGGACCCGATGTACCGGCGGTTCCCCAAGTCACGAGTGACTTCAAGACAGACACAAGACATTCCAGTCCTTGTCTTTTTAGCTGCTTCTCAGATAAACCTACAGGGGAATTATCTAGAGATCCCACACCCGAGAGGGCGTTGGTGCTGAGCGAAGGGGGAACTGCAAGATTGTGTGTCTTGGATGTAGGCGGAAGAGACGGACTGGTGGGTTCATTGCCCTTCTGAGGAGCGTGAGTGATAGGAGCAGTCGCGAGCTTGGAGATGATATTCATCAAGCTTCCAGTCAGGACACGTTAGTATGTCTATATGAATTAACGGCGTGAGACGCACTGCTCGTAGATATTGTCCACTGCCTCGCTGTCACAATCGTAGTTGAGGTAAATCTCAACTAGAGCCTGAGGATCCAAGGACAGTCGTTGCAACATATCCAGGATCACCGCTTTCTGCTTCAGAGTTGAGGTCTTCATCTCCAATATAGGGATGAAGATTTCGTGAAGTAGCACCTCGATCTCTTTCTAGACACCAATCACGCAACAATATAGGTCAGTATTGCGTAAGAATAGAGCCAGTGGGATGGAAATGACCTTCAGCTTAGTGCGTAATCCCGAGATGACTCTCCAGAAAATTTCAACACTAATTTCGAAAACTTGAGGTACAGGACTGACAGCATTGCGACTCAAACAGAGACACAAGTACTGATTGATAGCCTGTACGAATGATGTTGCTTCGTGAGACGAACTTGAATAAATTATAGCAGATGGCGAGACGAAGATAGGCATATGGGTATTCAGAATGGTCAGGACGAGATGTAAGGACAGTAATTTGGATCTCATTGCGTGTGATTTCAGGTCTCGCTCGCTAAATCCCATCATTAGGGTTTAATAATGGGCATAAAATGGACAAACGCCGACCTCTCGGTGTTCAAAGACTTCATGGTCAACTTGCAAAGGGCTCTGAAGACTAGAAAGGCATCCTTGATGAAGAGATCGTTCGTCGACAGTTGTCGACCCGGATACTCATGGTCGTCCTCCTGGAGCCCATCGCTCGCGGCCGTCTCCGATGGTTCTCTATGTATTACGATAAGAAGTCAATCAAAATGCTTAGATGTGATGATACTCACGGAAGGTTGTGCGAGTCGATAGAAGGATCACCGTTTGCTCGAGCTTCGGCGTGCTCGTCCAATGAGTTGTTCAATGTGCTAGATACATCACCCGGATAAGATTCACCAGTCCCTGGTATGTCCTCGATTACCAATATAGAAGTAGTGTGGTCGGTCTCTGCTAAGGATGAGGGTCGCAGTCGTGAGGGTGGGCTCGATGGAGGTAAGGAAACAGATTTCCGTGACGGCGTCGAAGATAGCCGTCTGGTAAATTCGGTTTTGGAAGCAAGTGTCAGACTTGAGTTGCTTCTAGACAACGGAGGCGTCCCCAGGTCGCATCGGGCAAAGACATGGTTCACCATCTGAGTGAGCCCGCCTTGTGCGACCGTCTGGTTGACTGGATCGGCGCTGAGTAGGAAAACGTTGTACACGGTCCGTACAGCCTTCAGCAGAGATGACTGGTGCACAAGGATTGTAGACGACAAGACAATCGCAAGAAGCGCCTTGACGATTTGCAGAGAGACCGTTTCTGGCGTAGATTCAGAATGACAAGCAGTAATTGTGTGGACGACGAGGTCGACGAGTGAAGGTTCCGGTAGCTGCGCATGCGAACCATTTGATTTGGAATTGCGAGGGACGGGGCCGGGAGATGCGGGAGGCGAAGTAATAGTGTGAGATTCCCGCGAAGGCTCCACGAAGAACGAGTACGATATTAGCTTGGAGATGCAGTCCAAGCTAGCGATTAACAGTTTCTCGTTACGCGTCTCGCACGCTAAACGCAGCGGTTCGAATATCTCGCGAGGCCGATCCCCGCCACGACCAGCTTTGACCATCTCCAACGCATGCTGCACACTCTCTCTGAGAGGTGCAGACCGCTTCGCCTCTCGAGAAGAAGCGATGGTCTCCAATGCAGATGAGATGAGAACCACAGAGACTGTATGACCTTTGGATATGGTGAGTGAGCGCCTATGAGAGGCAGAAGACGACGGTCGTGAAGGTATTGAAGGCCTTGCAGAAACAGAATCGCGTCCATTAATGTGCTTGTCCCCTGTCTCGCGATGCGGACGCCGGGCATCTCCATTACTAGAAGATGGCGGTAGACTGTCTCGGCGAGGGGGTAATACATCGGGACGTGCAACGACAATGGGTTTCGCAGGCGGAGTGGGTGGAGCTGACTCTACATCCTCTCTGGCCTGTATGGCTATCTGTTCGGGTTCCACTGTCTCGTCCGTAGAAACATGGGACGGGGATGGGCTGGGTTCGGGATGTGACGTAGAACCGCTTTGAACAGACGGCGTCGGATCGTTCACTGGTGTCTCGCCAGCATCGAGCCCTGCATCGTCTTCCCCTCTGGGCAAATCCCGGGATGCTGCTAGTTCGCCCTCTCTTGACCTAGCATAGTTCTCGTTCACAGGATCTCGCAGCACGGATAGAGCATTTGAAGGATCATGATCAGGAGGAGGTGAGAGAGGAAGAGGGATAGACATGGCCTGATCGAGGACAGTAGCGTCCATTGTCGACATGGACCACCGAGCTGCAGGAGATGCTTGGTCACCGTCCAACGCAATGAGTGTGCTGTTGCAGTTCCAGTATAGCAGTGATCAATTCGTGCACGAGACGCGCCGCGGCACGCGCTTCCGATAAATTCAGGTCCAAATTTCTGCCGTTCCTCCGTTCTTCCGAGCTCAATATACAGATACCCTGTCAAGTACGAATCTGCGCATCCAACCAGCTGTACGGTTACAGGCCTGAACTGGTCATCGCCATGGCTTCGAGCTCGGCCATACCAAGTGATGCCTCTGCTGCTATTCTCAAGCCGTCAGAGCCGATGCCAGAGTATGCTGTCTCTGTGGAAGGACCTAATTTCGATGAACCCATGTCATTGCACCAGTTACTGGGGAGCTACAAACGTATAGGATTCCAGGCGAACAGTTTGGCCAAAGCTATAGAGATCGTCGATAAGATGGTGAGCGTGTCTCATTCACCCCTTCGTGTAGGCCATGCTGACCGTCTTGCAGCGAACATGGCGTCTCTCCGACGAACTCCTCACGGAAGACGAGACCGAGAAGTACAGGTCTAAAGAGGTCAGATCTCAGACCCGCTGCGATATTTTTTTGGGCTACACATCGAACTTGATCTCGTCTGGGTTGCGCGAAGTGATTCTGCACCTCGTGAAGCATCGGCACGTCAGGGCCATGGTTACTACAGCAGGCGGAATCGAGGAAGACATTATCAAGTGCCTTGGCAAGACCTATCTAGCTGATTTCAATCTAGACGGTGCCGATTTGAGGAAGAAGGGGATGAATCGCATAGGAAACCTGATTGTGCCGAACGACAATTATTGCAAGTTCGAGGATTGGCTTATGCCAATTCTCGATACGATGCTCAAGGAACAGAAGGAGAGCGGCCAGGTATGGACTCCTAGCACGTTCATCAGGAGGTTAGGGAAAGAAATCAACAACGAGGAATCTGTGTATTATTGGGCCTATAAAGTGAATATTACGATTGTTCATCTCACCTTTTGGTGATAACCATGCTAAGCCCTCGAGTGCAGAATGACATTCCAGTGTTCTGTCCTGCTCTCACGGACGGTTCTCTAGGAGACATGCTTTACTTCCATTCCTTCCGTTCCCCCGGTCTCGTCGTCGATATCGTGCGTGACATCCGCGCTCTTAACGAGCTAACGCGTCAGGCCAAGAAAGCGGGCATGATAATTCTTGGAGGTGGCGTCTGTAAGCATCAGATAGCCAATGCGATGCTTATTGTGGGTCGGATGTAGCAATCTCTGCGATGTTGCGTACTGAGTTAATCATGACAGCGTAACGGTGCCGATTATTCAGTATACATAGTATGTGTCTATTGGCAATTCTCTGTCTCTCAGTCTCATTCCGTGCTCTATGTCAGAACACTGGGCAGGAGTTTGATGGATCGGATTCCGGAGCTCGACCAGATGAGGCCGTGTCGTGGGGTAAAATTAGGGCTGGCTCTGAGTCGGTCAAAGTACGTTTTACACTATGCGATGGAATATGTGCATTAATCAGTGCGTGTTTTATAGGTCTTCGCAGACGCTACCTTGGTGTTCCCCTTGTTAGTAGCGGCGACCTTTGGGAGAGATAAAGGTACCCAAGGGTAGTACGATCTCCCTATTTGGCTACTAAAGTCGTGATGCAAAATAGCTTATGTAGAGACCTACACCGCCAAACAAACTTGAGCTGTACCTAAGATCCCATGCCTAAGATCCGCTAAGTGCCTGTGGACTATTACCGCATCGGTCGCAGAGCTCGTGGGAAGAGGAGATCGTCATATTCCCCGAGTATTTCCTGAGAGAGAGAGCCCTCAGAGCTTTGCCCAGGATATTGGGGAGAGGACAAGCTGTACCTCTCAGACTGAGTTTAAGTTGAGATTGCATCACACTCTTGAACGAGCTCCAGAGAATGCGAGTATCTGATCTGGTTGATTCATCTTCAAGCTCGTGGCTACCGCAGGGGATAGCAGTACCAGCAACCGCATGTACAGCAAAATGCAGAAATAATTGTATATTGCAGATCGTATACACATTGTGGATCGTAAGTACATGACATGGAATATAGGAGAGGATTAGAAGCCAGATTTAAAGTGGGCTATGTGTTTGACAAGAAACCCCCGATGCGGCGGCGTACCATGACATGTCGCGACGGCGGTGCAGAGCATTGGTGAAAGATGTTCAGCGAGTACCTGACAAGGAGACATTACAGCACTTTGCATAATTGCGTGAAACTCGCGGATTTTTTCCCACTATTTGGCCCGTGCAAACAAACCCATATAGAGAAGGTGGGGAGTTTGCCAGCCACCCGCGGCATTCAGGGCTCTCCTCGGCATTTGTCGTTTGGAGTCCGCAACACTTTTCGGCCTGTCCCAGGGCCTCTGAACATATCATATGTGGCATGCTCATTTTTCTTATCAGGTTTTTGCACGACAAACGGTACTTTCGTTGCGAACTCTTGAGTGGGCAAGGGATCTCGTGACCGAGCTCGACCTGCCTCCTTCCGTTTATGGCTTTGTTTGCGCCAGCCAAATACTGAGATTTTTCCCGCGAGTTTCACGCAATTATGCAAAGCGCCGTAATACAATAGGGTGTGCAAAGTAGAGATTCTTACTCATGCTACCACACCCGCCGCACCGGTGTGTTCCTCAATGTTGACTTGGCCATAATTTGTCCGGTCATCTTCCAGAATCTGCGCAAACATTCTGTGATGCCGTGCATAAGAACTCGACGAATCATCCAACAGAACGAACACTCACTTTGAGATCTTCTTTGCATCGTCCTTGTGAAAGGTTTGAACAGTCGACAACTTGTTGTCGACGTACTCCGAGTTTGGCATCAGGTTGGTTCGTTGAATTGAATGAGAGAATATCACGGTGAGAGAACGTTAAATAAGTAAAATGACAGACAGAACAAATGATCCATACCAGGAAAGCAATGTGGCCGAGCATTACCACGGTGGGGTGGAGAACTGGGAACATCATACAACGGGTTGATGGATTGTGACATTGAAGGAGTGTGGGTGCACGGATGAGAGAGAAAATAGAGAAATCCAGAATGGAGACAGAAAAAAAAGGAGTGAGTTGGCAGGATGAAGGAGGCCCGGAAGCGCCAGAGCAGGGAAAAGAGAAGGAAGAGGACCAAGAGCTGTTGAGAGTTGGGAACAAGACTGCATGGATCTGGCAGGTGCCACTCCGTAGAATATCTCAGCGCTCTCCAGGCGAGTTCGGCCGGGTGCTATCTTATGTCGGAATACTCTTAGCGCCCATATAGTGTCACGGTTTTGTCACAATTTCATTGAATATCCTTGAGTTACAAATTTCGTTGCCTTTTAAGGCCATTATATGGTTTTGTCCCGAAAAAATGCCCAAAAATGGTTTAAATGGTACTTGATGGCAATGTGACCAAAAAGTGACAGTCACAATGCATCACATTTTCATTGAGTACCATTTAAACCATTTTTGGGCATTTTTCTTCGGGACAAAACTATATAATGGCTTTAAAAGGCAACAAAATTTGTAACTCAAAGATATTCAATGAAATTGTGACAAAATCGTGACACTATATGGGCGCTAAGAGTATTCTGACATCGCTCTTCTCTCCAGATCTGTCGGACACTCCTTGGCGAGATTCCCCCGAGTCTAGGCCTCAATCTCAGGTGTAGCTCAGGTCGGTTTGGCGGTGTATGTACAAGCAATACACGCTTAGAGGTAATGTTAACATGCACTGGAGGGAGAAGCCAGTGCGAACAGCAAATGAGCACAAAAACAAACACTCAATTTATCGTGACCGCCGCAGGGGTCGAACCTGCAATCTCCTGATTACCTGTTCGTAGTCAGACGCGATGCCATTTCGCCAGGCGGCCATGCCTATATGTCAGGATCATGCATTATATGATCCCATTGCCGTGCGAGCACGGCAGACTCGATATCGTGCATGACGCACTTGCTGTCGCAACATTCCATGCAAAAGGAAGTGATTAATATCTTGCGTACCAGCGCCCCTCTTGCAGGCTCTTCGGCATCAGTAGGCGCATCCGCACTGAAGGACATTCTGCGACAGAGAGTTGTCCAGTATTACCAGGCTCTCGACAAAGATATCGATCTTTCCGATGGACCACTTGAAGACTTGCAGCTAGAGACAGCCACAGAAGCGCTTTGCGTCATAGAACGGCTTCAAGCCATCTTACTTGCATCAAACTCACCAGAATTTGCATCTATACCGGCGAAGAGCGGTTCTAAACCCTCGGAGGGAACGCTTCACGAAGGTGTGGCAATCGGGACACGAGATTTGGCCCAGATCCGTACGCTCATCTCCATAATCTTCAAATGGGCCCTGGAACCATTACTTGGTCGTGTTATCGCTGCCACACCGACGAAACCGTCCCCGAAGCATCATGGCGGCGCACAGATTATTGACCTTACTGACGTGCCGGCAGACTATGAGACACTGTCATCCGCAGTTACTCGACTTATGCATCTCTTACTGCCTGGTGGACTGCAGGGCCCGCTTGCGGAGACAATAATATCGTTGACCCTGCTCAACAGGCACCTGACTGATATTTTGACTCCATGTATCGTTCTTGGCTGGATGCCCAAGCGTCAGGCTACGGATTCTGTTCGTCCGGTGGATGATCTCCGCCCACTAGTTATGCACCTACTGTCCATGTTAGTCTCTCTTACCAGGTCAGTATTGAATTCCATCTCCTCTGATGCGTATTGGACAGTCTCCCGGCATCTCAGACCATCGCCGCTCTCGGTGGTATACTGTCACACCCACCATCTGCTTTGTCCTACGTTCGTAAATCATGTGGCTTCTTGCTAAGCCGGCAGTTGCTTCGTCCGGAAGGAGTACCTGGTCTGCTTGCCGTTGTATTTGGCGAGGAAGATGTTTCGGGTGATGATGCGTCATTAGAGAAGCTTGAGCACGTCGGGCGCTTACTGTGTACTGTACCCACCGGCACCAAGCCAAATGTGAGTATTATCGCTACATCCTACAACCAAAATTCTGATTACCATTTGTTCTCAAAAGGAATACTACGAGAACGTTATTACTCGATTAATCACAGTATTGTCTACGAACCCCGAAACGATCCCGCCCGCCCACCGACGTGCCGCGGCTTTCTCACTTTCTCGCATGCTATTGTCTGGCGACCGTCCAACGCCTGGAGTAGCTTCAGACATTCTGCTTACGAAATTGCACCTTCCATTCCTGGTTCCTTCGCCGCGCATTCCAGCGCAGGGTGAAGACGAAGCTCCAACAGCAACTCTGAAGCAACGCGACCTATCGCCATCTATTGTTCTGTCAATTCTACAAACGCTGTTGACAAATGCCGACCCCTCACCTACATTTATCTCAAGCTTACTTACCCCGATCATCCCGACTTTATATGCGATCCTGTTTCGTCTTGACCAAACGAAAACATCAGATCCAGCGACGAAGGACTCCTTGAAGAGCCTGCTCATGACCTGGGGAAGGGTTGTCTGCGCGTCAGAAGGCTTGCATACTTTATGGTCCATTATCAACGGTGAAGGCGGTGAATGGCAAGTCGACATGACAGGAACTCTGACGAGAGTGGAAGAGTGAGGGGATCCTCCTCAGTGGCACATCTCGTACTCATACTGATCTTCCTTCACTCAGATTAACCCGAGCTCCTTCGCTATATCTTTTCACACCGGAGAGTCTCAGGCAGGCTGAAGATTCCGGGGAATTCAGCGTAGACTCGAATCCGCTGGACCTCCGGCCAGACCCCGCGCATTTCGTGAAATTTCTCAATTCTCTTGACCGATCAGAGATCTCGTCTGAGCTCTTCATGCGAATGCTTGAGGCGTACAGGGAAGTAAAATCGGAAGCAGATGCCGATCCATTACGGTCAGCTCCGTTCATTCACATGTGGTCATGTTGGCTCATCATATGCACGTAGGACTCTAATGTATCTGCAGCTCATTCTGCAGATGCAGTCACAATTGACGGCCGATGGCACGTCTTCCAACATTCTCAAAAAGCCTGCTTACATTCTTTCATTTATCAAACACGCGCTCGAGTCAGCCAACAAACTTACCATTTCCAGCGGCAAGCGTAGTAAGCCCAGCTCAGCTGGTTTGCGGATGGAAGACTTGCGCATTGTCGAGGAGGAAGACGAGGAGCTCGAAGATGAAGACAGTGATGACGAAGCACAGCGAAGGTCCGGGGATCAGGAAATGCTTGTTACTGCTGTCGATCTTCTTCTGTCTGTTCTGGAAGGTGTGTTGATCAATTGAACAGGCAAGGCCTAGGATCTATCTTACACCTTCCCATAGCCAACCCGGATTTATCGGCCAGAACGGCACCTATTCTCAACGACATATTCTCTCTTCTAGAGCCCTTGTCGAAGGATTCATCAGAGACGCTGAGACCTCTTGTCCAGGAGGCTCGGATGGTCATGACGGCGCGCTTGGCGTCTACGTCGGCATCGTTCCCGGAGATGAAGACTTCGGCCACTCACGAGGATAGCCCACAACAGATTTATCAAAAAGCGCTCAAACTTCTGCAGGATCCCCTCCTCCCTGTGCGGGCGCACGGTTTGCTTCTGCTTCGTCAGCTTGTTTCCACCCGGAGAACAAAGTCAGGCTTGGAGGAGCCGTCGATCGATCGCGCGTTAGTGCCTGCAATTCTCTCCATATTCCTACAGTCTATTCAGGATGACGACTCTTACATGTACTTGAACGCGGTGCAAGGTCTGGCCGCGATGGTCGATGGATTCGGCAAAGAAGTGCTGAAAGGTCTGGTTGACATCTATTCGCAGGGTTTGGACGGTCTGGGTGGAAGTGGTATGACGCAGCAAGACGTTGATGCGAGAACCCGCGTAGGAGAGGCGTTGGGTCAGGTCATCCGCAGATGTGGTGACGTCCTTCCCGCTTACGGTAAGTTTCGCGGTGTGCCTGGTGGTTTGATAAGTGCTCATAAATGGCAGGGGATCTGCTCGTTCCGCCCTTGTGTGCGGTCATGAGCGCATCGCACTTTCCGACAACCATGCGGACTTCTGCACTTTCTCTCTTGGCCCAATGCGCGAAAACTGACTCGTTGGTTTTGTTGCCCTACTCTGCGGACCTCTCGGCTGCCATAATTGATCTTCTGCAATTGGAGTCGGTACGTGCTCCGCCCAGAAAAGACCCCGCTTCCACGGATGGGGCATTGGCTGAAGATAAGGAAACCTGTGCTCTCGGGACGATGGATTCCCAGCCAACATCAACGAATTCGAAATTTCCGCCACTGAGACGTGCTGCGCTGCACTTCCTCTTGCTGCTCGTCCAGGCGTGTACGATGCGGCTGTATGATTCACCGGGTACGGAACACGTCGGTTTTCCGGCGAGTTTGATGAGACGGGGAAAGAGCACTTTGGGGTACATTGCAGCGACGGACGAAGATGGGGTGGTCCGTGTGATGGCTCGGGAAACGCTGGAAGGGTTAGAGCAGCTTGAAGGAGCGATGGTGGGCTTGTAATCTTCTGTGACCTTCACAGGACGCATAACTCCTTTTTTCCCGAAGAACTTGGAAAAATGCGTGGAAATCAACGAAGTTATACTACGGGAAAAACATGAGGAAAAAATGTGTAAAAGAACAAAGCATTTCCGCAGTTTTTCCACTGGAAATAAGTTGGTCCCCGACTCCAGGAACTGGAGGAGGGCTTTGGCAAGGGGAAACGGCAGACACCTCTGCGAGTGAAGTTGCCCGAAAACAACATGAGTAAATAAGTTGAGTAATAACACTTACGATTTTGAGTCTTGACTCTGTCTAGGGTTCCGGTCGCGAACGTCGCTGTTGCACTGGACCTGTCGACACTGTTCGAGCGCAGGTCTATTTATGCTTGCGAACATTATGCCCTTGCACATCATTCTGTTTTGCATGTGCGTGTATTCCTCTTCTCGTATTATTGCTAATCTAATGATCCACCACTAAACCATGTGGAATCTATGTGGACCTGCTCTCTTGAAGACTTAGTTTTCTCGTTTTTTGCGACTGTTTCTGACCAGTGTAGCTGGAAAATAGGTGCATCTATGGATGTTCACTTGTTCAAATAGATGCTTGCCACTACGACACTATACCTATTCCACTAACTTCATTTGTTAGGGCTGGTGGTTTCCCAATCAGGAAACATATATTAGTCAGCACATAGGTATGTCGGAGAACATACTGGAATCTCCTAGAATTACTGTGTAGTATAAATATATGGCCCCAACCGCATGAGCCCCTCATGCGCTTGTGACCCATGGCCTAACAGCCGAGTGAGTAGTAGTGATCAACCTTACAATATCATTACCTAGTGATGATGATGCTTTATTGGTGTAGCTATGAACGGCATTCCCTTGAAACACACACATTTCCGTAGCTACTACTTTATGTACTTCTACTTACTGCGTATTAATCACAACCCCTCATGTGAAAGTGTGACTGCACATCAGCCTCCAATGGAGTCGGGGAATGGCGCTCGCGCCGCTACGATCAAATATGGTAATTTTGTCCGGGTTTTGGCATGTCCTGTCATAGTCTAGTGCAAGGGAGACCCCAATCATAGGGCCTGCGGCTTTCGGAAGTCACCGGTGCACATGACTTGAGTAAATGCGCCCTCGAAAATACTAAAACACCATATTAACATGCATCGAGAGGGTAATAAAAGATGCAGGAGACTAGAAGAATACCAGTCCGAAAGTTCCCTAGAGGTTTTTGTGGAAGAATGTCGCTGGGAGCAAGAGTTTCAAGCAAAGGCCGAGTGAATTCGGCACTTTCCGAGCATGATGAGAGGGTTGGCTTGCAGACGAGTTCCACCTGTTTGACCTCACGAATTGGCTCCCAGTTGCATCTAGAGATCTCTAAATAATGTTTCATTCAAAAACTATGTCACCATGAGGGAAGAATATTGATACAGAGTGAATTTCTCGAGCATGGCTTGAGGTGTGCTTCCAAATTGGGCGAAGAGCCGCATGCGGCCCTATGCAGGGGGCGCGCCTTGATGCAGACCATATACTAGATATGGATCGACTGTCATCCATATCCATATATGGTCAAGCAACGGAGACTAGTCCTGTCATGTCCTGTCATGTCCAGTTGCCTGATATGGTAGGCAACTTATTTCCAAAAAACCGTGAGAATGTTTTCTTTTCTCACTTTTTTCTCGAGGTTTTTCCTTTGAAAATATATTATTGATTTCCATGCTTTTTGCCAGGTTATTTCCAATGGATAAAAGTGGTAATGCTTCCTGTGCTTGCGATATCTGTAATCGGCGGTTGATTCTCCCCTCGCGCACTGCAGTATTCGAGACTCAACATGCGCGGATATCTCGAGGATATATATATGCTAGCAAAGATACACGACATTACAGCGACCTTCCTAAGCTTCCTCTACCTCCGCAAGCGCCGCCTCGTTGAGGGCCTCGGCTTCTGCCATAACCCTCTCCTCGAGCACCGCCACACGAGCCTGTGACTCCCTACGCTCCGCCTCCAGCTCCGCGTACCGCTCCTGCAGCAGCCGTTCCCGCCTCTCAAGCTTCTCCACCTCCTCCTTCAGCGCCGATGCCCGTCCAGGCCCCGTCGCCGACTCGTTGGTCCGCAGCCGCACAAAGCTCTCGTAATCCACCTTCACTTTTTGCATCTCCGAGAACGCGTCTGTGATCCGCTTCGACAGGCCCTTCGACCGCGACTCGTATCCCCCCAGCGTCACGTTCAGCTTCTTCTCCGCCTTCGCCGCCTTGCCCGCCTCCTTCGTCATCGTTTCCCGGCACTCGTCCAGCAATACACTGAACCCCGCGATGCGTGCCACCACCGGGAGCGAGCTCGGCTCAACCCATATTCTTGAACTCGCGTCGAAGACGAGCTGCCGCCGGATGTGCGGCCACGACAGCGTGTCGTCCACCTCCTCCAAGCCCGCCAGTACCGTGACGCCCTGTTTCAGCTGCTCCTCCTTCGCGTCGGGATAGCCCAGAGATGTCGCGAACTCCGCGTAGATCGCAGACTTTGCCGCTGCGATGTCATCATCCCCAGGGATCACATAAGTCGACAGTGTGCCGCCGGGTCGTGAGGTGCCAGGAATAGGATGCGCAATTGAGTCGTGCTGCAGCAAATCTGCCAGCTCCGCGTGCACCAGCTTTTCCGCGGGAGCCAACTCGGCCCCCTCGCTTTCCGTGATTGAAAGGTCCTCCAACAGGCGAACCACATCCACCGTCGCAGGCCGGGGAAGTCCGCGTTGCACTACTTGCGTCCGCCGAGCCAATGCCTTCCGTTCTTCCTCTTCACGCAGCTGCTTGAGTCTAGCATCCCGATCGCCTGAGTCCTCTTCCGCCATGACGCCCTCTGTTTCTTCAACCTCCTCGTCCTCAGGGACAAGAAGTTCAAAGTTGTTCTCAGGCTTAGGGAGGCTCATAAAGCCTGCCTTGAGTGCACGTTTCGCGGATGTCGTACGCAGGCGCTGGTCGCGCGGCGTTTCCCCGACGGCGGAGTATCCCTCGGGGTTGATACTGAGCGTGTCTCGCATAGGCGTGCGCATCAGCGTCGACCCAGGAGTGGCTTGAATCTCTAGTGGCGTCGCTCCTGGAGCTCCATTTGCTCCAACGTGGAGGGGAGTCGCGAGAGGGTTCGGCGTGAAAGCGACCTGGTGTCGGGGAGTAGCGCCCTCGAAGCCTGTTCCGCCTGTGGGGTCAGTATGTACAGGTGTATTCTCGTCACCGAGTAATGGCGTTTGCGCAATAATCATGTTCCGCAAATTGCGAGCCTCAGACATTACGTTGTCATCTGTATGCAGGGATGTAAATAAGCAACTGAAATCCAGACTAAGAAGTACACCCACGTTGAGGAGCAGTTCGAGGTGTCCGTGCCATGCGAGCTCTCTCCAAGCCCTCGTACTCGCTCAGCAATCGTGCATTGGCGTCGCTGCCACCTACGAGCGCTTTCGCATTTTCGCCAGCCTGACCAATCTTCACGATGTCCTCCAACTCAGCCTCCCCTACCTGAGCTGTAGGGAGCACCAGCTTCCGTCGCCTCCCAATCGACTCAGCCTCCTTGAGTTTCTGGATCTGCGCATCTCTCGCAGCGATGAATTTCGTTTGATGCGGAGCGTTGCCGCCCTCCTTGCCATCCGCCGCCCTGCGTTGGCGCTTCTTCCGCTCAGATTCTTCGTCTTCTGGCTTGCGCTTGTTCTCCAGGCGACGGAGGGTCTGGCCAACGGGTGCTGTTGTCGCGCGCGCTTGTTCGTCCGAGGTGTCGTAGAAACCAGGTGCGGCCTTCTTCTCGAAGGGGATGTCTGCATTGTACTGTCGGTTGTCGAATTAACATATACAGCTCGACATGATCACGGAAATCACACTCACATCCATCCCCTTCTTCTTTGTCTTATGACGCATGCTACATGATGGTTAATTCTCACGCACTGGAACAGAGAGACAGTTATACTTACATGATACCCGCTGCTTTCAACTCTCTTTTCTTCTGCAGCACGGCCAGCCGTCTAGCTTCCTCCAGCTGGCGTTCACGAGCCTTCCGCTTCGCCTTCTTACCCTGTGTATTAGCTAAACGCGCGCGAGCCTCCGACAACATTTCCTTCTCTGCAAAGGCATCAGAATGCTATCCGACATACATGCGGACACCAACACGCACCGTCTTCGTCCATGTCTATTGGATCAGGTCGCGCAGGCTTCGTCTCCGGATCAGGGTCGATTTCTCCTGGCCGCAACCGCCGGACGTCGTCCGCGCTGGGACCCGCTTCATCACCAGGACCCGCAAGGCCAAGCTCCTCGTTCTCCTTCGCCTCCGCCTCGTCCAGCAGCTTCTGGTAGCGCTCCAGACATTGCGTAGCCGTGCGGCCGACAATGGGGGCGATGGTGCGCCACTGAGTCGGCATCAGCTTCGCCAGGTGGAGCAACTTCTCGTCTTCCGTCTACCCGTTCGCGTCGGTAAGGCATTTGTGTGGAGTGTGGGTAGAGAGAGAGCGCGCACCTTGGACCATTCTGTTTTCTTGATTGAGGGATCTAGCCACTCGTACCAACGTGCCTTGCACTGCTTGGGGGTCTTGCGGACGAGGAGGGAGGATATGCGCGCCCTGTCGTGTCAAGTGTGCAGTGAGCGTGGTGGGGGGACCCGACTCATGTTGTGGATGCTTACCATTGGTTCTTGCCATATTTTGCGATGGCTGCCTTGAGTACTTCATCTTCGGTGTTCTAGCGAAAGAACGTGAGCAAGGGGATACAAAAACGCGGACAGCTGTACGCACTTTCCATACACCTTAAACAAGCAAGTAATCAGTATAGGTCAGTGGCAAGCGCTCCACTCGAGGACCTGAAACTAAGCGTACCTCCTTTGATAATGATGCGGACCATAAAGCTAGAGGTAGTAGACAGCTGTGGATTTTTCTCCTGTAAGCAGACTACTACAATAATCCCTTACTGAGTGGGGGAGGACGGGGTTGTGGATGTACAGAGCGGCGGCCAAGACTCGGGTTGGACGCGCGACTGGGCCAGTCAGCGCAATTCAAGCGGAGATTTAACATTTTAGCCACAGATGGTAAGTGCCACTTGGCATGGTCGTCCCGTTTTTGGAAGGTGAGTTGGTTGGGCGCTGCCAACACGCTTTTCCAGAGAATACGCAGTGAATGTAAACGTCGCATTTTACACGAGAGTATCACAAATGATCCGTGACGGATTTTTCCCTTCCCAGGCCCATCAGTTCCATGCCATACAGCAATCTGCAGAGGAGTTATACTGTTATGATTTATACACTTGTCATGGACATAGGGGACTCTTACCCTTTCATTCCTCTTAATTCTAGTCTCATCTTTTTCTGTAGCGTCGAATGTACAATAATTTTTTGGGCCGGATGTGTTTATTGTCCGTGCGCGTGAGGGCGTCTGAGGGCCTAGCCTTATTGTACAATACCTATTCATAGTGCACTGGGCAAATCAAGGCTTCCCGCGAACAGTCACTAATGCGCGTCGCGCCACACCACATACGCGTACAATGTGATCACGCAAAGTACTGTATCTCTTGCCTGTCCGACAGTGTGAAGCCAGTCAAGCCCCAGTGAGGGTCAAAAACCTTTCTCTCACACCCCCGCGCCTTAAACAAAATTCTCGTCTGAGGTGTTCACGTTCCTGTCACCATTCCAAGCCCGGTCCGCAAAATGCCCTGGATGGATTTTTTAAATTTTTGCTCCAACGGTGCACGACACTCTCAACCATGTAGTACAACAATGGCACGCTATAGGCGTTACCGACTAAAATGACATGTAAGCGAAGTATGTTTATTGTGTCTTACTGTATGAGAGTCCAACGCGCATACAACGGCAAGGTAAACGCCGTGCGCGGGGTATCTGCGTGTGTGTAAGTACGTATATGATCGCGAGAGTCCGAAAACGTACAGTGCGACAGGGTGGGTATGGTACATATACTTGCACGGCTGGGTACAGTACATGTGTATCTGACGCAGGACCCAAGCTGGAGTTGCTACTACTATGCAGGCGGATTATGGTAGAGTATAGGCGAGTGTATCGATATTGGGGATGCACTGTGGAAACGAATGTAGGGAAAACGAATGGCGTGCCGTGGTGGGGGTAAAAAAAAGTAGGTCGGTTCGTATACGAAAAGGGGATGGGGAGGGCCTCCACCTGAGGGTAGAATGCAACCGTCCCGACGGGTACGAAAGCGTAAGTCCACGTCATGCCGCCAGTGCGTGCTGTCCGTGACGATGAGTCCTGTTGTAGTCCGAGAAAAAAAAACTACAGAAACAGCGCAGCGAGCCCGGCGATGCCCGTCATGAGTCCCGCCATCGACCACGATGACGCGGGGGAAAAGAGCACCGCACCGTTCTTCATCTGCGTATCATGCGTGCTGGGGGTCGCGCTCTGCGAGGCGGAGGAAGGGTACGAGAACGAGGACGAGTGTGAGGACGAGTACGAGGACGACGAGGACAGGTTTGCATTCGCGGCCACCGCGGGGGGCACATATGCGCTGGATGTCGGTGCGGCGCTCGTGGGGTTGTACGCGATCACCTGCGTGACGGGCTGCACGGTGCCGCTGCCGGGCGCGACGTTCTGGTACGCCGGGAGACCGTCGAGCTGCGCGACGCTGACGATGTCCCAGCCGTTCTGGCGGATGAGTGGAAAAACGTCCATGTAGGCGTTGACGGAACCGTTCGTGAGCTCGTGCTCGAGGATGATGAGGCCAGGGGACTTGGGGCCTTCGATCCACTGTGTGAGAGAGTCCTCGACTTGCTGCTGGGTCTGGCCGCCCTTGGTGTCAATGGTCCAGTCCGCCGAGCTGTAAGGGGGAGGTTGTCAATTTGGGCTACTGCACGACACGCAAGAGACATACTCGTTATTCCAGAGAACAGTAGTGAGGCCGAAGACCTCCTTGGCGATGGCACTGACGCGGACATCGGTGTCACCGTAAGGCGGGCGCCAGTACTTTGGCAGACGACCCCCAGTGGAGTCATGTATGAGCTGCATTGTCCATCCCAGCTCGCCGAGGACCATCGAATTGTTAAGAGTGGTCGTGTACGGGTGCGTGTAGGTGTGCACCGCGATATCGTCTAGGGACGGTCACGTGAGGAGACGCGTCGACGAAAAAGGGATATTGCTCACCTCCATTGGCGACCGCCAAGTTGAACTCTTCCCAATACTGAATGATGTTGAGGCCGATCATAAAGTGTGTGGCGTGCACATCATTAGCGCTCAGGAAGTGGTAGAGCTGAGTGGAGGGCTGCGAGACATGGCGTAAATTCTGGAGACGAACGCGGAACGGGACGCGACTTACGGGCAAAGGACCGTCGTCGAAGGAGGCTGCAATAACGCCGTTGGGGGCATTCCAGAGCTCGCCAGGGATGTAGCACTGATAGGTGCCAGAACAGACCTCAGAGCTTGTAGGGTCGAGGCCGTCGGGGTAGACAGGGTTGCCGTCAGGACCCATGGTTGGCACTGGAATGCTGGGAATCTTGCCCGCAGAGACAGCAGCGTCGAGCGCGTCGACCCACGCCTGAGGAAGCTGGTTAGAGTCGGGAGTGTCTTCGGGGTAAGCCGCAGACCACGCTGCGATGGAAGGCAGCTAAATATCGGCGTAGAAAATCAAGAAAGAAAACCTACTAGAAGAACCGACGGTGGGGGACGTTTGACGGTCAGATAGTTTGTTGCGGTGGAAGAGGGAATGAGCGGGGGAGTCGTCTGCCTGGTACCATACTCCGGGAAGCCGTTTTGTGAGGGTCGGATGTTCGTGAGGGTGGAAATTGGAGGCGACAGGAATGACGGTTGCAAGCGAAGCGAGCGGAAGGGCAGTAATGACCGACAGGACGCAGCGTAGTGGAAGTACCATCTTCGAGGCAGAAGTTGGCCTGGGGGATGGAGGAAGGGGAAGGCGGGGGATGTAGTTGAAGTTGAGAAAGTTGCGGTGTGGAGGACACGAAAAAATAGAGTGTGGAGGAGAGCTATTTATGCAATGGCAGGAAAGAAAGAGGTGAGCAGGGCACGATCGAGAACACGGCAGTCAATTGCCGTCCCCTGCGAGCTGAACATGCCATCGCGGTACCCCGCCCCCTCAGGCCTTCAGGCTGCGGCGCGTTCAGTAGAAATGTAGTTGGCAAGCAGAACACCGCACACGCCCGACCAACTGAATATACTGCCACTGCCATTTCCTCACCTGCCAGTGGCATTTCTTCACCTGCCCGTCAAGGCAAACGGGATGCCTTTCCCGGACACCCCCTACGTCGATTGAAGCCCCGCCGCCTCGGCGGCTCTGGCACTTCGGCACCTCATGCCCGCCAGATCTACAGGCAACCTTGGCAGAGCTCGACCATAGGTACTCTCCACAACTCTCTGCCAGTCTGTGCATCTCAACGTCACCAAGTTTGGCCCTAGTGTAGGAAGCAGTGCGCACCAGAAACTTACCCATCTACGAGCGAACGCTGCCATTCAAGCCTCATCGTTAGAGTCCAGTGCGCACTTCCATCGGTCGCGATCTATTCTCAGGCCTCAGCCACAATGAGACGCACCTGTGCATCTCACCCTCCATTTCATCCTCGTATGGATACCGCAACCCTTCATCGTATATCTGGGGAGGCACCATAATCGACGAGTGGCATCCTTATTCCCGTCCTCGATCGCATGCAGGATGCCTGAACGTCAGTATCATACCTTAACCATCCCGCACCTCAAAATGTAACCGATTTCTGAGTTTTTTCTGGGCTCAAAGCAAACCAAGGTCCAAAGGTGCATGCGCGTGGCAGATGGATTAGCAGGAAAACCAAATCGACAAGTACAATACCGCACGTCGCGTGTCCGTCCGTCAGGCACCCCAAAGCGGACCCGATCCTCGCTAAATCTATCCCGCAACAGGGCTCGCCACAGGCGGAGGCGATGGTGCCCCCCCTCCCCGATAAGCCGGCCTGAGCACCAGTACACCCTTGCTCAGCTGCGCAACCTCCTTCACCAGCGCCGTAAACCGCGTCTTCTTCCCCTCGTCCGTCAGGTACGACCTGAAGTGGTGGATGCAGTCGCGTGTAGTCGCGTTCGGCGTGTTCTTAAGCCACTCAATCACCATCCGGTCCTCCAGCACCCCGTCCGCTGCCACACCGTCCGGGGCCGCAACCTCCGCCTTGCGTTTCTTCGGTCTCGGAGGCGCGCCTTGGCCAGAGGCTCCGGTTGGCGACGTGGGCTCTTCCGTGGCCTTGCGTTTGGAGTGTTTCGGGGGTATTCCCGTGGTCATCGTCGGGCTCTGCGCCACCGGACTTCCCGCACGGCTTCCTGTGCCCGCACCCATGATCGGGCTCGTCGCACGACTAGCCGTCGGTGACGTTGGCCCGCCTATGCGAGGGCTCGGGCTGGGTTTCGGCTTAGGCACCTTTGGACTCGTGGCACGCATCGCGACCACGGAGTGACCTCCGTGACTTGGCACCGGAGAAGTGGCACGCGATGGAGATTGTAATTCAGCTTTCGTTTGTGGGAGTGGCTGGCTTGCAGAAGGTGTCTTGGTCCCATTCGTCAAGGGGGGAGCGACTGCAGCGGGTTGAGAGGAGGAAGGGCGAACTTTCGGTTCTGGCGGGATGATCGCAGGCCCGACTTGGGTAACCGGAGGTTCTTCCTCCTCCTCCTCTTCCTCCTAATGATTACAGACGTGTAGTATATGAATGATGAAGACAATATGTGACTTACCGAGCTCGCGTAAGGGTTCCGCTCGTCATCACTGTCGTCATACCCGCCGTCTTTCTCTAGCTTCCGCAACGTCTTCTGCAGAGTCTTGCCAGCGCCCGTGAGCTTCGACTCCTCTTCCTCATCATCGTCGGACTCGTCAATGTATCCCTCCCGTTGCTTGTTCGCGTTCTTATACTGGCGCTTGAGACGTTCCTGCGAAAAACACCAAAGGTCAGCGTATTCCATCACCGAATCCAATCCCAGGAGACACACCTCCATTTCCTTCGCCTCCTCATCATCAGCTTCGGGCTCTATCTTCTCCTCATCGTCCGCAAAGTCCTCCTCAAAGTCAAGCTCGTCCACGTCGCCCTCCGCACCCAGCTCGCGCTTGGTCTTCCTCTTGCGGCTGGGGCCCTCTTCGTCGTCATCGTCGTCCCCAAACAAATCTGCGGTGCCGCTGTCGACTGTCTTAAGCCGCCGGCCACCAGGACCGAAGCTCTGACCCGCAGTGTAAACGAGCGACCCGCTGGCCGCCAGGCTACCGGCACTCTCCGACTTGAACGTCGCCATGGTAGATTCTGAGGGTTGTCCGCCGCGTTTACGCGATAGCCAGCGCATTGGCTCTCCGTTCTTCAAGATCTCCTTTTGCTGTAAGCGTATAGGTCAGACGGCATGTAATTAAGCAGAATTGGACAATAAAATTATAAAGAGAGCGGAAGGGGTCGCATATACAACGGCAAACTAAGAGATTTGAGAATGCGTACCTTGAGCTCTGCTTCCTCCAGGCCCATGACATAGAAATTGGGCTTCTTCTGGAACTTGTACCACCGATGTGCGGGCACAAACTTGAAGATCGCCGTCTGGGCGGGCATAAACATCCCATGTGTCTGCGCCTTGGCAACTTCCTCCATCCTGCCGGTCCATATCTCCAGCTGCTCCGAGTCCTCCATCACCCACGGGTATCGCTCCTCCTTCCGCAGCTGCCTGATCTCCTCTGGCACGGGAAACACCTGCCGCGTCTTTTTCTGAAAGCGCTTCTTCGGCGGCGGCGCCTTGTCCTTCCCCTTATCCTTCCCATCGTCCGCACGGACCTCGCCAGGGCGGATTGGGCGCCCCTCCGCATCCACCATGACGAGCTTCCCATCAGCGCCGATCACGGGCTTCCCGTCGGGGCCGAGCATGGGCCCAACAGCTTGTGGCACAGCGGCGCCCGTGGCTTCGCCGTCGCTGCGGTGCGGGTCCTTGCGGTTGAGTTTCACGGGCGGAGCCCACGTCGTGATGTCGACCGCCTTGCGGGAGTCAAATTTCATCACGTCGTACTTCCATCCGTTCCGCGCGGAGGACATCAGCTTATACTCGACGAACGGGCCCTGTGGTGGCGGTGGCCGCTCGTCGTCGTCGTCGTCCTTCGGCCGGCGTGGCCGGGGGGTGCGGGCCTTGCTGGGCGCAGATGTGGATCCGGGTGTGGATGTAGGCGTGGGTGTGGGTGTGGACGTGGAAGTGGAAGAATCTGTGGAAGACCCGGCTGCTGGAGTTTCTGGCTTTGAAGGTGCGGGCGCGGGTGCTCCGGGTTTCTTCTTCTTAGGGTGGAAGAGGCACGCAACGCCCTTGTTCTTGGGGGCCATTTATGCGTGCTACTTAGATCGACGATGCGCAGTAGATGTATTCAGCAAGCTCGGTCGTACTTTCACGCAGTGTGCGCCCCCCAAGTGTCAGGATGGAGGGGGAGCGAGGAGGATAAGGAGTGGTGATGGTGGAACAAAGACAAGCACGTTGCGGCCCCGCCACAGCCAACGCGCGCCTTAATTGTACTAGTCACAATTCTCCGTCATCAGCTGCCGCAACTGCAACGCGCGCTCACAACGACGTGCAGTAAAACAACCGTATGTATAAGCAAGACATGGTATCGTCGCAACGATCTAGGAATATACGGATCGTCCAAAATCGAATTATAATAGTGGGGCTAGTATGTGAGAACTTGGCTGTAAATACCCATCACTGCTCTCCAAGTCTCTGAAATGCAAAAGGTGCTCGTATCTATGCATATCGAGCGTTGAGAATACGCGACGAAGAGGTATATATATCATACAAATCACCTTCCACGACAAAACATAGCGAAAACCACCAAGGAAGGAAGACTGATATCGATACACGTTGCGGATCTCTGGAAACGCGTGCTCATGAGGGTGTTTCCGTCCGGGGGGCTCCAGACGCACTGCCATTCATGTTTTGCTGCATGGCAGGTGGTGCACTCGGGGGATACACGTTTTGAGATGATCCCGGTCGGGACCCAGGAGCTGGTGCGGATGGATGTGCCTGCTGGGACTGTGGTGGTGGTGGTGGCTGATGAGGATGCATCGGGCCTGCCGGGCCTCCGGGGGTTGGATAAGGCGCTACTCCCACTGGCGGACCGTGACTATAGACAACATGAGGAGGGCCTCCAGGGAAAGGAGGTGCCATCCCCTGTCGCGCGTTATCCAGTTCATGTCGTAGCACTTCGATCTCCCGGCTCATGTCCTGATGGCTCTGCTTCAGATTCATAATGAAGTCGATAGCTAAGAATCGAATTCGCGAACAGACAATTGGTTAAGGTGTGAAGCGTATACGGGACTGGGCTAGCGTACCTTTACTCAGGATCTCCCACTTGCTGGACTTCATGCCTCTGTCGGAAGGTAGCTGCTCGCGCAGCTCGTCAAAGAGATCCTTCATCTCCTTCCGCCTCTTCCGCTCGGCCAACTTGTGGGATACGCGGAGTTCGGGCGAGCGCGAGTAGGGAGTAGAGCCCTGCTCTCGGGATAGCTGGGGGGCATCGTCGACTTGAGGAGTATCTGTTGTTGGTGTGGAGGAGGAAGGGCCCGCGTTATTGATTGGTGCTTGGGCTGCGGTGCGAACACGCGACGGAGGACGGGAGCGTGACCTGAGGACTCTGGTGGGACCTGTGGAAGGGGGTATAGGCGGCGACTCGGTCGCTATCGTTGGTGCAGACAGCCTGCGATCTGCCGGAAAAGCGACTGGAGGCATTGGAGGATGGGAGTCGTACTGGAGAGTGTGAAGGTCCGCATTATGTTCTTCTGGCTGCATTTGTTGGGCTGCAGCCTGATCGGGATGAGCCTGAGGGTTGGCAGGCCACGCGAAAGTAGCCATGCCTCCTCCTGCTCGACCACGTGGTGACTCTCCGGGGACTGCCGAGCCCGGTGTGCTGTACCCGCTCAGAGGCGTGCTCACCGACGTGCTTGCAACGCTCTCTCGTCTCTCTCCTCCCCACCATCCTCCCCCTCGCCCATCAACAGAATTTCGTCGCTCGTCCAGGCTCAGCTCTCCCATCCGCTGCGTCTCGTACCCCGACTCCCGCCGTTTCGCCGCCCGCCCCTCGCTCGGCACTCCCGGCCCAACCAGTTGCGGGTCAATGTCCGGTGCGTGCTGCTCAGTAGAAGACAGCTTGCGTTTCGTACCTTGGAGCAAAAGCGTGTGAGTCACAGCAACACCTCCGACTAGCAACTAGGCAATTGACCACCAGTTGTGCTGGAACGCCGCCGTGTTCCGTCATCTTTCCTTCCTCCGGCGAGTGACGCACGAGGAAGATTACGACGTGGGGGCCTACCTGTATCGTGTTGTTGATACTCCCCGTTGCCATGTGCATCGATCTCCATCCCATCAGTGCCCTTGACCCTACTAGATTCTGCGAATGCCGTTCTTTTCTGAGCTTCAGCTGCGTGTGGATTGCAATACTAGGTTTACCTCCGATCACTCTTCCTGCTCCACCTTGCTCTGCGCCACCTTCATCACGTCGCGTGCCCTCAACGCCTCCCTCTATTGAGGGCGACCTCAATATTCGCCGGATGTTAGCGTTCTCTGTTGATGCTTCTCCGAATTTGTACGGGGACGCCGGCCTCGGATGACTGAACGAACTCTTGCGTTGTGGTTCGTGTGATGACGACGAGACAGAGATACCAGAAACAGGATCTACGCGCAGAGATGGGGGAATGCTGTTCACACCGGAATGCGAGTGAGACATCGGCGGGCTAGCATGCAATGACGGATCGGTAATAGATCCTCTGCGCTGATTTTGCAGAAATTCCAGAGGAGCGAGAGGGGTGACGGGTGAATATCGGGAACCGCCCATCGCGCTCTTGCTCTGGGAGGTGGGACCGCTAGAACCGCCGCTCCCGGGGAGTGGATTGGTAGATGAATTTTCTAGGATGGCTCCTGGGTCGTCCATGACACGATCCGGAGAGCGCGAGCGCGTCGAGGAGGACGATGTGGAGAGCAACGAGCGAACCGCCCAAGTGTAATATGGATGTTTGGGAGAGAGTCAGCGTGGCTATCCACTAACTCCACGTGCAACGGCCACTCAGGCACCCGAAGTACGAAATAAATTCCCCAAAAAATGGTCTCGGAATGGACGCACTCCGATTGGTTGGTTGGAGGTAATCTCCAGAACAGATGTGGGTTTCGAAAAGGTGAATTATCACCAAGTAGAAACAGAGGCAGAAAAAAAGAGAGAATATTGACCACTAATCTATCCAAGACCTATTTATTATACACAAGCAGTACTACTACTACGAAGGAAAGGACGTGAATCTGAATGTCCGTAGGATATCCTCATCACGCGGGGTGATGTATGGCTGGTAAGTTGTCAACTTCTGACTGTTCCTTGTTGTCCGGCCTCTTTCCTTCTGCGTCTGGCCAACCTCCTGCAGCGCGGCATCGTCTACCGCAACCATATACCGAATCCACGGCTCGTAGTCGAGAAATACGGATCGATTGTCTGCGAGAGTGTCCAAGGGAACTCTAAGTTTGCGCATGAGTGCCTTGACCGAGGAAGCGTGATTTTGTGAAGAGATTTCTTCCTGTTCTCCCAGTGGGAGTGCTGGGTACAACGACGCGAAAAGGTCGTTCGAATATGAGACAACCTCCTTCATAACGACCTCGTCTCTGCGGTAGACAGACAGGTCCACATGCAGCGCAGACTCGAACGGGAGATTATCATGGGCCACGAAGTAACCTAGCTCGTCATCTGCCGGAGGCGTGGAGATTGTCATAGGGTTCTGACAAAACAGGCAGAGGTTCGGTGAAGGAATGAACTAAAAGGAGCGCAGTACCCACCCGGAGTGTATCCAGTCCCCCTCGACCCAGATGACAACCCACGAAGGACATAGTGTCCTTATATCTGTCCAACAGGCGAAGGAGACTTAGGTTCTGCTCTACATCTTCTTGGTTTGCATGTGCGCCACACCGCGAGGGTATTAATGGCCTCGGTAGCAGATGCGCACGCTTCTCGAGGTTATGCTCTTCGATGTCACCAGTTCCTCCGGCCGTGTTCCCGAATTGCAACCGATGAATACTGCGGCGGAGGTCAGGATATCGGGCATGATTCCGAGTACCCGATCGTGTCTCAGATGCATCGACACCATGATAAAGCAATGAGATGGAAGATCTGTCCAGGCCATGGTGTTCAACAAATGAAAGGCACCTCAAGTAGGACATCGCCAAAGGTTCTGGACACGGTGCAAACACGAGTGTCGTCTGCAAAGGGAGAGTTCTGAGGGGTATCACAGACACATCTAGATGAAGACCACGATTAAGCGTCCAAAAAATAAGCGTGTAATCGCGCTCACCATTGCAAGTCAAGACGACAGGCCGTCGACATTCTTTGATGATGTTCACTAATGTAGGCCAGAAATTGACGTCGCTCTCGTACAGCACATCGACTTCCTCGATCAGTATAATGGATTGGCCGATGGTAGTGGCGTCTCCATTTGGCGTTGGGGGAGTTGGTGGGCATTGCGCTGCAGCAAGGTCCTCTGCCGAATCAATTCGTAAGAGACGCCGTTTGCCTGCCGGACCTTTCATTTGGCTTCCCTGAGAAGGGCCAGGTTGCGCATTGAAGCTCGGTGTGGCCTTCAGCTGGTGCTGCTGCCGGACGAGGTGATTCTTGCCCACTTCGCCTATGAGCCTATTCAACGCAGCCCCGCTTCGCTCCCCGATACCTGGGTAGACCTCGAAGACATCCCAACCTAGCTCTTCCGCACATGCATATACTGCAGCAGTCTTGCCGCAGCCAGAAGGGCCCGTGAGGAGGATGGTGTTGAACACTTGCTTCTTGAAGACAGGTTGTGAGGTGGAAGGCACCGAAGCAGCATCATCCTCGCTATCGGAAGGAACATCAAGTTCAGAAGACTGATTGACGGAAGTATCCGTGTAGGAACGCTGCAGGCGTTGCAGCGTCCTCTCACAATACGCGATTTCGTCTTCGCTTTCCGTCGTCTCTTCGGTCGACTCGTCTGTCCCCACGATCCACGAGTCTTTCGCGTCCAATTTGCGGCGCTTCTTCGGCTTTTCCACCTGTCGCAGGACTTTAAGTCTCTTGCCCGCCGCTTTGAGTTTGGATTTCGTGCCTTTCTTCGCCTTACGCCCGCTGTCTGCACTGCCTGTCCCGATATTCAATGGGGCCATGGAATCGATCCGCAGCTTGAGGGCGAGCAGCCATGCGCGGAGATATGCGGCACGATCCTCATTCCCGAGTACCTCTGTCGCCTGACGAGGGCGCCACTTGTCCGTCCAAAGTTCATGTGCAATCGTAGGTGGTTCGCCTATATCCTGCTCGCGCGTCTGTACCTCGAGGAGCCGGGCGATGGCGGGATGACGGCGATGATCGGTTGGAAGGCCGTCGAGAAACTGTGCCCTCTCTGCTGAGTCAAAAGTCGATGAGGTGTGGTCCTCTGTTAAATGATGGATTGTACAGTCGACCTCTGCTGAGTCGGCTGTACTTGAAATGTGGTCGTTTGCTGTGTTGTTCGCCGGATAGTCTACCTCTGCAGAGTCATTCGATATATGACCGCCGTCAGTGATAGTGATAGATTCTGAAGTAAGGAGAGAGGAAAGTGCATCAGGACTTGGATTGTCCTTCGAGACAGCGGAGAGCGGGAGCGATAGTGCAGATTCAACGACTGAACCAGAAGATGACGTTGGCACGGTAGGTATCTGTTCGTCTTCCACCTCAGTGGGGACGGGCGACGGACCAGGATGTGTGCTGCTGCTGCTACCTACCGCTCTGGTTGGCAGAGATATGTCAGGTGTAGGGAAAGTGGTTTGGGGGCCTCGGACGTGTTGAAGATCTCGGTCCGGGTACGGAACCGTGGTATTTGGCGAGTCCCGTGAATGCTTGGTATTGCGCTGTACTGGCTGAGGTATCTTCTCACCTGTGTCCAGATCAGACAGATGAGAGTCACTATGTGCTCGAGGTGCAAAGATGGAGTAGAGGGGCTTGGAAGCAGCGGGACGCTTGGAAAGTGCGTCAGAGCCGTTCCAGGGGGTTGCATCCACGACAATGGGAACGTCGCGACAGCTACCATCCACGATTTCCTGCACCTCTGGTGTAGTGGCCCTGGAAATCGCTCGAGACTTAGTCGTACTAATCGAGGACGTCATTGTGATCTCTTTTGGTCTAAGCCTCCTCGGTTGCTGAGATGCTGGTTCTTGAGCGCGGCAATGAGGAGTGGACATACAACGCAGAAGGGTAGAAAAAAAATGCTCACCCTGTTCGTCACCCAACACAACATGTTCTGGTAGGGCTTCAACGTCTATTGGCTTAGTGCTTAACGTACCCTCGGTGGTGTCCACCAACTCGGCCACCGTCATGGTCTCTACATAGTCCTGCACCTCCTGCTTGTGTTCGGATTCAGATCCCGGGAATGAATCGGCCTTGGAGAGGTTGGACTTGATATGGAAGTGATCCAGCAGAGATCTCTGACCAGACTGGAAATAGCCAGGAAAATATAGATGCGAGAAGATCAGCACCTGGACTTCGCAACGGTTCATCAACCACTGACCCCCTTCGTCTTTCCGGCTTTTCGAGCGGCAGTCTTTTTCCTTGAGTCAGCCATAACATACCCTTCTGGGTTTTGGAGACGAGGTCAATGTAGAAGACGCAAACTAATGAGACTGGAAGACGGTTGGAGGTACGTGGGTTCGTCAACCCGTCGCGTCGCGTCACAGCGATCACGCGCACCGTGACTCTGAAGACGCGCTCTTTCGTCCAAATCCACCGGCTCAAGGGCGGCACAGCAATGGCACAGGACGATTCCTCCAGCGGAGCTGCCGTCGACAGGAGTACTCTGAGATGGATCTCTAACGAGTATTACGGTGCTTTCTGCTCTGCTCATATCTGTGTTGTTGGCGATCCTCATCATCGCGAGTGGTAGAACTGAACGGTCTCCATTTTGATGTCCTGCACAGTCCACCAACACCACTGGAGTTCTCAAGGTTGGTGCATATTGGGAGACCTGTTCTCATAAAGAGTGAGCGGAGTCAAGGCTGCTACCCCTCCCTAGAATGTGCCTCATACGTGATTGGAAGATTGCGAGTTCTCGGAGGACCTGTCTCGCTGGTCGGACGAATACCTGGTCAGAAAACTGGGAGACGGGAATATTTCTGTGGCTGTTACACCGAACGGGTAAGATACCCCTGGACAGCTTTTCAAAACCTACCTTTAATGCCCTTGCCAAGCCGCGCGGATGCAATCACTGCTGGCCCTGATGGCAGATTGTACTTCGCTGAGCCACACGTACAGCGGATGTCGATGTCCGCCTTCTTGGCCAGCTTGTCTTCAGGCAAGCTGCAATCTCCTCGATTATAGTTGCTCTGATGACATCGCTTACTTCTTTCCAGACTCAGACCAACCTCAAGGGCCAGAACAGGAAGAAATCTGTTACCTCCAGTCTCAGAACGGTAATTTATATACCGCTTGTTATTTCAATCTTTCTGGTGATCCAGATCCTTCGGAATTTGAGCCATTGCGCGAGGATGTTCCCAGCGAGATTCCATGGTGCAGCGACGCATTGGGTACGTCGACGAGAATACTCGTGAACTCAAAGGTATGATCTCATATGTAGTTTGTTTCAGAGAAAAGTCCGGACGCCGTCAACTTGTGGATCGGGGACAGCAGGAGCATTACAAGCATACATAGCGGTAAGGGTGTGGTCTACGAGTCTGCTTCGAATATCCAAATGCTGATGTCGTCTTAGATCCATACGAAAATATATATACTGTCGTTCGTGGTGCAAAACACTTCACTCTGCTTCCTCCCACGGAAGGATGGTGCCTTGAAGGTGAGCGTTCACCTGATCACCGATTCTTTCATCGCACAGAACACACGGTGCTCGGCAGAACGCACCTACCCTCACGCACAATACATCCGCTCACCCAAAACCTCACCCAAAACATCTGAGCTCGTATTGTCTCCGTCTCCTTCGACCGCAGTCCCCATTCGTTGGTCTTCCGTGGTCGACCCCAACCTCCCTGGGGCACTCCCAGCGGAGGCGCATCCCATTCAGATTTCAGTGCAGGCGGGAGATGCCCTGTATCTTCCTGCGGGCTGGTGGCACTACGTGCGTCAGTCTAGTGTGACCATCGCTCTGAATTATTGGTACGATCTGGAGAGTCGAGGGATGTCGTGGGTGTGGCTGAATTTCCTCCGAGGTTTGGGCGAGCCTCCTTCGGGGAACGTGGAGGGGAAGGGCGTGGATTCTTGAATATATTTATCATTTCTCAATGGTTCGCTTCTCGTGCGTGCATGAGTTTCATCTTAGCATGAAGTTTGTGAACTATGTAGTAAGTTGAGTGCATGTAAGGGACACCTAACCCTAGGACCGACCTCGCGTGACTTGCAACATTAACTTTCTCTGCGAAGGGCTCTAGAGTCTAGGCTTGCTCTGAACGAATTGCTTCTCGTCTCCGTGCACTAGTAGACTTCACAATGGTCAAGGACAAATCTGAAAAGAAGGAGAAGCACAGGAAGGAGACAACAGAGACTCTCGAAACTGAGGATGTGGTCATGGAGGATGCTGAAGTCGTGACGGTAAGCATTACATCTCCTGCGAGTCTTATTAACCGTTGACGGCGGACATCCAACACGTAGGTGGAGAAGAAAGCGAAGAAGGAAAAGGCGGAGATTGTTATTCCCATAGAAGACCTCTCGCCAATAGCACATCCTCTGGCGCAGAAGAAACTACTGAAGAAGATACACAAAACTATCAAGAAGGGTGAGTTACTGTACCGTGTCCTTGGGAAATTTACTGAAGCCTGTACCTGTACTCATAGCGTCAAAACAACGGCAGGTGAAGCGAGGGGTCAAAGAAGTGGTGAAAGGCATCCGGAAGGGGGAGAAGGGGTGAGTTGTTCGAACACTCTGACTATGCGTGCATCGCATTGACGCTGCATGACACAGCCTGCTCGTTCTTGCTGCCGATATAACACCTATTGATATCATTTCACACCTTCCTGTCATGAGCGAGGACGCGGGCGTCCCGTACGTGTTTGTAGCTTCAAAAGAAGAGCTCGGACACGCCAGTGCGACAAAACGACCAACAAGTTGCGTGATGGTATGTCCGGACCAGAAGAAGAAAGCGAAGCGGAAGGAGGGGGAGGAGGACAAGGATGACGACTACCGAGAGCTGTACGAGGAGTGTTGTAGGGAGGTCGAGAAACTCGATCAAAAGGTGGTCTTCTGACGCGCCATGGCCGCTATCTGTGTTTCTGTGTTTGTTTTCCTATACACCACTTTCTTTGCATGATACTCCGACGACGAAACTCCCGCGGCGCCCTAAGCCGTGGAGATTATAACTGGTTGCGCATAAAAAATGCTGCGAATTTGACACGTCCTATACCACGTCACGCGGAGGTGGCATCTCGAATGTGAGTCGCCAGCGTTTCTCACGACAACAGCGTATATCGTGTCGTAACGCTTTCTTTACCACCCTTTCAACACTTCCCTCCTCCCCTCACCATTCCCGTCCGCGCGCTCTCTTAATGGCCGTCGCAAAATCTAAGTTTACTCCCAACGGTGCTGGCAAGCAGACCAAGCCCACCTTGTCCACTGACGCCATTACCACCTCTGCCTCACCCACCAGCGAGTCCACTCCCACTTCTGCTATGTATGGGCATGGAAAGCCGGAGAAAGCCATATATGAGCGTGAGCAGGAACAAATCAAGACAGAGATTGATGCTCTCCAAGTCAAGCTGGTCTGTGACTATCATCTACGTTTACATATTTCACTCATGTTGTGACGTCACGTCGTATACAGTCTGCCGTGAAGGACAAGCTCGCCTCCGCTGGAAGAGGTGGACCTTCGAGTGACAGGCGTAACGCTCTGAGGGCCGAACTGGACAGCGTTCGTGGCCAGCAGTCCACCGGCAAGGCTAGTCGCGGTAAAATCTTGGACCAGCTCAAGAGCCTGCAGGACAATATCCAGAAGAAGGTGCGTCCAAATTACACTGATACTCCACATATACTCGTCCGAACTGACTGTACCCTAGATCAAGGATCTCAATACCGCAAAGGCCAAGATACCCTACAGGAGCGTCGCAGAAGTCGATGAGCGTATCAGGTACAAACTTGCATGAGACAGCGTGATTGCTTGCTTATGGCACAATGGCAGGCAATTAGAGAAGCAGGTCGAGTCGGGCAATTTGAAGCTTGTAGAGGAGAAGCGTGCCTTGGCAGAAATCAGCCAGTGTAAGCGGAGTCGCCGCGCAGTGGAAGGTTTCCAGGCAGAGCAGGATTCTATAGAGGCCGACCGCGCAGTGGCGGAGGAACTCCGGAGGGAGCTGGAAGATCCAGAGGCCAAGGCTGCGTCGGAGCGCTACGACGCGATCAGGGCCGAACTCGATGAGATCAAGAAGGAAGGCGACGAGGCGTACGCACACAGAAGCAAGCTACTGGATGAGCGCACCGCGCTGCAGGGCCAGTTGGACGTGTTGTACAACCAGAAGCGCGACTCCGCTCAGCGATTCCGCGAAGCAAACGACAAGTATTGGTACAAGGTAAACGAGGATCGCGCGAGGCGGGCAGAGCGGCAACGCGCACAGCGTGCTGCCGAGGAGGAGGCGAAGAAGAAGGAGCTCGCCGATCGTCTGCGCGAGGAAGCGGATGCTCCTGCTTTCCAATCAAATATCGAGGACTGCCAGACATTGATTGATTTCTTCTTTGGAAAGACCTCGGCCACACCGTCATCCCCTACTCCCGTGAAGACGGACTTGGAGGGCGTACCACAACTGGAATTGCGCACGGTAGAGGGGTCGACTGATGGTTTGGTGGTTCGGAAGAAGAAGGGTGAGGACGAGCAATTGTACTTCGTCAGCAGCAAGGGGAAGAAGTCGAAGAAGACCCATCATGGTGGACCCAAAGCCATCGCACTTTCGGAGGGCAACAGTAGCGACGCGTCTGGGAGCCAAAATCAGGTGCACGTCCCACTACCCACACTTTCTGCCCTTCTTTCGCTGTCAATATCGCCTCCGACGTCTCCAGCGGATCTGCTACGCGTCGTCGAAGATCTCAAGATCAAAAAGGCATGGTTCGAGGCCAATCAAGCGCGTGTAACGGCAGAAAACAAGGAGAAGGCGGAAGCGCAGATCAGGCGCCTCACTGGCAAGATTGATAGCAAAGGTGACGCCCCTTCACCAGCTGTGGAAGTTACATCCTCAAATGGAGGTGGAGAACGACCACCAGAACCTGCGCCTACTCCGGCTACTGCTCCCCCGCCGTCAATCGCTGTGCCAAGTGAGGATGTCGCGGAGGAGCTGGAGATCGTTGAGGAGCAACCGAACGGGGAAGTCAAGGGAGAAGCCCAAGAGTGACGGATATTATGTAACTGCACATCCCTACTCAATCTTACAACCCTCGGTCACCTTGGAAAGCACCTGCAACAATGAGAACGGAGTTGGACTTATTATTCGGGATCGATGAGATACACATGAGTGGATACTCGTCCGATAGGTATGTGAATAATGACAAGCAGGTCGGACAGTGTCAATAATACAGCAGCAAGGAACCAATAATAATTAATGCAACCAGAGTGAAAGCAAAAAAGACAGGACTAGCGATTGTAGTAGTAAGGATATAAGATAGCGACCACGGGAATCCAGTTAGGAATAGTTCACCTCATCAACCCTCAGATTTCACCAGTTCTGGCTCCTCCTCAGGAGTCGGCTCGCTGCTGGAGGGCGGGGGCGTACCAGACGCGCCAACACCCAAGTCCTGCGGAGTGAATGCACCCACATCGAAGGATCCGGATCCAGTCACATATTCAGGGAAGGAGAGACCCGACGAATGAACTGGCATAGAGTCGTCATGAGTCGACGAGGTATCCATGTACGACAGAGATCCAAATGCGTCCGAGCCGAAGGCACTGGAGGCGGGATCGAGGGAGCCAAAGGTATCCTGTTGCAACGCAGCAAGCATACTTGACGTTGTTGGAGTATTTGCCATGGGTGGACGCACGTCGAGGCTGTTGCTGTAGTCTTCCGAAAGGAAGAACTGTTGTTGCATCACAGGTTCAACGGACGCCGCCACGGAGTTTGTTGACAGAGCCACACTCCTCAGGACGTTAAGAGCAATCCAGTCACTGTAACAACTCATCAACGACAGAACAAAGAGGAAAGTGTGTAACATACTCCAAGAACAGCTTCAATATTTGGAACGCTCCGAAAGCTGGATCACTGCGGATTGTCTGAAGTAGAAAGGTCTCAATCGCTGAGCGCGCAGCCGACGTGTCAAATGCTCTTACCAGGTCCCTCATAACCTGACTGGTCACATATCCCCAGCGAATCAGAACGCTCCTCGAACTCATGGTTGGGCGATCTTCAGGACCATTGTTACGTCCACCCATAAGCCTGTCACAGCACTTGTCCGCCCACGCCATGACATCCCGAATAGGATCGGCACTCTTCAACAGGCCGTCCAGGACAGTTACGAACTCCATCTCCAAGAGCTGTACCAAATCTTCATGTCGACAATTACAAACCAACGCCGATTGATTGCGGACGGACTCGAAGTCAATCTTCTGCCATGACCGGCGCATCTCAAGGAGTTGCTTTTGGTTCGTTAACACCGTGTTCAACGCTTGGGCAACTTGGTATATGTCGAGGAAACGCACTGCAAAAAAGTTAATAGCGGGATAAGAAGTTCAATGGTTAAGAACTTACAGACGAGATGTCCGAATCGAGCACCCAGCTCTACCTTCGGCTCAACGAACGTGCTACCATATCCCTCGAGGGCAACCAAGAGTATCTTCTCCATTTTATCCGCAAGTTGGCGCAGACCTGCTAGCGACGCTGGTGGGATCGGCGACAGCGTCTGCGAGCGAAGTATTTCTAATATTTCCTAATTTTCCTTCGTCAGAAGACTTCATAGACGAGGAAAAGAAAAACCTACATCATATACGATAGCGTCCGCCTTCGCCATTAAGCCTGCAACAGCTGGAGCATGCACCACCTCACGGTGACTGCCGTTAAGGTTGGACCAAAATGTTCGGAGATTCAGCTCGAATTGGTCAAAACGGAAAGACCGGATGCTCTCCAGCAATGCGTCCAAATGGTCCTCGAACCACCTCCAGACCTCACGAGCAGCAATGCCTTGGGGAATCGTCGAATTGGCTCCAATCGCCTCCTCGATGGACGGGAAATGAGGCATCTGCCTCACGGAGATGGGTTGATTCAGAGCTATCAAGGGGACAGCACCGCCTACAGCCGAAGAAGGCTGCACGGTAATAGTGCCCTCGGGCTGTGATGCATGCCGTCGGATGGGCGCTTGCGTCGGAAAGTTGCTGCCAGGTAAACGCGCTTGCGCCTGTTGTAGCAGACTTGTGGCGGTCGGAGTCTTTTCATCTGTGAAAATATTCGGATTTTTTGCCCCATTAGAGAGGTTTAAGGAATTCCTCTTGGAATTCCCCGAACTGGGGCCTTCCGACTCATCTTCCTCCTCCTCATCCGAACCGCCTCGAGACGCCTCCGCCTGCTCGCTCGCCATGCGTGCGGCGTTCACAGACTGCTGCGCCGCATTATTGTTCGACTTGCGGATATAATCCTGCAGGAACTCGGCTTCTGCCGAAGTCGCAGGACGAATGCCGCAATCTAAAGAACGCGGCGGCTATCAATACAACAGACAGGATCATGATCCGGAGAAATGACAAACAGTGGTATTTACTGTTCCCTCTAACACCCAGCCGTCTCGTCTTGATTGTTGGAAAGCACAACCGAATCGCCTTACCCAGCGTTGCGGTGTTGATGTGTGGAATGCCATACTGATCGCAGACTCGGCGATATGAAAAGTACAGCCCTTGACGTGGGACATTCCCATCGGGATATGGGGAATAGTTCGCAGTCAACCTAGACCGACGTATCAGAGTCCCAAACACAAACGGTGGCCAACGTGGCGGACGTACCAAGCCTGAACGAAGATCTGTTTCGCTCTATCGGACGCACTCGTCGTAGTGGCGGCGCGCACGTTAGCTGCGAGCTTCTCCAAAGCGTGATCGGGGCTCAGCGTCATGCGACCAAAGGCACCAGCGGCGTGCATTGTTTCTTGAACATGGGCCATGGTCTGTTGGCCACCAAACATAGGATGATAATCAGGAGGGGCTGCGCCCAGGTACATGGAAATGTCCTCAGTCTCGCTAGAAGATGAATGGACACTCTCAGTGTCTCGTGGGTATGGGGACGCAGCGACACGGGCACGGATGTGCGTCGGGCGGAGAGGGCCCTTGAGGGAAGGGTTAGAGACGTTGTGATTGGGAGGGGAATCGCCAGGCGATGCCAGATCGGAGGAGCTGAGCGAGTACACGGAGGAGTGGGATGTGTCGGAGGTGTTGCGTGTGTGATCACCTGCAAACGAGTTGGTGGTATGGAAAGAAGCGCGATAAAGGTCTTCGGACGAGTGCATACCGGCCGATGCGCGCAAAACACCGCCCTGGGAAGACTGGGGGCGCGAGCTGGGCGAGTGGGACGAGCTCGAGGAGACCGAGGCGGAGCGGGAGTGGGGTTGACCGGGGAGGAAATCGAAGGGGACATTGGTGGCCATCATCTGAAGATTGACTGCGGCCATGACGATAAGCAGTTGGATGGTGGTGGTAGAGACAGTAAGCAGCTGCTAGCAGACGAAAGTCGGACCAGCCGTTATGAAGTTGGATGAAAGAAAGTGAGGGAGAGTTTAGCGAGCGACCTGAGCAGAAAGATGGGAGATGCGGTCGCCGCCAGGCCGAGAACAAGGGTAAAAAGTGAATAGAACAAGGGGGAGAAAGGGACGGGTACCCCAAGGCTACGTGTACGGACGAAAGAAATAATAAGAGCTTTAGGCCCGGATTGAGAGAAAGGTTGGATCTGCGAGAAATGGGATTATTGTGAGACGTCGTCGGTGGTCAAGGCAACAACCTCGCGTTCGTGGCGCCGGGACCAAATGATCTCCTTCTCTCAGGCGCCTATTCGAATTCACAGCCACCTCTCAACAAATACATTCCATCCGATGCTATCTTACACACCCCTACCAAACGCTCACGCCTTCACTGATCCCATAAACATGTACCGCCTAAACCGCCTTCGAAGCTTCTTCTCCCCCTGCTCTCCCAGCCGCTGTGCTAGCTCCGTCCACGACGGTATCGTCAAGTCCGCCAGCTCATACGGTGCAAACTTCGACTCCGTCCGGTTGGGGTCCCGCAGCGACTTGGGCAGATGCCGCAGAGGGATCGGGTAATAAGGCTTCAGTCCTGCCTTCTTTTCTGGCGGGTGCAACTGCGCTATCTGGTATGTCAAGTACTCCAGTTTATACTTGGGTGGCCGCTTCGCAGTCCCAAACTCCAGGTCTGGCAAATAATACTGTTCCAACTACTCAGAGTCGTCCGTAGACGTTACAATAATTGACGCTTACCTGCGCGAAGCCCAAGGGTGACCATAGGTTATTGCTGCGTGAAGGAGAGTGTGGATTGGAATGCCATGGCTGAGTGAGCTGACATCTCCAAGTATTCCGATGCATGGAGTCGTTGCACGATGCAGCTCTACCTGCAAGACTTATGCTATTTGATGCCTGCAGAGTTCCTTCCTCCTCGTCCTGGGCTTTTGGAACGTACTGGCTGCCGGTGATGTTGTACGTGAAGATCCGAAAAGACGGCAAATACGGGTTTGGGACTACAGACGGCGAGACATTGACCACTCCGTAGTCATCATAGCTGATATTCTTAGTACCCTTGGGTAAATCAGCAAAGGTCCTGATGAGTGTGTCGTACAGCTCCTTCTTGCGTCCGAGGGTGTCAATCTCGTCGGGGTCATCGGTCAACGATGGAACAGACGTTGAACTGATGGTTTCAGCGTCCATGAAGAAGAACTGGTCGAACATTGTCAGATATAGTTGCATATGGTTGATGGTATCACATACGTGATCCGCATTCATGTGCTGGAATGGTGTCCAAGAACCATCAGAACAACATCGCACACTACTGAATCGTTCGTAGATTCACTCACCCCGTACAGATGTCCCAGAATGGTGTCCTGGTACCTCAAAGATAACTCTGCGTACCTGACATACTAGCGAAAGTTCAATAGCACGAAGCATACCAGGAAGGAAGGACTCACGCAGTCGGGAAAGAAGTTGTTGGATGAAGGAGGCACATGACCTGTCAACCAAACCTTCGACGCAAAACAATCAGAACAAGGTCATACCTGATTCTGGCAAGAACAGACCTGCATGCCCCTCCGTCGGAAAATGTCGAGCTGTACTTCGAGCCAGTCGAACTGAAGGTTCCCGGGGTCCTCTGGATCCGTATATTCACATCCACCCACAGCTATCCACATGACGTGGCGGTTAACTCTCCCCGGAACAATTGCACGTCCAAAAACACTCTCACCTTTGTTCGAATCGTAAAAGTACATAGTGTTCAGGCTTATCACCGCGAGAGAGTCTGGAATAACCTCGACAGAATAATACCCGCCTCTTTGGAACACTTGATAGGACTCGAATGGCATGAAAGATCTCCATATGCTAAGTGGAAAGGCATATATGTCAGAGGTAGATACGTCAAAAAAAAGATCATACGAGGAGAATTCAAAGGTAATGCTGTTCGGACCTATGTAATCGCTCCTTAATATTTGAACTGCCGGTGCATATGACGCTTCCTCCTACCTGGCATCATGATGTTCTGCGTACGGCACGTAAATGGTCGGGCCGATCAATCACAACAAAAAGCTGCTCACATGTGCTACGCAGATTTGACAGAGAATGTTAACAATGTCTCGGCAGAGATAAACCGAAGGACTCACGCCAGACGTCATTGTTCCCTACAGAACAAGAGGCACGCGTATTCTCTTTAACAAATGATGCAGGCGAAAGAGGTAATGCGAGACATACCAATACTTGGGACTACAGGAATACCCTTGCTCGTAAATACTTCCTCCATCCGCTTCGTAATGGCTCTGTTGAGTCCGTAAATCTCCGCGGTTGTTCGGGGAATTTTGCGGTCATTATCGTGTCTGTGTACCGATGAGCTCCGACGAAATTAAGAGAATATCCATACATACCTTGCGCTATCCCCAGTCCCTGTACAAGCGAGAGTCAGTGACCGCGTAGAGCTCCACAACAGCAGAACCGGAATGAATACCCACAAACAACAAAGTCAATCTCTGAGCTCCATTCCTTGTCCAGGAAGTCAAGCGTGTAGTTCGTCAACGTAAACGGCGCATCGCAATTACTGAAAAAATCTGTTCAACACCTGCATTCTGATGATATTATAGTCGACTGACCTAAACGGCATGCCAAAGTAGCCAGACCGTCTCTTGGCTTTCCTTGGTTTCTTTCGGTGACAAGAAGACTTCTCCGAGGCGTCTACTTGAAAATGACCATCCGGATGCATGTCAGTGATATGCAGAAACCGCCCCTGCAGCTTCCGCCGTTGGCCTGAAACCAAGTAAGACTACAATTAATTGGCGCTAACGATCAAACAAAAGATAGACATACGCGTTGCAGGGACTTGCAGCGGGACTTGTACGGGCGCCGCGAAGCCATCGGGAAGGCAGGTCAAGAGCAGCAAAGACAACAACTTAAACTCCAACATCAGGACGAGGAGGAAACTCAGTGAAAGACAGAGTGTAGCGAGTGGACAGGTTAAAGTCAGATGAACATCATCGGCGTCGTGTGACAGACGCACACAGCGCGAAAGCGTCGCACGTTCGTCGAGTGATCAATGTCAGAAGGAATGTTGCCAGACGCTGCCTTGCCTTGATGTGTGCACTTCAGCCATACAAGCTCGGCGTTCCCCGGGACCCCACCAGCCATTCATACTTCATTTCAAAAAAATGAACGCCCATACACTGCGAGATAATCGCTTAAGCATGTACAATTGCAACGGCATTTACAGTAGAGATGAAGCCCTCAGATCCCGAGAGACGTACGAGTAGGTAGGTATACACATTAATATTACAAAGCTCAATAATTACTGAGTGCGTGGACGTGGTGATACAGAAGCAGCGACGGCGAAGAACACAGCATGCAAACTGAACAAGAGCGAGGACAAGACTAGAGCACGACTGGAGGCCTCCGGACAGCTACTTGATCTTGATAGACCTCGTCGCAGCAGTCGTGTTCATATCGGAGCCAATGGTGTTGTTGTGACCCGAGGAGTGAAGCTCAAGGAGAGCAGACGCGTTGTCATTCTCGTCGAGAACCTTGCTGATAGACTTCTCAACAAGAAAACACGCCTAAAAGAAAAGTCAGACCGTATGTGCGCGATAGCACTTAATTCCGGAACTTACGCGGCTGTAGCCGCCACGCTCAAGCGGCGAACGTGCCTTCGCAATGGTGTTGTGTATGGTATCATAGGCGTATCTCCTCCTGCGCACAGCAGTGAGTATTAACGCGAACAATGGAGATGAAGGACAACGTACAACACACTCTCCAGCTCACTCCTCGAACGTGGCACCAGGTAGAGGTCTGTGCCGTTGAGATAACGCTGGAACGCTTCGTACGTGGCGCATCCAGCGATCAATGTTTCGTCCAGCGATGGATGGGCGGTATCCCAGCTAAACCAATTCTCCCTGCAAATAGTGAGTAGAGGAATACGCGTGAGCGCGTTGAACGTACGTTAGGTAGGTGTGGGCGAGTGCCTCGGGGCTCTGGGGGGAGAGGAAGCGATCCATTATGCAGAGGGAAGGTGCTTGTGGCGGAGGGAGAGGTGAACAAAGATGATGATATAGACGGACGCGAGTATTATATAGCGCGCGGTGAGTCAAAGCGCGAGGCTTGGGGCAATTGGGGGATGGTTGCTTCGGTCTACCTGAGAATAATTACGCCAAGATAACTTATACGGCGGAGACAGCGCCAAGCTTAAGGTGGATCTAATCTAGAAAGTGGACAAACGTGAGCGATTCAGCAGCAGGAAAGTGACGAGAAGATGACTCGATTTATAACTTGTGGCCGCTTCGCACGTTCGTGCCATCTCCTCGGATACGCTCGGCCGGCGTCGGCGAGGGAATTTATTGTCGATTTTCCACCGTCTTACTCAGGCGCCCCTCTCCCTGACTCAGTAGACTCTCACCCTCTGATGCTCATGTGGTGCGGCCCGTATAAAGTTTGAATTTGAGTGTACTACTAGCTTGGATGAGATAAGTAGCTCCGTCGTTCCTCAGGGAGAGCGCTGACCCCGACGGCGTGCTCCGGTCGATCGGCGCTTCGGCATTCCACGGAGTGGCCGCCCAGCCGTGGGTTAATGGTGAGACTACTCCGTCGAATGAACTGCACACTGGACGAAGTACTTCCAAGCGAGAGACATGGACGAGGTACGTCGCAAGTGCGGATACATCCGCATGACACTCCAATGTCTGGAAATGTCACCATACTATTTTCATCTTCTGTACCCCTACAGTCGCCCGCTGATCGCGCCGAGATGGGACCACTTTATCAACCTCCGTCTCCAGAATCTTCTCGCGCACTTCGCTTCTTGCGTCATACAAACGCCAAGCATTCGTTGTCCCTCTCATCGTATCTTGATCTATACAACTGGTCAATCGACAAGATCGATGACTTTTGGAGTGAAGTCTGGGACGAAACCGCTGTCGTTGGCGACAAGGGGGCTCATGTTGTTGACACAACTGCTCCACCGCCTGCAAACCCACTCTGGTTTACTGAGGCCAAACTCAATTATGCCGAGAACTTGCTCAAGTGTCGCTCCCCAGACAAGACTGCTTTGATAGAAGCTAGTATGTTTTCGGTTCTATTATCCTGACAGTCCGGGCGTCGATAAATCCTCTAGTCGAACCCGATCCGAACAATCCTTCTCCTCCCCATCGTCGTGTGACATACCTGGAGCTCTATTCTCTTGTTGCTGATCTGGTTTCTGCATTGCTCGCGTCTGGGTTGAAAGCTGGAGACCGCGTTGCGTCATATTCATCCAACTGCATTGTGGGTTTCATCATTGTGTTCACTTAGGCCATGTATTTCCCCCCCCCCTTCTCGCGCTTTGTTCGTCTTACCCTCTCCGCAATCTGAATGTAATGCATTTTCTCACTGCGGTATCGCCGATCACCAGGAGAATGTGGCTGCTTGCTTAGCAGCTGCGGCAATAGGTCGGTCTGAGTGGCGGGCGTTGTCCTTACTTCCCGTGGTGACGCATGTATAGGATGTATATGGGTCAGTGCTGCAGCCGATTTTGGACCTGAAGGGGTGTTAGAGAGGTGAGACTGGATATCGCCTGCTGTAGAGGATAGCCTGAATAACTGGTGACGCAGATTTGAACAAGTGCGACCAAGTCTTATTTTCTCCGTGGATGCCGTTGTGTGCGTCGAGATAATCCGCATATTCTTTTTGCTTAACTCCCTCATACGTGCGCTCAGCTACAACGCAAAAGTACATCCACACTTACCCAAGCTCAAGTCGCTGCTCGTGGGCTTACAAGATCGCGCTGCCTTACGACCAAAGGTCGTCGTGATCCCGCATATGTCTACGTCGATAGACCGCAGTGACTGGCACGACGGCTGGATTAGCTGGGATGAGTTCGTCGCTGAGGGTAAGGAGAAGAAACTAGGTCGTACACCGGAAGGTGAGATTGAATGGTGCCGCCTGGACTTCAACTGGCCTCTGTGGATTCTCTTCAGTTCTGGCACGACGGGTATGACCTTCAGTTCTAAATGTAGACACTCACGCGTTGATCGTCCTTCGTGATTCGCTAGGTCGCCCAAAGTGAGACAAAGTTCTGCATGAATTGCTACGCCGACATGCTGAGAGTGCGCTTTTAGACCGATCGTTCACCGAGCTGGTGGCATGCTGTTACAGGCAAAAAAAGAATTTGTCATCTGCGCTGACCTCCAGCCTGAAGATGTGTTCTTTTATTATACCACAACGTGAGTGGCAAATTTCCCAGTTCTTCGAGAGGCATTAATTACCAGATGGCAGGGGCTGGATGATGTGGAATTTCCTCATAGCTGGTCTGAGTGTCGGATGCACGCTGGTCTTATACGACGGCAGCCCGCTGTACAACCCTGCTTACTTGTGGCACCTCGTGGACGAACTCGAGATCTCGATCTTCGGCACTAGCGCAAAGTATATAGACCAGCTTTCTGTAAGGAATGGTAAAATGAAGGAGATCTCACAGGGAGCTAACGGCCTGGCTTTCATAGAAAGTCTATAAGCCTGCGGACTACCACCAGCTCTCCACCCTGCGCCACATATATTCGACTGGCTCTCCGCTAGCGCCGCCTCTATTTGACTTTGTCTACAAACATATTCGTCCCGACGTTTTACTGGGTTCTATCACGGGTATGAAACGTCTGTTTCAAAGGCATCTTTTTCCAACTCAATCATGCATTTATATACAGGCGGGACGGACATTTGCTCTCTATTCGCCGGGATGTGCACTGCGCTTCCGGTGTTCCGTGGCGAAATTCAATGTCGACTATTGGGTATGGCCGTGGAAGTGTTCACGCCTTCCGGGACCATTGCTGCGCCAGATGAAGCTGGTGAACTCGTTTGCCTAAAGCCGTTCCCTTGCATGCCCGTGGGCTTCTGGCCGCTGCCTGGTTTCGGAAGCGAGGAGGCTGTCGAAGCTGCCAAGATGCGTTATCAGCAGGCCTACTTCTCAGAGTTTAAGGATGTTTGGTGTAAGTGTTCCTGTCCTTCACCTCGCCTTGCGCGCTGATCGTTCGTGTGCCGCCGATACACACAGTCCACGGCGACCACGTTATCCTCACGCGATCCAGGGCAGGTAACGGAGGGGGTTTGATCATGCTAGGTAGGAGTGATGGCGTGCTGTACGTATTCCCCCTCCTGCTGCTGTCGTCATTTTCACGCATAAGTGGCGCATCAGTAACCCTGGAGGCGTTCGCTTTGGGTCAGCTGAGGTTTACGACGTGATTGATTTGTGCTTCGCGCCTGCAACATCGCACGGTGCTCACGCCATCGTCGACTCTCTGGTCATTGGGCAAGGCATTGCGAAGGGTGCAGACGAGCGCGTGATCTTGTTCATTAAGCTTCTGGAGGGGCAGGTACTAAGCGCAGAACTGGAGAAGAGAATCAAGGCCGAGATACGAGTCAGAAGGAGCGCCAGACATGTACCAGCACGGGTAAGTGACAACCTCGTGGCACGGAAAACGCTGCCCGTTCATGTTCTGCCGTGGAGATTCTTCAGGTCCAGGATATACCGTACACTGTGAATTTAAAGCGCGTGGAGGTTCCTGTGAAGAAGGTAATGTGACATTTGTTATTCTATGGCTGTGCGCAACGTGCCCACTGAAAGTCACGGTTTCAGATAATCAACGGGGCTCCTATCTCGAGCATAAACCCAGCGACTCTCAAAAACCCGGGTTGTCTGGCGGAATACGAAGCGTTGGGTATTGCTTTGAGAGCTGAAGTTTAACCTATGAGTGGAGTGAGAGAGAGAGAGAAGAGATGGTATCTGACTGTGGTGGCATGGTTCACGGAGGCAGAACAATTGTAGCTAGCTGCAGCCAATGAGAAACGAGCCGAAGCAGAAGTTCCGTTTCCGAGGAATATTTCGGCAATACAATGGTAGATCTAGGCCTGAGATTCAAAGCACCGTTTGCTTGTGGCTGCCTAAACCGGATAACCATGTTGCCAATCTTCCACCACGAGGCCGGAAACAAATTCACTTCTATCAAGTCCACCTGGCTTTTGTCGCCCTAGCCGAGGCTGCGGCTCGTCCATAGCGCGCATACAATGGAAATTTTCCATCTGTTAGTCCTTTTAACCTCCCAGGCTCACCCTATTCTTTGCGCGTCCCCCACCATCCTCCCTTCGGACCAGCAATCTCTCGCTCTTCCGCCTTACGAACGGAAACGCGACTCCGGCAACGAAGCCACGCGATCTTTACGGCCTCGTTGTTTCATTGTCTGATCTCGCGTTATGAGTCCCTCAAATACCAGACACCAGCATGCCCGTCAAGAGCAATCACGATCTCGTACTACCACTAGACGGCGACCCTTCTTTGCATCAATCTTTCGATTTCCTCGCATGCCTTCAGTCTTCAATGTCATCAGGACCTGCGTATACGGTGAGTGGACTGGTGGCCTTCCTGACTCACGTTTGCTTAAGGTGCCACAGTGGCCGTCCTGCTGTGGAGTGTGATTTGCTTGGCTATTGCTGGTCATTTTCAGAGTATTCTGGTATCTTCTGATCTCAGTGAGTGCTCATGTCGCTCTGTGTGTTCGCGTAACTCAGATCTGTTCAGCTCGTTTTGTTCCGTTCGCTATCTTCGTATGTAGCGCGAGCCTGCTCATCATCCTGGCACTGTAAGTTGGAGTTTATTTAACATAAGCTGACTACTGAATTGTGGGTGAAAGGCTCGGATTCGGTCTCTGGAAGGAGCGGAATCCCATATCCACCAGGATTGAGTTGGGTTGTCTGGCGCTCGCAGGAGTGCTTTGGACTGGTGAGTTGTGGACCTCTCATGCCACCCTCTCGTATTGCAAACTTAGAGCATAATCTAGCACTCGGAGCCTTCGTTGCTTCCTCCGATTCGGAAGAAGCAGATGTAGAATGTTATTCGGCTCAGAATGAGCTCGTGGCCGTCCCGGGGTGTGAGTATATGCTACTCATTCTTGGTCTGATCACATCGCTAATATCTTGTAGTTAACACGGAAACGTTCCACGCACAATATCATGTCCTGGAAGCATTTTCTTTCTTTAACATGATTCTTAGTATGTCCCATGATTTACATGTTGTCGATGCACCTGCTAAGAGCACTGTAGTTTGGGGCTTCCTCCTATTCTTATTGGTTCTTGCACTACGTCAACATAGCATGGGCGAGAAAGGTGTATGGGTTTCGTCTGTGACGGCGTTCCCTTGGTTCGGACGTGGCAAGCAGTCCCGCGGCTTACCTCCACCGGTGATTTCGCGCTCCAAGTCGCGGTCAAGAGGCACTCGCGCGGCGACTTCTCGTATACCAGAGAGGAAGCAGTCTGAGAAGAGAGCCCCAGAGAAGAAGGCTCCGATCCAGCTGGAACTCGAGAAGAAGCACCCGTACCCCGAGCAACCTGCGCGCCGCATTCACTTGGGACACCATGAGCCCTCGCGTAACGAGTCGCCCACGTACGTCTACTGGATACCTCACCAGACGCCGGACCAGGCGCATGTGCGGGATCACCGTAGCAGAGACAGGTATCAGAAGGACACATTGCCCCGGCGGTGATGTGCGATGAGATTATTATGATTAGAGAAGAGCATCTGCGATGTATTATGGGATGTACGACAGCCAATGTAGTATTAGTTATTTACAATGGCAATACAATGTGAATGTAACGATATTTTGGGGGGCCTGCAGATCGCACGGGTCGGGCTCATTGTCGTTGAGAGACTCGGGCCGCCGCCATCATCTCCGCCACGCGCCCCGACACGTGTAGGGCGCGTTTGTTCATTCAAGTCAGGTGACAAGAGTCTGGATTGACGTCAGGCGCAAGTCGCGCCTCGCGTTGCCCCAGACGCAGCTCCCCCGTTTGTTTTTCACCTGTCTCTCCATACGATCTCACGCGCACGACCCATCCACGACCCCCCACCCCTCCCCCGCCTGATACCCTCCCTCATCGGCGGACGAAAGTCGCATTCTAATCCTTTGCACAGTCTAGAATCGATATCCACACAGTTCGTACCCACTGATCGTTGTTCATATCCGCGCTTCCGCTCACTGATGACCGGTTGAGAACAGATGACTCAGCTGTTCAAGGACATGCGCCTCTATGGCTTCAGTAAGTGTGCGCGTTTTCGACTTTGGGATCCACGCTGAAGGCTTGATCCAGTCACTATTATTCTTCTTGCTGCAACAGTGCTCGGCCTTTCAGCGTATCTAGGAAGTATCTTGCTACCGAACTACCAGCGTGAGTAATGACAAGAAAAACGCCTACAAGCGGCTTGATTCTGACCACGCAACAGATGATTTCGGCATTTTCGCCATCTTTGTACCATCATTCACGATATTAATATTTCTGCTCATGTTCGTGTCGTCGAAGTGTATGATGATAAGGCACTGATCATTCTCGCAGTATAACATGGTCCTCGCCGCGTACCGAGGCTTTTTGCCTATTTATTCTCGGAGCTCTATGGTTAGGTTAGTTCACACGATTTTCGCTGATTATCATATGCTGACCGTTTGTGGGTAGCAATGGGAGCATGGACGACGTATGCATCGCCCAAGTTAGTTCGCCAATGAGTCTGACCCGACCGTGACTCTAGAGACATTACGGGCAACGTTCAGTGCGATGCTCTCGGCAACCAGCGTACCTCCACGTCGAAAGGAACTAGTGGGTATCTCCGTGTACATGGGCCGAGCTGGATCTAACGGCCGTCTTTCTGTTAGTGTCTGCTAAGTCCTATTGCTATGAGATGAAGGTCATCGAAGCTTTCTCGTGGATGATATTCTGCCTATGTATGTTATCCTCTACTTTCGGATTCCTGGACACATAATCCTCTCTCTCCTTCGCAGATGCTATCTTCCTGTGGATCCTGATCTCCCTCACGACCCGTGCCCGGGTCCTTGGTCGCCCCTTTGCGTGGGCGGAGCCCATCTTCGAGCTGCCGTGGTTCGGCGAGCTTCCCGGCTGGCCAGCAGGCGGATACGGCAATATTCCCTTGGGCGGCTATGGCTATCCCATGGCCCCGTACCCGCCGCAGATGGTCAACGGCGGCTACGTCGTTCAGCAGAACCCTGGGCACTCGGTCGTGATCCAACAAGGAGCGGGGCAGATGCCGACGATTACACAGATACCCGGAGCGGTGGGCTCTGTTTGAACTCGCCCCAGAATCGCGACTGATGGCATGAATTGTTTCGATGGCACGATTCCCATCCATCTTGGTAAATTCTACATGCAGTAAAATACCACGTTTCCATATACACGCCTCGAAGATCAGGAAGATGATGGTTAGCGATCGAGCAACCCAGAAACCGACTGCCGGATTGAATGCGGGGGCATGTGTCATGCAAGACGGACGTAGTAGTTGTACATACAATATGTAATGTAGAGAGCGTATGCACTGCAATGCGCATGCGTGTATCTCAAGGCTGTCGAAAGAGATAATCAAGCATGGTGCGGGTGCCTCGAGGCATTTCACGAGCTGAGCGAGAAACGCATGCATCTGCCATTGAAGCTGCACCGCTGCAGGCCCACTGCGGGGAGGATCTGTCTTATACATCTCTCGCACGTTAGGGAAGCTGCTGTGCGTACGACTACTCCACCCGACTATTGACTATGCCCTTGTTTCAAGATCGTAGAGTCCGCTCAATCGCTGCGGGTATGCGACGGCATCGCCATTGCAGAGAATTGATCATGCTGAATCGGCCTAATCGCAGCGGCGCTGGTAGCTTTCGCAGCATATGCAACAACAATGTTTATCCCGCAGACAATTCGTAAGTTATCGCGATCAAAGATGAGACCCATAGTGCTGACAAGATGTAGATGCCCTTAGTATGATGCAGAGTTCCGTGGCCATGCTAGCACTGGCTTCATTAGCAGTCCTGTGAGCACCCACAGCAGGAATAACGGCGCAAAACATGTCTGACATACACATTGGATTTGCACAGCGTCGTGTCTCATCATAGAAGAAACGGGCAGTTCCTCACCGAGTCGCAAGAAGAGATGATCCTCATCGGGGCGTTCGGGCTGTTCTCGTTCGGTGCGTGCGTTCCCGGAGCTTCGACGAGTCGCAAGCGTGATTTTGAGACACCCGCCGCGCACACAGCCGTTCTGATAGCTCTGCGCGCCTTTAGGCAGCGCACCATGGACCCGGGCCAGGCGAGCGAGACGAGCCTCGCGGGTGCGATGCGGGAAGGGCGGGCGAAATCCGCGATGGAACCAGGGTTCACGCGCGGGCGGAGACCGTACTACTGTTCGAGCGATGCTGCGTACTGCGTGGTGGAGGAGTGGACGTACTTCTGAACGATACTAGCAGGGAGGGCCTCCGTTTAGGCTAAAGGCGCAACTGCGATAATACTCTTTGCTATCTCACGCAGGACGGATCATACCTGCACGTGAGGCGGCGACAGCGTGTGGTGAGCTTGACATGAACATGAAGGCGAAACTTGAATTAGAGGGTGAGTTGGTGATGCCTAGCAAAACGTCGCATCGTGCTACCTGCCGAAGCTAGTCCGGAAGAGACACAAGTGCTCGCCGCGACGATCCCTGAGTCCTTGGACTCCTTGCACAAGCCTCGTGTCCTTTTGGGGGGGAGTGATCCAGCCTATCTTATAAATTACAGGTAAACCGATCGCACGTGGAGGACGCAGCCAGAGTCGTCCACTGAAGACGTTTCGGGCGTGCCTATTCAATCCTATCTGAGGATCAACCACGGTCAGCTGCAAAGTCCTTCATGAAACTGTGATAAGCTGTATGAGAACAGACGGAGATGAGCAAGGACTGAAGCTTGACTCGAGAGAAAAGACCGTGACAGAGCAGCACAAGAGCAGCACAAACGATTCTAGGCAAGGTGCGGGGATATCCGGTCCCTGAACTAGACATCGGTCACTGCCAGTGGCTGCACGCGATTCCTACCTTCCACGTCGTCGTCGCACTCATTCACCCCCTTTCTCGTACACCCAGGCAGCCTAACATCATGATGAGTAGCGTCCTATTGAAGTTGTTGGCCAGATATTGACAATCCGACCGGCGTATCTACAGCTTACCCAGCAAACGCCGCATCGAGACGGATGTCATGAAACTGTACGTGTCGCTCTCTTCCTGCGATAAGATGGTCGGAATATGTGTGACCAACATGCTAATTACGGCGTTCTCCTAGGCTGATGTCCGACTATGAGGTCAATCTGGTCAACGATAATATGCAAGAGTTCTATGTGCGCTTCTACGGACCAGCAGAGAGTGAGCCTTTCCACCTTCTTGCACTCAGAATGCTCACTTATACTGCATGTCATCCGTACTACAAATCTTCGTGCGGTCAGCTCCATTCGCTGGAGGTGTATGGAAGATACACGTAGAGCTGCCCGACCAGTACCCCTTCAAATCCCCGAGTATCGGCTTTATGAATAAGATATTCCACCCGAATATCGACGAACTGTATGCCAGCGATCCCATCTTTCTCTGATATACCGACTGACGTCTCCCGGTGCAGGAGTGGCTCTGTGTGTCTAGACGTTATCAATCAGACTTGGTCACCAATGTTCGGTGAGCTGGCAGATGTGCCCGGTCCTTTTGTGATGCACGAATTCACCTTTCGTAATTGACTAGACATGATCAACATCTTTGAGGTGTTCCTGCCACAGTTACTCCGCTATCCTAACCCAAACGACCCCCTTAACGGTGAAGCGGCTGCACTACTGATGCGCCACCCGAAGGAGTACGACGCCAAGGTCAAGGGTATGGTCATTTATCCAATCTAGGTAGATTCCCCGGTTTCTCATGCTCCTGCAGAGTATGTTCACCGCTTCGCGACGAAAGAAGCCGCGGACGCCGCCGTAGACAAGGAAGATGAAGACGGTGAAGATGATCAGATGAGTGATATTGGCAGCATCAGCGAGGACGAAGGGGCGGCAGAACCCATGGATCTCTAGGCAGCATCTGCACAATGATACCACCGCAACCTTCCCTTCAACATTTTCAATACCGTCCAATTCGCCAATTTCGTTGCACACATCACCATCGTTGTTCACTGCACTAGCTCGCCCCTCTGATTGCGCTCACGCTACCTTGTATACATGTAATGACACGAACCTCCACCTCTGTTGTAGATTGCCATTCACCGTTCACTATGTACCGTCATCCTCTCCTGTCCCCCTGCTTCCACTGCGATCGCCCGTCCATCACCATGTACTCTATCTGTAGGTATTCCTCTGTACCTTTTGACAATGGAAGCTGAGTCTGCTTGCGAGAGAGTTAGCGTGATGATCGCATGTCGTGGATACGCGTGCGTGCATTCCTAGCAGTGCGGCGGTATGGCGTGGATATTGAGCGGACGACTAGCTGGCACCCTGGGCTGGGACGGACTGCACCAACTCGCCAACCTTCTTCTGGACTTCTGTCGCGGTCTAAATCCCGCATGAGCTACAATATATAATGTCGACAACGTGGGGTACTCACCTTGATGAGCGTGTCAATCTGCACCTTCACGTTGTCCATAGTGGCGAGCTGGACCTTGCTCTCCTTCAAGAGCTCCTCCTTCTGCTTGACGAGTTCTTTCTGTTTCTGATCCAGTCTGCAATGGAATACGCATATTCGCGACGTGCAGACGGCTTCACGGACATGGCTTACCTCTGGCGCTCGGCTAGTTCGAAACTGAGGCGATTCAGCATCAGTTCGTGCTCGTCATTCAGGACCCTTTCCGTTTTGGCATGCTCGGGAGCGAGTCGGATAAACTCCTCGACGGAGTACAGTGGGATATCCTGGTATACAGAACTTCCAATGTGACCAAGGTTAGCGTGCGCCACGGCGTGGATGAGCGGGCTACTCACGCGAACTGCTGACACTTCTCGATCTCGCGCTCGAGGTGTCTTTTCTCATAGAGCAGGTTCTGCAGCCCTAGGTAAGTCTGGTCCATGTCGTGTCTGGCATCGGCGGTGGCCTGCTTGTGAGTGCGCGTGGCGGCATTGGCGGCGCGGTTGAGAGCTTTCAGACGGGCGAAAAGCGCGCCTGCACGGTTGTGGACCGCGGTGTGGTCATAGTTGAGGTAGCCGGAGGAGACGAGGGAGTTGAGAGCGTCGACGACGGCCTCGGGCGCGGGGGGCAGGATAGTGTCGTCGGGGAAAGCGTCGGGCATGGCGGAGAGAAGTCGGCAGAGATGGGAAGTGGCTGAGGATTACGGGATCTGCTTATGCGATCGGGCACGAGACGTTGCATCATCATCCTTGCTCGTTCAGCAGCCGCCAGTCCGCATCTCACTCTCACAGTCACGGCAAGTATTTCCTGCAACCGTCTTTTACCTTCAACTCTCGTTCATCCCCATCTCTCTTACTCACATCAGATGGCCCGTGCTCGCGCAATGTCGGGGACAATCCCCTCCATGGAGACCAGCCATGAGCAGCTCCAGGACAACACAACCATCATCGGTACGCCCAACGCGCGTTCTTGATCTGCACCGTCATGACACATCCATATCGCAATCTCAGTTCTGGGTGCCTCTGGCGATCTCGCAAAGAAGAAAGTGGGTCCTTGTCCATCGCCAGCGAGATGCCATTTAATTCACTGTGCTCTCTTAGACCTATCCCGCCTTGTTCGGGCTTTATCGCAACGGCTTCCTCCCCAAAGGCGTAAAGATCGTCGGATATGCGCGCACCAAAATGGACAATACGGAGTATATTAAGCGCATCACTTCATACATCAAGGTGCCCGCCGACCACGCGGCGCACTCTGCCAAGCTTGAGGAGTTCAAGCAGTTATCCTCCTATATCTCCGGTGGTTACGAAGACTCGCCGTCGTTCCAAAACCTCAACAAGTACCTGGAACACATCGAGTCAGGCTACCAGGGTAACGAACGCAACCGCCTCTTCTACCTTGCACTTCCTCCTAGTGTTTTCATCCCCGTCGGCAAGCATCTCAAGGAGGAATGCTACATCAAGAGTGGAAAGAATCGCATTATTGTGGAGAAGCCGTTTGGAAAAGATCTCGATTCTTCTCGCGTTCTGCTGGGCTCACTCAAGGAGCACTGGACGGAAGACGAGACCTTCCGCATCGATCACTATCTCGGCAAGGAGATGGTCAAGAACCTTCTTGTCCTCCGTTTCGCCAACGTAGCGTTGAACGCTGCTTGGGACAAAAACTCGATTAGCAATGTTCAGATCACGTTCAAGGAACCGTTTGGCACGGAGGGTCGTGGCGGATACTTCGACGAGTTTGGTATCATTCGTGATATTCTCCAGAACCGTGAGTACTCTTGATCAGACGAAGTGGGAACATCGGTGCTTATTTCGCGAAATCCCAGACTTGTTACAGGTCCTCAGTATCCTCACAATGGAACGGCCTGTTTCCTTCGCCGCAGAGGACATCCGCGACGAGAAGGTGCTGAGATATATGTTCTCATATTCTCTCACACGCCCGTTCTCACACGTCGCCTCAGGTGAAAGTCTTGCGCGCAATTCCTCCGGTTGAGCGCAACGACACCCTGCTTGGTCAGTACGTTGCGGCTAACGGCAAGCCGGGGTACCTCGATGACGACACCGTGCCGCATAACTCCATTTGCCCCACCTACGCCGCGACCACTGTCTGGATTAACAATCCACGATGGGAGGGTGTTCCTTTCATCCTGAAGGCCGGGAAAGGTATGATCCATATCTATAGGGGGACGTGTCATTCTGATCCTCCTATCCCCAGCGCTCAACGAGGCCAAGGTTGAGATAAGGATCCAATTCAAGGACGTCACTCAAGGTATCTTCAAGGATATCTCCCGCAACGAGCTTGTCATTCGCATTCAGCCCTCTGAGGCGGTCTATCTCAAGCTCAATACAAAGACGCCCGGCTTGCAGACACGTGCGATCCCGATCGAGATGGATCTCACATATAAGCGGCGATTCACCGAGGTGAACATTCCGGAGGCGTACGAGTCGCTCATCCTGGACGCGCTCAAGGGTGACCACTCCAATTTCGTTCGTGATGACGAGCTCGACGTCGCGTGGAAGGTGCGTGTTCGTCCGCTTGGCTATGGCTCCTGTGTGTGCTGCAGCATCAGACCAATTCGCACCTCTGTTTACAGATCTTCACCCCCATTCTGCACTGGATAGATGGCAAGAACGGGCCCGGTCCCAAGCCGCTGGGGTACCCATACGGTTCACGGGGACCCAAGGAGCTCGAAGCGTTCATTGCCAAGTATGGCTACAGGCGGTCAACTCTGGAGTAGTGAGTCTGCCGCCCGTGCTGCAACATATGCGCAACCGCTGACTAACCCCGCTCCCCACTCTTTGTTACTACACCCAAACTTCTTTCACCGTATGACGTGCGAGTAGCGAATGGCCTGTGACGAACCTGGCGGCGCTGTGATGCGCTCTCGGGTGGATAGCTGTGGTTTACTTGCTCCCGTGCTCTGGTTACATTTCTTGGAGGGGAACAGTTTGCATCAACGAAGAGTATTTAGAAACATTGTTGTACGCCGAAGTGCTCTGTAAAACAAGTAACGCATCTGCATCAATTCGAAAGTCTTGAGAATACGTGGTCGGGAGTCCCGTTCTTGGCTGAGCACTATCGAGGCGTTAATCTGAAGGTTGCGTTATCACCAATGAATACCAGTCCCAAAATGTCCAACGGCCTCACCACTGCTCTGGCAAGCGGCGAGAGCCCTCGGGGAACATTCTTCTGGATATCAGCCCTGCGGCGGAGCGCTGAAGATACACGTCCGCACTTGCTCCATCGGATCCTCTAGCAAATGACCGGTAGGCAACGTCAGGCTTCATCAAGATCAGCACCTTCTGGCGCGGCTTGGGCCGGCACCTTCTCTTGCACCGCAAGGCTTCTTACGTTGCTCGAGACTAGGTTATAGGCGGGAGGTAAGTTAAAGGGTAACCGGTACCTGGTAGAGTAAGTACTCGCATTTGGGACAGGTAAGCCCCGGGACACGGTCGTCGAGCATGCTCTCCGTACGGCATCGTCAGACGGGCGAGGTACCTTCCCATATTCTACCTGGAAACTGTATCAGTATCGGTATCAATCACCGAGGGTTCGTTCGAATTCGCGACGTCTACTTCTCCGGAGCTGGCGCGCCCTCGCACGCGGCGGCGCCTTCTGCCTTCCCCGCAGTCGCGGTCCCAAAAACGGTATGCGCGCGCACGTCATCTTTTGGACGGCAGGCACACCGGACGCGCTCTGCTGCAGCAAGAAATTAAGGAGAACAGGTCTGCACTCCCGGGCACGGCTCCGTGCGCCGCACGACACAACCGCACGGGTAGCACGCCCAGGATGCAGTCTTAACAGAGGCGTGAGACGCGACCGAGTCTGAGTCGCTTGACGTTCTCGCCCATATGATATGCTCTTCCGTGACAGCTGAAGAGGCATGATAGAATCAAGCACCACAGTAGCCATGCGGTATTCTCCACCGTGGACAACACGGAGGCGCACCATTGGCCCCACTGGCGAAGGAAGATCAAACTCTACGAACATGCAGTGGGCACGCACCTCATAGTGATATCAGTATTCACTTCGCTTACGCATCCTCGAAGCGCGACGGTATATAAGTGCCCTCCCCCGGCGGGTTCGCGGACCTGCAGAGGGTACTTCAGTCCTCCAGAGGAGCTCTCTCCATACACTGAACAACTGGTGTCACCCGTTGTCCCGCATACCGCATACCGCATACCGCATATCGCATATCACAGCTAGCCGCGTCCGCCTTCTATTCCAAGGCCAGGCACACCTTCCGGCCATGGTAGCATACTGGGACTCCTACCCCAATTTCGACCACAACGCGCGCGCTCCCCTGCGCACGGAGTTCGAGCGGCTCGCCACGCAGCGCGGGTGGCGGGCGGGCTCGCGGCGCTACCGCAACGAGTGGGCACAGTGCTGCGTCACAGAGTTCGGGCGACACTACGGGCACCACGACCGGCTGGACGGGTGGCAGGCGCTGTGCGTCGAGGTGGGGATCCGGGACGTCCCGACGTCCATAACGGCGTGCAAGAAGGTGCGCTCGCGCGTGCGGTGCGGACGCGGATCGTAGTGCTGACCTAGACCTGACTGCGCTGCGCCCACGGCGTCTTGCTGGCGGCTGCAGATCCTGAACAGGACGTGGGTCAACCTCGTGGACCTCATCGACTGCCGCAGGACGGGGCAGCGCGTGCAGCGGCACCGATCGCGCGACGCCCTACGGCAGTACAGCGTCGACAACGACAAGATATTCCCGAAGAAGGAGGCGAAGCGGAACGGGTTCTTGAAGGTGCTGTTGATCCAGATGTTTTGATGCTGGGTGGTTCGCGATGACATCCATAGACTGCGCCGCTGGACGTCGACTGTCGATATCGCTGTGTCTTGCCTATTCTCTGCATTGACAAATGTATAAATTGATTGTGCACCGACGAACGCCCTTAGCTTTAAGAGCGGTCGCGTACAGCAGCTCCAAGTAAAGCCAAGCAGAACGGACGAATATTGAATATTAATATCGAACGAGCAAACTATCCGTGCGTTCCGCCCACGGATCTCTCGCGAGACTGCATGCGGCCGCCTTCTCCGGGACACGTCCAGAAGGTGGCGGCGACATGGCGGCAGGGAAGCGCGACGCGGGGGCAGGATCGCCTGCGAGCGAACTTTCCGTGTCGCGGTCGGCGTGGAACCGGGAACCCGTCACGCACAGGCCGGGCGGGGGCGCGGGTAAGTATGGAGATGCGAGTGGCGCACCGCTCGAAGCTTGCGCAGCCATCCTGACTGGATGTGCACGCGAGAGGTTGGCGAACGCGAGGGGGGGGGGGGGGGGTATCGGATGAACACCCTGGACGCGGAAGAGGTGCAAAGCTGCCAGATGGAAAAATGCTGGATGTGGCGCAGCGAAAGGGGATAAGGGTACAGGGAGGTGGTGCTGGGTGCAGGACGGCGGTGCTAGGCGTGGGGCGGCGGCTGCGGCTGCGGGACCGTGCAGAGTCTAGTACTTGTTGAGTGCGGTAGAGCAGCAGCTATACAGGGCCACGTAGAGAGTAAAATCGATCTCACCCTACCTGGCACGATCTCGCACTAGCTCCGGCTTCTCGATATCCTTCTATATTATTCCAAAAATCTCGGGGGAGATAGAGCCATATCGAGAGGCTCGAGATTGCGCGATCTCGCTCGATATGGCCCGAGGGTGTTTTGGCCTTGAAGGGGCCTCGAGAACGGTGCGCAGATATCGATGGCACCCGTTGGGCATATTAACATAATAATAATAATGGAGGTCAGCTGGCAGCCCGGGTCAGCCAGGCATGCGTACCCAGACGGAGCCGCACATCGGAACGGGGGCACGCGCGCGCGCGGAGAGAGATCGCGAACGACAGGATCGGGCTTCGTGTCGGCGTGCATCGTGAATATTTGAATATTCGTATCGATGCATAATATTTTAATCTCGAGACATCGCGTCCCAGCGCCGTCCGATCCTGTCCGGCGTCCGTGGTCCTCTCGCGAGATATATACAGTACCGTGTCACAGCGTTAATATTCTCCGGGAGATTCGTCCGCGGCGAGACGCCAACGCGCGGGCGGACTGCGACATGGCGGCCTGGCAGATCGTGGCGCACGCCATAAGTACGCCGTCGATGACGCCTGTAAGTGGTATTGAGGGTCAGTCCACCACGAGCGACGGCCCCGGGATCGGATGGCGCAAGTAGCGAGAAATGGTGGGCGGACAGCAGGTTGTGCTCTGTGCGTTGACAAATGAATTGGCTAACTGTACGAACACCAAAAGCGAGTACTCACCTGTACAACAAGGGAATGACGCGCCGGCGCGCATCGCACGGACACCCTGGCGCATGTGGATCAAAAAACCACCGTCCGATCTCTCATGAGACTGCATGTCGTCGTCTTCTCCGGGACACGTCTGGGGTGAGACAGCGACAGGCAAGCTCACGGTAGTCGTGCGCGCAAACTGTGTGGCGGGCAGACAGAATACGGCAGACAGAGCGCGCGCACGGCGCAAACGGGACGTGACCCGGTAAAGAATGCGCAACGACCGCCTGCATCGCTCATCGAGCTTTCAAATTTCAAGCACAAGTCAGGGGGTGCGCACGCAGCATGATTGAAAACGGAGAGACGAGGTGCACATCGGCACCTGTTGAAAATGTCAATCTGGTGCGAGCTGGCCGGGGGCGGTCGGGCATAAGAGCGAGACAGACCCACCGAACAGCGCCGCGCGACGTCCTGCAGCGGAACCGCATGCGCAGATAGATGCTCGCACTGTAGCGAAATGGCCTTGGGTTCAGTCACGCGTCACACCCGGTGAACCTAAAGGACGTTTCGCTACGGTATGCAAGAACGACGATCGCGGTAGCAGATCGGGACGGCGGCGGCGCGGGTGCAAGATCGCGTTTCTTGCCAGCATTCAATATTCAATATTCAGTCACGGTTCACTCACAAGATTGCACGAGTCCGCGTTCTCCCGGATATGTCCAGGCCATCGGAGGTGGCGACGCGCAGGCTCACTGCGCGAGGTGGGACATTGAAGAGACCTGTATAGAATATTGAGACTCGGTCCAGAGCGAGGCAGAGTCGGATGGGGCAAGCGCAGGGGGGGTATAGAGGGCTGAGCGGCGAGTACCGCGCGGGCGCCGGGCCCATCGGATCGCAGCCTAAGCTCGGTTCTGCAATAGAGGATATTGATGGGACAATGTGAGAACGCAAAAGGCCGCGGATCGAGGCAAGTGAATACGCACGTTGAGTGATATACGCTGGGGCAGGGATGACGCCTGGCTGTGAGAGGAGGAGGGGGCGCGATCGCGCGCGCGAATCCAATCAGCAGAGCGCGAACTGCAACGCGAGCTGGAGCGCGTCGACGTCCTGATAGCGACGCAGTATCATTTGTGGAGCCTGTATTGCGCGAGGCAGGGCGTACACGATCTGGTACGCCACGAACGGGGTGTCAACGTTTGCAATGGCCACGAATCGATGCAGTGAGCGGAGATGGTGAAGACCGAGGGTTCGGACGGGGAGTGGGAGAGAGCAAGGACGGGGATCGGATCTCGGAGGACGCACGGGGACAATAGGGATATCGGTATGGAGCATGGATGGGCGTCGGAGGAGTGGGAGCTACGTCGAGCTAAGGTGACGACCCAAGGACAGCAACTAACTCTAACTTACCGCGGTGGTTCGCGCCAAATCGCTGGGAGCGAGAGATAACCTGGGCAGGCCTCGAGGACGATGTGTTGCGGGGGGGAGGGGGATCGAGCCAGCGCCGGGCAGGTAGATCTCGCAGGGGGCGCGCCAGGAGGGGAACTGGCGATCACGGTGCGGGAGGGGATCTCAGACTTTCTTTATGGGCGCCTGTCTGCACTACTACTTCCTCCGTCCCGTCCTCGTCCCCATGCCCTAACATTTCCCCCCGACGAGTCTCTCTCTCCATGTCTCGCATCGCGGACAAGGGAAAGGCCCGTGCGCGAGACGACGACGAGGACAATCCCGGCCAGCCTTCACGCCGCTCACCGCCCGCACCCGAGCCGGGCCGTTCGCCGTCCCTCCGCCGCCATCCTCCGTCCCCCGACGCCATCCTTCCTCTCCTGCACTGTCCCCAATGCTCTCCCTCGCGTCTCCTCCACGCGCCCCTCACTCTCCGCTGCGGTCACACTCTTTGCTCGCAACACATTCTGTCTCCCCCCACCTCGTCCCCGTCCCCGTCCAACCCCCTCTCCGCACTCTATCAAGGCTCAGCCCCCTCATGTCCACTCCCAACCTGCAACGCGCCCTCCTCCGAGACACCCACCACCACCACCACCACCACCAGTCCCGGCGTACACTTCTCTCCGGCCCCCGTGTCCTCTTCGCGTCCGTCCACACCCGTTTCGCGCGTCGATGTCTCCGTAAACAAGATCATCTCTCTCGTCGTCCGCGCCCACAACAACACAGACCCCGACGCGTCCGCCACCGTCCGCACTTACCCCGCAGACATCGACGACCAAACCGATGACAGCGATGCCGCGGACGACCTCGACGAGCATCCCTTGCCTTCCACCGACGCTGTTTCCGATCCCGATCGACACAGCGGTCTAGGCCCCGCCGCCCCTGCCTCTCGCCATCCCCGCCCGCAGTCCCCATCGCGTTCTCGCAAGCGTCGCCGCGGTCCCCGCCCGCGCCACCGCCCTCACGACCACCCGCGCACCCCGTCCTCGGATCCTGCCGCGCGATTCGAAAAGGAGCTGCTCACCGAGCTCACCTGCGAGATCTGCTTTGCGCTGCTCTGGCAGCCCGTTACGACCCCGTGCCAGCACGTGAGTCTATCACCCCTGCTACATTCATGCCCTCCTGAAGCACACCCACCCCGATCCCCCTCTGCTGCCTCGACCCTGCACGCTAACTTGTCCCGTTCTTCAGACCTTCTGCTCCCCGTGTCTCGCCCGCGCTCTCGATCACAACCTCGCCTGCCCCCTCTGCCGCCAGATCCTCCCCGGGTACGACTACTTCCAGGAGCACCCCTGCAACAAGCTCGTCCTCTCCATCCGTGCGTCCCCCTCCTCGTTCGCTAACACTGCCTGATTAGATGTGCACAGTGCTCCGCGCGTTCCCCGAGGCCTACGCCGAGCGCGGCGCCGCCCTCGAGGCCGAGGCCCGCGACTCCCGCCTCGACACCCCGCTCTTCGTCTGCCAGCTCAGCTTCCCGGGCATGCCCACCATCCTCCACTTTTTCGAGCCTCGGTACGTCCCCGCGCCTCTCCTTCCCCACCCCCCGCACTCACCGCGCTGTGCAGGTACCGCCTGATGCTCCGCCGGTGCCTCGCCGCGCCGTACCCCGCCTTCGGGATGGTGCCCCCGCCGCGCGCCTCCGCCGGCGTGGTGGAGTTCGGGACGATGCTCGAGATCCGCAACGTGCAGATGCTGCCCGACGGGCGGAGCGTCGTCGAGACCTGGGGCGTGTGGCGCTTTCGGGTCATGGAGCGTGGAACCCTCGACGGGTATGGCGTCGCGCGCGTGGAGCGTGTCGAGGACTGGGAGGAGGACGACGAGGAGGCCGTCCTGGATGTGCGGCCTGTTGCGAGTGGGGAGGAGGGGTCTGGGACGCCCGGTCCGTCCTCGTCGTCCTCAGTCGCGTCGACGTCCACTTCTCCGTCTCTTTCGGAGCCCCCTGGCTCTGCGTTGACGAGCGTTGGCGCGTCGACGATCCCGCGCAGTGCGCCGACGAACGTGGAGCTGATGGCGATCTGCCACGAGTTTCTTGAGTACCTCCGCGAGGGCACGCCGTGGGTCGTGCAGCACCTCAACACGTCGTACGTCCCCATGCCGGCGGATCCCGCTGCGTTCAGTTTTTGGATTGGGATGGTGCGTGTCTTTTCGCGTCTCGTATTCAATGTTTTTCCTCCCCTCTGTGTTTTACTTTTTTTATTTATTTACCGAATTTCCTGTTCGCTTGGTTTCTATATGGCGTGCTGACGATTCTACAGCTCCTCCCCATCGACGAGCACGAGAAGGCAAAGTTGCTTCCTATTCGCTCGCCTCGGCTGCGGCTGCGGCTCGTCGTGCACTGGATCGAGCAGCTGCACAACAACTGGTGAGTCCGCCGCTATCGTTTACCCCCCGTTTCACCCCGTCGCTCCCAGACCCCCTTGCCTCGCCGCACCCCCCCCCCCCCTTTCCCCCCCGTTCCTCCTGCTGTGTGCCCGAACCGCGTTTGACCCTCGGCCGTCTCCCAAGGGCCCGTTCTTACGCCTCTGCGTCTCCCGTGCAGGTGGTTCTCTGGTGGCTGCGTCGTCTCGTGATGCGGCTCTACTTTTCGCGCGCTGCTGGCCCGTACGCCTGCGTCGTCGCGCTGCTTGCGTTCGCTGTGTACTCTATACGAGGCGGCTGAGCTGCGCCCGGGTGCGGGTGCGGACAGGGACGGGGTTGGCCGCGTATCGGCGTTCTTTCTGACGGGCACGGATGGGGACTCGGCGAGGGGCTCCACGGCTGCGACCTGTTTGTTGTACGTAGCTTAGTCGCGTTCGGCGCGCGTGTAGTAACTACGGGGTACGGCGGCCCGCATTCTGCATTTACCTGCTGTCCTGTTGTCCTGCTGTCCTGCTGTCCTACTATCCTGCTGTTCGACGTGTACTAATGCCGTATATATGATAGGCGCGTGCGCGTCGCGTACTCGTCTTATTTTGCTTGATCGTCACGGGTGCTGTGTGTCCGAGGTGTTTTTAAGCCGTGAGCGCGTCGCATCGGAAGGGATGGTAGTAGTATAGTGTACGTTTATTGCAACCGACCCGGCCAACTTCCGCCTTGTTCGGACGGTCTGAAAAATCTCGGAAATCGAGAAGAAATTACTGGCGAGGTATCTTGGGTATCTGTGTGACTTGTGGCCGCCGGCCGGGCGGGTCGTCAGTGTGCAGTACTCGTTGACAGTGGGCAGCGTTCGGCCTACGGTCTCTGTGTACTTGCTGCTTATCCGTGCAGTGATCACCTCCTCAGGCATCGGACGTATTGCAGCCAACAAAAAAAGAGAGGCGTTTCACCGTTTCACGCTCTCGGATGTCGGTATCTGGGTGGGAGTGGCGCTCTGCTCCGAGAGAGGGGTGACGGATCTGTAGCAGGAACCATCCCTGCTCGAGACCGGGAAAGCGGCCTGCTACTACCCGCACCAGATCGGGAACGCGAGCGTGATACAAACGACGCAGTGCTCTGTGCAACAGAATATTGCTGAGATGTTTCAGTTGGTGGAGGTGAATCCTGGACTAAAGAAAACCAGCATATGGGTAACTGGACGATGAGTCGCAGTCTTCGCGGTGGCAATTAGGGGGATAGACAGGCTTTGCTCTACACCACCCACCGCGGCAGGCGTGTATATATCCTGGAAGGGATGTACCGAGGGATCTTTTAAAGTTCGAGAATAACGTTAGGAGCTATGGGATAAGGAAACGTACTAACATATCACGACTGTAGGATATTCAGCTTCCAGTCCCGTAGGAAGGCCACGTCCTTCAAGCTGACGTCCGGAGCAACTAGGGGGAGCTGCAGGATACAAAGCGAGGAATGGATATGCAGCTCAATCCGTTGAGTTACCAGCTACGGTGGAATATGAGTGGTGTTACATGGACAACCTAAGGAACTAGAGGGAGACGTCTCTACGAGAGAACCAATTAGACTGCTGAATGTTACGGGGAAGAAGCACGTGAGTCAATGTAGGTCAGGCCAAGAATCCAACATACTTATTCTTCGTCGCACACTCGATGTCCAGTGTGTTAAGAGGGGTAGATGTCTAACACGTTGTGTGGGTAAATGGCGGATCTGAACGAACACAAGTAATTGTCATCGTCACGAATCCGTACAGAAATGACGCACACAAATCAAAGATCGGATACGTCACACGAAGCTTCATAGAGACGGAGAGGTCTGCGAACCTCGACCCCGTAGTCCACCGCAGCTGAGCTGGGATGACGGATGGATATATATCGTTCGAGCTGGCGGAATATGCGGCAGGATCTGAAAAGCACCGGTCATTTTATCACACCATATACACCAAGGAAAACTAATGACATACAGAGAGTGAGATGCGGATAGTGCGCATCATAAGTATCACTGGTATTTTCCATGCGTATCAATGATGCTTGGCTAGCAGCTGGGTAGATCTCGTCCAGATTCCAGGGGTAGACTGCAGGATCTAAATGGATATTAGAGGAGGCGGCTGTCATTGTCCGTATGAGGCATCACGCACACGGTGTGACCGAAGGATAATCCTTCGGCAAGCCCGACAGATAGCTAGCGGGGGACAACAGGTTCCCCTTGTGTTCTGAGTCTGCTACACCGAGTTGGCCGGCAGTCTGCCTTGCTGAATTTACGGTCGACACCAGGGACGGGATGGCATGTTTAGTTAGTTGCTTACCGAAGTGATTAGCAGGAGACTCTCCGAGTACCCGAGTATCTATATCTAAAAGTTTGTGTAAGAACACCGTAAGTTCAATCGTAGAACGTTATATTCGTGCAGAAACAGAAAGTCAGGTACAAACCTTCTCCAATCACCTTATCACCTCCAAAATCATGATTGGCCTCCAAGGTATACGTTGGGCTGAAGGGATCCACTGCTGGATCTGGCTTCGCCTCGTCAAGATAGATAGGACGAAACAACACCGATATACAGACAGAGCCTGAGATGCGGATATGCAATCCCGGTCTCCACGGTTAGTTCTACTACGGGATGAGAATGAGCCGCTGGATCTGTCAATATTTCAGTAATGTATCATTCGGACGCTGGGTAAACAGACATGTGGCACGTAGTTGCCGGCGCCGTCCCTGGGTCATCCTTCGAGGAAGATGACAGCTGGACCGAATGCCGTTGAGCCCATGGATAGATGAAGTCGAGGTTGTAGGGATAGACCAGGGAACCTATGGACAGCAACATCGGACACCATTCAGTCATGCAACGTCACTCGCACAAAGGATCAAACCTGGATGTCGTATCGAAAAATGGGCGTCAACTGCAAGATAGATTGACTCGTTGCATGGAGCTGCCCCTAGACGAGGGTAGGCTACCTGTGACTGTGCCGATTCCGTAAGGCCATACATGCAACCACGGAGCAGTCTCCGACATGGCGTCACGAGTCAATGAACCAGAGTCTTCCGTATTTGCGACTATGACAGTCGGGTACAAGTCGAAAAAGGGAAACACCGCAGGATCTGGATGTAGGTGAAAAATGAAAGAATCAGTGCGATACGTTGAGACTGAGAGAGAGACAAAAGGTTGCTGCGGACGCACATAGGTTGAAATACGGGTACCCGTCCGAAGAGCCTGCGGTACTTGGTGCGCTGACTTCGGACGCCGGGACTTCTTCGGCTCCTGTACGACAGGAACACGTTGGAAGAGTGTAAACGGCGGGTGGAAGCGCTGGATACAAATCAAAGAACGGATATACCGCAGGAGCTGCATAATCTGGTCAATGTCTTTGGCACCGAAGAAAGCGTCAGACATACACCGCCTTGAGTGAGGACACGTCGACGAAGTCCTTGTAGGACTCTGCGTCTTGAGTAGACGCTGCATAAGGCCATACTCCCTTCCATGGGACAGGCTCCGAAGCGCGAGAAATTGTCAGGAGATCGTTTTGACTCAGATGCCCCGTACCTGTGGGAAAGGGCCATAAATACAGATGAAATTAAACTTTGAAGGTCTGTCATACCCTGTACGGAAGTTCCGACTGCACCTTGCGCGTTATAGTATGGCCAGATGTGACTCCAGGTGGATACCTCGATACAGATGGAATCTACAGGCCACAGGTGATCTGCTTGCGTTGGGCGGAAGACTCTCCCAGCCGTCGATCCATTCAGTAACGCGTTCGCCTGATTCTGGAGACGTATTGAGGGGGTCGCTGTGCCATGGAGGGGATGAGGGTTCTAATGAGAGAAAGAGACACTGAGATCGTCGTGGTTAGAGGCGATAAAGGAGTGTCTTCTAGGACTCGCAGCGCGATATCGGGAGAGGGCAGCCGCGTGGAGGGCGTTGACCAGTGATACTCATCATGATCTGGGGGCCAAACGATGTGCAAGTCGAGGGAGTAAGAGGTGCATCTTCCAAGGCACGCCACGCGATATCGGGGGAAGGCAGGTGCGTCAACGGTACAGACCATTAGTAGTCGTCGTCATCAGGAGGACCGGGCGATGTGCAGACGGAGGGACTAAGGGAGCGTCTTCCAGAGCACGCCATGCAATAACGAGCGAGGGTAAACGCGTAGATGGAACCGACCACTGGTAGTCGTCGTCGGGAGGGTGGGAGGGCCGAATGAGGGATGGGGTAAGGCACGCCGAGCCCTCAAGTCACCAGTCCAGACGAACGGAAGGTGGATACACCCACAACATTATAGAGACACTTTCATCACAATCGGGAGGTCCGGCAGACGATATGGACCAGGTATACTCATCTAGATCTAGTTCGGCCTCAGCATCATAACTGGAACTGGTATTGCGTAGACCATTAAGGGTATTGAGCATATTTGCAGGATCAAGGCCCATCTGCCCTGTTGGAGCAAGCGAGCTTCGAGAAAGAGCTGCCCCAACTCACCACGAGTTCACGAGGTTGTCTGTGCTGTTCTTGGGATTGAGAGATTCGACCTCCTGTACAATTGGTGATAGAGCGTGGAAGATGTTCAATTCACCATTCGGACTCGGGGGGACAAGAGACGTGGAGCGGCTCTGGCTGCACGAAGCAGGTCCAGTAGAGACAACTTTTTTGGAGCAATGCGAGCCGCTGCCCTCGCCTGCTGCGTGAGGGAGGACCGATCTAATTGGTCGTCCTGGAGAAACGTCGTCCTGCTATCGCCACGCCACAAAACAGACTGCCGACGGGAATGTGCGACAGAATAGGGAACATCTGCCATGTCCTTCCGATATGAAGTAAGCCAAGATATATCATTCCAACGTGCCTTAGACATGTCTATCTCGAACTCAATTCGACCACTGATCCCCAGTGGAAAACGCGTATTGTGAGATCGCAGCAAGTCGCACGAGGTCGTGGCTGTGACCAGCTGCGACCAGCCGCGAAAATTTGGACTATATGCGATCTTGCGCGAGCCCAATCAAACGTGGTCGCAGGCTAGCACAGTGCCAAGCGGGAGAATCGAGGCATTTCGCATCTAGTCGAATATTAAGCTGCTGTATAATAATTGTATTGTCGTGATTTAATGCACTGTGACTACACTCGACGTCGTGTGAGCACCCTCGCCGTCGTGCGAGCTCCTGCGACATCGCGCGATCTACTTCGACCTGCTCCGCTCACACCCCCGCCCCCGCTCCCACCCCTGCCTGCGCCCCCGCCCCCGTTCCCGCCCCCGCCCCCGCTCCTGCCCGTACCCCCGCCCTCGCACCTACGCACCCCTGCACCTACGCACCCCTGCACGCACGCGCGCGCCCATCCCCCTGCCCGCGCACGCACCCGCGCACGCACTGGCGCGCAACCGCACACATCCGCACTCCCTGTGTTCGCCGTCGTCCCCGTTTTCACACCTGGATGCTGCCCAACACCTGTAATATAAGTAGAGTTAGTGAATATGTGTCATAGCATAGATAAAGAATGAGATAAGGTAGAGAGGTCCGCTACAAAGTCGGTGCAAGCGCAGCTGTTCACGCTCAGGCTGACTGGATAGTCGAGGTCGTCCAGACGGCTTCTCGCGCTCGAAGTGTGCATAAAGGCCCGGCGAGCTCGTTAGTCGGGGTCGTCGGAAGAGATGTGTGACCGCGGAGCCTGCTACAGGGGGCGGGGGGTTTTGGACGCCGCAAACGAACCTCTCGCAGTGCGAGACGATCACCTCGGTGCGCTCGGTCCTCGCTCGGTCCATGTGCCCCCCGCCCGCGCGCCCAAATATCGATCCTCTGACCCCGGATTTCCCGGTATATGCGCCAGAAGTCGACGTGCCGTGTCCGCATCCACATCCTTGTACTCACCTGGTCATCCTAACTTGCCCCATCCCCCCACTTCTCAACTTCTCGATGCGGGTCATGTCTATCGTGCGCGCCAGGGTCACGAATCGGCGAATGCGGCGCGCGGACGGGACTGCTCGGATGTCTTCGTTTGGCTTTGGAGCCTGGAATGCGGCACGCGTACCGCGCCCAGCCGCTTGAGATTGAGGGGCTAGTCAGTGCCCCCCAATTGAAGGCGCAGATGGAAAGATCATGGGGATCTCAACGAATGTGGATAGTATCGGATCGCCTTCTTATCGGAAGATTAGCATAACATGATCCACACTTGCACGTAGGCAGTACTTACTACCGTAATCAGCAGCAACGCTGCAAGTACACCAGAGGGGGTCTCCCGACCATCTGATAAGTAAATTTAAGGACATTTCAGGTGCCTGGATGCCTGACACAGAAACTGTCGCCGTACCTCGTCAATAGGGGCACATCAGAGGATTACAGTCAGGAAGACGAACACACATTCACATAGTCCGGATGTGTCGCAATGCGCACCACGCGTGCACCAGAAAGCAGTGCAAACTTGTTCTCCCGGAACTGCTGCGAGATTAGACAGGGAATGAGATGTAGAACAGTTCGCACTGTGCGGGGTGCGGGCAGCTGTGCGCACTCGAGCGTGGCATGACCGTCACATTGAGGCAGAGAAGGCTGTTGAGCCACTTCTCGACGGTGTCTTCGGCCGCATATAAAATCGGTGTCTCGAGCTTGCAGTGTGCACGCTTTCGGCGGTGCCTTGACGATGGGCTTCTTGAAGCTCGAGCTTACCGCTGCATCGTCTTCGCCCGCGGCGGTGTCTTTAGTACGCGAGGGGTGGGTGCTCTCATGGAGCTGTTGGATGAGCTTGAGTGAGAGTAATCGGCCGGTATAATAAGCATCGTGCTCTGGAGGTCAGAGCGACTGGATGCAGGAGGACAAGAGCGCAGACGTGGTGGCGACATGAGTACGGTGACGCGTCCATGTCTCTGTCACATGATGAGCTCGGCGTGGGTGCAAAGAGATGATATAAGTGCAAGTACACTGGGCACAAGTACAACATATAGTATATAGCTAATCGAGACACGCGTGCAGGCAAAATTCGACAGATGGCGGCCTTACGTCGAGCAAAGTGCAATTCAGACGGGACATGGTACAGGATCGACGCGTCAAATCACAGGATGTCTCGCACGTGTTCGACCAGGTGAGATCTGGTTCGACCGCTTGCGATAGTCCAAGTCAAGCCGCGATCTGGTGCGTCTTGGTTCGTTCTTGGAATATGCGTTTTTCACTGGGACTGATCGATGATCGGCAGCTGCTGGACAAGAACAGTTGGAGATCGAGCCTCAGACAAGTGTCCCCAAAGTAACTGCCAGGATTCGTCTGAAATCCGCGGGGCCAGAGAGAGTCTGCTTTGGATGGTGCGCAAGTATAGACATAAACCAACAGAGCTCGGCAAGCCATATTCACGGGCTATGGCACTCAACTGCCCTCCCATCTGTGTCCCACGCTCAGTACAGCCTAGATCACTATCAATCCCGCACTCCTTGTGTAGAACAACGGCGTCAGAAGTCCCTGAGATAATCGGTCGGGGAAACCATTTGATAGGGTATGTCCAAGTTGACCATGCTCTCTCGAAAAGGATGACGGAGGTATCACAACGACAAGCCGTTAGGGACCCCTCTGAACCACTCGCTCGCGAAACTCTCGAGGGCCAGAGCGGATGTAGGTAACAGATGATCCTCTACGGCCAAGGGGAGTAGAAGTCTCTGCTGAGATAGGAAACGGGGGAGTGTGCATTTCATAGTCCGTTGCACTCTGAGGAAGCGGTCTATGACCGGTGTTGTTGAGTAATTGAGACATAGTGGAACCTCGTCCGAGGACGGAACGAATGGAGTGATATTTGCTGACTAGTAGCAGTAGCTGATTAGATAACTGTAGCCTAGAGGAACACCGACGATACTAGTAAGACCTTCGTGGATTTACATAGCAGGTGCGCGGCAGTGGCGCGAGCCTGACAGTGGACGGTAGAACTGCTAAATACGGAAAGTTATTCGTCGACCCTTTCGAAGTGCTGCTTTCCTGCTCCAGCGATGCAGGTTCTCTGTCTTATATCGTACTGCAATGGAATTCAATCGTATTACTTGCAGAATGGAGCATGTCGAAAATTCTGAGTGTCTAGTGAGTCTTCGGACCGCGCGTCGCGATCTAATCTTATCTCGACCATTACTCAACGCCACATTGACCTGGCCGCAGTGCTTCCCAGGCTTTAGGGAAGGGCTACCGCGAACCGAGTAGTTTCAAATTCTCTGGAAGCCGCTCAATACCATTGATAATATGCCATCCAAATCACTCAAAGGGTAGGGTAAGTCTTGTCAAAAACTTGGTAAAATTGTGCAGGTTGAAGTCGATAGCCAAGGGCTGTGAAATCAGCATAACGTCTGAGGAGATTTGGAGGTGAAAACCTTGTACTTACACGCTAAGATATCTCCCGTGAACAAACAGAACCCAAGGCCGCAGGCTCTCAGATAGGCAACGTTATGAGGACGCGAGCACAGACGATGGAAGGGCTAGTGGTGGCAGGAGGGGCCGTAGTAAGTGGTAATAAGGCTTCAAGAAGTACTAATGCCACGACACAGCTTACTCAGTTGTGGCATAGTATGGCAGCAGCCTCAAATTCGACTATGCACGCTTTTGCTGAGCAGTGGCCACAGCTAGCTATTACGGACTCATATTGTGACGGGAAGTACTAAGACTACACTTACAGCAGGGTTACCAACCCACAATACCTAATTACAACACTAGTACTGGGTAAAGATACAGAGACGGGCCGTCATTGATATGTGCACTGGGTCGCATTTTCGTTCCCAGTGTTGCCTTCTGCAACTCTGCGGGCAATTGCGTACTGTAGGAATAGACTGGAGAGGTCCAATCGTCTCGATGAGGCTTCGGTGTTGCGTCGAACAATATCGTCGTGCTTTTCCATGCGGGAAAAAGCACTACGACCATGTGCGGGGGCGAACAACTACCGCAGTAGCAAGTACATCAACGTCAATGGTAGGGTACCACAGAAGGTTCTCACCTTCACGGTTGTGTCAATCCCACTCACTGCAAGTAACGGAAGGTAGGGATGACCCTCGACCACGTTCACAACACTGCCGTCGCCTTCTAGGATGTCGTGGATTTTTCCTGTGCTTTTGCACCATACGAAGAAATTTCCATCATCTGAACCGGAGGTTACAAAGTCATCCCGAGGACCTAGAAAATTCACTGCATCGGACAATCACTAAACTGTTTGAACACAGACGACACAGTAGCTCGTACCATCTTTCACAGTTTCTACGTTGCATGCACCAGCAAAGCGGGCTCGCGGGAGGATGATAGGTACATTTGAGAACACCTCATCTGCTGGGTAGGCCACATCGTCCTCATCGTCGCTTCCGTCTTCCTGGTCTTCTCCAGGACCGGTTAATGGCGATGAAGGCGCATCAGGTATGAGACCATGCTCCGTCAATAGCTGCTCTATATCTTCTTCCATCCGGACATCCGTATCGGGGCCCAAGACAGCCTCATGCCGCTCACCGATGATGGTCGATGGGTTCTGAGCTGGATTTGCATTTGTGTTGGGCGAAACAATAGAGTCGTGTCCAGACTTGGACGACGAATGCGGTTCATCTCGAGTGGAATACAGGTAGACCGCATCGCCGCTGTAAGCTGTGGCCTTGTCTATCAACAGAAATATTGAGAATACTCGAGGGTCACTCACACAGGAGAACCTGACGAGGCATCGCTTCAGCAGTGTACTCATCGAGATGAAAACGGCTTATATGACCTCGTGTCCATTGCTACTCGCCATTTTTGCACCTGTAATATGTTCATGGCCTCTTCTTTCAGCCGGTCCATGTGCAGCCCTCCCAAAACGTCTAACGCATGTGGTGACGTTGTCAGAGTTGGGGACCATACCCCACTCTTCTTCAAGGAATCGACCTGCATGGCGCCTATCAAACAGGTATCCCTATATCTCATGGATGAAGTGAGAACCACTATGCGAACGGTAGATTTACTCACAAATGGGGACTCTCCTGCAACTATGAATTGATAGGGTGTGAGAGGAGACAAAGCTAGTGTACTGAGTTCATGGTCAAGTCTGACCAACGGCGTCGGACATGAACCGGACTGACAGCCATGCGACACTCGCAGGTCATGCTGGCGAACCGTCCCGTCCTAGTAAACGCGCAGAAGCATCATTCGAAATATCAACGATTCTCGGTTGAGCCTGAAGTGAAGACGATCCGCACCTCTGAAACAGTCAGAAATAAATCCGGGCTCTCCTCAGTCACGATGCGCTTCACTCGACCACTGTGACATCGCAAAATGCGGATATTAGCTTGACGGGTGGTAAGTTCTGTTTCGTTGCCGAGGCTGGGTTGCCCTACCGCGGACCCAGCGTCAGATATCCGCACTTGTCCATCACCAGCCACAGTCGCTCTAAAAAGCAGGATGAATATGATGGTGCAATTGACACACAATTCACTGCACTCTCACATTCGAGAGGAGTTAGGAAGCATTTGTGCATTAAAAATGTTGGCGCGATGGCCTGTGTGAATAACGGCATTGCAAACAAAGGGGTACTCCCTGGACGAATCGCTTGGATCTATGCGCCATAGACGTACACTAGAGGGATAAGGACTCAATCAAGGCTATTGTTGCTGCAGTGATGTTACAGTATACATACGTAGTGTCGTCCCCTCCACTTATCAAAAGCTCTCCGTTATTTGCCCAGGAAAGCGCATTAACACACCTAAGCACTATTGTTTGAGAACAATATTCCATGTTGAAGGAGTCAAGAACGTACCCGGTGTGTCCACTTGTAGTGTCTCCCAATACATTCACCCTATCCAAAGTGTGACAAAGAGACGCGGACAGCAGCCACGATTTTTGCTGACTTGAAAGCGTCGCAGAGGGAAGTGAGCTTGCTAAAGACGGTGCACGCCTACTGGCCGGATCCATGAAGCTAAGACGGAGTAATAGGACACCAGGGTCCGTCTGTCTACGTAGTGCTATCTCCGAGCTTGACTGTGCTGCTGTGCCGTCTGGGAGACGGTTGATGCATGTCTCTGCTTGCGTGTGTTATCCGACTCTCCCGGCTAGGAGGGATCCCCGATTGAAGGTCTGTCTGCTCCGGCAGCTGGTGGCGCTCGCCGCCCTGTACGTAGTATCTGTGCAAGTATGAGAAGAGTCTCACTGCCCGTATATGGGGCTATGAGCTTCGAATGTGCGTCTCATTCCATGGCTCTCAAGTCTTCCGAGTTTTCACGTACATACTTGATCACATTCATCAAATAGTCGTGTGCCATATTATTATGTAAGACTGAGAACGAGTGTTGGGCGATATGATACATATATAATGAAATGACCAGGTATGCATTGCGTGCGGTGCTTCGGCCCTCTGCTAGCTCATGAACCCCTTCCCTGGAAGTTATAACTCACCTGAGCACAGCGGGGCGGCGAGGGGGGGTGCTCGATCTTCTGGCGCTTGTGAGGGTTCTCGTCTTCATCTTCGTCTTCATCCTCATCCTCGTCCTCAAATGACAGATCCTCGTTCTCGCTCGCCTTCGATTGAAGGTTCGGAAAGGCAGGCTCCCTGCATACCCTGCGGGCCTCACACGCGAGCATCTCGTAGAGAAAGAGTACCTTGTGTTGCGTATGCATTGGGTCGCCGTCGTCCGTGTCCTTGGCTACAAGCGCGTGAGGGTCAGTGGAAACGTCACCCACATCTGAGGGGAGCGGTTTGGATTTGCGGAGGATGCCCCTTCGCGGGTAGACACGAGAATGAATGGCGGGGGGGCTGGGGGAGCGCGACATAGGCAACAGAGGTGTAGGGGGGTGGGATACAGGCGGCAGGACCGTGCACGAGCCGGAGGGTGCATTCTGCTTGCGTTTGCGTTTGCGTTTGCGCGCGTTCTTCTCGTGTTCGTCCCAGGCCGCCTTACGAGAGGCCCAGAGGATGGAGACAACAAAGCTCCTGCCTATGTTGGGTGACAGGCCCTCTACGCCCATCTCTGCATCTTCAGTTTGTTCCTTGGTTCCCTCTGTGTCTCCCTCGAACACAGGGAACGTATAGCGGGTAGGTGCGCTGTGATCCAGGGCCATCAAGAATGCTTGGTCTGCGGAAGCGTTCGTTGGGCCACGGTCCTCTGGCTCTGGCGTTTGTTCTCGGTGATTGGCAGAGAATGCTCGGGATATTGATCCATAGATGTCGTTGGCATCATCCATGACTTCGTCGTCATCATCCATGACTTCGTGGTCATCATTCATGACTTCGCCGTCATCATCTATGACTTCATGGTCATCGTCATCTATCTCATTGTCGGCCACCTCCAAACTCGGTCGGGATGAAGAGCACAAGCCACCATCGCCGTTTTCTTTGACACCATGTGGCGAGAGAGACACCTGAGAGGAAAAGGTGGTGTTAAGCATGTTCTCAAAATCAAAATCATCATCATAGGTGTGGTCACTGTCGTGGCCATGATCGTCGTCAGTGGAAAAGGTGAGTGAGCGTGAAAGTGGGCTGGGCCCCGGCGGAGGACGACGACGGCGGCGAGGACTGCAGGCAGTCCCACGCATATAAGGGAACATAAAAGGGTTAATACAGACAGTAGGCGTGGTGACGAGAGGTGAAGAGATGCGACATGTGTGTTAAGTGTGGAACTCGCTTTTAAATACATAAGTTAAAGAGGACAATGCCACTGGCTTCGGCGCTTCAACCTATCTGCATTGGTCACGTGGTGGTCATGAAGGAAGTATAACGAATTTCTCGTGACGCACGCGGCTACACCGCCATACCAAGGACCGACCAAAATTGGTCCAGGATTGGTCCAAGACCAATCCGACCAATCTGAACCCTAACCCCAAATTGACCGACCAAAACGATCTCACCTGACCTCCCGACATACAGGCTCTTCGAAAAGATCCTCTCATTTGTTCTGCATGTTTACATATTTAGACTCCAAAAAGTATATTACAAACTAGTGTTACATAGGAGTACAAGCTGCTCAAGCCAGTAGAGCAGAAAGGGAAGAATTCATAACAAAACACTGGCAGGGCAAGCATGAGAGTGCCCAGCAAACTGCACCAAAGGGGCAGGAGCAAGAGTGATAGTGACAGGGGAGGACTCGGAGGCTGCTGAGGCAGCGCATGTTGACCAAAATGGAACAGCATGCCCCCGCTGCCATGGCAGTGGTGCACCCATCAACAATGAGAGGATGGTCAGTGGGAGCACATGCTGTGAACAACAGGACATCAGCGGTATGCTGACAAGTGGATGGAAATAGAATGAAAGATGGGACGGTCCGTACCTAAGGCCCTGGTCAACACCAGATGGTGAGGAATAATATTACAGCAAAGTGAACTCCGAGCAGCATAGTGCATGCACATTATGCTGCCCGCTCGTCCATCTTGCTGCAATATTAGAAGAGAAGAGTGCTTACCAATTACATCCCCTGTACGAGGGCTTGCCTGAGGTTGAGGGCCGCGTACATGTACGTACAATGTTCGCACTCGAGAATGCTTCCTCGCCGCCTGTGGCGGCGCGCCCGAACGTTGAAGGTGTGAGCTATTAGCCGAGTCCGCATATGGTTGACATGACACTTGAGGTGCATCTTTCATAGTGTGTTGACCGATATTGAGGTTGCGGAAATAGAATGAGCGAGATACAGTCTCGCCGACGCGCGCGTCGGCGAGAAATTCCTTGGTACCATTTTGGCGCTTCGCGCCAAAATCCTTGGATGGTCCCCGGCCCGCCGGCCGCGGGGAAAATCCTTGGAATGACCAATTTGCCACGCACGCGTCAGGTCTCAAAAACATACAAGATTCGTAGACCAAGAGGATGCAAATGCACAATCTGAACAGCGATATTGGTAAGTGCCTGTTTCCTCAGTCACTGCGTTTTAGCCGTTCTAGGGGTGTTGCTACGAATAGGTTACATAGATAGAATACATAGGTAGATAGGTAGCAGAAATCGCAATGTAAAGTTAGGCAGAGTAGCACAGATAACTGATGCTAGCTTATCCCCGTGGCCAGTGCGCATGCTACGTTACGAATCTTGAGGTGGGAGATGCGAGCTACCCAATGTAAGACCTGTGGCAAATACACTCTAATGACCAATTTTCCTTGGTCCAATGTCGATTGCTCCTTGTACGACGGTCATTGGCGTGCATGCATCGCAGGTGAAAATGTTGGACGTTGAACATCTCAAGCCTCAGGACCAACAGCAACGCTCCAAAATGTACACGAGTGAGAATCATCCTATCGAGAGGGGAACTGCGAGGACATGCGAAATCCTAAAGACGTATACGCGTATGTATCATACAGCCTTGGCGAAACCAACAGCGTCGTTACCGAGGTCATATACCGTGTAGTAGCGGCGAAGAAAAACATCCCCTGATTGCATGTCAGCTAGGATTGCACCGGAAGTAAAATCACGACTCACCGACAATCCAAAGTTTTGCGCCTCCAGGCATGTTGATATCCATACCAGTGAAGGCGGACATGCAAGTCCCCTGCACCTCCAGAATGTAATCCGTGCCCTTCAACGGGTAAGCCTTGCCATTGAACGTGAGAGTGAGATCCGGTAGGTCTGGTACTTTGGCACAGTCGACTGTGTATTGACCATTCCATGACTTCTGTGCTCCAATCTGCGTGTTCAACATTTCAGCAATGTCGCTGGGGAGAGCAATCAGGGAAGTGCCTGTGACATATGACGGTCAGATGTATCTCGAGGGTGGGTGCTGACGACTACCGACCAGTGTCAATCGCAGCACCGGTATTCTCCAACTCGAGCTCATCATCTCCTAGAGCAACCTTCTCCAACTCGACTTCCCAATATGCCTTGCGGCGAATGGGGACGTAATCGATATCACCCGTGTACGCGGTGTCGTCGACACCACCAAAGATAGCTTCGCCGCCGTCCTCCTCAGACGAGCCGAGACGGAATGAGAAGACTGGGCTTTCCAAGAGACCCTGATTGACCATGCTATAGAAAGGCGGTGTGATATGGTTTACTGAGATGGTATCATAGCCGAGGCCAAGGATACCGTCGAACCTGAAAAAAAGGTCACTGGAAGTCCAGTAGAACAACATCAAGTACTCACTTGCCGAAAGCGAAGGCAAGTCCAGGTTCCTTGGTGGCTTCAGCGAAGTCCTGGCCCTTGATTGTGAGATCCCCTATATTGAGCTTGTCCTGAGACACGAAGCCTTCCATCGAACCGGAGCCGTACTGGATAGAAAACTCGGAGCCATTCGCCTCGTAGGTGGAGGATGCAGAAGAGTCATACTTGGTATGAAGGAAACAGGCAATTGAGGTACACTTGGTGCTTGGCACCCAAAGATTGCTGGATCTAGAGAAAGCTATCAGTACCCAATGTCTATCTTGGGTAGAGCAGCATTACCCAGTATCCAGGATGACCTTGAACTATTGCAATTCGTCAATGGCAGAAAGCGAGACTTGTGACGAATACACATACGAGCTGAGGAGGGCTACCCAACTCAATTTCCGCAAAGTACTGAGCGTTCATAAAGTCTACGGTGACGGGCTTAGCCCTCGTTGGCAGTGCGTAGACGATACTTACTACTGAGCGGCACACCATGACCGCCTTTGCCCAGAAGCTCCTCCTGCGTCCAGTATAGGTTCTCTCCGCCGAGAAGAGCGGGACGGCTCAGACGAACATTACGTCCAACACCGCCAGCACCCATGAGGGGAACCTGAGAATAGCCGCCATACTTTTCAGCGAGATAGGCGCTCTCGAGTGCTGGATTGCTAGCTGCAGGGGGCAGCTTCTGCAGCTTGAGCCTGTGGACCCCATCGGCCGCAGCGACGAAGGGTAAGAGGAGGAGGAATGCGACGCTGACGAACATAGTGGTGAAGAGGCAGGAGACGTGAGGTTTGGGGCTGGGGTGACGTTGGCTCAGTCGCAGCCGTGGGAAGACTGCGTCGGCAAGCGGGCTGTAGCCAGGAAAGGAATTGTGGGGTTGGCTCAGGCCTTGACAAGTCCTCGACCACATGTCTGCCATACAGAAGAGCCAAAATTCGTCAGAAATTGACGCATCCAGTCTGAATAATATTGAACGTCTTTTATTGTCGCAAGCGGTATACCAGTGGGGCTCTGAAGCATGGCCAGACGTGTCCAACCTACTCATGGAGCATCCTATGATCTCTCACCCGAAGGGTTTCTTCTCCCCACAGGTGAGTTTGTGCTAATTTGTGCTTGCCAAAGTTGTCCCATTCTAGCAGCGTCTTCTGTAGTTATGTCAGGCTATCTTCTTGCAACTGATGGAAGAAGCTGGTTTGGAGTGGTGCGTTCGCATGCAAGATATTTTCGCACCCTGTCTCACTCTATGCAAGCCCCGACGCAACAGCTGTTCCTCGGGGTAGGTCTACCGTCTTATTTATTTGAAACTACATGCTGAACTACCGCCCAGCACCTGTCCTGCGTAAATTAGCGCAGCGCCATTACGCCGTGCGCTTAACGGAACTTCGAGAACTCATTGCAGCCGAGGAAGTCAAATTCAAGTAAGCAGGAGAGATAACCTGACAGCTACTGATATATCCATCTCAATATTTGAAGGGCTCTCGTCTCGGAGATCGACGGGCTTCGTGATGGCCAGCCGGACAGCAAGTCTCGTCCAAGAGAAGCTGAAGTTCTGGAAGAAGTAGAACATAACCAAGTCGAAGATTCTCAGCCGCTTGCACCTCAAGACGAAGCGCCTGCACGCGAAAGCGCGTCTGCCGTGACCTCCGAAGAACACGAAGTGGTGATGAGCATCCACAGTCCTGTACCATCGATTCCGGTTAGTTCGATTCGAGCAGCAAGTGATGTTATACTCAACGCGTTTCAGGTTACAGAGTCCAGTATCTCCTGCGATGTTCCGAAAGTTGAATCCTCACCTGGTGGAAATGCCAGTTTGCCACTCGCCGAACCTCTTACCGAAGCTCCTTCAGAGACGGAGGCGAAGGACATGTTGGTACGGTATATACGGTTTACTTTGAACGTCTCTCATCATTCGATATGCAGACGCCACCTGCGGGTCCCGCCGAAGGAACAATGGATACCTCAGCGGACGCTGGAAATGAGACAGAAGCTGTACCAACAACCGCAACGAAAGAATCTCTTCCCGAGACCGCGGACGAGGGCACAGAGCCAGCTAATGTGAATGATGTAGGCTCAAGTCCAGAAGAACACGCTGTGGAAGAGAGTGTGCCATCTCCTCCCGCAGAACCTCCTCTACTTGTTCCAACAGAAGTTTCCACCGCGGAACAACCAAGCCGTCTTACTCCGTTACAGGAGATGACTGTAGTGAAGAACGAAGTTGAAACACAGCCCGTAGCCGAAAGTAGTGCCAGTCATACTGAAGGCGAGTATTAACCCCCGGTCCTTGCGGAGAATGCGCCTAAAATTGTAATCATAGGCAAACGTAAAGCCTCGGAAGTTGGAAATGTGCTGTCCGAGTCCCAGCGGGAGAAGAAACGTGCTCGGGAGGATTCCGAACCTTTCGACGACGAAGACTCTGGTAAGACGACCGTTTACTTTCATTTGTCCATCACTTTATCGTCTCGTAGGGCCAAGCACCCGCGTGCGCCGTCGTGACCGTCAAGTCACAGCAGAGAGCCATACCACTTCAAAACGATTCCAAAATGTCATCGGAATGCTGCATGCACAGATATCTCAGCATCGATATGGCAATATTTTCCACAACCCGATCAAAAAGTCTGAAGCACCAGACTATCACGACATTGTCAAGAGGCCGATGGACTTAAAGACTATTAAGTCTAGGATTAAGGACGGATTGATCTCAACTTCTTTGGAGTTCCAGCGAGACGTCTATCTCATGTTCGCTAACGCTATCATGTATAATCGGCCAGGATCAGAGATCGTGAATATGACTGAAGAGGCCAGTCATTTTAACAAATGCTGTGTGCGTTTTCGTCACTTACTGGTGTCTAGATGATGGCCGCAAGCGAGATAAATATTAACACCTTCAGGCAGACCGAAGGGTTTCATCGGATGTAGTCTAATAGCACGTATTCCAGATTGTACATTACATCAAGATGGATACAACACATTTCTTCACAACATCATGCACCTCACGTCGCGGCGAACTCAGAACCAAGGAACGTAATTATCCTGCATTACCGCCAACTTTGCTGGGTTCGTAGCGTCCGCAATCATCTTCATCACCGTCTGTAATACTGTATGCATCGAGGCACTTGGGCCAGTTGGGACGCCCTTAGTCGCTTTGAATGAGTGATTTCATCACCGAGATGATCTGCAACGCACCTCGTCTCGCTCAGCCCTGCAGGCCATTGCCTCAGCTCGTTTGACGACGACTCCGATGTTGCTTGTTACATTATCCCGGAATGAGAGGTCAGTTGTCCACGGTTTCCCGTGCGAATGCATCCAGGTCATCACTTCATCTCGAGTGAAAAGGTATAGTTGTTGTTCCAGATCATACTACGACCTTTTAGATACTGCGTATGGCGACAAAAGTAAAGAACACTTACTTCGGGTTCTGTCAAGCAGCGACCTATGGCCATGATACCAGACGCTAAGACGCCATCGCCTAATATAGGTTTGATGAAGTGCTGCATATTAGGTGTGTAGCGGAATGGAACGGTCTCGCCGGATGCAAAGAAGGGTCCGTGGCTCGTGATGCCTGTGGAAATTTCAATTACGATCCGGTGGAGGAGATGATGTTTCTTCACCTGGAAGAAGCTCACTCATAGCCATCTGACCCGTCGTTCGGGATAGATGGAAGCGAGTTGGGGTCCGACTAGTCAAACACAAGACGTAGGTCATGAAACTTGTCGCACAGAGTTGCAGCGTAAATTGTTTCCTCATCCGCCACAATTCGCCAGGCCCGTCCATAGTGCGGATCATGTACTGCGACATGCATGAGAGTCAACCATAGGGACACAACAGCGACGACTTACTCGAGTTAGAATATCTTCCGGTGCGACCTTCTTTGTCACCTCGTCCAGCAAACCCATTTTGAGTGTGTGGTACTCGGATTGACTGGGCTGCAGACATCCTCAGGGTGACGTATATCAACGGTGCCTATGTCATACACTCACCAACTTGCCATGTCTCTGCTTGTATTCACGCAAAGTCACCTTCATTCGTTCTCCCACCACCAACGACGGATCTTCTGGCGCAATCCCACTGTCCTCGCAGTGCTGGTCGTAGATATCTGCGAGGGTGATATATGACGCGTCATTTTGCATCAAGCGAACGTTAGGACCACAAGACACAGCGGCTGGAAGATGGAACTGCAAATTGCGTTTTCGCCCCTCCTTCTTGCGGTAGAGAACACTGGAGAAACCACGACAAAGTTAGTTTGGTTTAAACTCTGCAAGATGCACTCACGCATTGAAGGTACGGAACAATTGCATCACCCTCTCTTCACGACGACAGTGTCTACCAGAGGGAAGTTGGATGGCGAATGATGTCTTCGAATGGTCATTTCCATGTATTGTGATTCGCCGCCAATAATATCCGTGAGTGTGACAATTTTCAAACTTGGGTCCGAATTTCTGAATTCTGACGAAATTCTGGTTGTTATCTTTGTCCTGTGGGAGGGTGAGCTGAGTATTATCGATGAAAGCGCAATACAATTCACCTCAGTATATTGCCCAGGCACTTCGATTTCATCGAACTTGCTATACTGGAATTCAGTCAGATAATGACTGAGAAGATCCAACGATTGCTCCCGAGGCCGTGAATTGAGATAGCGCTCGTATCGGTCTCGCCATTGTTGCAGCTTTCGGATATAATCATATAGAGACATCTTGTTCTTCAAGAAATCCTCTTCATAATCTCTCTGATGACGTTTTCGTGGGCTAAGTATTAGAACATGAGAACAATGACGTACCCGTGGGCTGCCTGACAAACTTCCTGCGTATCGAGGTAGATACTTAATGATCTGCTCCGGTAATTGACCATTATCGTCTTCTCTGGACGCGCGGAACATATATTGCTTCGATCCATGGTGATTAGAGCGGTTGACAAATACCCGAGAAATTGCTCACTTGCAATGCATCCTGTAGCAACATTGATACCAGGCGATAAATTTCCTCTTCTTGAGTACCTTTGAATCTCATGATGATATGCTCAACCAATGTCTCCAGGCTGAGGATCAACAAAGGAAACGCTGTCTTGAGAATTTGAACGACCTCTTCGACGCATTCCCAAGACGCTCGCCCAGGATGGGGGAACGTAGGGTCAGCCGTACTGCGAGCCTCGGAAGAAACTACACGTCTGGAATCAATCGGACGAGCCACGTTTTGGCTAGTCTCAGAGGGGTTGCGTAACGTGCCAGGAGAAGCATGCAATTGAGAAGCATCATCGCCAGCCATGAAAGGCTTCACAACGTCAGAACCACCGTCCATCGCAGAATCCTGCATTGCTTGGTCAGATTGGGCGCGCTTATGCGAGTCTAGGGAAACGGATGTCGACGTAGGGACTTGAGAATGATCGACATTGGCGGATCGCTGCGCTGCTGCTGCCGCCTGCCGTTTGACAAATGCCATGTCCTCCCTAGTGGTACGCAAATGAAAGAATAGTGCCTGTAGAATGCTCGTAAGCAAGTTCTCCAATCAAGGAACGATAACGCACCTGCGGATAAAGCTTCGCTAAATTGAGAAGGATATAGCGAGCTTGCTTTATTTCTCGATGAGATATGGAAAGACACAACTGCGGTATGAGCGTTATCCAATACCAGAATGCAGCGTCTCCTTTGTATGTGTCGAATGCACGCGAAATTGTGAGGGTACCGTCGTCCACGCTTAACAGCCACAACACACGAGCAAGGAGGGGGCGGCTTTTTCGACTCTTGTATTGCCCGGCGGCCTGGAGATAGCAGCTGACGGCGTTGGCTGCATACGACATATCACTAGGAAGATCTTTGAACATGCGGTCATTGAATTTCCCCCAAGCAGCCCATGCCTTAGCCTGCAACATGTCCAGTTGCACTGCTTGACCAAATGCCTGGTTGGCTTCTTCATTGCGGCCGAATTTCGCATGAAACATTCCTTTCAAAGTGTAGAACTCGGCCTTCTGAGTAGTGGAGAAGTACATCAAGTTGGTATTATTGATCACTTCCAGACCGGCTTGAAGATCTCCTGGTTTCTGGTAGTGGCAACGAGCCTGTTCTCTGAGCTTCAGGAAAGCCTCCGATATCTCTATGTTGGGGAGGGTGTATATTCTGTTGAGAGAATTGAAACACACGTCAAGAAGCTCATGCTTGCGAGCAACATGAGCAAATCTGTTGATAATCCAAGCTGTCTCGTGATATCCGCGGTAGCCGAACGTGTTGGTGCTACCCGCCGCTGTCCCACCTGTTTGGTTAGAAGAAGTGATGAGAGGAATGTAGGCTTTGTTAATAGCATTGAACACATTTTGCCGCCATGCCACGAGGTCGCTCCAGATGCTGATATCGTCGCAGATATTTGGCAAGCGCTCACGCCAGGCTTGAAGTACCATCTTCAAATCGGAAGATTTCTTTTCAAGATTCTGTGCGTTCGTAGTAGAAAGTGAGCCAAATATCTGCACAGCCTCTTGAAGCTCGACAAATTGCTGAAAATGCTGTAACAGAGGGATATGCGCAGCCGAAAGTTGGGGAGGAAGACTGATCCACTTTCGCAGAGATAATTGCATTGCATCCTCGAGTAATTTTGTAAAGTCTTGATTCCTGTCCAGAGCACCGGGGGATTTTAACAGCGAGACGAAGGCTTCAAACACCCGACGACGAGGAGTCGCAACGTCCGGTAACATGCTAATTTGACCCTCTAGGGTATCGCGATTCTCCGCCCAATCTTTGATTCGCCAGGCGCTCTCGAGCATCAGTTCATGGTTATTTTCTCCTCTGGCAACTTCGTAGAGAGTATCCCATTGCTGCAGTTTTTCTGCAGCCAGCATCCAGTGATCTTCCCAGAGACAGAATTCTATCTCTGAGTATGGCAGATTACCGGTCCGTGTCTTGTTCTGAGCAATTTCGTACATGTTTGCAGCTTGTTCCCACATACCACATTGTTCAAACGTGATCGCCACCTCCGTTTCTTTGAACAGTGCGTGACGGCGCCAAAGTCCGTAGAATATATCGTCTTCAGCCAGCTCAGCGTAGATCTCGGCGAGAGAATCGTAGACAGTGTCTCGGACAACACTCTCGTCCTCCCGGACACGGGTAAGAGATGACTCCAGGAATTCGGCAGCAACATGCCACGCCCCAAATGTCTTTGCAAGGTATTTCACCAGATGAGGAGGGAGAGTCATAGGAGGCGAGCATGCGTGAATGCCAGTGAGGAGAGTCTGTATGACATTGGGCCGCAACTCCGACTGCTTGACATGGTACTCTTTGCTGAGCAACGTGATCATATGATGCGTTAAGTCAACTTGTTCCCGTCTAGAAAGACAAGCCCAGGCTGCAGGAAAAACGGACACCCAGGTCTCGTGAGCCGCTTGAGGATCGAGAAATGCCAGGCGCTGCATAGGGCGAATCAAGGACGAAGCTCGACCCAACGTGAAAGGTGGAGTCAAGGTAGCAGCATCCAAAGATCCCTTCCGGTCAAGTATGATAGAGATGTCCGTATCAACAGTACCAAGGAGGAGATGCAATGCCAAGAATATCCAATTGTGGTCAGCCAGGGCCTCCCAACTTTGCACACCAATGACATAGGTTAATCGGTTGAAGAGCGAACGTGGAACACTCATGTCCAGGAGATCTATGAAGCGCTCCCGTATATTGACATCTGGTGCGCGGCAGCCAAGCAAAAAGGGTTGTTCCAGTCGAGTTGTGAGATCGCTGCGACGCAGACCGGAATCGGTGTAGATGTCGTATATGAGTTCCAGGTAAGCATTGAATAGAGCTTCTCCGCGCTCTCCGCGCATTTCGAAGGCAGCCATCTTCTGTAACAAGCTGGCTTTTTCCTTCATCGTAGGGTATGGATCCCGTTTGTTCATCGCCCATTCACGTGCGATGTCCAACATGAAAGCGCAAAGTCCTCCACTTTTGGACTTCTCGACAAGGAAAACCATTTGGTTCAGAAGGTGCTTCCTCTGATCGCCAAGGTAAACCACTGCATTGCGACAGATGTGCAGTATGGCTTCGAGTAAGCGAACGTTCAAGTCGAACCCGTTCGTAGATGGTGCTGACGCAACGTGATCCTTCGTAAGCTTGTACAACAGCTTCATCAAGGGTCCGCTGAACGGTTCTATACGTTCAGGGGTGACTTGTACGACCGACTTCAGCATAAGAAGAACACCACGCAGTATCGACACAGCGTTACCCCTTAAATTCTCTGCATTTCGCAGATTGTCGCCTATCACCGTGTAAATGAAGCTGTGAAAGTCGGAAACGTCGGTCTGATGATCGTCTTCCTCCTTTGGTAAAGGGAAAATACGTATCAAATGGTCGAAAACAAGATGCAGTGAGTCCTGGAGACTGTGGTCCTCGCTTGTCATGCCCTTTCTGACCAATTTCGTGAGGATCTCCGCATTTTCGCTATACCAAGTGTTGTCTTTTTCTGAGGAAACGACTTGCAGGACTTTGGCGGCGAAGATGGCTTGGTTCAGCGCTACTTCACCGTTCAGGTCATTCTACTCAGATGCCTTAATCACTAAGGGGTTACGCGAGTAACTCACTGGACTCACCTGTTCAAGGGCGCGGGAGAAATAGTGCAGTTTAACCGTGACATCACTCCAACCTGTCGGACCCACAACTAGTCGAAGCAAAGCAAGAGCTCGCGATACGACGTTGTTCCTCGCTTGCATATCCTGCGGCCCCGTGGCGAGGCGGACGAGATAGCTGACCATAGTCTCCCGAAACGCTAGGGGTGTAACCCATGCAGTTGCAGTTGTATCACCATCTCCTGCAGTATCTTCCATAGCTTTTGAAGAAGTCGCCTGGAGCTCCCAATCGAAAATCACTTGCAGGATGTCGATCGACAAGAGCCGTGAATCAAGCGTGGAAGTGTTCGACAAGCCGAGCTTGGTCAAGTAGTTGACAATATGGGGTATGAAAAGCGCGCGAACTGGATAGAACAGTGATGCTTGACGGACAATCAACTGGTATATAAGACCAATTTGAGAGGCTCCGCTTCCTTCCTCTGCCAAAAGTCGTCTCGTTGTCTTCGCCCATTGAGGATATCCAACTTCATTAGTCTGAGCACGAGGAAGGACTGAAGCTAGGATATCGAGGGCTTGACGAACAAGCGTCTTCCCTTCATTATGCGGTGGCCTCAACAAGCCTGTCCATACGCGCAGAAGAAACTTCTGGGGACCGTCAAAAGCCTCGAAGAAGCGAGCTGCAAGGAGGTACGCAGTCTGCTTTACGAGGGGATCTTCGCTAGTGATGTAATGCCATGCACACTTGATAATATCCTTCTTCACCTCCTGAAGAAAGTCGGGGTACCGGTGAACCATGACTGTCGTCAGATGCAGCAACTCAATCTTGAATGTGTCATCGGCTCCAGAAAATGTGACATCATCGATCAATGGCTTCCAGATGCGACTGTGAATTCTCTGAACCATGTCATTATCCAACAGGCCTAACTTTGAAGGTGTTTGAACGGAATGAACCAACAGCGTGGGTGTCACAACGTATTGCAAAAGATGTGTCTTGTGAGACCATGGGACGGACTGGTCATCGAACCAAACGAAGAATCGCCACAGGACATTCCGGCGGAAGGTAAGGGAGCTGCTGAAAGCGACGTGGCTATAGAAAAATTGTGACATATGTATCATGTCCAATGCATGTTCGCGAGAGAACACAGCTATCATGTCGAACAGCAGATCGATCCGAGCGGTGCTGCGCAATGCTCTCTGGAAGATGGACAACATCAAGGTATATCTCTGATCGACATCTCCAAGATATTCGGTGGATTGATCCAACGGGGTTGGTTCTACTTTCCACAAAGCGAGGATGGCGTCCACGGCATGGCAATTCGTCACTAACCAATCAGGAACAAGATCGGCCAGATCGGAGCACAACAATAATCCCGGCAAGATGAGGCTAGGGTTTCTGCTTTCGAAGCAACTGGCCACAATAGTGGACGTACGCAACGTCAACTCGCGTAGCAGGTTCGACGCCAGTTTAGCTTGTAAGATACTCCTCAGAGTGCGGACGTGTCTTGGTAATTGAAGATTGCGCATGAAGAAGTCGACGGCCTCTACAGGATAGCGATCGAGATACTTTGCCAGTGGCTCAGAAAACGGGCTTTGCCCTGAGAAGTGCATGGCCGCCTCCGTTTGCACAATAGCATTGACGAGGTTCTCCAGAAAGACATTTGCGGCGGAAGGTAGGAGGTGGAATATGTTAGCCAAACGAACGAGCTTCGTGATGCCCTCATTCTCTAGTAATGGCTGTCGCGACGAAGCTTGCAGCATCTGAGGATCGGCAACGATACGGAAGTGATCGAGCAATTTGTAACCTATCTCCACCTTGAAGTAGTTGGTCAGGAGCTCAAGTAGACGTGCGAGCCCTTCCAAACCGGGAATGGAGAGTCGCTTAGGATCCGCAAGATTCATCAAAATCGGTCGCAGTCCAGTTTGCAGCAGTTCTTTTGGCAACCTGCTTTGGTGTGTCAGAACCATCCGAAGACCTTCGTGTGCGACGTCCTTTACTTCCGGTACAGGTGAGTAGAGGGATTTGAAGTAGACACTTGTAACTCTATAACATGCATATTAGCGGGTAAGGACGTTGATTCCTCACACTCACCTCTGCCGTGTTTGATGCTGTTTCGAGAAAAAATCAGTGAGAGGCATAGATGCTGTTAGCAACTTGATGCACGCCACGCGGAGTTTGATAATTTCGAGGCTACCTTGCCGGGGGTTGCCTCGTCCAAGAAGAGCCATGTCATCCGCATCGGCCAATGCAAGGGTCTCATGGAGGAGTCGCAAGAGCTCGTCATTAAGCTCCGGGAGGGGAGGATCAAGACTTATGCAGTAGCGCACAGCCTCAATCATTCCGATTTGGATGGGAAATGGCAGAGCTCGTAACGGCTTAGTGTATATGGCCGTGAGCATTCGATCCCGATGAGGTAAAAGTAGTTCTGCTGGCGTCCTGCCACTAAGCTCCGCGAGCAAGTCAATACATTGTTGAGCAGTTCTTCGCACGATGGCATTGGAAGTGGAGAGTTCTCCGAAAAATAGTGATGTCAGTGCGGCGAGCTTGTTCCGTCCAGGTGCTCCCTCTTCGCCCTCCAGTACTCGCAGGTCGTCACCTCCAACTCGCAAGACACGGATCAAGACATCGACAACTTCATCTACGTCGCGCGGAAGATCGTAAGGCATATCCTTCAAGACATGAAGCAGTGTCCTGATCAAATCAAGTTCGCGATCTTTTATCCATTTCATCCCCAAGTCGGGCATGTGGGTCATGATCCTGATACCACCACAACCGGCACTTCGGTGCACCCACGAATCCTCGAGGCAAAGAGAGCTGAAGCGACTGGCAATGTGGTAGAGGGTGGGGATTACGTCCTGGGATGATATCCCTTGAGAATTCGCCATGGCTACAAGGTCATGTATCAAAGTCGATACAAGTTGTTGCGCCTTCAATGCTTCGTCAGGATTTTCTCGTGCAAGGCCATGAGGCAATGCATTGAGGTAACAGGCAAGAAGAAGACTCGGGTACCTTCGTTCTTTCGGTGTAGTCGTGCGGATGTCCGCGTTAAAAACGAAGTGCGACAATTCCCGAATGTTATTCTCTGCTTTGTCTTGTAGCTCGGGGAGGTGAATGGCATCAAACAGCCCTTCGAGACATCGTATGAAGACGGTTTCTTTGTCACGACCTCGGATGCCCTGGAATCGAGTTAGATGTAACGTTTCAGGACTGTAATAAGGATTGAATACCTCGTGAAGTAGCAGCGTCAAACAGGCTTCCACATAGCCGTATGCATGATTACGATACGGCGACAACGTGTTCCCAGGCGTTAGAGCGGAAACAGCCAAGACCGACATGGGACCTAGCTCGATGCTTCCTGCCATTCCTCCGAATGAGAAACGAGCCCTCGTCGGGTCAGAAAAATGGTGCCATTGCAATGCAGGCTCCTTGTCCAGAAGTCGTCGGTTTCGACCTCCCAATTTTCCCAAGATACGAATGGTAGTGTGTGCGTGATGATGATTGGCAGGAACGGGTTTCAGATGGCTGTGGAGGGCTTCCATCAACTCTCTGAGAACGGCGTTGAGGGTCGGATCAAGGAAATCGGGCGTGAGGTTGTCAATGCACAGCTCCAATGTGCGGAGGCCCTGCGAAACTAACTCCGGATTCCCTCGTAGAGCTAAGACCAGCGGCTGCATCAAGTAATTGAGGTAAGGCAATAAATGAGTCAACCGGAGAGGAACAGTAAGACACAATTCCACGACTAGATCCCGGCTAGCTCCGTGGGAGGCGAGCAACTGACGATGAAGACATTGCAGCATTTCAGGAAGAAGCGGCAAAACTTCCTTGTAGAGCAACTCAAATCTTCCACCGCCACCTCCTATAGCGCGAAAGAGTCCCCTCAAGAGATGGAAATAATTGACCGGGTTGGTCGCCTTTGCTGCTAAGGGGAAGCAGTCCATGATGAGCTTCCCAAGGTGAGAAGCGAGGATGGGTTCATTCAACGACGGGAACAAGGTCACCGCACCAAACGCCATCTTGAACATCTTGATAGCAATCGCGGCAGTGTGAGCGTCATATTCTCCTAGCAGGGGAAGTCGGTCGAGAAGAAACTTCAGAACGATGGCGACTAGAGTCGGGGAAAGAACTTCTCGAGTGAAGAGGACTTGAGCAAGGTGCATCAGCATAGGACGCTTCTTCACACTCTCGAAGAAAAACTCTATCTTCTGCGTCCACACTTCCTGTAAAACGTGCAAATTAGCCTCTACCAGGACTGCTCCCAGCCATTCCTGTATTTCATTTGCATCGCGCAGGGGTTCCCCGTCGTAGAACGCGAGACACCGTATGCTGCCAACGAAAAGGCGAGATACAATTTCACCATCCGGCACGGGAGCGTCGCACTTTTTAAGCCCGGTGAATGTGTGTCGAAGCATATGCAGCATGGTACGGAAGACGACTCGATACTCTGCCGGACGTCTATCATCAGTGCAATTCCCCGGTGTTGCGTACATGCCAGACATACCGTGGATGACATCCTCTGGTTTCTCAATAGCATAGATCGCTGCCGATACTGGCCTCGCTTTCTCGATGAAGGTAAAATCGACGAGATCACTTTCTCCCTTCTTGGCCTTCTCTATCTTATCGGTCAATTCGACCCGGACGTCCGCTAAAGACTCAATTTTGTCGACGCTTGCCTCCAATAGGGTAGTTAGTATGCGTCCAGCTCCTTGACGCGAGTCCTTGGTGACGATTACTTCGACGAGATTGAAGATCATCTTGGCCGACAGAATATGAAGGTGGTTCGTCAGAAATGGGTCTTGCAGATGACGTATATAGACTGTGCAAATGCGCGTCAGCTGCGCCGGAGTTAAATCGCCCCGTAGGTGATGAAGAAGATCGGCGAAACAAGCGAAGGCAGTGGATCTGTGTATTGAATAGCGAACATCAATAACAGCCAAAGATGTCCGGGTAAACGACTTGCCTGATAGTTTCTCTACTACCCACTCCGGTGCCCAGGAGTACACGTTCATCGAACAGCTTGTCTATTTGAGAGACCAATGCTCTCCGAGACGGCGTAAGCATCAGATGTCTGAATACCACCATCAAGTCCTAGTTGCACAACACGTTGAGAATTTCGATTGATCCACGCATGTACAATTACTGACCTTGCGTGCAGTGAGAGCCATTGCTGGGCAATCTTGCAGTACGCGTAACGCAGCCAGGATGAGAATTTCTCCTTCAGACATTTCCCCTTCAGACTGATACTGTTCTCCAAGGGCACGCAACACGTATGCTGAATATGAAATAACTTTGATTTCTGCGCTGATGTAATCCGTGTATGTGACTGAATTCTTGATTGTTGGCGCCATCCCCGTCCAGAAATTACCCATCGCTTCGAAATCTTCCCTCGCCCTTTTCTGAGCAGAAGATTCGATAGCAACAAAGTTGAAGCACATAGGTAATGTTGCCTGCAATTTAGGAAGCACCAATGGGCGATGAACTTGCAAGAACGTCACTATTACCATAGCAATCTCTGCAAGGACTTTGAAACTGCGCGTCGCAGGAAGGACTAAATTGGAGTCCATGAGTGGGGAGTCTTCGGATAGCGTTTCGTCGACAAGGCCCTTCATATTCTGTAAGATTTCTTGGAAAATGGCTAGAAACTCGGAAAGCAATTCTTCATTCAGCGCTCTGAATGACCGCACCAAGTCCATTATAGTCTTGCAACAAGTGATGCCATTTTCTTCATTGTCGTGACGCAGGATGTACAACATTCCCTGGAAGATGAGAAGTGCCTGCGGACGAATCACTTCAGTGGAAGGAATACGGTGGAGAGTGTCGAGTAGACAACGACGGAATTGGTATTCCAGGGCATCTTTCTGAAACGACGCTTCTCCTGTCTTGAGGAGTTGCAGGAGCACAGGGATCATGTGAGGGAGAACACGAGAGGATTCAGCATCTCTGACGGTATCGATCATCTCGCGCAGTTCGCATGCGACAGTGAGCTTTGTCTTCAGATCTAGACATACACTGTAAGTGAATAGCTCCGAGATATAGTAGTCGTTCCTTACCTATTGAAGGGTCAGCGACCCGCGCAGCACGCATGTCCAAGTCTGCAGCCGTGGTGAGCGGCGGTGTGCTTTCCATAGCAGGATACTATGACATGTAATTGGTTGGCAGCAAGGGATTTAATTCGAGCAGGACAAGACGTGCCGGTGTGGCGCCAACTACTTCGAAGGCCACCCCGCGGCCGCGCCCGCGCGCTGTTTGGACATCACGTGACCTTCGTGTTTGAACTCCGTGTCGCACAAGGTCGCACAGGCAGAACGCGAACTTGAAGATGCGGCTCATTCTGTCTGTACTTAGTTGGAACTGAGTGTAAATGTTCTGTCCTGGACAAAAGGGAAAATATTCATTCAGACAAACAGATAAATCATCCGGACACAAAACGAAATCCGCCGGCGTATGAGCTCGCTGATCGTGTTCTCGGATCTGCTCGAGATTGATCTGGCGCTGCGACGTAGGTAGCCTACCCTAGGTCGGTGTCTCAGCGTACAGCTTTTGACAGGCGTAGGCTACGGTTATCAGAGTTCCCCCTTGACCCCGTCAAGCTTTCCCCCCGTCGTCCTCGAGCAGGTCTCGCTTGTTTGCCGCTGCTGCAAAACATTGGTCGGCAGCGGGACTACGCCCGCCGTTCGTTCTCTACACTCCGACTCGTCAGGCAGGTCCTGATCCATGGTGACTTCCTGCGTCGCATGTCTGCTATTAGCTCGCTCGCAAAGCATTCGATTCGAGGCCCGGGGAATCCGTGGGTGGAACAATACTTGGCCCATCCTGATTAGTGAGTCCCATCACCACAATCCTGGGTGCGATCCTGTTTGACCATCTACGTGAAATCCAGTCGTGTGATCTCCGCGTTCTTCTTAGGCTGGGTGTTTTTTGAAAGTGCACGCCGTATCCTGCTTTCCACCTTTGTCTTTCAGTTTCTTCGGTGGTGCGGAGAACATCTTCGCCTATACAACTTGCGGAGAGGCTTCAGGCAAACGCCCCCGGACCTTGAAGCTTCTGCGCCCCAGAGATCACCAGTATACATGGATAGGAACAATGTACATGCCACTCTACGTCATCTCGACGAAGACGTATATGTCTTCATTCTAAATACTTGCTTCGCCTTCTCGAGCGTTGCCCAATTCGCCTCTTTGATCAAATTTGGACCTCACAATGGTGATGTTGGTTGCAGTAAGCCACAATTCCATTTACGTGATGCTATTGATCATACGGCGATGACGCAGCGTTCGTCATTGCATGGGGAAGTATGGCGTCCCAGACAGCGCGCCTCGTAGGCCTGCTCATGCTTGGTCTCGAATTGAAAAGGCTTCGTATCAAGCCTTGGGAAGTATACGCACTTTGGATTGGCCTCGTAGTCGCTCTCGGTGTGTTGTGCCCAGGAAATTTCCTGCTTCTGGCTCACGAGCTTGTTCGTTTCTAGGCATTGCATTTGCAATGAATGCAACGAGCACTGGGAATACAAGGTACGCACACTGCACAATACCAATGCCCCGCAGTTGAAGACGAGCGATTTTTCAGCATAGTGCCTGGGCTGAATTTCTCCATCTGTTATAGGCAGCTGTTGGTAAGCTCTGCTTCAAGCAACACAGTCAGGCTAACTATCAGAATCCAGCTATTTGCCAACATGCCTTGCATCTTCGCTTACAATGATATCCCTGGAGGTCTATGTCTGCATCCGGCTCATTTGTTTCAAATTCTCAGTTACACGGCCTCGTTACCTCTTGTGGGCCGTTATTACAGATATCGGTATTCTGCGGATCGCCAGTCTATTGGTACTTGACCTCCTCACAGTGGTACCCGCTACTGTATTCTCGAATCCCTTGGCGGAGTTCATCCCCTTCAGCGCTGGCGCTTTACTTGTCATAGGTTGAGTTCTTCCTCTCTGTGCTCACGTTGTGCTCATGGTATTGGCATTGATCTTAGTGCTATTCGGTCGTGCTGAGCGAACCCAAGATCTCAGCAAGACAGCATTTCTTCATACCGCCGCCTTTGAATCGCATTTACCTCAGTCTGCGCGCAAAGACTACGAGGGTTCAGACGAGGCCGGAAATCAAGATGGGCGAGGGCATACAATACTCCCAATCTCCGCAGCATCTAATGCTCCAGATGTTCCAAGTGGAATGGATGATATCTTGCACATTACAGGTGCTCCTCGTAAGATCTTGCCATCTCAAACCGAAGCTGCGGAGCAATTCGAAAAAGAGCTTGTGCCATCGGGACTCGTTATGCGACGTCCGCGAGAACGCCCTCGTGTGTTTGTGGTAATACATGAGGAATCTCCAGAAAATGCACCGCCTAACTCGTCACAAAATCGCGGGTCCATTCTTGGTTCAGACATTATCAGGCGAACCTCTCTTAGAGACATGAATACCACCCTGCTCTCCCCGGAGTCACTTGTACGGTCGTCGTATAAATCCCCTTCTACTGCCAATTCCCTCCTCAGTCCAGATATCGTTCCGTGGACCCCGCGTAAGAGACGCAGGGATTCGCTGTGGTCTCCTGATTCCGGACAGTCATCACACGGCCTTACCTCTCCGGATGATGCTGTAGAGCGTTCAGTTCTGCGCGACTCCACTGTGTCTCAGACTACATATTATCGCCGTTCCCGCGCTTCTCTTTCGAGTGACATGGACAACGCAGGATCGGATCGGCGTGGAAGCTACAGCACGATTTCGTCAACTCGTGTTGATCTAGTCCGAGGGCATTCTAGGCGAATACCACCCCGTTATTCCCTCGCTTCTCGCACAGCATCTGGAGAGGAACTTCCTACAGTGATGGAAGGACTGTCTCACGGAGATTCTTCCCGGCAAGCTTCTACTCGAAGAAGCAGAAGAAGGACATTCGGTCAGCCGTCGCCGAGGAAAAGCAGAGCCTCAGCCCACTCACCTATGCCTCAACTACCACCGCTGCCCCAGTTCCCGGTTTTGCAGGATCAATCTTTCGCTGTTCCACCACCTCTGGAGAATAACGTGACAGACATTGGCGATGAACTTTCACCACGCGAGCTCCCAACTGAGGTACGTATGATGATTCAGTCATGCCCTGGATTCACCTCATGACTCCTTCTTGGCTCGAATACAGACGAGGTTTGACAGGTCAACCTTCTTACAACCTCAAGGGATCGCCGCTGGACATTCCGCACTCTCTGTTGCGGCGGCCGATGTCCATGCATCTCAATGATCTCATTAGCGCCGCAAGGCGTGGGCAGCCTCGTACCACCTCGCTTCCTCTGAATCCAACTACATGTACAATCTCATATGTACTTACATGGCACTGAGGCCTGAGGCCTGAGGCCTGAGGGCCGTCGAGTAATGACATCAGAGGGTTCATATATACTTGGCTTGTTAAGTACCATGCTTCAAGGACCACAAATTTGTATCGATCCGCCGGCTATACTTTGTCTCCGCGTCAATTCTAATAGATTTGTTCGAGCTTGCACTGAAGTACTGAACTCTATACGACACTCCATGTCGAGTTGACTTCAGTGCGATATCGCCAGCACCGCCCAAGCACCGCCCGGTTTGCCACGCGTGTGCTCATATCTGCGGCCACAGTCCCTTGGGCATTTCAGCATCTAATCACCAACACGCGGAATATCTCTGCGCTGGCGCTTTACTGCTAGCCCTCCATCCGAAGAGAGCCACCTCATCAGCGACGTCTGGCACGCTATGGCCTCCAGCGAATTACTGAAGCAAATTCAGGCAGGGAAAAGGCTGAAGAAGATCGAAACGAATGACCGCAGTGCGCCTGCCGTTGAAGCACCAAAGGGAGGCATAGGAGGAGGGAGATCAGGAGGTGCTGGAGCACCAGCAATTCCGCTGGCGTCCTCGGCGTCGTCTGGACCTCCGCAACTAGGTGGCTTATTCGCCGGAGGCATCCCCAAGCTGAAGCCTGCTGGTCAGAACCATTTAGGTGTGTGGTGCCCCATCGGTATCGAGTTTTCGTAGCTTCATCGCGCTTTCAGGAAAACCTCCCGCGCTGGGTAAACCACCCTCAATACCGAAACGAAATGGTGTCTCTTCAGCACCCGCGGCACCTCCCCCTCCTCCGAATAGGCCTGTTTCTGGCCGACCGCGTGCCCCATCTCCTCCAGCTGCAGCGACTCCTCTGAGCCGTCCTGCACCAACACCCCCTTCCAGGACAGTGCCCGTCCCTGTTGCCAGCGCCCCTACACCGCCTCGCAGAGCACCTCCTCCCGTTGTGAGGAACAGTGCGTCGCCTGCCGTTCCTCCACCAATTCCCCGTCGTGGTACTTCTCCCCCGGCGGTAACGCGTGGCGTCGCACACAGTAAATCGTTCCATTCTCCCCCAGTTCTTCCGCATCGGAAACTACCACACCCTCCCGCCGCAGGAGGTAGAGCTCCTCCGCCACCTCCTCCGAGGCCGTCTAGTCTGCATCCACATAATGGGAGCGCACACGCGAAGCCTGCGCGCGCAGTTCCTCCTCCGCCTCCAACGAGGCGAGGTAGCAGCAATGGCTTAGCTCCTCCTCCACCTCCTATACGCCTTCGTGTTCATTCCAATGCAGAGGTACCTACCAAAACTCCTTCACCTCCAAACCCTCCTTCGCCCCCAGCGAGGCGAGGTAGTAGCAATGGCTTAGCCCCTCCTCCACCTCCTATACGCCTTCGTGTTCATTCCAATGCAGAGGTACCTACCAAAACTCCTTCACCTCCACCCCTTCCGCCTCCAGGGCCTCCTCCACGCAACACACAAGCTCCGCCAGCTCCAGGCCCTCCTCCATTACGGAGCACTCTTGCACCACCAATAGCGCCTCCGCCGCCTCCTGGACCCTCTCCAGTAAGCTCCCGAATGCACTCTGGTTCCAGCGTTCACCCGCATGGAGGTGTACCTATGTTCGGCGCTGCTGCTGGCAGTGTGCTCTCAGGCGTCCCCTCCAATGTCAATGGGACGATCTCCGTTCGCCGTAAGAGTGAGCTGAACATAAGACTGATTATGGGCGGTCCAACTAACTTTGTCTTTCACCAGTACCTACGCCTCCTCCAAACGCGGGCCCACACACTTTTCCTGTGACAAGTTTTCCGCCACCTCGACCGTTCAATCCTAGTGTGAAACGATACGGGGGAGGCCGGGAGAAAGGAAGTGACTTTGACCTTGGAACGTTGTAGATTTCATGCGTGAGGTTGTCGAAACCCAGATGATGGACACGTATACAGTAACTATCTCTTTGAATATATGATATGATATCATTTGCGCATGTGCTCGCGAGGCTCTACATCTACGTTCAGGATGAGGATGTGTCTCCCGAAGTTGAGCCTTTCGGCCTTCATCACCAGAAGTTCTGGATGATATAACAGGAGGCATATGAAAGTTAACCCCTTGATTTCGGACGAGCCGATGTAAAGGTTACCATTCCAGGCCTCCCGTCTGACACGTCAGCCTGTCCTCTCCTCTATTTAACCCCTTAGCGCTGCCGTCGTAACTTGCGCCACGCAGCCCACATCCACCAACACCCCGTATCTGTGATGCGGTACTCAAACATTCTCTTGTCCGCAACCGCGCTCATTCTATTGCCATGGGCTCTTGCTGAGGGTGCCTCAGACGTGATAGACCTCACCCCTGCTAATTTCGAGTCGGTGGTTAACCCCGAGCCTTTGGTGCTCGTGGAGTTCTTCGCCCCATGGTACTGATTACCAATGCATCCTCTCGAGCGAGGTGTCTGACGTTATGTATAGGTGCGGTCACTGCAAGGCTCTTGCTCCTCACTACGAGGAAGCTGCGACTGCCCTCAAAAGCAAGGGTATCAAGCTTGCCAAAGTTAACTGCGTGGACGAGGCAGACCTGTGCCAAGCGAATGGTATTCAAGGATATCCGTGAGTTCCCCATGATCCGCGAAGAAAATGAGCAGCTCAAACAGCATTTTAATCAGCACCCTGAGAGTGTATCGCAATGGCGAGTACAGTGATTACCCCGGGCCTCGGAAAGCTGACGGTATTATCAGCTACATGATCAAGTAAGTACCACTGGAACGTAACCGCCCCTTAATATCGACATGTGTTCTTCCAGGCAGTCGCTTCCTGCCGTCACGGATGTTACAAGCGAGAACTATGAGGAGTTCGTTCGTGCCGACAGAATCGTAGCGCTTGCCTTCCTCCCCTCGTCCACCGATGTCCCCGGTCCCGAATTCAGCGCGACCGCAAACAAGCTGCGAGATGATTACTTATTCGGTTTGACCATCGACAAAGCTGTCTTCGAAGCTGCTGGTGTACAAGCACCTACTGTCGTCCTTTACCGCGCATTTGACGAGCCCAAGGTTGAATACCCGTATCCCGTTGGGTCTGTCAAAGTCAAGGACTTTGAGCAGTGGATCAAGGATCTCTCGATTCCCATCATCGACGAAGTTGGCTCAGAGAACTTCCAGACGTACGCTCAAAGCGGCAAACCTCTCGCCTACTTGTTCGTAGATCCCAGCGACGCCAATCACGATGAGTACGTTGCTGCGTTGAAACCCATCGCTGCGAAGTACAATGGTGCCGTCAACTTCGTATGGATTGATGCTGTCAAGTACGGGGACCACGCCAAGGCGTTGAATTTGAACGAACCCAAGTGGCCGAGTTTCGTTATTCAGGACCTAAAGAAACAGCTGAAGTACCCGTACGACCAGAGCTTGGACTTCAATGCGGAGGCCATCGAGGAGATGGTGTCGCAATTTGTGGATGGAAAATTGGTGCCACAGCTCAAGAGCCAGCCTATCCCTGCTTCGCAGGATGAAAGCGTATTTACCCTTGTCAGCAAGCAGTTTGATGAGGTCGTCTACGATGACGACAAGGACGTGTTCGTCGAATTTTATGCTAGCTGGTGCGTACATTACTGGCCGGGACTATCATTTCTTCTCACCGTCTGTATCAGGTGCGGACACTGCAAGCGTCTGAAACCCACTTGGGATTCACTAGGCGATCGCTACGCCGATGTTAAGGACCGTATCACAATGTACGCCTTCTACATTCGCTCACCTGCGTAATCTCCACCTGACGATATTTATACCTAGTGCGAAGATGGAATCCACTGAAAATGATCTCCCGCCCTCCGTGCCTTTCCGAGTGACTGGTTTCCCCACTCTCAAGTTCAAGAAGGCTGGGTCCCGCGATTTCGTTGACTATGACGGCGATAGGTCCCTCGAGAGCCTCGTTGCGTTCGTAGAGGAGAACGCAGAGAACCCTCTTGATGCCAAAGTGCCGTTTAAAAATGTCACACCGCCGGAAGGGCAGGTGCCGTTGCAGCAGCAGCCAGATCATCATGACGAGCTATGAGATATCCGTATTACTTTCGTATCTTGTTACTAGTTTACTTTTTCTTGATAAACACTGGAATTCATGCTCTGCATCCCAGTTGCATTTAGATACGGGATAGTAAACCACTACGACCGGGTGTAGGAATCAATAGGGAGGACTTTTGCACGTACAGGCGAGTGGAGTAATGCGGCAGGATTCAGCCCAGCACTGCATACTGATACTTGACACAAACCATGCCTAAACGATTCCGCGAATTCATCTGGCCGTCACCTAAGGGATGATCCAAAGATAAAGATACAAGCAAGGACATGCAACACAGTAGACTGATGCCAGTTTGGGTGCCTTAGAGCTTCACCTCCTTGAGGCCATCCTTCCAGAAGGTGAAGTAAGCTGCACCTAACGTTAGAAGATGTTGTTACGAATGATGCAGGACATACGGGTAACACCGTCCTCCCTGTAGTTGAGGAGCGCAATCATACCATCCGGGTTCATCGATTCACCGGTGTACTGCATCCAGATAGTTGGTTCATCAATTGGACGCGGATACACTTGGTAAAACTCACGAATTCGTAGTCCTTGAAATTTGCAACGATCTTCTTCGCAAATGTCTGCGCATTCTTCTCGAAGGCCTCGACCCGTTCAGGTTTGGACTGCTGAAGGGCTGTCTTGACAGCTTTCATGTAACCCTAGTGAACGTCAGTGACGGCGGAACAGAGGGACTAAAATGATTTAAACCTTGAGGTAAGTAAGATAAGACTTTTTGTCGAATGAAGTGGATTGGAGACGGAAAGAATGAACGACATTGTTGATTTGAGTAGCCCCCTCTTCGAGAGCATCTTCGGCCTCCTCTGCGGAAGGGTTGGCACCTGCATGGCAATTGAGCATTTGTTGTCAAAGAGAAAATTCAAGAACACACCAATATCGATGTCAGCACCAGCCTTGACGGTAATCATCTGGCAATCTACTTCAAACACGACATCATCTATCTCCTTGCTGTAGTCACAGAATGTCAATCGCTGAAAGGCGAGACACGGCAGATACTGACATAGGGAAGGCATCGGAGAACATCTCATCGTCAGTAATAACGTCGGAGTACAGCAACATGGTGAAAACGTAGGAAAGACACTGTGAAAGCGAAGGAGAGACAGAGTAGTACTATGTGGTACAGCTTTAAAGCAAAACAGAACCAATCGATCTTGTTATCAGTACGGTCACGTGATTTTACCTGCCAAAACTGACTTCCTTTTACGGACGCGCGGCCGCGATCGGCGACGTCTTTAGTCTTGCTGCTTACTTGCAGCCTCCCAAATGCATTGACGCACTGCTTGCTCCGCTCTATACTTGACGACAAAATACACTTGAGCGGCGATGGATTATCAGCCTGTCGTGGTAGCCAAACATGTGCGTCCATATGCAACGAAGCACAACGCAGAATCGAGACACTGGCGACAATTCAAGCACCCAGTCTTCATCAAAGAATATGCACCAGTCACATCCGTACACTTCTCTCCTTCGAAGCCGCATAGATATGCCGTTACTGCCGCTACCCGAGTGCAAATATATGCACCAAGGACACAAAAAGTTACCAAAACGATCTCCAGGTTCAAGGACATTGCGCGAAGCGGCTGCATACGCGGAGATGGCAAGCTGGTAGTTGCAGGAGATGACACTGGTCTTATACAGGTGAGTTTCGTTACTGTTCCTGTCGCTCTTTTGACCGCATGTATGTGCGAAGACAGCAAAAAATCGCTTCGAAGCTAAACGTCACGACTCATAGGTTTTTGATATTAATTCTCGTGCAATCCTCCGGACTCTCGAATCCCACAAGCAACCAGTGCATATCACCAAATTCTCTCCTTTGGATCACACTCGTATTATCTCATGTTCAGACGACACTACCGTCAAGCTCTGGGATGTCCCTTCTCAATCATGCATCTCCACCTTCACCGACCACTCGGACTACGTTCGGTCTGGTCAATTCTCCTCATCTGACCCGCACCTCGTAATCACCGGCTCATACGATGCGACTGTGCGTTTGTTTGACTCGAGAACGGGCGAATGCGAGATGGTCATGGGCGGTGCTTCAGGCGAAGGAGGCGGCAGAAACACGGCTGCTGTTGAGCAAGTGTTGCTGTTCCCTTCTGGTACTGTTGCACTATCGTCTGCGGGACCGATTCTACGCGTCTGGGATCTTGTAGCGGGTGGTCGATGTACACGCGCCTTGTCAAATCATCAGAAGACTGTCACCGCTATGTCGTTCAACTCCAATGCTAGTCGACTACTCACAGGAGGTCTGGATCAAATGGTGAAAGTCTACGATGTTAGCACGTACAAGGTTGTGCACACCATGCGATATCCCGCTCCAATTCTCTGTCTTGCTATCTCGGTATGTCAAAATCTCATTTGGATATCGTATGCGATTCTACCATTACGGGATATATTGCACAGCCCGACGAAACTCACATTGCGGCAGGCATGTCTGATGGCACGCTCTCCGTTCGCCGCAGTCAACTCAAAGCGTCCGACGTCGCTAGCAATGACGCAGCATTTTCTATGGTTCTCCGCTCGAGCGCAGTTGATTCCCTTCTAGGGGCTTCCTTCCAATCTATGGGTCAGAGCCATTTACGAGAGAAGAAATCCAAGCCTGTAGGAGATGTCGACGAATTTCGAGTTGAGAGTAGGAGAAGGAGGAGACTAAGGGAGTATGACAAGATGCTCAAAGGTTTCAAGTATTCGGCTGCGCTTGATTCGGTACTGCGGAAGGTTGGTGCCACGCTGTCTCGTAAACCTTCTCTTCGACATCTTATTTCTGCGTTCCAGCAAGTACCTCCGACTACAACGTTCTCCTTGATTCAGGAGCTCATTCACAGAGACGGCCTTCGGACGGCGCTGGCAGGCCGTGATGATGTTCTTCTTGAGCCTGTACTCCATCTCCTTCTAAAACATGTCACAGACCCTCGTTTCGGCGAGATGGTATGTGATATCACGCGAGTGGTCATTGGTCTGTTTCACCCTGTTACTGGCCGTTCACACATGATCTGATTGCCACCATCACAGATATGTATAACCCCATTCTTGGCCAATCGCCCTTCATCGACACACTTTTTGTACGACTACGGAAAAAGGTCCAAGCAGAGTTACACTTTCAGCAGGAGCTGGTGAAAACGAAGGGCTCGTTAGACATGCTTCTTGCGTCCTCCGCCCTATCTGCATGACATAGCATGCAAGTGTATAGATGTATATGTATACAACTGCTGCAATATGGTCTTCGCAAGGGAGTGGAACCTGGAGGTACCTGTCAGAAAATCTCTTTAAAAGGTTAACATGCATCCAGGAAGGCTATGAGATTGCGCAGAATCTCCCGTCGCGACATGCCGTCGTCCTGCATTTCGTCCTCGTTGACGTTGTCATGGTATATATGTAACGTCTTCACGATGTCTTTGAGCGACTTGTCTCGACGACTGAGCATTTGTTGTATATGCGCCCGGATCTGTCGGTCGAATTAGAAAATGCGCGGGAGCACATTGTGTAAGGCAAGGGCGCACCCCGTCGTCCTCCATCGCTATCCATGCGAGTATGTAGTCCGTAGTTTGCATTGTGAACAAACCCCCATTAAGACGTTGTAGGTACCACATGTCTTCCTCGTCTGTGCCGACTTCTTCGCCTTCGGCAACCATACCCTGAGGGCGAACACATTTTAGCATGCGTCAAATGCTACCTGAAGAGCGATCTCGAACCTTCCTTTCATTCTCGATCTGTTTCTCGACCGTTTTCAATCGTGTTTGTGCGGCATCCCTGACCTCAAGCAGCTTCTCCACTTTCTCATAGCCGTTCTCCACGAATTTCGCCAAGAGACGAATTCGAACCGGGGAGTCGGAAGGGAGGTTGGTGAACAGTGAGGAGATGATACCAAGGGAGTGGGAAGTGTCTTCTGAAGCTGGTGCTACTGCATGGCCCTTATGTTTCTTTGGAGGCTGCATGAATGTGTTTCAGCATCCTCGTCTATCAGAGATTGACGGAATATACCACCTTGCCCATGAATGTGGAGAACAGTGTCTTCAATCCCAGTGCCTCCACGAAAGTCTCGCATGAGGCTGTGCCCGATGGGCCAGACATGGCATAATCCAAAACTTTGATAGATCGTGACCGCGACTGCATCTTATCCCTGCAAAGGTAATGAGACCGCAGCGTACAGGGGTGATAGTAATGAGGCAGACTTCATCATTAGTACCATTAGGTCGACTCCCTCACAATCAAGGAATTGCTTCTTGATTTCGGGCTCACCCAGCGCGGAACAGAGCGAATCGAAGACATTTTCCATGAACTCTGTCTCCTCTGCATCTGCTGGATTTTTCCTCCTGTATTGCTGTATAGGAATCAATTCTTAACCGAGATATCACCAGGAGTTTGTGAACGAAACTTACTGACAGAACTTTCAGAATGATCTCCACGCCATTTTGAGAACCCAAGTCCAAACGATTAGATCGGCGATTTTGTAGGAGAATGGACAGTAGTTCAGCGGCATAACCGCGGTTCTCATCATAGGTCTTAAACTCAATCCGATTCAATAGCCATTGAAGAATCGTGGTCTTGGATACCAGCCGAGAGGATAGTTCGGCATTATAACCGAGAATATTCTCGAAGATACCTGTGAACTTTGTCAATACGAACCATTCCTACAAACTTCTGGCCTCACACCTAATACGTGGAAAACGCCCTGCCTATCAGACTCCTCATCCTCGTTCAAACGACGCAAGTTGTCGGCAAGTAGCTCGAAAATGGAATTCTCCAGCTAGGAGTGGGAGAACACAATTGGAACGATCTAAGAATTGTGAATGAGTGAAACAGACCTACCAGGCTCTCCACGAGAACCTTCAGTGCCTCGTCTCTTGATCCTTCACTCTCCTCATCCTCCTCTGCCTCGTTCCCTACATCCTCGTCTGTCAACTCATGGATTACTTCTACAACGTCAATGACGATGTCCGCATTTTCGTGGCTGAGTAGGCCTATTAGTAATGCCAGAGAGCCTGTTTTCACAAGTTCTGAATAAGATATGATAGGATTCTGTGCAAGGGGCAACAAAGCTTTAATGGCAGCATCCAGGTCGGCTTCGGAGTCAATAAATCTGCGGAATGATTCTAAGACAAAAGGTGACCGCAGCGGCACGAGAAACCGTACTTTGTTGGGTCATCCGGATATTTTGATCTTTGGTCTTGGTTTTTGCTTACAGCGCGCTCAAATCGCAGTAGCAGTCTGCGCACACCAGGAACGGTCATTTCATCGAGCTGAGCGGACATCCATTACCATGCGATGCACATTGAGCACTTGTACTGGCCACTCACATCTTGTCGTACGTCCTCGCCGCCAGCCTTGTCGAATATGTTCAATATATCCTTCTGCTCTTTCGTCAAGCCGCCTCCATAGAACCTACCCTCCTCATCTTCCTCTGCAAAATAGTCAGCATCTCCTCCAGGGGCGAACTCGCCTCCCAATTTGTCCTCCTCATCTTCCTCGTCTCGAACGCTAGCTGCACGCGATCCATCTTTCCCGCGAGAAGTGTCGTGAGGGGTGGTGGATGTGGCAGCGCTTGAGGAATCGGTATCCATCCGCATCCGTTTCAGCATTTCTGGCGTTGGGTTGTCCGGCATCCTTCGTTTGTTGCTGCCGGCAGGCAACTTGGGAACCTAACGAATGCGCACTATACATGAACAGGCCAAGGACGGAACAATGTTGTTACACCACACCTTGAATATTTTGTCGATATCCATTGCTGAGAGTAGGGGTGACCGATCGGATGCTGGATGAAGACTACAGGCGGTTATTCGACAGAATATACTGTGCAGGTTGGAAGCAAGCAATTTGCCAGTGCAAGGCAGACACAGATTCACGATCACGCACCGGTCACGTCTACAGCAGTCACGGTGACGTAACCTAGCCATAGCCATCGCTTGGATCTCAAGAACCGTTGAGAAAGTCCGAGAGCCCTATAGCTAGCTTCCTTGATCACGCACTCTGTCCCAACATTCCATGCAAAAGGAAGTGATTAATATCTTGCGTACCAGCGCCCCTCTTGCAGGCTCTTCGGCATCAGTAGGCGCATCCGCACTGAAGGACATTCTGCGACAGAGACTTGTCCAGTATTACCAGGCTCTCGACAAGGATATCGATCTTTCCGATGGACCACTTGAAGACTTGCAGCTAGAGACAGCCACAGAAGCGCTTTGCGTCATAGAACGGCTTCAAGCCATCTTAATTGCATCAAACTCACCAGAATTTGCATCTATACCGGCGAAGAGCGGTTCTAAACCCTCGGAGGGAACGCTTCACGAAGGTGTGGCAATCGGGACACGAGATTTGGCCCAGATCCGTACGCTCATCTCCATAATCTTCAAATGGGCCCTGGAACCATTACTTGGTCGTGTTATCGCTGCCACACCGACGAAACCTTCCCCGAAGCATCATGGCGGCGCACAGATTATTGACCTTACTGATGTGCCGGCAGACTATGAGACACTGTCATCCGCAGTTACTCGACTTATGCATCTCTTACTGCCTGGTGGACTGCAGGGGCCGCTTGCGGAGACAATAATATCGTTGACCCTGCTCAACAGGCACCTGACTGATATTTTGACCCCATGTATCGTTCTTGGCTGGATGCCCAAGCGTCAGGCTACGGATTCTGTTCGTCCGGTGGATGATCTCCGCCCACTAGTTATACACCTACTGTCCATGTTAGTCTCTCTCACCAGGTCAGTGATTCCATCTCCTCTGATGCGTATTGTACAGTCTCCCCGCGTCTCAGACCATCGCCGCTCTCGGTGGTATACTGTCACACCCACCGTCTGCTTTGTCCTATGTTCGTAAATCATGTGGCTTCTTGCTAAGCCGGCAGTTGCTTCGTCCGGAAGGAGTACCTGGTCTGCTTGCCGTTGTATTTGGCGAGGAAGATGTTTCGGGTGATGATGCGCCATTAGAGAAGCTTGAGCACGTCGGGCGCTTACTGTGTACTGTACCCACCGGCACCAAGCCAAATGTGAGTGTTATCGCTACATCCTACAACCAAAAGTCTGATTACCATTTGTTCTCAAAAGGAATACTACGAGAACGTTATTACTCGATTAATCACAATATTGTCTACGAACCCCGAAACGATCCCGCCCGCCCATCGACGTGCCGCGGCTTTCTCACTTTCTCGCATGCTATTGTCTGGCCACCGTCCAACGCCTGGAGTAGCTTCAGGCATTCTGCTTACGAAATTGCACCTTCCATTCCTGGTTCCTTCGCCGCGCATTCCAGTGCAGGGTGAAGACGAAGCTCCAACAGCAACTCTGAAGCAACGCGACCTATCGCCATCTATTTCTCTGTCAATTCTACAAACGCTGTTGACAAATGCCGACCCCTCACCCACATTTATCTCAAGCTTACTTACCCCGATCATCCCGACTTTATATGCGATCCTGTTTCGTCTTGACCAAACGAAAACATCAGATCCAGCGACGAAGGACTCCTTGAAGAGCCTGCTCATGACCTGGGGAAGGGTTGTCTGCGCGTCAGAAGGCTTGCAGACTTTATGGTCCATTATCAACGGTGAAGGCGGTGAATGGCAAGTCGACATGACAGGAACTCTGACGAGAGTGGAAGAGTGAGGGGATCCTCCTCAGTGGCACATCTCGTACTCATACTGATCTTCCTTCACTCAGATTAACCCGAGCTCCTTCGCTATCTCTTTTCACACCGGAGAGTCTCAAGCAGGCTGAAGATTCCGGGGAATTCAGCGTAGACTCGAATCCGCTGGACCTCCGGCCAGACCCCGCGCATTTCGTGAAATTTCTCAATTCTCTTGACCGATCAGAGATCTCGTCTGAGCTCTTCATGCGAATGTTTGAGGCGTACAGGGAAGTAAAATCGGAAGCAGATGCCGATCCATTACGGTCAGCTCCGTTCATTCACATGTGGTCACGTTGGCTCATCATATGCACGTAGGACCCTAATGTATCTGCAGCTCATTCTGCAGATGCAGTCACAATTGACGGCCGATGGCACGTCCTCCAACATTCTCAAAAAGCCTGATTACATTCTTTCATTTGTCAAACACGCGCTCGAGTCAGCCAACAAACTTACCGTTTCCAGCGGCAAGCGTAGTAAGCCCAGCTCAGCTGGTTTGCGGATGGAAGACTTGCGCATTGTCGAGGAGGAAGACGAGGAGCTCGAAGATGAAGACAGTGATGACGAAGCACAGCGAAGGTCCGGGGATCAGGAAATGCTTGTTACTGCTGTCGATCTTCTTCTGTCTGTTCTGGAAGGTGTGTTGATCAATTGAACGGGCAAGGCCTAGGATCTATCTTACACCTTCCCATAGCCAACCCGGATTTATCGGCCAGAACGGCACCTATTCTCAACGACATATTCTCTCTTCTAGAGCCCTTGTCGAAGGATTCATCAGAGACGCTGAGACCTCTTGTCCGGGAGGCTCGGATGGTCATGACGGCGCGCTTGGCGTCTACGTCGGCATCGTTCCCGGAGATGAAGACTTCGGCCACTCACGAGGATAGCCCACAACAGATTTATCAAAAAGCGCTCAAACTTCTGCAGGATCCCCTCCTCCCTGTGCGGGCGCACGGTTTGCTTCTGCTTCGTCAGCTTGTTTCCACCCGGAGAACAAAGTCAGGCTTGGAGGAGCCGTCGATCGATCGCGCGTTAGTGCCTGCAATTCTCTCCATATTCCTACAGTCTATTCAGGATGACGACTCTTACATGTACTTGAACGCGGTGCAAGGTCTGGCCGCGATGGTCGATGGATTCGGCAAAGAAGTGCTGAAAGGTCTGGTTGACATCTATTCGCAGGGTTTGGACGGCCTGGGAGGAAGTGGTATGACGCAGCAAGACGTTGATGCGAGAACCCGCGTAGGGGAGGCGTTGGGCCAGGTCATCCGGAGATGTGGTGACGTCCTTCCCGCTTACGGTAAGTTTCGCGGTGTGCCTGGTGGTTTGATAAGTGCTCATAAATGGCAGGGGATCTGCTCGTTCCGCCCTTGTTTGCGGTCATGAGCGCATCGCATTTTCCGACAACCATGCGGACTTCTGCACTTTCTCTCTTGGCCCAATGCGCGAAAACTGACTCCTTGGTTTTGTTGCCCTACTCTGCGGACCTCTCGACTGCCATGATTGATCTTCTGCAATTGGAGTCGGTACGTGCTCCGCCCAGAAAAGACCCCGCTTCCCCGGATGGGGGATTGGCTGAAGATAAGGAAACTTGTGCTCTCGGGACGATGGATTCCCAGCCAACATCAACGAATTCGAAATTTCCGCCACTGAGACGTGTTGCGCTGCACTTCCTGTTGCTGCTCGTCCAGGCGTGTACGATGCGGCTGTATGATTCACCGGGTACGGAACACGTCGGTTTTCCGGTGAGTTTGATGAGACGGGGAAAGAGCACTTTGGGGTACATTGCAGCGACGGACGAAGATGGGGTGGTCCGTGTGATGGCTCGGGAAACGCTGGAAGGGTTAGAGCAGCTTGAAGGAGCGATGGTGGGCTTGTAATCTCTTGTGACCTTGTGATATCTGCAATCAGCGGTTGATTCAAGCCACGTAATTGGCGTAGTCAGCTAATCATCCGTTTCACCGTTTCAAGAGAAGCGGATGTGTTATCTTATCGTGCCCCGATCATGCGTAAGACGGTCCGTTCCTGATCGCAAGTTTATCAGTGAAAGAAAAAACTTCGGGCGAGGCGACCATGGCAGATGTGACGGCGCTATATAATTCTGGTCCACATGCAAAGATAAGCTGCCCGCCACCGCGTTGCGCCGTTCCCGTGTATCCTGCCACCGTCTCCTGCGGTCCTCTTCCCCATGCCCGACTCACATTCTTTGGACGAGAAGCACTCTGTGAGTTCGGTATCTGCCAAACTTGAAGAAGCTGGCGTGCACGAGTGAGTGATCCTCTATCTCATTAGTCATTTTTATCTTTAACTTATTTTTTTGCATGTAGGAGCATTCATCCCGCTCCAGTTTCTGAACTTTCCGACAATGTCCCCCGGAACCGTTTCAGAGCACTGTGGAGAATTGTCGAGAAGCTCGACAAGTATGGTGTCGAGACTCAGGGTATCGAGCGCATACCTCCGGACCAACGAGACCAGACATGTAAGTCACACGACTGTCTGCTGCCTCAAATATTTTCAGCTCAATGGCGGATATGCAGCCGTGTTAGCACCCTTCTGGATGTGGCTCGCAGCAAACATGACCGTATGTTCTTCTCAAAATCTTCCTAGGTAGGCCTTGACCCCGGAAAAAAATACCAGACCTCAACCTTCTCTCTGGGTACCCTCGGAGCTTCACTGTTCTACTTGGGACTTCGTGATGCAGTGTTGACGATCCTTTTTTTCAACCTTCTTACGACCCTCCCCGTCGCCTACTTCTCGACTTGGGGCCCGAAGCTCGGCCTCCGTCAGCTAACATTGTCGCGATATTCTTTCGGTTTCTTCACTGTGGGTCAGACTCTCAAACGTGATTGGATTGACAACCATTGACGCATCAGGTTTGCAGGCCCTGATACCGATTGTCCTGAATTGTATCGCTTGTGTGGGCTGGTCCGTAGTAAACTCCATTGTTGGCGCTCAGACTCTGCGGGCGGTCAGCACTCACCATCAAATCCCCACGGCTGCAGCAATTATCGTCATTGCAATTGGCACCATCATTGTCAGTTTCATGGGCTATCGCGTCGTCCACCTTTATGAGATGTACTCATGGGTACCGGTACGTTACTGGGATCAAAGTGTCCTGCGGTGCAGCTGCTCATCATATCCCGGTTTTCTGCATTTGATAGGTCGCTATAATTTTCATTATCTATCTAGGTCAAATTCATCGGTTCACAGATAGTGGCACTTGGGGTGGCACTGGAGCGGTGGAGGCCTCTAATATTCTATCTTTCGGTGCAGCTATAGGTAAGTATTTTAATTCGACGAACTTGCCTTCGCTTTCCCGCTGATGTATCTGTATATGTTAGCTGGATTTGCCCTTGGATGGACGTCTCTTGCTGCAGATTACACTGTCCGAATGCCCGAGAATATATCGACTGTGAAGGTGTTCTTCTGGACCTACCTTGGCCTCAACATCCCATTGATTCTGATCGAGTCCCTTGGCGCCGCTGCGATGACGACCTTCGTGAATAAATCGACTTGGGAAGATGCATACAACACAAACTCGGTGGGCGGTCTACTCGGCGCTGGTCTGGCCGGTCCTATGGGCGGTTTCGGCAGATTCCTGCTCGTCATCCTGTCCCTCTCCATCATCGCGAACAATATTCCTAACATCTATTCTCTGGCGCTGACCTTCCAGAACATCCACCCATTCTGCCAGGCCATACCCCGCGTGTTCATCGTCATCCTCGGAAGCGTGGTGTATATCGTCCTCGCCATCGTCGGTGCCTCGCACTTCGAACAGGCGCTCGACACGCTGCTCACGATCCTCTCATATTGGCTCGCCATCTTCAGCACGATCTTGATCGAAGAGCATCTGATCTTCCGTAAAGGCCGCTGGTCAAATTACGAGCCTGACGACTACAATAACTGGCGCAAGCTCCCCCTTGGTGTAGCGTCATTCATCGCACTGGGTTGTGGTGTTGCCGGAGCCGTCCTGGGTATGGCCCAGACGTGGTATGTCGGAGTCATCAGCAGAAAGATCGGCGACCCCCAATATGGTGTGTTCATCTGCATCTGCGATGTTATGTCTCCGAGCTCATAGCTTGACGTTCTCTTCTAAAGGTGGCGACATTGGCTTCGAACTAAGTTTCGCGTTCACTGCCATTGTATTTCCCCCATTGCGGTACTTTGAGAGAAAGTATTGGGGATATTGAGATTCGAGAGCGAAGGGTGTAGTGATGTTGCCTTGTACCGTAGACTCTAACGACTGGAGACCTAAAATTTGTTGGCTCTTTTGCATTACCGGTTTATTGAACGGCAAGCACGGGCCCTTAGGTAATGTGATGATCAGTTGGTACCTTCGTAGGCTGGAAACCCAAGAAATGATACTTACACCGAGGGTCGTCAACAGGCTTTAGTCGATAGGAATAAATAGTCGATCTTCTTTACCAGTCACTGCAAATTGACGTCCTGCTCTCTTTAAATCACAATCAGTCGGTCCTAGGCTATTCAGGCGATAAATATATTGGGACTCGAATGTTTGCCCCGTATCTGTCCCAGTTTCTGTGATCTTTCGCAGACTGAGTCAATAAAAAGGCAATTTTCATCTAGGTTCAGCCGTCACTTCTCGCAAGGACGATGCTTCCTGCATGTTCCAGACGATGGGGTGGGCGACGCCCCTTGTCTGGGTGTACAACATGAACCAGAGAGTACAGTCTTAATGATCTTGGATTGTTTAGGGGAGGTGTATTGGCATGCGTAGTTTCAAGAGGCAACGGCAGGCCCGATAGCACCCACAGCTCTCCCGATGTCGTCTACTCGGCGCCGAAACCCTCTCCATTTGGGGCTGCCCACAAGAAGGAGCGCGGCGTGGTCAATCGTCCCATCCACCGGGGCATTCAGCCTCAGGAATGGGTTAGCGACAGATTGGCGGTACGCCGTGTGTAATGCTTTGGAGATCTGTAGTACATGCGACATTTCGTCGGTTGACTCAGTGGATTTGACAAAAGAAGCGCACCATGATGACATCCGCATCTCGCACGACGGAATCGGACAGGGCGACGGCGATGATGATCTTGACCTTCAGAGGCGTCAAGTAGCCGTACACAGCGACATCTTCCATGGTGTAGAGTAGGCCGAGATAGCACTCGGTGGACTTCGCAGCAACGGCAGCATTGACTACGGACAGGGTAGATCAGAGGGAGCGCGGGCAGCGGAACGTACACCACTAGCGGTCAGCGCACTGCGTTCTTCGATGACATCGAGACTGGTATGTGCTATGTAGTGGTATTTCAGCTCATCTTGCCGGGGTTGCGAGAAGGTGCGTATGAGAATTGGGTGGTTTTGAGCAGATACGAAAGCTACGGCATTGAGACGAAGTTGTGGCGACATCTGGGTTGCAGGTCGTAGTGAATTTCAACCTTCAACGGTGTTCACACATGGGCGTCTATTATTCGACGCGAAAACAATTGCAACGTATTTACGCGTGCAGCTCAAAGTTTAACAGCCCGTCGGATTGTGTGTTTGGGGGCTCCGAAATGCATATACAGATCTGCCCTTACGCTCCTTCCTAAACCCTATAAAGCTCATACTACAGGAGGCACAGTTATAACTACGTCCAACCGCCTAACACCGTGTCAGAATAATAAACATCAGACCACCATGCTGGAGAACGGTCCAGCTCAACTCAATGTGATAGGCCATCATATTTCAGGCACGCCCCAGGCCTCACTTCGTCAATACAACAGCCTAGTGAGGGAGGAAGCACGCGAGAGTGGGATGCAAGTGATGAGAACAAAGAACAACTCCACCACAAAAAGACAGAGCACAGGACATCGACCATCGGTGTATAGATCTATAGTGAACCGCTGGAATAGTAACGCCAAGCAAAGTACACCCCGAGCACTGCAAGTGGAACAAAGTACATCATGCTGCGCTGGATCGTCAGAACATGAGACGATATGATGACATGTCAGACGTACTTTGATCCTTGCTGGACCGCGGTATTGACAGCGCCGTTTGAGGATGAGTATGCCGCTGGGCCTTTAGTCTTCAGCTCCTAAACAGCGGTCACAGAAGCTCAGTGCCAGCAAACATGATAGCGACGAAGGAAACTTACGCTGTTCTTCTCGAATTCGCCTATGTACAGACCCTGCAAAATCTGACGCGCTTCATCCGAATGGCCGACATCTTCAAACGCCTCGGTAGCATCTTTGCCTAAAGCAAAGAAGCTGAGGGCACTATCAGGGAAAAAAGGACCTCTTTGAACTGACCTGCCTCTGCTAAAATCACTTCATCCCCTCCAGGATGCTAGTGTTCAACGTGAGCTGTCTCCTGAAACTAGTAACACTGAAGATTAAACACCTCGTCGATGAACTTGGTAGCATCGTACACTGGTTCGCAGCTCAATGCCAAGACCGGATACGCGTACGCAGGGTACAGTACGTACCCTTCTCATGGAGGAGGACGTAGACGCCGTCCTTTGTAGAGTGAGCCTTGAGATCGGCGTAGGTGATGATTTTCTCGGCCATGGTGACAGTGTAGAAGAGCTGGCAGAGACGCGAACGAGAATAGGTCAATTGGGATTTATATGCAGCTATCGCGCGTTCTACGTGGCATGCGAATTTTAGTCAACACCTGTTACGACGCGCGTACGGTTCTTCAAACTCCGAAAGACGTGAATTCCACGCTCCTTCACCGTGGACCATACATTCTTGTTCTCCTCTTCGCCGCTGGCCGTTGCGTTTCTCTTCGTCCGAACCCCACTTCGCCAGCCATGGACTTCGAATCTTCCGATATTCTGGGTGGTGACCTTTCGATTTCGCACGATGTTTCTTTAGGCGCATGGTCCCTCGCTCGTGCATCGTTAGCAGGCTTTATTCTGCTTCCTGCGGCCTTTCTTCTGCTACATATCTTCGCTGGCTTATACCGATGGAGAGATTCGACACAAAAGAAGTAAGCTGACCCCCTGCTTTCCACTTCACGGCATCCTGAGCCTTCCTAGGGCCACACGCAGGAGACACGGCATTCCCGACTATGACCATCGCCCATTCCCGATAGCTCTTGGTGCTGCTCTGCGTGCTCGAGAACAAGACACGGCAGCACGGTCGCGTGAAAAAGAAAAAGACGAGACATCTGTGCCCCAGTCTCACCCGGTTCAGCCTAATCTTCCACAACTTGGACAGCGAGTCTCACATCTTGCTGGTACAGACTGCTGCCTTTGCTTCTGCGCCTTTTTGAAGCTGACTTGCTTCCATGATATCAGACACCCATTTTTCACCGGCTCCTCCTAACAATATAGTCGCGCCTGTTATTGCGATCCGTGGAGAGGTTGGACCGGCCACTGGATACAGTGGCGTACCTGAGAATGCAGGTCAAGACGTGGCTGCGTAGGTGCATTAATATGAAGGTCATATTTCTGTATTCACTGTTTTGGTCGATTTAGTAATATCCCTCCCACTCCCTTGGCCAACGACTTGAATCATCCCAAGGGTGATCCTCCGCGTGTCCACCGGAAGCACGCCCGCGAAGAGGAGGGACCTACCAGATCTGGGCACAAGAGGTCACGTACTGAGGGTGGTTCGAGTTCGGATGATGAGAAACTCTCGGCAGCGCGAGAGTCAGAGAAAGAGATGGACGTAGATGAAGAAATTGCCCCACCCAAGAGAGGTTTCAAAAGAACGGCTAGCCACGTGGTTGATGAAGGTCATCAGCGCTCTGGTGGGCGGGATAAGCGGGCGAGGAAAGCACCCCGCGACAAGGAGCCTCAGGAATATCTGGTCGATGAGGAGATGCGTGATGATGAGGCCACCAGTAGAAACCAGAGGGGAAAGAAGCGTGTTAGAGTTGAGATGGGAGAGGAAGGCTCAGTTGTTGAGGATGACGAGGATGAAGAGAGGGGGCGTCGACGAAGAAAACGGAGAGCTATGGCGCACAAAAAACCGGATCCCGTGCGTGGTCAGAAACGCGCTCGGGAAGCTGAAGCGTTGGACAGTGATGAAGAGGAGCCGAAGAGGGATTCACGTAAGAAACGCGGCAAGAAAGGGCATGTTGCTTATGATCTTCCGGTGGGCGAACTCTCGCAAGATCCTCTCTGCAAAGGAAGACATGTTGGAGAGGAGTGGGAGGTTAACGGGATGCATTACAAGGTAGGTGCCAACGGCCAGCGCCTTCGCCGTGAGGTTGTGAAGCAGTCTCGCTCAAGGTTCCATATGGTGAGGGAACTGCACATCATTGTTATATGGAGATTGATAAAACCCGGGTGTTTAGCCTAGCGACTCCCATCATCCAGACCGTGCAACACACATCGATGTCTTCGTAGAGACATGGTTGTCTGAGGATGATTACAAGGCTGCAAAGGACCGCCAAGAATTAGCCTGGCAAGATAGTCCCAAAGTTGTCAGCGAACCTGCCACTCCTGGTGATGTGCCGGTGCGTGACGTATAGCCTGTTTTTACCTTATCTGTTCGATTTATCCTCTTGTGCAGCACACTCCAAATGATGGCAAGGGTCTCCTGTGGTCGTCGATGATGTCACAAGATGATAGCCCTTCGCCGGTGCCACCTAGAGAACCTTTCATGCAGTCAATTGCAACCAATGTCGGTCTTCACCTGAACCCGTTCCAACCAGATGCTCTTTCACGCCGCGTGTCTTCCGTGCATCAAATCGACCCGGAGCCATCCGCAGTTGAGAGCCCGAAAATCCACAGTTCTCGATCGTACTCCAAGTGGGAGAAGCAGAACTTGGAAGCTGCTGCTATGGAGCAAATGCGGGTGAAGCAACTACAGGTTGCTCGTGCCTCTGTGGACACCGGGAAAGCGACAGCTGCTCTGACAATGTCTGCTTCTTCCCTAGCTCCTGCGGCCGCCATCCCATCAATCACGCTGACGCCTCCAGGGGATAAGCCCTCTCAACCGGACCAGCAGAAGACGCCTGCACCTTTGTCTTTCGGAGGCCCTTCAATTGGCGCGTCTACGGATACGCATATGTCTGTCCCGAAGCTCACTATTCCTGAGTCAACGCCCGCGTCCAGTATCACCTCGGACACGATCAAAGCACCTACCTCTGGATCCCCAGCTGCGCCTACCACCACTTCTTCTACAGCTCAGAACAAGTTCACCTTTACACCCTCAACTCCTTCGTTGGGAACTCAGTTCTTCGGACAATCAGGTTCGGGTGCAACACCTTTACCCAGTTCGACCTCGAGTGTGCCCAACTTCTTTGGGGCAAAGGGAGCGTCCACATCCGCGCCCACAAGCAGTATCACTGCGCCTGCATCGAACCTCTTCGGTACTACGAAACCTCCCGCAGCAGGCCAGGCGAGTGCGCCAGCCAAATTTTCGTTCAATTTTGCTCCATCGTCTGCCGCTCAAACAGGGGCGTCTTCTACTCCCCATGGGCAGGAGGATTCGAAGCAATCGGAGCAGTCGGAACAGAGCAAAGTTCCTGCTAGCAATTCCCTGATCAGTCGTCTCGGGTTGACTCCAGCTTCTACTGCATCTCAGACACCGTCCACTACAACTGCGGCGACGGGTTTTTTCACTGGTATAACCCCCACGTTTGGCCCGCCAGCTGTTCTTGGTTCGAACGCATCAGCAGACGTTGGACAAACGAGCGGGAGCCCTTTCGCAGATGCAGGCGCGGCTACCACGAACGCTGCTCCTAGCTCCAGCACTCCGAGTCCACCAAAGTTCAGTTTTGGATTCACATCCAAACCGACCAGTACTACTCCTACACCCGCATCCACTGCTGCACTTGCTGCTGAGGCACCGAAACCTGCCTTTTCGTTCAACTTCGCAGCCCCAGTGCCTTCTGCACAGCCTGCAACGCCCTCGGCTTCGAGCGGTTCATCGTCTGCATTCGGAGCCTTTGGTGGCTCTGCTAAGCCGTTCGGAGCGCCTGCTGATTCCTCCACGAGTGGGATGAGTGGCGCGGCGCCAGCGAAGCCAATATTCAACTTTGGATCAAGCTCGTCTACTGCGTTCAGCAGTGGGACTACTCAACTGGCAGACAGCAATAAACCAAAGTTCTCATTCGGTAATGCAGGGGCTAGTTCTTCCTCTACACCATCGGCATTTGGAAACACTGCTTCCACCTCGTCGCCCGCTGCCACGAATACGACGGGGCCGTCGACAGCTCCGACGGCAGCAGGTGCCGGCGAAGCGGAGACGAAGCCGAAGTTTTCATTCAACTTCGGCTCCACTGCATCGACGTCAGCGTTCGGTGCGCCATCTTTCGGTAACCAGGCTACCGCGCCTGCGTTAGGCACGCAACCCACCACCTCCAACACTAATGCTGCGCCTTCAGCATTCGGTGCGACATCTTTTGGCAATAACTCCGCGGCTACGCCTTCCGCGTTTGGTGCGTCTTCTCTTACCAACAACGCCACGACCGCTCCGGCGTTCGGCACGCAACCTTCTACCGATAATGCCGCCGTCCCCGCACCTTCTGCGTTCGGCAACCCGTCGCAGACCCCTACTCCTAGCGCGTTCGGATTCACCAACCCGCCACAAGCCTCTACTCCTAGCGCGTTCGGATTCACCAACCCGCCACAAGCCTCTACTCCTAGCGCGTTCGGATTCACCAACCCGCCACAAGCCGCTACTCCTAGCGCGTTCGGATTTACCAACCCGCCACAAGCCGCTACTCCTAGCGCGTTCGGATTTACCAACCCGCCACAAGCCGCTACTCCTAGCGCGTTCGGATCCTCCAACCCGCCACAAACCTCTACTCCTAGCGCGTTGGGATCCTCCAACCCGCCACAAGCCTCTACTCCTAGCGCATTCGGGCTCTCCAACCCGCCGTCAGATGCTCGCGTGTCGGCGTTCGGGTCGTCATCAAATGCGGAGGAGAAGAAGTGAGGGGGTTTGCAGGCGAGACTTTTAGTTTCTTGTGTGGTACATATAGTTAATGCAACAATGGTAGATACTGTACAGTAGAAGTCATCAACATACTCGTTTGCGGTCCCGATTGATATTGAATTTGATTGTCACGTGATAGCGGGGCTGACGGTCTGTGCATGCACTGTAACCTTGAGGCGACCGTGTCTTATGCCTTGCATACCGTTCTTTTTTCCTTGTGCATCTACATCCGCTTACGTCTCGTGGATATCTATCAGCGGTCCATTTAAGCCTCCCTCGCGAGAGTCCACGACTAGCGCTCTAGATACACCTCCGAGCGTCATGCTCTCCAACAGTGTCTCCGCCACCCCTCGACCGCGACCCCCAGCAAAGACTCGCAAAATCCCTTCCATCCAGTTCTCCAGGCCCCCACCCCCTCCGTATGTACTCGAGGAGGAGATGACGCTGGGATCCCCCATCCCCCCGCCGCTGGTAGCCTCCGACGTCAGGCGTCTGTCTCTTCCTACACACCCTGGCGAGGACTGGAACGACAGGTCGAGAGAAGAGCTGTCCGGGCTGCTTTTGAAGGCAGACGAGCTGATCAAGTCGCGTGAAACAGGTGAGACAGGAGTCGTTCACGCAGAATGGAGGTGCTCATGCCCCTCCAGAGCTCAGCTTCACCTCCGCGCTTTGCAAGAGCCTGTACGAAGGTAACATCAAGCTCAAGACGAAGCATGACACCTTAATCTCCCGCATCCCTTCCACGCGCACCGCCTCTCCCGCACCTATTACACCCCTCGTATCTACCGCGCCAACCTCCCCATCGCTCGCACCAACTCCTATAATCCAGTCGCCGTTCATGCTGGGCGACAGCCGTGTGCTCTCCCCTGGCCCCACTACCCAACGCATCCACCATTCCCGCCGCATATCCGTCACGCCCACCGAGCTCGCGCACCTCGCAGACCAGAACGCCGAGCTGCTCGACAAGCTGGAGAAGCTGGAGGCTGAGTCCCAGCAGGCGGACCAGGCGGGGAAGCGGAAGCTGCACAAGCTCGAGAAGGAGATCCAGACGCTCCGCGAGGAGCTTGAGAGCACGCAGGCGAAGGGCGCAGAGCTGGAAGAGCAGGCAAAGGCAGCGAACATGAGCGCGTCAGAAGTTCAGCGGAGGAAGGAAGAGCGCGTGGAACGGCTGAAGGCACTCAAGGAGAAGTCTGCTTCAGGACCTGATTTCGCAAGCGAGGAGGTCAGGGATTTCGCTCCCCCATCTAAGTTGCCGAAGTATCGCCCTCATACGACCAGCATTGATAGTGCTGAAGAGGTTTCTGCAGCCCTTGCCGCAGACCTCTCCGGCGGAGCTTCTCTGTCAGATCCTTCGGAATCCGACGGGTCAGATCACAGTCATGACGACGGGGAGAATGACACCTCTTCCTTTCTCCCCATGCCATACCCCTCCCGTTCATCGTCTCAGCTAGTCGCGGAAAGTGCGATTGTTTCGCAACTGCTGCTTAAGATCCGCGAGCTGGAGGAAACCAACGCACAAATCATTGAAGACCAGAGAGCGACTGGCGGGCGGCTTCGAGCAGCGCAGCGGGACGCCGAGGGTATCAGGCAGCTGTACGACTGCTTGAGCGACGGGGCCGAGGTGGAACTCCAAGTTGGACCAGACGATGCGGATTCCCCGGTCAAGGGAGAAAGCGTCTTCTCTGGGGACACGATCAAGTTCAGCAGTTTACGCAGGACTATTGATAGCGACCTGAGCGGATACCTCAGCGCGGCGCCGGATCCCTTCGCGAGTGGTATTACCAATGACATGCAGAGCACCACCAGAAGTATCCATGTTCCCAACATGAGCAGCGGAAGCCACAAAACGCGCAAGTCTGTTGTGGGCCTCTTTGATCGCCCAGTGGAGCCTTCTCCTGCTTTCGTTCCGTCGGGCTCCGTCCGACTGGCACCGACTGGGGACTTCTCCATCCTGTCGACTGCTACTACGAATGGCTTGAACCCTCTGTCGCCTCCCCTCAGTAGCCTGCAAACTCCGGACGGGCTTGGGTTTGGCCGGACATTGGGCAGCGAACTTGGAAGTGAGTTCGGGGATGACTGGGGCGAGAATGCCGGCAACCACCACTTGCGCACCAGTAGCCTGTACGATCTCGCTGCGTTCAATATTTCGCGGGACATGTCCTCGACATCGCTTGTGTCTCCGACGGCTGAGAAGTCTGGGTTCGCCTTCCCTTCTTTGGAGACCCCTTCTAGCTCAGGGACGACGCGACAAGGCGAGTGGGAAGAAAACCTCAGTCCGTCCACTCCACCGTTCTCCCCTTCTCGTCCGGGTGGCCCCCAGTTTAACATCCAGCCCCCGACCCCGAGTCCTGACAAGCTACGCGAAGCCTCGTTTACGAGGAGTCTCCGCCTCTCACAAATTGTGCACTCCCGCACGCACCGATGGGTCGAGCGTCGCTCCGCGCACCTACCCGAAACGCAGATCACGATGCGCAGCCGTCGTTCCTTCGCAGACACCAGCAGAAGCTTGGACACCGATGGGGAGTCTTTCGACCAGGCTGCGCAGGCACCCCCAGGCGCCGTCATTTCGGAAAATGTATCGATGTCTGCACGCACGAAGCGCGCTGCCGACGGCGACGCAGGCGCTGATAGCGGTGCGGAGGCCGAAGGAGACTGCTCGGCGTTGGAGCTGCGTGGCATGTCTTGTCCGCACACCTCGGCGGTGTTGCGTGCCGAGTCAAGCCGGCAGGAAGGGTTCGTGGGCGTCATGCTGGAGGTGTGGTTGTGGATCCAGTTCGTGATCGTCGTGTTCGTCTTCCTGTGGGCGATGGCGAAGCGCGGGCCGAAGAACGTATTGGAGGAGGCGGAGCGGCGGAGGGCGCAGCAGGCGTCGAGTTCGGGATAATTTATACTCTCATCTATCTGTAAAGGTTCGGTTTCTGTTGTTTGTAGCTGCCGGTGGACAGTTGGATGCTGGAATAATATTTGCACTTGTGAATAGAGTGTATCTGCTAGAGTAGTTATTCTTGCTCAGAGAGCAAGCTATCCCAACCCATGCGGCATCTTCTGCAGTCCGTCCTGCACGGATATTAATAGTTGTGTTCCTATTGGTGATTGTTATCTCGCACACTTGTTGATTGCACTTGGGCTTTGCAGGACCAGGACCCTGGATAATCCCCACAAAGGTCGTCGCCAAATCCGGACAGATTTTTGCGAAAATCGACCTCACGCCGTCGTCATATCCGGACAAATGGACCCCCTAAGGACCATGTAGCTGTCGTACTATCCGGACATGGAACTGTTCTGGGGCAAAAATCGCCAGAAAATCGCCGGAAAAAGCCGAAAAAGGTCAAAAATAGCCACAAATTGCCTAAAATGGAAATCCCCAGAGCGAGGATGTCGCTATTTCCGGACAAAAAACTCCCTAAACCGGCCAAAAATGGGCCGGACAGATTTTTGTAAATTGGGGGGGGGGGTTTTGGCAACGACCTTTGGGGGGATTATCCAGGGTCCTGCAGGACCCCGGCATATGCTGCAACATGTCTGATGCGGATGCGAGTAGAAGTGACCCCCAAATTCGGCCGAAGTCTGAGACTAAGTGCGGGTAGAACAGGCAAAATCCTGGCACTCCACCTGATCCACTGTGCAGACATAGTTGTACTGTCGCCAGCATGTCTGATCTGGTAGTGCGGACATTTTTGGATGACCGGGGACACCCTCTCCAAGTAAGTGAATACCACATCTTGTATGGTGCAACCTACATTTCTGCGTATCACCGCACCCACATTGTCTTCTCCTTATCCTCGTGCTCAAACACGATCTCATGCAACAAACTTGAAACATCGGATGGCCATTCACTTCAAGTTGTCACACTCTGTGCATTTTCTGCTATGCTCATAAAAAAACTGCAGAGCCGGCTCGAAAACATTGCTAGTGCCATTGGTGATCTATCAAAGCTATTGTGTGTTACAACGCTCCTCACTTGTGGCGCGTCTTTTCTTTTTCTTTCCCTTGTTCCCTTTACGTTACCAGACCACGTGATCCAACACGTGACTCATCGGAGCGCAACCTCCGATTCTTTATTCAGATGTCCAGAACCCCTAGTCTAGGGTTACACCGGATCCAACTCCGGACCTTCTTCTTATCGCACATGCAAGACATGCATGTATGCCTCATCTTTACCTCGTTCTGATACACGACTCGTTATCCCCATTAGTACTGATTGTCTCTCATTGTTACGCGGCAGCGAAACACGAGCGTCTAGTCGAGTCGTCACGAGACAAGGTCTTAGTCTAAGACACAAGTCCATTCAAGTGACACTTCTGGCGATGTCTTCGCACTGAAGGTCGATCAGAGTTCGTTCTTATGACTCATAGTAGCTGTCTGCTACTGACGGTCGATCTCAGTCAAAGGCAAGTGAAAAGCTGGTTTAATGGTAACCAGGTCGAGATGGGGATCCAGCTCGACAAGGTCGTTTACTTATACAAAAGGTATCCGCAGTACTACGCAGTAATGCGAGATCGTTCATTGGCTAGATAAGGTGAAACGATATCTGGGCAAGGTAACAGCGAGGAAGTAATATGTATGAGAAAGCTGAGTAAGGTCATGAGAGATAATCAGTGCTAATGGGGATAACGAGTCGTGTATCAGAACGAGGTAAAGATGAGGCGTACATGCACGTCTTGCATGCGCGATAAGAAGAAGGTCCGGAGTTGGATCCGGTGTAACCCTAGACTAGGGGTTCTGGACATCACAAGTGGGGAGCGTTGTAACATCAGCTCCCGTCTAACGTTTCTTGTCCCACAAGAAATATTGTGATCTTCATCGTCGTCGGGGGCAGTCGCGGACATAATGATCTCCTCCACATCTGTAGCATGTCCGCCGGCTGGTTCGTGATCCTTGTTCGGGAATACGTCCATTCCTGTAGGGATGACTGCGACGCGAAGAAGTGGATGCAGTCGAGAAAGATGGTTGGGATAACGGAGATCGTCCACTGGGTACGTGCGAACGAGGAGGGCGAGGTCGAACGGGAATTGGTTCTGGCGATGAGCGAGGAGTGGATGCGGGTATTCCATTAGTGGTGTATCCAAGGATGTGTCCGATGTCTTCGTCTCCATGCTCCCTCCAAATCTCCTGTGCTGTACGAGTGACCGTACTGCGCATCAACGACCAGACTTGGTCGACTCTGGTCCGGGCTCTACTCGCCCTTTCTTCTGCTGCGACGAGCTCTTGTCTGGCCGTCTGCATCCACTCGACCATTTCTAATGCTCGTTGCATGGAAATCACCGCTTGTCGATCTTGCGGGCGATTTCGTAAGGCGACGAGGATATCTGTGAAGTCGGCAGGAACACGAATAGCCGAGACCAGACGTGTGGCAAATTCTTGTTCGTCCGATGCGTGACTGAGTTCGATAGAAGGTGAGGGCGATGAGGTGCGGATAAAGGGTGTCTGTGCTCGAGAGGGTACTCCATTGACAAGCGTAGGCGATGCGGGTATGCTCATAATTGTGGAGGCGACTTCAGCGAGTATATTGTGAACAAGGTCGTCTATAGCGGAAGTGGGCATTGATGATATGTCGTTTTCTCCCCCTTTTATACCTTTCGGTCGTTAAGGGGGTCGCGGTTATCTGTGATGTGAAATAGAATGTCGTGGATCCGGGTAATAATCAAATAGATGAAAATCCATTGGACGATAAAGAGTATTCCCACAGAGATAAGAGCTGCCTGATCAGTTCCAGGCATCGTTCTGATCACCCCAGCCGTTAGCATGTGGGCTGTCTCGCGTGAAGAGTGTGTGTTCGACAAGTCGTCTGATAAGGATTCGGTGGATGATCCAAAGAAAGGTGAGGGTTGTGCAGTGGAGGACGATTAGGAAGATGATGAGGAAAATCGTCGTGGTAGTCATTCCGGGTTTCTTTTCCTCTACTGGATTCTCCTGGTCCTTTTATATGCATCGAGGATTCGCTTGGCATTCTGTAAATTGTGGGTAGGTTCCCACGAGTTTTCTGCTGAAGAATATCCCTTCCACTTGACTAAGTACCTCAGATGACCTCGGTACGTCTTGTGATTCAGGATGGCTTCGACTTCGTACTCTTCTTCGTTATCAACGACGTCAGGTGGTGGGTTCACGTAATTCGGACCATGTATGTCATTTTCGCGATAAGGAGATAGAAGGGCGGCGTGGAATACGGAATGAACTCGCCAGGTCTTCGGGAGTTTGAGACGATAGTTGGCCGGTCCGATGACTTCGACAATTTCGAATGGCCCCTCACGCTTTGGTGCTATCTTGCGCGAGGCGTAATTGACCTTCAGGTTCCTCGAGTCTAGCCAGACCTTCTGTCCTAGTATAAACTTCGGCGATCCTTGTCTGACTCGGTCCGCCATCTGTTGTCTGGCTAACTCGTGCATGGCTAGTGCTTCTAGTCTTATCTTCTGCAACATGTCAAGCCTGGATTCAACCGATGGAATGTTCGTGGATGGAAATACGGAAGGGAGTCCACGTGGTTCGTATCCCATCATGATGCGGAATGGGCTCATCTTCCGTGCTGAGTGTTCCCTTGTGTTATGACAAAACTCGAGGTCTGGCAGGCGGTCGGCCCATGTTTCAGGGTTGTTTCCGCAATAGAGTCGAAGATAGATTTCCAGCTCCTGGTTGACTCGCTCTGTTTCTCCGTCCGTCTGCGGGTGATAAGCTGTGCTCATTGATGATCTGATCTGGAGTAGTCGATTTAACTCTTGGAAGACCTTGGATGCGTATTGAGGTCCTCTATCCGAGATGATTCGGTCGGGTAATCCAAATCGCGAGTATACTTTGTCATGAAAAATCTTGGCTGTTCCTTCGGCTGTGATCGTTTTGAGGCAGGGCGTAAGAATCACCCCCTTCGTAAGGTCATGGTCTACTACGACCATAATTGAATCAAAACCATTGGAAATGGGAAGGTCGGTAATAAAATCGGTGGTGCAACAGGAAAATGGTAATGCGTGTGGGTCGGCGGGAATTGGTTCCAAAGGAATACGCATTGGATGAGTGTTCGGTTTCATTTGTTGACAGGCGGCACAGCCTTCAACATAATTGTAGACAAATGTATACATGCCGGGCCACCAGAATTCACGACGTAACAGTTCAAGAGTGTTGAACTTTCCAGGGTGACCCATGGCAGGGGAGTCGTGATGTAGTCGAACGAGGTCACGATGAAGAGTTTCGGATGGTGGAACGTAGATCTTTCCCTTGTAGAGGATGACACCATCGCGAACTTCCCAGTCGGAAAGTGATGATTTCATGGGGAATGGCCCTTTGTGCGCAATCGCTTCAAGGGCTTCGTGAACAATGAGGTCTTTTGCTGCGTGATTCCTGATTTCGTCAAATAATGTCGGGGAAATGGATCGCACAAACAGTGCATTGGGTAAAAGAATGCGATCTTCATTGTCACTTTCACTGTCATCGAGTCCGTTACGACGAGATAGTGCATCAGATTGGATCATCTGAGTGCCGGGGACATGAATGAGGTGAAGATCAAATTGTGATAATTTGAGACTCCATCGTGCTTGTCGGCGGTTTAACTTCTGAGCTGTACGGAAGTACGTGAGGTTCTTGTGATCACTGCGAACTTCGACGGGATGGGGAGAGCCTTCAAGATAATGGCGCCATTCAGCGAGGGCTCGAATGATTCCGAGGAGTTCGCGGTCGTAGATTTCGTAGTTCCGTTCAGCTGGATTGAGCGTCTGTGAAATGTAGGCACAAGGATGGAGGTCTCCATTGATGTCGGCTTGGCGTAAAACTGCACCCGTAGCAAACTTGGAAGCGTCGGATTCAACAATAAAGGGTTTTGCCTTGTCAGGCAGTAACAGTACTGGGGCGGTACTGAATCGTTGTTTTAACGTGTCGAAAGCTGTCTGACATTCTGTC